GATTTTTTTTAGGTATTTTTAGGCATTTAATATTATCTAGTTTTTTTTATTCAATTCTGACCGGAGGGAGGTCACAAAGAATGTATTGGTTTTATAATATTGTTTATTATTTTTTTTTATGTGACCACTTTTTCTACCTGAAAGTTTACTCTGATTATCAAGTATAGCATCTTTTCTGAAAGTAAATGATCTCTGGGTGGTACTTTTGAGAGGTTATTTTTGGAAATTCTCATTAATATTCGAGATAATGAGAAACACTTGATTCATTAGGTTAAAAAAGATTGAAAGATTAAAAATAAGGTTGTCATTAGCAATGGTTTTTATTTATTTTTTGTTATTATTAAGTTTTTATTCTTTTAATATTTTTAAATAATTATTGTTGTCATTCTACTATAATATTATGAAATATAATATATGTCATTATAACAATATATTATATTGTTGACAAAGCAACAATATCAATTGAACTAACTAAACATATACGTATATAAACAGTATTTTAACCAATAATTAAGTTTTCAGGTTTAAATATTAATAGGTACCTCCTAGTTTCGAAATTAATGTATAGCGGACCTATAAGGTTGGAATATTTAAAAAATTAAGCTAATAATGCTAAAATAGTAGATACGAATACAAAATGATTCATAAATAATAATATTGCAACAAATCAATTTTAAACACCTTTAAAGATGCATGTGTCCGTGTGTAAAAAATTCATGTATATTATATTAAAGACAAAGATGGTTACAGGTTGAATGGTTATTAATATGACAGTAATGCACTATAGAATTTCAAAAATATTACAGTTGGTAATAATTATTGACGAACTGACAATATCTATATACAGTATACGTATACTAATTTATTATAATAATTATTATTAATAATAAATATACTTAATTAAATTCTAACGTAAGTGTTAAAAGTTAAATTATAATAGCAAAACTATTTTTTTTTTAAAATCCCAACAATCTTTTGAACTAAGTATTTTTCTATTAAAAATTATTCTTTCATATATTTTTCTTCTTTCTGATCTTCGATCTTTCTATTTATTGGCAACAGGCCAACAGCTCTGGGCTTCTATGTAAAAACTCGAATCCTTCAATTTTCTTACTCTCTCGTATGTTTTGGAACATTCAAATATTACTTTTCTTTGTCTAAAAACTTCATTATCGTCTGTTTACACAGAATGATTCACTTAGTATGTTTACTTTATTGGTTTTGTTAAATTTTGCGTAAATTCAAATTCGGATTTTTAAATTAATAAGTGTAATTAAAGCCAATATTTTTAAATGCTTAGAATTTTTACATAATTTAAAGAATATCCTGTGGCGATACAAATTTTGTTTTTTCAAACGAGAATTTAAGTTTAGGTAGAAGTGACTGGTGAGTAGTGGAGTATCATTTGTGTGGCGGTACGGCGCGTGGCGTTTTATTAGTGCTCCACTACTCTCCTCCTACCTAAATTAAAAGTGAAATATCTCGTCAACGGGTTGACGTAAATCAAACATTTTAACACCAAGATCTATTTAAAGCAATACCCCATTTATTTATGACATTTTTGAATATAGATTCGCATTTGAAAAACCAAAGTTGATATCACCACTCCTTAAATATTATGCAAAATCTAAGTATTCGAAAATATCGGCTCTAACTTCATTTAGAAATTCTAAAAATCAGAATTTGAATATACACACAAAATTTAACCGACAAAAAAAGTGTGACCACGCGTAGTGAATTACCCTATATATTACGAGTTATATTATATTCCAGGTATCAGTATTTTAAATCGTATAGCGTGATATCTCATAAGATTTTGAAGAAATTATGTTGAGCAATTCGTAAAACAACCTTTTTTTAAAATGTTTACCATTTAATCACCTTACATGTGTGAAGATTGAAGCGCCTACAATGGTCTTAACATATAAGCCATATAGATATAGGTATTATGTGTATTTTCCCATCAAAATAAGTAAATGAAATTATAACTTTTAAACTAATAATATACAAATTTAATAGTCATTTCACTCTGGATCATCACGAACTACGAAAATGTAATATATTCATATTTATACTTACAATATAAAAACCAGACTGTTAAATAGTTTACACTGGTGATTATTAACAAGGCTGCAATTTATATTCGATTGAAGAAGAATAGGATCCACTATAATAGATCGTATATAAACATAATCAATTTTAAGGTCATCTGAAAAAAAAATATTCGTATAAGAAAAATAATAACTGTCGCATCACAATATAGTGTATACCTATCTAAACGGAAAAAAAAGAATATCAAATAAATGCGTAGACCTTGACGATGTTACAATATACTGCAATCCGCGGAGTGAATCAACTTACTAATATTACTTACAATGTAATAGCGCGTCTTGGCGAGTACCTATGTAGTAACACTAGTAACATAGATGTAGGATGTTGATTATCTAAAAAAAAAAAATATAGAACAAAAAATAATAGGGAAAAAACTGATAAAATGTACAAAATCATTAAAATACATTAAATGGTAAAACAAAACAAACTCTTAGACGCATGCAACGAGTTTTCAAGCTTAAAGAACTATAAAGGATACGATTATAATGCCAAACAAAGTATACCAACGGTCTAAAAATACGTATTTTTTAGGAAATATAATACAATTTCAAAGTACCGAAATTAATAAATACACTTCATATTATATTTTAATAATTAAGTATAATTAATAAATACTCACTCAAATAGTGGCGTCTTCTATATGGAAATGGAACGATTATTATTATTACATTTCTCTAACAATATATTCTAGCTATTGTTCTATAAATGCATACCTATTATTATTATAAATTATAATGTACAAATCTACCTACCAGTATTTTAATCATTCTAATACCTATGATATAAAATAAATTATAATAATAAGTTAATAAAAATACATCCTTTGTAAAACACTGCAGCCTGTATTCATAATATTATAGTCTTGTGGATATACAGGGTCTACCAAATTATATGTTACAGTTTTAAGAGTATTATAGGGGTAGAAAAACTACGGGTAATCCATAGACCATAATTCATATTCCTACTCTTAAAGCTTAGCTGTAACATATAATTTTGAACACCTTGTATAACATATATAACATATATAACATATATAACATTTTTCATTATTGGTGTTTTGATCAAAATTATTTTCATTTACTTCTGTATATAACTGCTAAATATGAGATTATAATGCATGTACATAATTTTCTATTAAAACAGTAAAGACTATCGAGAGTCATAAATCATAAGTAACACTTTATACTGATAATATTATTTTACATGCATGAATAAAAGTTTTATTATTAAATATGTAAGTATTTTTAAAAAAATTCTATAATAATATGTATATTAGGTATTCATTTATTAACATGCTATGAATACATTCGACTTGATTTAACTCATCGATAATACTATTATTAGTTATCAATGTTTTTTTTTTAGATTTGGAGCGTAGTGAGGAATCTATTAGTTTTAACTATAATGTGTGTTTTTGTATTATTTTTTATTTTTTGTGTCTGTGAGCAACTTTTCTACTTCGATGTCTCAAGTGTAACATCTTTTCTGAAAAGAAATTTTAATTTTTGAATAACGTGTTGCATATATATGTATATATATATATATGATAATGTTGTGGTTATATTATTCAATATAAGAATTTAATTTAATTATTATATTGTTTATGGTCAATTATATTATATTTTCAAAGCATGTGTATCACATGACACAATAAGTAATTTCCTTTATCTCAATAAGACGTTTAACTACAACTATTATACCTATAATCCTTCTATTAGGAATTTTATAGTTGCTCTGTATGAGTTGGAGTTGTTGGTTTGAGTTTTTAAGTTGTTGACATTTGATTTGATAAAGAAACTATCCACACCGATTAATTCTATTATACGTGAACGAAATGCAGAAAAATCCAATATTCCACTTATAAAAATGGGTGGAGGAGATTTGATTTTTGGTTCGGTTTCGTCTGAGTCGATATCAATGTGGATTGATTCGGTATTTTCGTTTACAAGTATGACGTATCTATTCGAAGATGCGAAAATAGCTTTATTTTGTTTATTTGTTCCAGCTTTGGAGTCACTTGAATTGGAAGAAAGACTTCGTTTAGATTTTTAAATGCTTAGGTTTTTTACATAATTTAAGGAGTATCTTGTAGCGATACAAATTTTGTTTTAATTATATTTTGCTGTATTTAGTATTTTAGTGTCATGCGTTGTGTACTGTTCCTTTTTAAAGATAATTTTCAAAGGGGTTCCGCATGAAAAAAAAATATCATTGTTTGGTGTTCCGTAATATTAAAAAGGTTAAGAAACACTGCTCTAGACAAATATGAATCATTACATACAATGTTAGCATCTATATTGTTACATTGAAATAATTCAAAATAAAACCTTTCTCTCTTTGAATAAATTTAATTCATTGTTTTTGGAATCATTGATATTGTTAACGCAATAAGTAGCTTCTAATAGCCGACTAATATTGTACAAGTTAATTCCGCTGGTAGCGCTAGCGATTAGTTGGAACAACTAATTTTTTCAGAAGATTTCGGTTTCAAGATTTGGATTTGTTTATATCGGCCGATTCCCAACCGGTATATTTTTAATCGTGCTATAACTGTTATTGTTATTTTCTATTACCACTAAATTAGACAAATATCGTTCCTAACATCGTACCTCTGCATTTTTTTTATCACTCAACTAGTCGCTACCATAATTATAAATATTTTTTCCTAATCGTAATCACTACCATTGAACTGTACGATAACTTATAGTTATCTCACAACGCGCATTGCAGACATTTGTCATATACCAAGTAGTATACTGATATCAATGAGATTAATCAATGTGATTATCACATGTTTTATTTGCACTACCCAATATCTTATCAATTGTATTGTACCACAGACTATGTTTATCATATTGTATCAAACTGTACAACACGAATGTGGATTCAAAAAAAATATTTTGAAATCATTATTATGAGTATTATTATTTACTTAACTATAATTATTCCAATTTATATATAATTACTTTTGTTTAATTTACATTTTTCGGTTTGTAGCTTTGCAGTGTAGAGTTTAATAAAATCATGTCACTAACGCATACTGTTGCCATTTGATTACAAAACACTTAAATAAACGTAAAAGGTATAAAACAATTAAAATAGATTTTTCATTCATTTTTCCCGAATTATTTTATATTCCTTTAATATATATTTTTTTTAAATACAAAAAATCATGTAGGGTTGATTTATGTAATAATTTTAAAAGTAGGTATCTACTTTTGTTCATTTTTTTTAGTATAATAGGCAAGATAATTATAAATTCCCATCTGTTAAGTGACCATGTATTACAGTTGTTGGAAACACTATTTTAAAGATAGAAAACATGTTAAAAGATTGAAAGGTTATTATATCAAAACATTTTTTTGTTATAAATATATAGGATTTTTTTTTCTGTTTTGTGAAATATATTCGAAGTTTAAAGTAAAACTAGAAAATACTGGTCTTATAACGATTTGTGGATTTTCGTTATAATAGTTTTATTGTTTTACTTCAATAAAACTAGATAAAGCAATTTAATAATTTAACACCATTTTAAGTATATTTTGTGTAATTTTGATTTATTTAACATACTTATAGGAAATTGAAACACTTACTATAACTCCAAATAGTAATAATAATTGTGGCCACGTTGATGAAATGCATAATAATGATATTGAATATAATTCATATACCTCATTTGTACTTCCTAAAAGAAATAATGAACAATATTTTTCATTATAATTATATTATAATTCAATAACACAACTTAAAAGCTAAATGTTTTCTAAAAGAAAATGTGGCTTCAGTACATAGTTCAGTGGTATAATCTCTTAATAATAACTAATAATAACCATGTTTTCTATTTCTTACAAATTGTGTCTTTATGTATTTATATTAACACTCCTTGTAATTTTCAAATTTTTACCTCATCAACTACAAGATACTGAGTCCCTAAACAAAAATTATACAAAGTACCTACCAAATTAATATAAATAGTTAACCTAACAAGCACCTAACTAATAATTTGTTTAAAACGGTGTAACTTTAAAGAAAACTATACATTCGGATTTGATAGTCTTAAAATTTATTGTCCATTTATTTTAATTGTATATAGGACAATAATTTTAACGCTATATGAACCCATATTCAAAAGTTTGTACTAAGTATTTTTACGAAATAATTCATTGGTTCACAGGTACTCTGTATATTGTGGTGTCAGAAACGTTAAAAAACATTTTAGAAACCATTGTTTTACATATTCAGAAATTTGTATTAGGAGCCTATGTACTGTATAGTTGTGTTTATTTTTAAATGCATACTGCCACAACACAGGTGATACTTTTCAAGGTGAATATTAGGCAGACTACCATAGGCTTCATTGATACGCAGCTGGTATTTGAAATATGTTAATCTATATACATATACATATATATATTTGTATGTTTTAATAATAATAATATTTTGCAATTTAAAATATAATCACACAAATTATAATAATAAAACTGAATTTTTGTATAAAATACACGCATTTACTACGAATGCAGCCCACAAGATTTATAAAAAATAATATATGGCTTGCTATATAAAAAGGTTAAAGATCCCTGCAGTCTTGTTCATCATAATTTCCAGTCAACTAGTGACAGATACCATTTTATTGAAAATAATTTTTTTAATCAAAATATTAATTTTTCATTATTGAAAACTTTAGCAGACTTCACGAATGTGTGAAATTGTTGAAACAGTCATATAATAGGTATGAATTAGATGACATAGCATGTTCAATGGGCCATGAAGCAGTAAGACTGCCACTGTACCATTGTCAGTATAACCCCATTGAACTTATATGGGCTCAAGTTAAAAGGCGAAGTGGCAAAAAATAATTCAACGTTCAAAATGGTGGGTGTCGAAAAACTCACTCATAAGGTATTGGATTTGGTATCAAAATATGATTGGGAAAAATGCGTCAGACATGCTGAGACAATCCAGGATCAAGATAATGAAAAAGAGATATTAAGAGACAGTTTGTTAGAGCCGATCATCATAACCTTCCAAAGTGACGACAGTGATTTTGGCAACGACGAAGATAGTGAAGATGATGTCAAAACATTTTTATAAAAATTGTCATTTTGTTATAATATATTTGTGTTTTATTATTTTTCCATTGTAAATATTTTTTTAATTATTTGTATAATGAAATATAAAATAAATCCATAACCAATAAAAAATAATCATACCTTTTTATAAATAATTTAATCTTTTTAAAAAAACGTGGGCTGTTTGTTTAGAAGATTGATAACCACTTGGTGCATGATGGGCAGCGCTCGTTTTTCATTGCCCCAACTATAGGTAAAAGAGCACTGATTATCATTCTGATTAGGGAAAATATAATATATTATATATTATGTTCGAGTCACAATGGGTTAAAACATGTATAATGTAATTTTTGTTCTAACAATCTGTCTTAATGTATAAATCATTACATTTTGTTTTTACAGTCTGCCTTAATATTTACATTGCTTAAATGTATAGAATATAATAACAAAAAAAAAAGCACACATTTTAATAAAACCAATACATTCCATGATGCCCTCAGAATCTAAAACATTTATAATACAATTAATTGTTATACACGTAAATAACTAATATAATTTAATAATGAGTATTGTTGGTCAGTTTTTAAAATTGAAAAGTTAAATGCAATAAATATAAAAACCGAACACAATAAATCAAGGCTCGCTTTTTTCTCTTTTTTATAAAAATTATAACTGCTGTTATTAAAAAACTATTCAGATGTAAATAAATGATAAATTGAAATTCTTGGAATAATATATTTAAAAAAGCTATTATGAACATTTTGTTAAGTGAATACTTAGTTATTATATATTTTTTTTAAATTAGGAAATAAAAATATAATATGTTATACAAAAATAATAAACAAACTGTGTAAAATGTATTAATATGCCTTTACAAGTTAAAAGGTGCATGAAATTTTAAATTTTTTTTGGATTAAATTTCTATTCAATCCTAGGTTTCTATTTTTTTCTTATAGTGGTTAACCTACTAATAATTGTTTTACTACCTTTTATAATTGTTATAGATCTTGCTATTATTGTTGGTTGAACTTTGATCATGGACCATATTTTTCTCAATGCAACTTATTAACCAGCGGTGTATAATAGTCTCACATTCTCCTTGACTATTAATTTTCTTATTTGAAATGTAACTTGAAGATGAACAAAAATGTTTGTTTGATATTTATATTTTTGTTTTGGTTATTACTATCTTTAACTATTACTAGAACTATTCAGTATCTTCAATAGTTTCAATTTTAACATTATTAATTGCACGGTTATTTTCTTTTATGATTGGTTTATAAAATGATTCGTCTAAAAATATATCTCCATAGGCAATTTTAGTTACATTAGAAAGATCTGTGGAAATTATGACTGGACAATATTCAATCTTAACACCAAAATATTTATACAAAGCACATTGGTGTTTACAAAGTGTTCCAGTAAGAGTGGCTGAATAAGAATAGCCAATAAAGTTCTTTAATCAAAATTAATTTTTACATAAGTCACATTTGTAAGTCCTTTCTCCAGTATGAATGAATTTATGATTCTTTAAAGCGACAATTTTAGTAAATTCATTATTTCACAAACAGCACATTTAAAGTATTTCTGAATGTTATGAGTTTGCATGAGTTTTGTCTAAATGGTTTTTAAATGAGTTAACTTATGATTCTTTAAAGACATCATTTTACAAAATGCCATTTCACAAACATCGCACGTAAAAAGTTTCTCACCTGTATGAGTCCTTATATGTACTGGCAAATCTTTTTTTTGTCTAAATGATTTTTCACAAGTGGGACATTTATAAGGCCTATCTCCAGTATGGATTATCATATGCTGTTTTAAACGGGACATTAACGCAAAAGAATTTGTACAAATATTGCACTTAAAGGGTTTTTTACCAGTATGAGCACTTGTGTGTATCATCATATCAGATTTTTGTCTAAATGATTTTTCACAGATGTCACATTTGTAAGCTTTTTCACCGGTATGAATCATTTTATGCCGTTTTAAATTAGAAAATTGAGTAAATGAATGTTGACAAATATCACATTTAAATTGTTTCTGACTGTTATGAGTTCCATTGTAAACTGAATCAGATTTTTGTCTAAGTGATTTGATACTCAAATTGTTTTTGAAAGGTTTTGTTGGTGAAAAGTGGTATGATTTTTCTTCAATTTTAGTTTCTATATGACGTGGTGAAGTATTTACATTTTCATACTTACAACTATCTATTAAATCAATTTCTTTTTTTATTTCAATATTTTGGTCATTTGCCTGTTTATTTTCTTCTTTTAAGTCACATATGTAGCTGAAAAATGTCATAATCATAATTTATATTAATTAACTTACAACTTAAAACTAAATAAAAATAAAATATCAATAATAAACAAAAATTGTATCTTATGGAGGAGAGCATATGAAACTCTAACCAAATTGAAAATGGTATAATACCTACATGTCCAATATTTTAATAGGGAACACTAGCAGATTAAATGCTTTTTTTTTCAACTGAAACTATAAAAAAAACCCAATTTAAAAATACTCACTGCTGCGATTGGTTTTTGTTATATTCTTTATATAAAATGTATTCCTTAGGATCTCTTTCAATAGTAATCTCACTGTAATAATTCCAGCCATCGATTAAATCCAATTCTTGTTTTATTTCAATCGGTTCAGTTTTAGATATTTCCATTTTTTTCTTTGGATCTAAAAATATTACTATCATAATAATAATTTATTAACATAAAAACATATTAGACGTTTTTACACTAAAATATAGTATGTACTTAATATAATGGAAATATCAGAAATTTAACAAAAATCATATCTAATGGAGAGCATATGATAAATGATACTCTAATAAAAATGTACATTTTTATGAAATTGTATAGTATATTTGACAATTCTAAAAAACCGAAATTATGAAAAATTGATGTGAACAGAATGTCAATTTAAGGTTTTCTCTATATTCCAATTAGATATTACCTATAGATCATGTAATAATCTAAGGTTTTATCAAATTAGTTTATGGATGATGAGGAATAATGGCAATAATACAGGGAAAATTTAAAAAATAAATAATCTTTGCTAAACATTTTACTGTTAAATGATTTAATACTACCATACAAATTTATTTGTAATTTTACATACATCGTTTAATAAGTATACTTATTGGTAGTAATACTATGTTGTAGATTCAATATTAAATCAGCACAAACATTATAAAATTAAAATAGTTAAAAACCAATGATATTGATCTGAAAATAACTCCTGGATTTAATTATAACATAGAATGAACATTGTACAATATTGATAAGATATTTTCAATTTTGAAATAAATAATTTATTAAACGTTTGAGTGAAAAGATTTAGTGGAAGTATAAAAGACCTTAATGCCTATAAGGCATTAAAAAAGAAAAATTAATTTATAACCAATATATTTATTGTCTACTAAATATTTAAAACAATACATATTGTTTAAAACACAATACACAAATATTAATGCACAATTTAAAACATAGGTACCTCTGTATAGATATTAAATTGATGGTGTTTAGGAAAAACATTTTTCATTTCTGGGTTTAAATATAATGTCTGAATTCATGTTCTAAATAAAGTTTCTTTCTTTGTTTCCCGACCACCATATATTTTATAGTGATCATATCTACATTAAAAATTATTATTACATTTGCTTACTTCAATTTATGGTTTGATCAATCAATTCAAACATTAAACATGAATTGATTAAACAGGTAAGTATGTCAGCACCAGCAACTTACAGACATATCACGGAATAGAAAATAGAGTAATCTATTATAGTATTATCTAGAGAATACTGGAGAATTCTAGGATCTTTAGAATTATCCATTGTGGTCCATAAATTTAAATTAAATAAATATACATTTAGATAATAAATAATATATTATTTACTACTGGACTCTCTTATCAAATATTGCTATCAGAACCCGGAACGAATCATGACTTTAATAATAAAGTAATAATATATATTATATACTCCTATAGGGAAGTTTACTCAAAGGTGGAGTCCAGCTACGCCTTTTTCATTGGGTGAAATATCATTTATCACAATTTTGATTGTCAATTAATAAATTAAAAAATAATTTGGCATTGGCTATTGACTCATAGACTATAAAGGCTTTGGTCTTGACTTTATTTTAATCTTGAGCATTTTGATTAATTTATTTTTTGTATCATACAAGTTTGGATTTTTGGGGAATGTTTTAACTGAAGTTAATGTAAAAGTAGGTAAAAATTAATTTTTGTTTTTATAATTTTTTTGCAAATAAAATGTTATTGTAATAAATCATACTACATAAACCTTTTTTTTATAGGTCTATGATTTTAACTTTTATACGATTGTGAATTTTTCTTACGAGTTTCATATCGAAATTATTATTATGATCATATTATCATGGATAATATTAGTTGAGTTCATAGTGATAATTATGTTTACTCACTCGAGTCTATATAATATAGAATTAAAAACGAGAGTATGCGAGTATAGATGATTGGAATTATAGTATTGAGATAGACTTTTTGTACATACCTACTATAGTTGAATATAATATAGACTATGTTATTTGTTAGCATTAAGAAATTAATTTTCTTAAAGTACAAATTTTATTTGCTTATTTATACTTTACCACGTTAACAGCTTACCCAATTGATATTCAAAATAAAATTAATGTATCATCAACATATCTAAAATAAGGATAATGGGCTATTTAATAAACTTTTTTTCAAACAGATCAAAATGTCACCTTACCAAAACAATATCTATATTTATTTATTGTTTATTAAACACCATGTAAATGGCAATATTGTAAATACAGATATAATATTAGGGCGAGTGTGATAAATAATAAAACAAAAGCAAAAGGTAGTATAAACAAAAAATTTGTTGCAAAATATACTAATAAACTAAAAAGAAATATTTAGATAATAATAATTAAGTGGCCTAAGGATTTATTATTATTTGCAATTCTGAGCATACAATGCAAGACATGGTTGTGACCATAATATGAGGTTTTATGTCTAGATAAATAGATCAGCAAATAAATTCTTGAGGAATGAGAAGGTAACTTATATGGTATAGTGACAATAAATTATGTAGGGTTCAGAGAAACATTTAAGACAAAATAGGAAGTCTAGATCCAATTTTAACACAATATGGGGCAAATTTAGGAATATTTAAAACCTGTCTAATATTGGTGTAATCATGAGATTCATGAGGAATATTGTTTTTAAAAGTGATAAAATTTAATAACTTATTAACGGCCTATTCAAGTTGTATCTGGTCTTTAACTATGTATGGTTGTCATAAAATGGATCCATACTCAAGAAGGGAACTTAAAAGAGTGAAATATCAAGTACACAGACATTTAGTTAACTTAAATAATTTAGTGTTGCGCATGATGAACCAAAGTGTCTTAAGTATTCTATTCACAATCATATTGATGTGAGAACTAAAACAAAGGTTAAGGGAGTAGTTAAATCCGAGATTGTAAATTAAAGTAACAAGTACAGAGATCAATGTCATTAATAAAATAAGGTGGGAGATAAAGATCTGCTGAAGGAAATAATGTTACAATTGGAAATGTTTAGATATGTAAAATGTGAACTATATCATTGATAATACTAAAAGTTGCATATCTTTAAGTAAATTTTAGATAAAATAATTATACCTAGAAAACAAAAAAAATTGTTTAAAAGGTAAATATAAAATAAAATAAAAAAGTAAATTATAAAACAGTTACATAAACAGAATTATCCAATTTGTTTTTTAATTAACTAAGTCTGCATCTTCACATTACTTGATTAGATATTTAGACTCGCTTATAAAATAAAAATTAGATGATACCACCAATAATTTTATAATTTTTTAAAAATAATTACAATTTTCTGAAAAAAAATCTGGATTTAAAAAATGTATACATTTCCATTACTAAATGTGATGTATTCAATATTTTTTAAAATAAACTTAATTTGTGACAAGTTCAACACTTATAATTAATTATTCACTCAATAAATGTAATTATAATATTTCCGATTAAAAATTTTTATTACACAAAATATAATATGAAATATATATATATATATATATATATATATATATATATAAGTATATACGTAAAATAAGTTTTTTACGAGTAGTCACTAAATGCTCTTCATCAAAAATATTAAGAATGGATTCTAGGAGAGAAAAAAATAAAAAATCATTTAACACCTAGATTCTTTGTGTTTATTGTGTAAAAAACAAAATTTATGTAAATTATACTAATTTTATAAGTTTTTTTTAAAAAAAGTTACATTAATTATCTAGTGTTGAGTGATATATTATTTGTATAGCTGTTAAAAATATGAAAAAAAAAAACAATATCCCTAAGGCTATACCTATATGAGTATAAATTGAGACCATATAATTTTGTAACTTTTGTTACTATTAAAAATATAACACAGGTTTAGATTAATCTACTAAATGTAAGATACTTTTTTCAATATTTGTTCTAAAAATGTATTTTTAATGATAAATTAAGCAAATAATTCAAACATTTCGTAAAAATTGTTATTTGTTTTTTAAAAGTTGAATAATAAAACTTTTATAGAAAGAATGATAAATTGAATTGGACTATCTATTTGAGTAACATCATTAAACACATCTGCAATAGACATAAACCTAAATGTATGCTGTTTCAAGAATGTATAATACTACATACTGTAACTTCTAAGACTATTCAAGTTGATTTACCATTGGTATTTACTGTTAGTAACCTATTAGTAAAAAAAATCAAAGAAATTTAATCTGCTAAGATCTCGTGAAATATAGTAGTATTTACCTACTAAAGAAATAGTTCAGATAAAATATAATTGTTGTTTTATTTATGCCGAGATTCCCATCCGTACCATCCTTCCATATAGTTAAAAAGACTGAAAAATAATTATTAATGGGTATTCATATAATATTCAAAACAAAAATGTATTAAAATTGTATAGTGAAAGTATTATAAGTATATACTTACTTTGTATAACCTAATTCTGCAAGAACTTTACAAGCATTTGAACTTCTTATTCCTTTGGCACAGGAAAATATAATATTTATATTTGTATCTGGTTTGGGGAAGTTGTATTTATTTAAAAAGTCTTTAGGTGTCAATTTAAACGCCGTACTTAATTCATCAACTATAAAAACCAAAAGTAAATAGTAATAATCAATTTATTATAACGTTATGCATATTTATGTTTTACTGCAGTAGTTTTATTGCATAGTACCTGCCATACAAATATATATTTTATTTGCATACTTGGAATATTATGACTATTTGGTAAAATACCCGTCGCCGCGAGTTCTTCTTTGGTTCGTACATCGATTATCAATGCTTCATTTTGGTCGAGAAATTTCTTGAAACGATGATAATCGATGATTGTAATTGATGGCGGTGATGTGCTGACAAAGCTGCGATTTTGTTTAATTAGTTGACATAGCTGGTCTGATTTTGTTCTACCTTCAACATTTCAATATTATTAATAAAATGATTTTGTTGATTTAAGAAATACATTTAATAATAAGTATTACTTATGACCTTTAGACAACTTACAAAAATAATTTGACGATTCAATTGTTTTACTAGAGGTAAAAGGAAACATTCGGAAGATTAATAATTGGGACAATTGGCTTCTTATGATTTTAATCATGATTTCAAATTTGGAACTATTATCTATTAATTATTTAAAAAGTTTAATGAAAAGAAAAACTAAAAAGATATTGAAATAAATGTATGTGACTATACAGAGTGAATCAAAATTTATGTTACAGCTATTTTATCATGGCAGAGTAAATTTATTTTGTTTATTTTGTCATGTAAATATTCAAAATATAGAAAAATGTATAATGGTACAACAGTTTTTCGACTGATAAGTATGTATAGAGAATAATCAATGTCACTACCTATCTTTATTCTATGGTCACTACACAAGCATACAGTGTTCCACTACTCACCCCTACTTAAAAAGACAGAATATTTTGCCGAACTATCCATCAGTTTAGGGAAATAAATAATTCAACACCAAAATGTATTTAAACTAACTCTATTTATTTTTGGAATTTAGAACATAGGTTTTCATTTGAATTTCAAAAATTAACCCTCAAGACAGTAAAAATTATATGTACATATATATATATGCAAATTATTTTAAATGTTCATAAATTGAAAAATTTTTGTTACGATTAAATGCCTGTAACATACAATTTGAATCGCTCCGTATACATATTATATAATTTGTAATTTATATCGAGTACAATTAAAAATGTATATTTCAAACCAGACCATAAACTCTAGACTATAATAACATTCTACTATACTTGTTATAAATACTATACTCTTTAGTCTGTAGCAATGTTCGAATACTATATTGTTATTTGTTATTTATTTCAGTGCAGTTATTAGCTATAGATAATAAAGAATAGACAGGCCATCCTATGACTTAAACCCTTTTCACACGACACTAGTTATTGGTGCTATATCTAATATGCTAAAGATAAAAAAAAATGAAATATTAAATACCGCATGTAATCTAGTGTACTGTATTCAATTCACACGATAATATGTATACTGTACGTAGTGTAAAAGAAACGGGACTTCCAAAGAGTTCTACGACAATTGATAAGCAAAAAAAAATCATGCTTAAACATCAGAAAAAAAATTTTCAAAATGTCTTCATAATATTTTTGAATTAGTAAATATTCCACTTGGAATACCAAGTAAAATATCTGGGTTATCCCAGGTATTACGAAAACTACATGGAAAATCAAAAAATGATCTCCCAAAAGTACCATCTGGACAACATTCCCTTTCAGAAATGGTGCCGCGCGTATATATTTGAGCAAAATTTCTAGTAGAATTTTTGTACACGGTATAAAATATAAAAATAAACATTAGTAAAATCTATACATTCTTCGCTACACACAGAAACTAAAATAATAAAGTGTTTATATAAAATATGTACCTATAACGTGTACATATATTTTATTTAATATAATTATTTTAAAAAACCGCAAATATTTTATCCAAAAAGTAATAAATACAAAATAAGTACAAAAACATAGATTGTGTAATATACTAGGATATAATACATACCTAACTAATCTCAGAATCTAAAAAGTGATAAAGTAGTTATTGTATTATTACACGTTATCAATGGAAGCCATTCAAAAAATACATTATAAGAGTGTAGTTTTATAATTACAGCAACTGTCATCTTGTTTTTAAATACAAAATTATTTTATATACAATTAAATTTACAATATTGGCATACAAAATAAACCCCAATGGATAGTTTGAGCATCTACAGTTTAGATAAATATATTATAATAATAACATAAAACATAAACTATGGTTTTTTACACTTTTATATATTTCCTTTAAAATGTTATATTATACTTATACATACCAATTATGTAAATTCAAATTAATCAATGCATTTGTACAGTTCAAATAATTATGTGTGGTACACAAAACTAGCATTTTTATATATAAGTTAACATAGGCAATAGGATCAAAACTAAAATTATATATAAATTTTTTCAAATTATCATTGGTACACATACAATCGTTGTTCAATAGGAAATAACCTAAATATGAATTCAAATATAAAACATATAAGATATTATAGTTAATATATACAAAAAGTAAAAATATAACAAAAATAACTTACTAACATTATTTAAATAATATAAGTTTTTTTTTTGATTTTTGGAACAAAATTTAAATTTGATAAAAAAAAAGACAAATACAATATTACATTAGTTTAAGAGCGTATTTCGATATGAACATTATTTTTACCTAGCGCTGGTAGCTTTGTTACCCAATCCGGATATGGTGGTGTTAAAATACCTGCCAATATCATATCTTTAACACCATCTATAATACTTTCGGCTTTGAGTTCAATCTTGGATTTATTAACTTTACCAACTGAGTTGTTGTTGCTGCTGCTGCTCGTATTGCTGTACACAGGCAAAAAACTTTCTACATTTATTGTGAATTGGTTGAGTATTCGACGTTTAGTGCCAAACAATTTTTGAACGTAAGCTTTTACATCCTCTTCTTTGAAATTATTTGACAATTCTTGTACATTTTCTTTTTCTTTGTCTTTATCTCCCAGAAAGTGAATCATAGATTGCACATTTTTACCAGTTAATGGATAAGACTTGAATTTATTCGCACCAACAGATTTTATGACAATTTTCAGCAGTCGATTATCGATATTCTGAGGCCTGTGGAAAACATGGAACACATTTCCTGGAGCAATGGTAAATAAATGAGGGATACCTAGTTTAACGCTAGTTCTTTTTTTCTTTGCATTTTCACTGATATTTATCAACACCCAAAATAAATCACCATATTTCATCACATAGCAAATCCCTTTAATATTTATTTTGTCCAACATGGACTGAATGTTATTCCTTATTATTTCTTTGTCCAACAAACGTTTGTTTACCTTATCAATAGACACTGTCCACCATTGATTACTCTGATGATATATGGCGTCAACTAGCAATACTTTATGATATGTCTCTTCAATTAACATTTGTTTACCTTTAAAATTATTATGAACATATTATTATGTGAGTAAGTATCTAACATGATAACTAATATTGGAAAAATAAAATAACAATACTTTTTAAATATTCGTTTATTACACACACAATGTTTCCAACACTCAAACGCAAACGACAATCGGCTACCATACTGACAATTTGATTCCATTCTAGATTGAAGTGTAGAATTTTAAAAAGCTGTTGTATTTCATTCATTTTGAATCTTTTCATTTTAATGACAATTTTGTCCAACATTAATTTCTCGATAACTTCCATATTTCTAAAAAAAAAAACAAAAATTTTACCAAATTTGGAACAATTTATTGAAATATAGACAAGATATTTATATTTATTAGTATTTTGTTACACTCAACTTAAATTAATATTATATTGCTAATAAAGCAACCCTAAACTATGGAATATTCTTTGTGAACATAATAAAAAGTGTTTATTTTACACATTTATTTCAAATGTTTTGTTTGTTTTAAGAAAAAATGTACAATTTTTTTAAACAAACAACTAATATCTCATTAATTATTAATGACTGTTATATGAACCCTCTAATGATCATAACTCATAATTCAATGTGAATAATTGAGGCTCTATTGTACATGTAATGTATTCATTTTATATTTCAGTGATCTAAAAACTTGTTTTTTAGGTAAATATAAATTGTAAACCAAGGGTTTCAATTAAAAAAAAAAACACATAGTTTACAAATTCTTGCACATAATTTATATCTTGTACATTATAAACCATTAGAAAAACCTGGCAAGGTAAATCAATTTTTTGAAAGATGTTTGATTTACTGACTGTTCTATTTATTCATAAAAATGAAAGCAAAATTAATAAAGCAACAAAATGAATTGTTTTTATACCTGTACATTTATTAGGGATTTATACATTTTAAAATATATCTTTAACAGGTGTTTTTGGAAAAAGTAACAAATTAAATATAAAAGTTAAAAAATAACAAAATTGCATGTTTATATTTTTCTATTAATAATATATTGTGTATTTGAATGTTTTTTTTTTTTTTTTACATTTATTGGAATAAATACAATGTATAATAATAACGGTTACAATAGACATATAATCAAAATATATATAGAGATATGTAAGCTTAAGGAAGTAGGTACCCAGCAATAACACTAGTGATAAAAAAAAGTAATTGTTAAGCTACTTTACATACTTTAAAAACATACAGTATTACCCTTTTCTCTTTTACTAGGTGAATTAGGTAAATTAAAATAACCTCCTTTCATTTAAACTCATATTTATTTCAACTCAAATTGCATGTAGTTTTTTTTTGTTTGCTTTTGATTGAGACAACATAAATAACAATCAATTACAAGATAAAATTAATACAAACAGAAATACAATGTATAAAAATATAAAATATATTATACCTTTTAAACATTATTATTTTCTAAATGTAGTTATATACTGTTGATGTTGGTATAAATAATACCAATATTTCCATGAAAGAAGTAACTGTTACCAAATTGTACATTTAAATAATAGTAACAATTTACTTAAAAATAATTATGTACTTAATTAATAATTTGATAGATTTGAATAATTAAATCAATAAATAATATTAAAATATAATGTACAGGTATGTATATGTTATTTTCAGTTATTTAATTGCAATCACTAATACCTTGAACGTATAACATATTTACATTTGACATATAAAAACACACAGATTTATATGTTAATGTAAACCCAATTGGATAATCAATCCATTAAACTTTTGATATATCAAATAATATCAACAGCAACATGATATACACATAGGTTCAAATTCATAGATAATTATGGTAAGGTAAGATTTATTCTACTTAATTAAATATACAATACAATATTATGTATTTTAATGAAAATAATATCATAATATATTATGATTCTTTACAGGCTACTTGATTCTTCATAAATTCTTCAGACACATGGCCTAATGTAGGATGATAACTTAATTCTTCGGGGGTAAAGACTCTAACTGATGTTGCTTTTCCAACTTTATTCGCATTCTTGTAGCACACCATATTTTCCAGCCATAAATAAGACTTTTGGACAACAGAGGCCAAACCAGGGACATACTTTGCAGTTGTCAGTTTCAACCTTTTAGTGGTAATATTGTGAATTGGACCAAACGCCAGAGCAACCACTGTACAAGCTAAACATATAACATTATAAGGCATACTGAAATCAGGCGTAGGCAATGTAATTATAAAATTTTCTGTTTTTAAAATGATCAAATAATCAGAATCAGACGAATCTGATGAGTTAAGGTTATCAATTATTAAAGATTTGTCGAATGTCAGAGATGTGGAATTTCTTGGAATTGAGGCTTTTACTATAGCCGAACCAATATAAAACCCATGATTAGCATCTGGTGGGTACTCTTGCCACTTCAAAAACACATAGTCAAATTGTACAGATATTTCTGTTATCGAATGTGATGGTAACTCTAAAACTATTTCTAAATAATAGATTTGCATTCTTCCTTTGCCAGGTTTATAGATTAAAGCTTTGGGCATAACACAAACACCATTGCTTGTTACTCTCAGTGTATGATAATAAATTGGTAAAAACCACGGTATATTTTCTATAACAGTGACGATTACAGGCAATCTGTGTTCATTATAAATACGAGTGACCAGTCCTCCATATTCTTGTCCAAATCCGGTGATAAATCTGTCTGTGTACAGTATTGGTTTCAAATCGGAAACAACTACTTTTGGCCGAGGCATCACAGCAGACAGGTGAAATATACCATTAAGATTATAAACAGCAATATTTTCTTTTAAAAAATAGTCTGGGTTTTGCGAAAGTACATATGGGACACTATTATTTGCCGAAGTGTCAATATAGATTTTACTGTAATCAGCTAGAGGACATGTTCTGAACAGTCCAGTACCAAACATCTTGCGGAGAGACCAATCATAATTTTTATTATTGGCACTAATGAAAACCGAATCATATACCAAGGAAACGGTCTGACGCAGTTCATATTTAGAAGATTTACTTGTGTTGTTACACAATGGCCTAAAATGAATTCCTAGTGAGTGGTAGTTGGCATTGTGTACACGGCCTGAGTTCAAAAGGCTAGACAGACCACGGGTCGAGTCACAGGGCAGCAATTTTTTCCAGGGAGTTAAGTTCTCAGTGCAGACGTTCTCCCGTGGCAGGTTTGAGTATCGGTAAAATCTGTCGGCAGACGACTCGTAACTGTTAGCACTATTGATGAAATTCAATGATGTACACAACAAACCGGACAAAGCATTAGTCAGGCCGTACCAATTTTTGTTTACATCCTGTGTGTCATTATGAAAACGAGCAGATATCTCAGCACCAGATGGAGCGTCCACGGCTGGATAGCCCCACGACTTGTGCCTCCACAAACCAGACGTAAGGTCAATATGTAGCTCAGCGACGCGGAACCTGTCAATGATGTCGCCCAGGGAGTGTGGCACTAGGTCGGAGTGGCTGAACGAGCCACCTTCACGGACAACAGTGAACTGAAAGAACGAATACACGAATCCGGTGGCCAAAGGTTTGACAAACAATTCTTCACTGTAAGACTCGGAACGCGCGTGAACGGTGGACACTGCCACCGCCAGCAACAAGCAACACAAGCATTTCATTTCGTAGTGACTATTCCGTTAGGAGTTTTGGGACCACTCGAAAATGACAATACCAGCATTCGCAAAAGTTTCACGGTTTAAATTTGAAGTGTGTAAATAAAATAGAAAATAGGCACCAATGTTAGTTCAATATCTTCAAAATATTATTTATTATGGTTAGTAAACAATGATAGGCGATAGCGGAAAACTGATAGCTACAGAAAAAATAAATGCAATTACCTTACACTTATTACCGTTCAGCACCTTGGCGTTTTTAGACGACTGCTACTGAAAATTGTCAATTGGTCAAGGGCTGGAACAAAGCGAAACGTCGTAGACATACAGCTTAAACGATTTTCATGGTAACGAACATCAATTTTATTTTATTTCTTAACTTCAATAATCGAATTCAAATATCTGGTAACTAACCGAACCGAAGAGAGGACCAAAACAGGACGGTTGGGAACATAGATGGTAGATAATATACTTGGTTAAATTGAGTTTTCATTACACCGTGTTCCGTTCATTAATCTACGTATTCTGATTGGTTGTACGAGGTAGAACATGGTATTAACCAAGCCGTTCAGCCAATCAGAATACGTAGATTAATGCATAGTATATTGAAAACTCGGCTTTAATGAAGACAGAATAGAAGGAATTTAGGAGGGGAACTATAACATTGATACACTGGTTGTGGTTAATACCAGTTTGTAGGAAACGTTGAAATACCATGTTTAGTTGCTAGATATCGCTCGAATCATGACAAAATTAATTTAATATTATTTAAATTTTATTTTATTATGGTTCGAGTCGAGTAACGTGGCCCTGTATTTATACAAAATAATATTTTTTTCAGGCTATTAATTTTTAACTGAAACAAATAAATGTTTTATTTGAAAATATTTTTGTATGAGTTGAACATATATTGAACTAAGTTGACTTTTGAGTAATGGGAAATGAATTTCAAAATATTATAATAGGTTATTTGTTCGGGTAAGTATCCATCCAAAAGATTTAAATGTACTCAGATTTTTCATTTTCTGACCGTTTTTCACACGTTTAGTACCAACTTTTAAATCATACAGCAGTGTAGGTACCTATTATAGTACATAGGTACATATTATTTAAGAATAACATTGCTTATGGGGTAAAACTAAAGATTTTAACTTATGGACTACCATAATTTTTGTTTTAGATGATTTTACGAATAAAAAATCTCTATATCATATTCAAAAATTTTAAAATTTCTTCCAATATCCAAAAACCAATATTTAACCAAAACTTTCAATAGGGGATAACTGAACATTTATTTTATGTATGAAAGAACAGTAATTATAATTTTCAGATTTCTAGAGATAATATAATATATCTATACACACCAATTTTTTATAATTCAGGTAGGTAAATGATTGATTTTAGCTCCAAAATACCAGCTTTCCAATACCCACCCTTCAGTGGTTGATAAATTTTACCATTTTAGATTCTGAGTGGAGCGAGGAATGTATTAGTGTTACAATGATGTTTATTTCTTTTTCTTATAAACAATTTTTCTACCAGCAATTTCGCTCCGATTCAATGATGATGGCATTTTTTCTAAAAAGAAATCTCACTGGAAAAGTACATTAGGAAGGTTAACTTTTGAATTTCACAGAATTTTTCCCAATAAATGGAAAAAACTGGAAAATGTATAAAATGTAGATAGGTATCTATTAGTAAAAATATAATACGGCCATTTCTTTCCCTTATTATCTTGAAAATACGAGTCAATTTGAATTAACTAGTTACGTAGTTTAATTCAGCATTCTCAAATTAATTCAATTTATTATTTATTCAAAAACATGAAGATATATAATTATATTGTTAAAAAAAAAAACCATGGAAAAAAATTTATTTTTTACTTTTTGTTAACTAGTGTATTTATTAAATCATGGAATTATTTTCAACTGTAGATTTTTAGAAAAATATGTTATCATAATTAAAATACGAAGTGATGATAAATGTGTGATAAATTGATAATACAGTCTTTAATAATATCCATCCAAATTCACGGTGTTCACTCTTCAGTTTTTCGTATACATTTTTAACTTAAGGAAATTTTTTGGTTTTTATTGTTTTGAAATATCCGAAAAATTAATTATGCCATGTTTACATACAAAAAAATTAGTAAATTGAATTTATATTTAATACTGTAATATACTTTAATCTGATAAAATCGGTGAGCAAATACCTTGTAACTACCTAATATAATTTGAATTATCGTTTAAATATTAATTTGTTTCTTTATTTATTTTGGTAGACATTTTACAGTTTACTAACACCCTTGGTGTAGTTAAAACTACATTGTGTAACACCATTTATATTAACTATAATTTATAATAACACCATACAATTACAAATCAAATTTTATAATTTTGTAGATTAACTTCACATAATGAATGCATATTTTTATCATTCAAGATTGTGTATGTAATTTTTAAAATAGTTATGAAGATGTTTTGTTTATTATGTAATATCTTAATATTGAAACTAAAGCACTTATCCATTTTAATAAAAAGAAATATGTTATACTACAGTAAATGTTTGTGTTTTAATAACAAAAAAGTATTACTTATTTTAAATTTTGTGTTACAACTCTGTATATCCAACCCTTCAGTAAGTTATCTATTGCTAAATACTTCTAATTTGTTCTACTGCCCAATATTTTCACTACTGTTTTTCATTTAGTATCTATAAGTTATAAGTTTATAAATACTACTGTTGATACACATTAATATGAAAAATTGTTATCTAACAACTATTCTTTTATCTAAATTATTTAAAACAGTGTACAGGTTTTATGTTTGTAAAATACTAATTAAACTGTTAATGATTTTTGAAAGTACCTACTTAATTCAAATTTTAATGTAAATTGACTTTTATATTTTTAGAAATGAACAAATATTTAGAAATACCACGATTTAAACTAGATAATGAATCCATTGAAACAAACACATCAATTAGTCAAATTCAAGTAGAAAAAAAAATTGAACAAATATTCAAATCGTTTTGTTCTAATGCAGAATGTGATCCTGAAATTCCAGTCTTACACAGAGAAGATCACATAAATTATATAAAAAAACACATGTTTACACTTCCAGAAAACTATGAATGTTTGGACTCAAGTCGACCATGGTTATGTTACTGGTTGTGCCAATCATTTGCATTATTGAACTGTGAACTAACAACTGAGGAAAAGTCTGATGTTGTTTCTTTCTTAATAAAGTATGCCATTAAAACTTACAGAAATATTTGTATATTTTTAAACATTTCTTATATTTAGGTGTCAACATGAATCTGGTGGCTTTTGTGGTGGACCAAATACTATTCCACATCTAGCTCCTACATATGCTGCCATTTGTGCTTTGTGTTTAATCGGTACAGAAGAAGCATATTCAGTGATAAATCGAGAAAATTTGTATAAGTTTTTAATGTCATTACGTTTACCTAATGGTTCATTTAAAATGCATGTATATGGCGAATCTGATGTCCGAGCTGTGTATTGTGCTGCTACAGTAGCTCGTTTAACTAATATATATACAGACACTTTATTTGAAGGAAGTGCTCGGTGGGTGATAAGATGCCAAACATATGAAGGAGGATTTGGTGGCTTGCCTGGAGTGGAAGCTCATGGTGGCTATACATTTTGTGGATTTTCAGCATTACTGCTACTACAGTCAGTTCATATGTGTGATACCAAATCCCTCTTACGATGGGTGGCTAATAAACAGATGCCGTTTGAAGGTGGTTTCCAAGGACGAACTAATAAGCTTGTGGATGGTTGTTATTCATTTTGGCAGGCTGCTGTTTTTCCAGTGATATCGGGACTTTTAGAATCTGAAGAGAAGCGTCCAATTGGGTCATTATACGACTATAGAGCTCTTCAGGAATATGTTCTAATATGCTGTCAGTACAAATACTATGGAGGCCTAATAGACAAACCTGGGAAACCACCCGATGTCTATCACACTTGTTATGTTCTCAGTGGTCTATCTTTAGCACAGCATGCTATTAAAAATAGTAGTTGTGTTGTTGGAACACCTGAAAATATTTTAAATGAGAATAATCCAATTTATAACATTGAAGTAACATCTTTAGATAAAGCTTTAAATTACTTTAGAGCTGCTACACAAATAAATTATTAACATCTATGATTCTGTAGTTCATAAAAAGTAAAAATATATCCTTTTTAAATCTAGAGCAACCTGTGTTATGAAGTTCAAAATTAAATTAGAAGTTCTTTATTGGTTTAATTAGCTGTTTCGATTGCTTCCCAACAAAACCTCATAAGTTGATTTAATACATTTTACAGAAGAAGTGAAAAACTAGGATATTAAAAAAAAAAAAAAAAATTGACTTGCAAGGTTTTTCTGAGTAGCCATTGATTTACTAATATTTATGCAAAAAGAATCATTAATTTATAAGTACAAAAAATGTACTTAATTTATAATCTAAAAAAATCAATAATGTAAAATAATTAAGAAAATAATTGTTAATACTATTAACTGTATTATTTATGGTACAGCCTAATAATAATATTTTTTTTTATTGGATTACGATTTAATAGAGCTTCCACAATTTGTATTAATTTTTTTTTTCATAATATCAAGCATTTTAATTTCCAAACTTAATTTATAGATACTTAGATTCCTCTATTTTATTGTTTATGCAGTTTTGATTGTTTTAATTTGTTTTTAGATATAACATTCACACAACCATTTAAGCAAATCTACTTGAAATAAAATAGTTAACTATTTTTAACAAACATGTTTTATTTATGAATACAATTTGATCAAAAGCTAAAGAAATTAATAGAAATAAAAATCAAATAATATTAAACTGTATATTTTTATAAATAATGTTGTATGTTACATACTAGTATTAGCCTCAGTTGGTCTTGTTAAGCCCGTTAAAGTAGCTGTCGGTCTGTTGGTTTTCAGTCTGACAGTTAGGAATTTTGGTATTAAGGATCTGTTCAGATAAGTTTACAGTGTTAATAAGATGATTTGAATTAAGTAAGCTATGTTATGTTTAACACACTTATAGTTAATTAAAAAAAATTAATGCTTAAAAATTAAATAGACTACTACTGCTATTGTCATACAAAACTTAGACTTTCTTCACATTGTTAGGCGATGTTGGTCGGGTTCATCATCAGTTAAGCTTAACCCTGTCTCAAAACTTGCAGTAGCATTCAATTATGGGACGTATTTTTAAATATTTTTGAAAATGCCTTTCTTTTTCAGGTATTAATTTAGTATCACCGCCAACAGTGTTAGACTCACAAAAATGTTTCAAGCTTAATACTTCTGTTCCATTCACTTCTAACATCAATGGTTCGGTCATTTTATCGCACGTAATTATAATATTCTCATTATTGGTTATATATAACTATGTATCCTTATTCTCAAATGTATGCCAAATATTCTGAGTAAAAACTTAATTAAAAATTACAATTACCTGGTGGACTACTATGGTTGCGAAACAGCATTGTTTTGCAAGAACCCTTTACTTACATGGTAAATCGGTTGAACATAATATCAAAATCACCAACAAGTAAGTTTTACATAACAATGTAAGGAATATTAAATAGCCCGAAAGACTGGAAGAATTTCTACATATATTTTAATTTTCACTAGAAACTAGAACACTAGAACTCATAATTAACTCTTAAACTTTTTATCCAGACCACAATATCATGTACAATTGTATAGGTATAATTTAAGATAAAAAAAAAAATCTAGTAGTTATGAATTAAAAAATTATTAAGGCAAGCTAAAGTAGGATGTGAAGTTAAAAAAATGTCCTCTGTGAATTGGTTTGGCATACATTTATTCAGTGCCCCCTACTCCCAAGTAAAACATCGAAGTTGCTTCTAGTTCCAAAACATGTTAAATACACAATTAAAATTAATGATTATTATTTTTTATGAGATTATTATGGTTCCTTATTTATAATATTTATTTTGTCACAATGTTAAGGTCAAGTCTTATGAAACAATTAGTTTGTAACATAAATTTGTAACCTCAAACTAAAGATAAAGTCTTATATAATATAGTTAATATATTTTAATTTGTGGTTTATGTCAATTATCAATTAATCTGATATTTAATAATGAATTATGATTTAGGTACCTGAATATTATCTTAACTGACCTGGAAATCAATCATAGATAGACACAGATATCTATACTATAGAGTATAGATCATAGCTAAATAACTTATTATTTAATCATGATATAGATATACTATAGATCATAGACCTGATAATATATATGTAATATGTTTAAAGATAGTATAGATATCTATGTAAATAGGTAGGTAAAAATTAAAATTTTGTTATCTATGGAATCAATCTGCCTTTACCCATCTCTTGTTATTTATTAAATTATCAACAAGACAACAAACATTGTTATCATTGATGTTCTTGTTCTGTTTTCTATTAATCCATGTAATTGTGGAATTGATCGCCAGCAACAAATTATTTTTAATGACGTGTTTTATTTTAATTTTACAGATACATCTAGTTACCTTATTATAAAATTACGTTTTATCGACAAGTATTTTAAATATATCCTAAATAAATTCAACCCAAATACCTTTCAAATTAAATACTTATTAAAAGTTCAGAAAGAAAACTTATAGTTACATATTCTAGTAAATATCTTATTAGGTACTTGATTGGAAAATGTCAGATTCCGAAGTAGAGTTTCAAAGTGCGGATGAAGGCAGTAACGGCGACGATGGGTGGGAAATTGAATGTGATTTCGATCTGCCAGATGCAGACTCATCCACAGAATTCAAATCAACTGAAACAAAAATATCTTCGCAACAAAAATTATCCAATCCAGTAGAGACAGAACAAAATAAAAAATGTAAACATGAAGACGTAAAACCGGTAGAAAATTTCCCATCTGATACATCAATGCTACATGTTGGATTAGGTAAACTGGCTGTAAGCAGCAACAATACAGAGCAATATGAAGAGTGTAATATGATTCAAAATGAAATAAAATCAACCAGATTTCTTAACAATGTAAGTAAAAATGTTTATTAAAGTAACCTATTTTAATACTCAAAATTAGGTTTATAGAAAACCTAAATTTCATTAAAATAAATGCAAAAATAAATTTTATATTAATTAGTTTCAGTAGTATTGATACATTCTATTATTGATCTTCCAAGTATACAGATTAATTATAGTTATATTAATTATAATTTAACCGGATATGCTGATTCTGGCAAGATGACTGTAATCAGAAGCTATACTCATCCAATTGAGATGTAACTCAGAATAGAGCTTCAGAATACCAACATAAATGTTTTATTATGCTATACAAGTCATATTTGTACCGAATCATCAAAAATCTATTTTCTATTTATAGTACTCATCCCCAAATGTGCGAAGGATAATCTAATTTAAAATTGTTGGAAGCCATGAAGTATTTTGTAAGCATATTTTAAACTTATAGGGTATTTTTACATTGATATTAAGAAGGTATTTTCTGAGTTTTATATCGATCAGATAAGTTTAGCTTCTGTTATGTCTGTATTCTACTTGCAATAATTATGTTGTATACCAAATTACAGAAGTCATGTCCTCATAAGACTTTTGGAAAGTTTATAGGTTTATAGCCTGATATAAATAATATACGAATTAACTGTCAATTAATAAAATAACAGCCAGAATCAGTGATTGTAAGTTAATAGTTTCTAATAAATTGTATTACCCACAAATATTTTATTTTATTGTTTCTCTCAGATTTATTATGATTAATACCAATATCTGATTATCTGTTTTACTATTATTCAAATAATCAAATGTTTAAATTGTTTATGATATTTATAGGACTGGGGTGGCTGGTCTAGTGGTTGGAGTGTTAATTCACTCTTATCAACTGCGAGCGCATTAACAAATCAAGTTTCTCAAGGTATAACTAGTGTTATTGGAGCACCAGCACCTGAACAGTTAGCAACAGTAGGTTCACAAGAAAAAGTGGAAACATTCAATGGTATAATTTTTTATTAATTGTATTTCATTTTATTTCTTTATACTACATTAATATAGTTAATGTTTTAGAGACACCAGCAGATGAACTTCCAGAATCTAGTTTTGGTAGTAACTATTTTCTGACCAATGTAAGTCAAATTACAAAAATTGTTGAAACTACTGGAAGCAAAATTATAAATGGAGGCCTTGATACATTAGAAACAGTAGGAAAAAAGACTTTTGAAGTATTACAAGAAGGTGATCCTGGTTTACTGAAAAAAAGGGCCTTATTTTTTCAAAACAATGAAAAAATTAATTTATCACAAGTATGTACATTTGTGTTCATTTTTGAATAAATATACTTAAAAAGTTACCTAAATAAAAATACAATTGAAGTACAACTTCATAATTTTCCATTATCTGCGATATTTTGGTTGCAAAGAAAATAAACTTATGTTGAATAATGTAACTCCATAAAATAACTTTAAGAGTAAGAACATTTAGTCTAGTAGGGCTGTGGGAGTAGCAAGAAGTGTCCTAAAGGGTTCCTTATATTTATGTCTACAGTAAAAATACGGTAAATATGCCAACGAATAATTATGTAGATTGATTGCCCTGATAATGCTATTTTTGACACAGACTTTAACAATTTCTGTGTCCTAATTGTTGCTTCGTCCTTATGATGGGGTTAATTTAGCAATGTGCTGATGGTAGATTCAAGACTGCACCGCGGCTCTTTAATCAAGTTTTTACAATACATGTCATTAAGTACAATAATTTTTTTCCAACGGTTTTTGCACTTTTGCTGGATAAATATCAATAAATGTATTAATTTGTATTACATCAACTTAACTTACTCAAACTACGATTATCTCCAGTCAATGTTATGATTTTGAGAACGTTTTAATAAACTCATTTAGTTATGGTTTTCTAAATATACAATAATTGAAAATTTCAAACATTTTTTCTTTTGCTGATTCCAATCATATTTTTATGTATGTATCTATTTCCAGTATTCAATAAAATATAATACCTGAAGTGTAAATACTATATTTTCAAATTTAAACAAATATGGTTATTACTTATAATTAGGGCCCAAATTTCAAAATATCGAAAAATACTCTTTTATAGTTAAAAATGCAAATATATATATTTTTTTTTAATATATTCTTTAATATGTAATTAAAAATTGTTATTTTAATACAAAAAAAAAAAATCTGAAAATGAAAATTTTGATTTAGTGACGGTATAAAGTACGTAGCTATATTCTTCAGTCAAAATATAAATTTAAGATTATGTTAAATTCTATTTTACCTTTAACATTTTCCTATAAACATCAGGGAAACCAACAACCTTTAGATAATATTTTGAATTAGCTAAATTTAATAATTAAGTTGTGTAATGTACAAATATACATTAAAACTAACAAAATAACCGGAAAATGCTTAAAAATAAATAAAAGTTTCACCTTTAACATATCCACTACATGAAACAAACGTACACAGAAAGATTTGTCTAAGATAACCTAAAAAAGATGGACAGTGCATTAAAATCTTGGTTCTACCATTTTATGTCACATATTTGTATTCCATTTGTATTGTAAATTTGATATTTCTTCTGCAAACTTATTTTCTTACTATGTAGTCCATTGTTTGTTTGTCTGCACCATAGTTACATTTAAGGTCTCCCTTGATTCTTCATTAAAGCATCAATAACACTTACCATGACTGATATGAATGTGGTTTAATCTGGTGCAGTCTTTGAAAGATCTGACCCAGATGGATAATTATATACATTACCCACAAGTAAACAGTTGGGATGTCGCTACTTCTCTCTTCTTTCCATACATCTATATTATACATTCTATATAATGTATTAAGTGATCATAAATCATGTTACAAGTATGGTGTATAATGAATTGAGTCAATTACTATAATATTTCAATATGAATTTTATATTTTTTATAATTTTAAAATCTTATCTTAATATATTATTAAATCTAAAATTTAAAAAAAAAAGTGGTTGGGTGCGGTTGAGAATAATGAGGACTGCGGATGTATGCGATGATATTGGGGTTTGAGTCAAGTGGAAGTTTAGGACGAGGCTAATCCCAAATAGTTGGTGTATGATGGAGTAGAATTATTTGTAATATTTTGTTTAACACATCAGAAGTAAAGTGTTAATAAAAAATTGTTTATACTTCTTTTGATATCTTGTGTTTTGAGATACTGATAAACTATCAGTATACAGTTTATAGTTGAATTGTTTATGTTTTATAATTAGTTATATACTAATATTTGTATAAGTTTAATTAAATTAATTTAGGTATTACAAGAAGCTAAAGAAAAATCTGAAATTAAATCTCAACAAAATGTCAATCAAGTTGAAGTGAAGAAAGAATACGCATATTTATTAGATGATTTTCAAGGTAATAAGTAATTTCTATTAATTTTCTATGCATATCCACTTCTTCTACATTCTATGATTTACAGTAAAATTCAGTCAACTTAAATTGAACCATATTGTAAACAATTATATTATAAATAATAATAATAGTAATAGCTACCTATACATACCTAAATTGAAAAAATATTACTTTTAAAATAATTATTATTCTTTAGGTAATATAGAATTTAAAAAAAGGCAATATGTACCAGAAAGATATTTAGAGTGTAACACCAATTTCACTTAAATAACTTTTGTTCTAATCAATACTTTTTTAAAATAATTCCTCTGTGCTACAATTTATAAATGAACATTTTTAGGGGTAGTCTCAAAATTACAAATATCACTATATTTTCAAAAAAAATTCAAAATAGATATAACTTTTTAACATTTTCGGTGGTTGAAACTTTTATTTAATTATAGTCTCTATTTTCTAAGATTTTTTGCAAATATGAATATTATTGTGGTTAACTATCTATTATAAATATATTTTAATCAGAGTCACAAATTAAGATATATCTTAATCCGTGGTCAGAGCACATCAAATGACAAGAATTTTCTTTTCCATGAGTTAATATCGTGCAATAATACTACTGACAAAATATTATAATATAATCTATTTCACAAAATAGCTATATTGAATTTTTTTAAAAAAAAAAATTTAAGTAAATATTAATTTTTTTATTTAAATCCCCTCCCCCCCAAAAAAAATGTTTATACAATAATTGTAGCGCAGAAGCATACCTACTAATTATTTGAAAATATTGAATAGAACAAGTTATTTCAAATGTCAGATGTTACACTCTGTATAGAACTATCTTTCATCTAGTGAAAATCAACCTTTGGCTTAAATCAATAACCATTTTCTATTGTATTATAGTTATTAATCTATAAAATATAAATTTTATATAAAAATTATTTTTTCTTACTACAACATTAGGTTATAACAATAAATTACTAATTTAAAGATGTTATAGAAAAAATAATCACTATTTTGATAAGTTTTGTTGGTATAGTTTTCTAATACCTAATACACATTTTTATGAGGTGGTATTAGAATTGTAATAGTAATACTGCTTGTGATTTTTTATGGAAGCTTGTTTATTATTTCCACATTAACTTTTGTTATCCTTATATATTTTATGAATTATCAACATTTAATTATATGTTTAATGGGGTATACAATAAATGTTTGCTTTATTAATATTTGACAGGGTTAATTCATTTAGAAAGTTTAGAACTATTATCTAAACAATGTCAGATGAAATTGCAAACAGTTTTGCTGTCATACTCTGGAACTCAGTTAACTGATATTCAAGATACATTGGTACAAATAAAAGAGTTATGTGATCTTGATTTTGATGATGATGAAAAACTTATGGATAGTGAAGAATTTAAAAATTCTCTGATCACTTGTATTAGTCATATTAGTGTTGATGTGAAAACAGAGAAAATACTTAGGGTAATATAACAATGTTATTTATTATTTTCGAAAAACAAAATAAAATTTTTAATACAGCAAAGCTGTGGTTCTGAGATTAAATATATACTTATTTTGACAAATCAAAAAATCATAATCAGAAAATATAATAATATACTCTTAATATTATTTTCTGATTATGGCTTTTTGATGAAACAAGATAAAAATAAATCTATAGGTATCTAATAATAGTTATAAAATCATAAAATCGTCTTTTTTATTTAACAAGTATTAAACATTTGATTTTGATTTTACTGTTAGGTAAGTAATTTTATTGATGAAAAATTGAATGCACAGTTTAATAATGAAGATAGTATTCATGATGAGGCTATTTCAGCATTAGCTGAACTAACCGCAGCTGCCATGGAATTGTTCTATAAACTAGGGGAAATGTTAATGATTGATACGCAATGTCAGCAAATAATCATAAAAGCTGAAAATCTCTCACTGTAAGAATTGCAATCATCTTTTTTGTGTACAAACCAATGATTAATTGATTTCTTTTCTTAGCCTTAATGAAGCTATTTGTTGTCGAATACGTTTCATTGCTAATAAGTATGCATGTTTATCAACAAAATTTGATGCAGATGGAACTTCAAATAATATTAGTGACATTTATCTCGAGGTAATTATAAAAAATTACAAATTTATTTGTCTAGACCAGTTATTATCAATGCTCATTGTTTATTTCAGTCTTCCAACAGTAGTTCATACATTCAAGATGCAGGACAATTGTTAATACCTATTTTACAACTATCAATTATTTAGTATGTTATATTATGTTCATATGATTGTTTATTTTATATTGTATCACAAGTCATTAATATATTTTTTATAGTTTTAATTAAAAGATAATTATAGATTTGTATTTTATACATTTTATGTTGAGAGTTTCCAAATATTTCATAGGTTACACCACTATAAATTTATTTAAATTTCTGTGATCAGTCGTAAGTTCTTTTAGTTGTTTGTTTCACACTGGTAGTTTATTTTTAATTTTTATAATTATTTAAAAACTGAAAAATATATTTTGTTATTTCTTAACGAAGGGGTACTGAAGATATCTCGAGAAAATTCAATGTTAAATTTTATTTATAGATAATAGAAAAATTACTAAGTATTCATTTCATAAATTGATATTTATTATTATTTTTACAGTTATATCAGACTGTCTAACCAAATTTTTTTTATTTAAAAATGATACCGAATAAATATTTGTATAAATTATAAACTATGGTTAAATTTTGTTTTCAATATAATGTATGTAAAATATAATATGGGCAACAGAGACACCAGTTTTTTTTTTTCCAGTTTATACCAGTTATTCTAGTAATTTCCTTAATGTCTTGTCAATTCTTGATTTTACTCATTTCTCAAACCAAATTAGAAAATTAAGTAATATTTGACTTAGTATGATAATTATATTGTATATGTATCTAACAATTATGGTGGTGTGAGCTGTAAGGTTAATATAATTGAATGTAGTTATATGCTTCTATGTATGAAATGTGTACAATTAAATGATATATTATCATTCTTCATCTTTGCATTTCTTATAAAACAAAATAATAAAAATCAAAAAAATCCAAAGGTCAATTATTATTAAAAAAGTTCGAAGTAAAAGATGGTAAAATATTTTTTTATTTAATTTATACTTTCAAATAAAAAATATTAAATGGCTGAATGCTTAATAGTCTGAAATTTGTGTCATTTTGCCATTTAGGGCAAAATAAGCATATGGAAAATATAATTTAGTTTTTATATGTATAATTGAAGAACCCGCCCAGTGGTGAGGGTGACTACGTTTTTAAAATTTCATTGCTTAGTAGGTTGTGATATTAGCTTTATTTGAGTCAACTTGGGATAATTTCAAGGAACATCAATTTATACTTATTATTTAAAGCAACCAAGACTTAGTTTTTTTTTTAACACCAAACTGGGTTTATCACTTCACAACACCAAAAACAAATATCTGTCACAAATAAATTAACAAACAACATTTAATTTAATTTAATGTTGAAATACCATTAATAAAACGAAAACACTAATATTTTATTTTAAAATAATTATATAATTAATTTAACTTAGCAAAAAATAGTATTATTATATTGTACATAATTTATAAGTAATGAATAAAGTTTAGCAAAATTATAATATTTAAATCGCGAAGTACACTTTACTAATTAAACTACCATAACGCACAAAAAGAATTATTAATATTTTTCCATCTTAATTTATTATAGATAACACTTCAAAATAATATTACTGAACAATCCAAATAACTGGATTGCTTGATAATTTACACTTTACTTTAAAAATATTACAAGAAGCAACTTGATAAAAGGTTTATATAACGTGTAAACATCATCACTTATCCATAAAGTATGTTATTAATATTAATGCATTTATCATGCAAAATATTTAATCACTTCAATAAACTTATAATAGTATTTTACCTGTCAGATATTTTAACACAATATCTGTATAATTTATATTAGGCACTCTATATTTTTATAAGTAATTCAAATATGAGTGTAAACTTGAAACATTAAACAAATTAACGACAATTCAAATTTAAACACATCATAAAAACTTGTACACAATTTAAAATAAAACCTCAATAACTTGTAGGTTACGAAATTATTTTTTCAAATTAAAAATATAAAAGTTTAATAATTGTATACAATTAGATTAAATTAAATTAAACTTAATAATATGTAGTTAACATAAAATGTATTATAAAATTGCCTTATCTATAAATAATTTTAAAAATATTTAATGTCATTATTAAATATTACCTATGGACATAACTTAAAATTTAATTTCAAACTAAAGATTTCACTAGGAAACACCTCCACTAACTACTACTACAACTAAATGATCATCCTTTAATGATTCATGGCTCAAGTTTTTAGCATTCTTTTTCAACAAATTTGCAGAATATTCACAAGGAGGAAATGCATATAACACGCCGGTTGGTTCAGGCTCTTTACCTACTAATGATATAACTCCAGCTGCTTCTTTTTGTTTTAAATATGAAACCAAATTACGTAACGTTCGAATTAATACTAAAGGATCATCATTGCCAACTGAACTAGTAGGACAAGGCAATGCCAAAAATATGGCATGCATATCAGCGGTTTTTATACGCTTAGAAACATCTTCCAATTTTGGTTCATCCAATCGCAATCTCTGAGTAATACGTAAAGTAGATTTACCATCTTCATCTTTCATCATAGATTCTATGACATTTGGATCACCTGAAGTTAAATAACATTTAGTGGGAAACTGAGAGCTTTTTAATACAAGACTTCCTTGCCATACATCAGTACATTTAAGGGCCAAATCACTTAATGTACGAACAGAATCCATAGGCCTTGCAGACTGTATAGCTCCATCTTCAGATTCTACATCACTATTAATGGATTGATGGAGTGGTGATCGCTCAGGTGATCGAGGTGAACCAATATCAGAAACAGAATGATGCTTAAATGAACGATCATTATCACAGTTACTAAACTCTCTGCTTTCTTCTCCAAACTCTGAACGACCTTTACGATGACTCTTGGAATTGTAAGAGTACTCGCCATTTGGCCAACTATATGGATAATCATTTCGTCTAGTTAATTCTCTGAAGTCTCCAGCAGTAGATGCAGCATCATTATGAGATGATTTAGATTTTGATGAATAAGTTAATGAAGGACTACCACAAACTCCTCCATCAGCAAAGTCTGTTCTTAATTTATGTTCTTGTCCGCCTAAAGCAACACCTCTCATTTCTTTTACAGCTGCAGTTGCTGCATCAATGCTTTCAAACTGTATGTAAGCACATGTGTCACCTTTCACATATTCTATTTTCTTAATAACGCCAAATCTATCAAATTCTCGTTCTAGCTGAGCTAGTGATGTCCAAGGACCTAAACCACCAACCCATATTCTTTGGGTGGGAGTTGATTTTCCATAACCAATCTTACATTGAAATTTGCCTAAATATTGGCCAGATAATTCAACTTTTGCTCTATGAGCCATATCTAAATTTTGATAACGAACAAACGCATATGCATTTCCTGTCCCGGGTAATGGTCGTTTAACATCAATATCTTCAACAACTCCATATCTACCAAATATACGACGAAGTTCTTCATCTGAAATGGAAATTTCTAAATTTCCAGCAAACAATGTACGTGTAGCTAATGGATCATCTTCTGGTGGGATATGCTGTAAGTAATTTGGAAATCTGTCCTTTTTATCGTGTATTAAATGAGGATGAGGATGTGGTCTAAATGGTGGAATAAAATGTCTTGGTGGTCCGTACAGTGGATGAATTGGTCCTAAATGAGGGTGAATTGGAGCTACATGGTGCAACAATGGCCCTCTAGGTATCATAAGTTCGTGTGGATGTAATGGTGGTAAACCTATTTCTCTAAAATCCCGTGGAGGTAGCATGTGGGGAAGGGCACCATATGGTAATCTTTCATAAAACCTTTCAGCTGGATGTGGTCTATGGAGTTCTGAAGGAATAGGAGACCTATGATAGTACCGCTCATAATCCGGAGAAATACTTCGGGATCGAGAATGTCTAGCTCTTGATTCATAATGTTCTCTAGTACTACGACTTTCATAAACAGGTGCAACTAAAGCTATCTTATCGAATAAACTTATTCTAGGCTTACTGTGTTTGGCATCCCTAGCATCTTCTGAGCTTCTAAAACACACATATGCCATCCTTTCTTCTAGTTCATGTGATATTTTCACAGAAAATTCACCAAATTTTCTATATTCTCGATATAATGCTTCTTTGACTTGTTCGTCACTAGCTTTAGGATGTAAAGCACTGACACATAATACTTTATATGTTGGATGAGAAGACCGATCCAAATCCCTTGAACGGCCAAATTCATCACGTTCTGAATATCTTGAAGATCTTGGGCTGGGCGGTGATCTTGCTCTACGACGCATACGTTCAGGTGATTGCCTTTCATCTGAACTACCATCGTACCTGTTAATACTGCTATGCCGCTTTTTACGCATCAAAGGAGGAGAGTCACCATAACTTCTGCGTTTCATATTATCAATTTTTACAGTGATTTGTTTTGATTTAAAATGTTTAGGCAATCCAATCATTCACTCTGACGCACAACTAAACCATTAAAATAAAATAAAACACTTAAATAGGTACACACACCTAACAAAAATGAATTAGGTAGCATTTTAGGTAATTTTTAAAATTTAATTTCCCACTTAACATAGGTAAAATTAACTAAAAAGATACACATTTCAGTTATATGAATACAGTACAACACTACAGCTTGTTTCCCAATACACAATTACCCTGTGACTTTTAAGAAATAAGGTAAATTATCAACTCTAAATGAGATGGTATAATGAGATCCTATTTTACAATATGACAGTGCAATTGATTAATCTTGTTGCCTAGCTCAGCAATTCGAAACCTGGGAGGTTACTAATACATAAATAGTGATTATCTGTTTAGGGTGTTGTCATTTCTATTGCTTTTTAGTAAAACATATAAATATTTTTTCAATAGGCCTTTAACGATTTCTGAATATACTCAAATGTAGTGATGTCAGGAAGATGATTGAATTGTTATTTTACTATAAATTAATTTAAAACTGGATTTTCTATAATTATTGAGGATAAAACGAAAATTCGGGAAGGTAAATGAAATACTAAAATAGTCAAAGTTAACTTTAAAGCTCCACCGGGTGTGTGGCGAACGCATTCAATTTCTACAAGCTACGATTTAGGTTGCACTTGAAAATATTCAATTGGACATATCACGATGTGAAGGAAAGTTCCGAATAGTTTAGTATTTTAAATTTTTATCTCCAAGTCCGCTAACAAGGAATATCTGCGGACTTTCTATGAAACGCCATGTAGATCGCTGTCATATACCACGGAATAAAACAAGAATAAGATTATTGTCACAGGTAATGATGAATAGTCGAAATATTCTCATTTAAATAAAATAATATAATACACATTCTATGGCGATAACCGCAAACTTACTTGTGAAATAATAATATAAAACACAACAGACTATGTCACGTCACAGTACTATACTGGTCATCAAAGCTTGAACAATTTTATTTATATCTTTTAAAGAAAACTCAAAAAAATATAACTAGATATATTATTCACGGTGATAAATATACAAATTTAATTTAATAAAATAAATTGTTGAAAACTGAAAAACCACACATCCAAACCACAAAGTAAAAATTTCGTATAAAAAAAAAACAACAGTATCATACTGAATACTATCATTATTCATAAATCAAAACAAATTATTACGTGGAAGAAAGTAGAAAGACGCTTGGGTGTAAATAAAACCATGGTTAATACCATAGACCTTATGATACCAACCTGTTGACGATGATTTTTCCATGTTTGTTTTGTCCATGATTAAAGATATTAAAGATAATATTTTTAAAACAATTTTGCAAACAATATTAAATGAGTGTTAGAAAATGATTTAAAAATTTATAAAACATACTTGAATTTGTTACATTATTTTTATTTAGTCATAATTTTTTATAAAATAGTGATTTACAGATATTATTTTCAGTACCAATATAATAACTGCATTCTTTATAATTTGAATTTATTGGTTACCTAAATTTGTATTATTTATCAATAATTTGATTATGGAATCAATTTTTAAATTGGATCCTGTAAATCTTAAATATATTATATTATATATTCTCTGTTAAATATGAATTCTAATTGTTTTATGGTTTATTATTTAATTTTATGATACCTATTAAACACCATAAATGTTAATTTTATGTCAAAGAATGAGAAATTCATATATAAAGGTACATCATAGAACAATACTCTATGATTTACATATATTCTGTATCATTTAATTAATTTGACCATTAAAACCTAATTTCTTCATTTGTCCCCAAATAATATTATTATTGATTTATAATATTTAACTAAATATAAAATAAAATTTACTAATTTTTAATTAAATCAATACATTGTTTTAAAATTACTTATGCATACAAATGTTCTAAATTAAGAGTTCATGATTCATGACACATATATATATATATATTTATAAATATGTATTTTTAACACTGATGTTGGAGTAACTTAATAAATTTGTCACCTGGAACATTCAATAATTCTTTTAATGCCATCCATCCGATTTTTTGTGTTGATAGAATATAAAGATTTGATAAATCTCTCAAGCTTGATTTTTTACCCAAAACCAAACTTTGACAAATTCTGGCACAAACACAAGTCTAAAAATAATTCAATATGTAAGTATAAAGTGGGTAACAAATTTAAATGTTATATTTTTTTAGTATTGGCATCATTAAACTTTCAATTATACAATGGTCAATTTTTGATATTGTGATAAATAATATATACAAGATGATTCACTAAGCAAGCTCGACCCTTTTTTTTTGGTTAAATTTTGCATTCAAATGAGAACCTATATATATAAAAAGTCATGTGCTGTACCGCCATACAAATTATACTCCACTACTCTCCTACTTAAATTTAAAAGTAGTATAAAAGGTTGACAGAAATCAAACATTTGACACCAAAATTTATTTAAAGCAATACTCTCTCTATTTATGGAATTTTTAATAAATGTTTTCATTTGAGAAACCAAAGTTGATATCACCACATGATACTCCTTAGATGTTGTGAAAATATCGGCTTTAAATACACTTAAAAGTTCTAAAATTCAGAATTTTAATGTATACAAAATTAAACCCAAAAGACTGACATACTTCACATATAGGTGTAGCAACTGTTATACGTGATATGTTGGGAAGGTAGTAGAAGGTAAATTTAATATATTTTAACTTGAAGTAACGATAGACCATTCCTAACAAAAAAATGATTCTGAGTAGAGTTCAGTTGATAGTGTAGTTGCTTTGTCAACAATATATATTATTATGGTAAAATAATTACATATATGTATTATATATTTTCTTTTATAATATTTGTTTAATATTGTTCCTATTTTCCCTATGTTTTTCTCTTATTTTTTCCCATTTATTAGGAAAATTAGTGAAAAAATGACCTCTCTTAAGTACCTCCCTGGTCAGATTTCCTTTTAAAAAAGGTGCTATCAAAACAAGAATTTTGGTAGAAAAGTTGCGCAGAAAAAAATTTAAAAAATAAACATCTTTGTAAAACCATAGACTTCTTCGCTCTACTCAGAATCTAACATAAGGTGAGCACGCTTAATGAATCACCCTGTATATTATAAAATTTAAATAAGTACTGTAGTATCTACTTCAGCTTAGAACTAGATTAACGTATAAACTAAATACTATTTTTTTGGTTCTACACCAATGATATTCAGTAAGTATCCATCATACTACTCATTATAAATGTATATTACCTTTTATTAATAAATACATTTTGATTTTAAGTTGTTAAAAATAAATTACTTCTGTTAATTTAATTAAATCCGAACACAGCAAATTCTTTATTAATACATTGAAATTTGAACTTTTAAATTAAAAACACAATTATTATCTAATTTTACTGCAGTTATAATTTAAAAACTATACTTAACTAATTTTAAAATAAATAAATCATTATTTACATGTATTATTGAAAGTTCCAAATCATTTAAACTTCTGTACTGTTTTTCATAAGCATCAACAAAGCTTTTAAATTGTACATTAGACAATTTTCCATTATTATCTTCAAATTCGTGTAAAATTAAATAACATAATGCAACAGCAAACTCAAATATTGTGTATGAGTAAACAACATCTCCCATATCTATAATGCCAAGAATTTTGTTATTGTTTACGATTATATTATTCAAACTTAGGTCTCCATGAATAACACCTAAACATACAATTATTTTCAAAATAAGTAATATTGATTCTATAATTCAAATATTATACTATATTACTTTTTTCAAGATGAACTGCATTCAACAAAATATCAGATTGGAATTTGTTTAAAACTGTCATAATAATTTGTCTTTGTGTTTCTTGTTCAAACACTTCCACAAATTGTAAAACTTCTGGAGAATTTTCTAAGGACCACATATGACAATCTCTATGGAATCCTTCATGGTTAAATTTCTAATAATTATACATTTTCAAATATTTATAGTTGTAATTTTAAAATAATATTTAGTTGATGTTTAGTAAATAAGTTAATAACTACTTTTAAAATTAAAGTTAATTGACCAACATAAGAACCAAAATCACTTGATACTTCAGAGGTTACTCTTATGGTTTTCATTGTATCTCCTTGAATATATTTATAAACACGAACTGCATGTGTTTTATTATCTCATGAAATTTTGAAATTTAGTTTAGTATACAATAAATCATAAAATTAAAATAATTCTAATAAAGCTGCAGCCATTATTGTAACTTACCTATAACAAGAGACCGATAACTTTGTCCAAATTTATTGAATACTGGTGTAGGACAGTATATACCAGAATTTTCTATTTTCAAAAACATAAAAATTTGGCTTTATTAAAAATACTACAGTACTAATATCTATGAATACACATTTCTATTGAATAAATATTTGTTTATTTGCCTACATAAATTAATGGATTAGATAAATAGTAAAAACAATATATTTACCTAGATATTGAGTAAGCTTTGTTTGGGCTTCTAATAGTAATAAATTCTGTGCATCTAATGTATTTATGAATTTAATCACAATTCCATTTACTGGAAATTCAATTCCTTCAATGCATTTTTGAACATCCTATAAATAGTTTTAAAATTGGTACTTTTTTTTATCATAAGCCCTTACTAATTATTTTTATTTAATCTGTTTGCAATATTTTGAAAAAACTTATTATATTATTAATTCAAAAAAATAGAAAATTATATTTTTGAACGAATTGTTAAATAGTAATTCATAATTTAAACAATTTTATTAAAAAAAAAAGTATTGGGTTAATTATTTAAATATTTTAATAATTATTACGAGCCATGTTCTTTAAATAATGATCATTAATATTTATTATATAATACAGTTTATAAGTAAAGTTTTTAATAATTTTACAAAAGACCTTTGCATACCACACATATTTCATAATTATATTTTATTTATTGTGTAAAATAATATATATTATTTGAATATTGAGTTAATGAACTTTGTGTAGGGAACAAAAACCTCATAAGTTAGGTTGCTATAAGACTCAATCATATTTTGTATGTCTACAAACCCCATTTTAGTTTTTTTTTTTTACAATTTGAGTAATATTTTAAAATATTGACCATTAATTCTGATACTTGCAGATTGCTTATAATATTTTTGAACAAATTGTTTAATAAATAAGAACTGAAAAGGAATTTTTTTTTCTATATATAATTACAATATTAATTATACTCGTAATGTAAATTACTCTATAGTATTATAATACAAGTTATTTAGTTAATGAGATTATTATTTTAGTTTTCCTTAAAATGTAAAAATGTAATATTAATATAAATGTATCTGCAAAGTGCCAATAACCCCTTCCTTCACTAAATAATATTATTATGGTTCCTTTCGCGGCAAGACAATGGTTAGGTTGTTGGTTATTGGTTTCCTTCTTTTTTGTTATCATAACTATATAGATATGCAATTGTTTTATTTTCGTTAATAATTTGTACATACTGTTATGTGATAGTTTTTATCATCGTAACCATCCAATTTTCGAATTTTCCCGTTGATAAAACCATAATCGGTTTTCAAAACTTCTTCAAGTAATTCCTCGGTCACTGCGGCACAAATATTTTCTGTTACATTTGACATATTCTTTGTTCTTTACTGGATGTGATTCGGTAATCGTAATATACTTCAACCCTATAACAACGTAATAGGTACCTATTAAGATTTAAGATAAGACTAAGATCTAAATTCGTGGTAGGCACTTATTGTAAAACGAAAATACTGAATTAAATTTAATTATTTTCTAGAGTGTTAGGCTCTGCTACTCTACAATCAGTCTTAACAGTTGACAATATTAAAATAATATGTTTAAATGTTTTTTTTTTTCTGCTGTTAAGTGTAATTGTATTAACCACGCCCTATTTATCATTTATATACCTACCTAGGTACCTAATTGTGTTGGTTACCTAATAATATGAATATTTTAAATGATATGTAGGTATCGTACGATATACGTAGGCAAGCATACTGACTACAGATTGTCTGGGTACATAGGTATAAACGTGTTAACCCCGGTGTTTTTATTAGGAGCTAAACATAGTCAATGCATATTTTAAATAATTATGTAAGTAAAATTAATCTAGGAGATTTCTACCCTAGGATTCTTTGGACGTTTCTCCCTCAACCCGGGAAATTCTCTTCACTTGGATAAAAAAATTAAAAGTATACAAATACAATTTTTTTTAATCATTATTAATAAGTACTCAAAATATATAATACAACATAATCTAATTCAATATCAAACGTCATAAAAATAAAAATTGATTTGTATAAATATAAATTATTGTTTAAAAATTATTATTTTCTGCTTTGGATAAAGTATTAGATCAGGTAATTTATTTTCGAACCCATTTTTATATACCTGTACGCCCCCTAGTCCATAATAGAAAATTATATATACAGTGAAACCTCTGAATAGCGGACACTCTCGGTCGCCGAAATTTTGTCCGCTATTTAGAGGAAAACATTTTTTTAACAAATAAATAAATTCAATAATCCGTCCCCGAAAAAACGTCCGCTATTTAGAGGTGTCCGTTAAGGGAGGTTTCACTGTATTATACAAATATAAAATAAAATGATAAATCATTAATTCAGGGGGAGATGTCCAGTAGATTGTAGGTACCATCAAAACAACCATGGAGAAAGGACACACAAATACCAAGTAAAATATATCTTCGTAAAATAAAAATCTTTTGTTGATAATATCTAGTCATTTTCTAAAATGTTATTTCGCATAGGTATGGGTAACCCAATGCCGATGGAACTATTAGTGCAATTTTTTTTTTTGATAGAGAAGGCCTCAGTAACTTGAAGGGAAGTATATAGACATTCATTACCCCTTCTGATACATTTTAGATTTTGAGCGGAGCGAGAAATGAATCAGTTCTATAATGATGTTTATTTTTGTTTTATCTGTGAACAATTTTTCTATCAGAAATCTCGCTCTGATTTGAGAGTGTAGCACTTTTTCTGAAAGGAAATCTGTTTAGGGAGGTCCTTTAAAGAAGTTATTTTTTTTTTATTTTCCCTGGAGTTTTCCCAATAAATTGGAAAAAAACGGGAAAATATACGAAATGTAAGTATCAGTAAAAAATATTACGGTTTTTTTTTCCTAATCAAAGGAACGTAGGAATAATAGGTACAATATTAAATAAATATTATTAAACAAAATATTTAATACATATTATGTAATTATTTTATCATAATATGACATTTATTATTGACAAAGAAATACTATCAACCGAACTTCGCTGAAAATCGTTTTTTTGTTTGCAATGGTTAATCGTTGTTTATAGATATACATTAAATTATCTATAACAGTCGTTGCACTCATCTCCAAGAGACAGCTTTTTTATCTGACAAACAAAATATTTTTGTTTTCCCCCGTTGCCCAGTGGTTTTCACGGGAGAGCGTAAAACAACGGAAAATAAATCAGCCGAACAATATTTCGGTTGAATTGTATTTAAGCCGATAGTATTTTATCCTAAAATATTACAGCCGAATAATCTAAGACCGTAGATTTTCCAAAAAATGATAACGCATGGTAAAAATAAATAAAAAAAGAGAGAAACATTATTTATTATACATACATTATTATACATTTATTGTACATTATTTTAAAATGAAAAATAATTAACCAAATGCCCCAAGTACCTCACTTCTATGTTTTTTAACCAGATGGTAAAAAAACGGTTCTTATCAGTACCTGACTACCTGGAATAAATAACGCAGGTACCTTATTATTTTTAAATATTTACCTAGGTTTTAATGATTAAATGTGGACATAATATTAAAATATATTATATTTCAATGTTTTTTCAAACTGATAGTAATCGCCAGTCACAGTTAGTGGCAGCATTTATGAAGTATGCCTAATTAATGGTAGCTGCAGCTATAAAAACAAATAACAGTAACAACTGCTTAAAATCAATCATAAATCATAAGATAAGGTAACTGTGTTGTTTTTTTCATGCATACATAATGCATATAAAATATTTTCAAGCATGCAGGTACTGATAAGAACCGTTTATTTTATTAGTAATTTTATTTTATTTTTATTATTTTACTGTTTTTTGAATTTTTAACTAATGAAGTTAATTGTAAAATGTATTGGTTTAGTATTGAAAATAAATCACACATGTGTAAGTGAATCTACACCTAAATAATTTAAATGCTTACTAATGATTCAAATTAAGAAAAATAAGTAATAATTTTAAACTTAATTAAATAATATACATTTTTATCATAGAAAATATTTAAAATGTTGTGATTTTATTATTTTTTGTTTGTTAATAATTGTGTCGGAATTATAACTCAGAATTTGGATGTTCTTTCAAATTTTTCAGTTTTTGTTTAAGATATTGATGTTTAAATTTCCAAATTTTCAATAGTTTTCAATATTTTAGTAATTCAATATTTGTGATTAAAAATAGAAATAAGAAATGTGCAAGTTAATAATTATTAGTTTCGGGCGAATCGTTTGGTTGTTTTATTTTCGGCCTAAATACAGTCGGTTGAAATATTTTCGGCTAAATACGGCTTGGTTGTTTTATAGCCCCCCATTTTGCATAACCATTCGAGTGTTTTTTTTTTAGAGAAAAAAATTGTTTACCAATGTATTATTTGTATTTATTATATGTATATGTATAGACTATTATCTATTGGTATAGGTAATAAATTATATTAAATAAAACAAATTTGAAGTGTTTTGCCGTAGGTAACTTCTGAGATAATGTTTCTAACAAAAATTGTTTAACATTTTTTAAAAAAACAGTTTTTTATTAAATATGGATTTTAGAAAATTTGAAATTTTTTTGTCAAAAAAAAATTCAAACAGTTTCAAAATCAGCGTTGAAAAACATGTCTTTATGGAAAAAAATTTAAAATTCGCGACTAAGTATAATCATTGAACTATATACGATATCATACATTATAGACAATATAGTTCAATGTGGTTAATTAGAGAGCCTAAGTTTAATCACAGATATATAAAAATGTTTTATATATCTGTGGGTATAATTTATGTATTATCTATGCTTACTACCATAATTAATAATGTTACAACTAATCGGGGGGGGGCAGGAGTTTCGAATTTGACGTAAAAACATAGAGTTTCACATTGGACGTGGATAATTTAGCGACTGCCTTAAAAAAATTGTATGTAAAGTCGTGATAGTTTCGAATATTATTCACTTGGGAGCGCTGTAGTGAACTGGTGAAAGAAAAACTGTAGACGAGTATAAATTTTGTTTCTATCTATAACGTCTTTGATGACGTGTATTATACAAAATAATGAGTGATAACGATAATAATATCACCAACGCCGAGTCACTGAAATGTTGATGCCGTAACTTTAAATTAAGTATTTAGTATTTTTATGTGTTTAATTTAAATGTAATGTCAAATTAAAACCATTATATCTGAATATAATTTAAACAACCTTTAGTAAAATGAAGAAATTTATTTTTTGTTTAATTCAATTATTTACATTATTTGGCTATTTTCAACAAGGACTGAGTTATTTTTTGACTGTTGATGCTCACGCTGAAGAATGTTTTTTCGACAAAGTTGAGATTGGCTCTAAATTGGGTATATTATATACTGATATGAATAAATAATTTGATTTGCATACATTTGTATTTTAATGTTTTTTTTTTACAATTCAGGTTTGATGTATGAAATTTCTGAAGGTGGATTCTTGGATATTGATGTAAAAATTCTTGATCCTGATGGTGAATTAATATATGAAGGATTGAGGGAATCTAGTGGAAAATATACATTTGCCGCAGATAAAAAAGGCGCATACACATACTGTTTCAGTAACCAAATGTCAACTATGACACCTAAAGTAGTACTATTCAGTATGGAAGTGGTTGAACCACAGAAAGCAGATAATGATAAAGATACTCAAAGTAAATATGTTACCATAACAATAAATATTAGGTAGTTATTTAATATTTTATCCACTTAATTTGCTTATCAATTGATAAATATTTATAGTCTGAACACATCTCATGTAACAGCATAATTATAGTTTTTTTTTTTCAAACTGTGCTTTTGGGTATACAATTAGAAAGTAAAAAAAAGTTTGATAAACTTCGTTTGAAAGTTATCAATGAAAACCAGTAAAAGTTTGTTTTTTTTTTTTTTGATATTTACTTCAGGTGGTTTTATAGAACAAATTGAGATGTATTTTCGTTTAAAAAAAAATGTATAGCTATTTTTCAAATAATTTGGATTAATTTCGAAAATGATTTTTTTAGTTATTTATTTAAGTTAAATGCTGGAAAGGCTCTAGTACAAATTATATAATTATTTATGTACTACAAAGCATAACAATTTAATTTAAACCAATAGTGTACAAATAGAAGAAACAAATATAAATATAATAGGTACAATACAAAATGATACTTAGCTAAAATCAGTTAGAATAGTTGGGGTATTATTAGGTGGTTAAAAACAACTTATAGAGTGATAACAATGATTAATATCAAACAAGTCAAAATTGTCTAGCTTATATTCATGAGACTATGCAAGCCATTAGATGCTTAAAACTATAAGAGATACAATGTATTTAAATTGAGAATCTTGGATCTGAACAAGAATGGTATTGAGGAGGGATATGAACATTTAATAATAATTGCAGTAACTTAGGGCAAAATATTAAACCATTTACAGGTTATGGTACAAACCATACATCAAAATATCTATGTCTAAATACAAGAGTCTAAATTAAGCATGATTTAGATAGTTGTTAAAAGGGTACTTAATGATGATTTAAGATCAAAATTTAATCGCCTTTTACAGTTAATGAGATGTAAAAACGTTTTTAGATATGTTCTAGTGATTTGATAAGACCATTTTGCGAGGGATTATATGACCAAACTCTAAAATAAGTCTGATCAGTGTAACTTACAATGTTTTGAGCACCTTTCATTTTTGAATTCCTTGGTATTTTTAGTCGAGAAAAAAAAGATTCTTACAGTTTTCAAGTATGCTTGATCAATGTGGTCAGAAAATGAGACACATTTTTCAAGATTACTTGCACTAACTTTAAAAGTAATTTCATTAGATAAGATTTGATTTTATCTATTGATTAAGCATTAAAAACCACACATCTTAAAAAAAGAACATTTTTAATTCTAAGTATTCGTTTTTGTAAAATTTCTCTCCAATAGTTTCCAAATAAGTTCATTAAACCTTTATTTATTATTGTTATTTTTTTTTTTTTTTATACATTCTTATTTTACATGTGAAAACACACATTCTAAAAAAAATAATAGGTTACTAAATTTGAATTGTGACTAAAATATACACTTTAAAGCTTTAAATGGTAAAATATTTAAAACCCATTCGAGAATATAAAATAGTATAATTTAATTAGGTACTAGGTATCTAATTAGTTTACGACTACAAAAATGATATAAAATACAAATCGTATATGATCTCATTTAGATGAAACACGCATTATATTGTACAATTCTTGTATTAAAAAAAAATAAAAAAAAAAATAAAAATTAAAACTCAAACCAAAATTTAAAAATTATTCTATTTTAATAGCTGTCAAATAATAATAATAATAATAAAAAAAAAAAAAAAAGATAAAATACTGAATATATCTAAATGAATGGTTATTAAACTGTTGAATGTGTACCACTGGTGGTATAGGGTAGGTAACACAGTGTAGATGGGAAAATAATTAATATAATAACCCTACAAATATTTTTAATAAATCAAGTACTATTTAATATTTTGTTTAAAAATGTGTAAATAATTATAGCATTGTTGTATTTTAGTATCTTATACTCTTCTCTGTTTAGAATAAATATATAAACATTTTGAAAATGTCTATTTTAGTCATAAGTGGTAAGTGAAATAAAAAGTTTGAGATCATCTAATCTAGATTATTTGATTGTGTGTGTGGTATTAAATTAAAATAAGGACTACTGATTCAATTATTGCACATATACCTGCCATAAAACAAATTTGATGATTGTTTTAACATTTTGTTATCCTATGGTATTGTATTTGTTATAATAATTATTCTTCATCACATAAGTTTGTATTTGTTAGATCTTAAAAAAATGTTGTTAATGGTTTATGCATCGTCATGAAGATTGTTATAAATTTTCTTTTTAATTGACAGTTGATCTTCAAACACTAATACATATTATATTTATTCATTACTAATTCTTCAATACCATTCCGATAATCAATATTTTAGTTTCACTTTTTAGTGTTTTAAAAATCTAAAATAAGGGAATTTTATATATCTGAGAAATACTAGTATTATTTGTTTTGGATAGAGATATTTAATTTATCGCAATGTTTTTATGTATGTACACACATGTGGCCGCTCCGACCTGTTCATTACTTTTAGATGCAATCCCTCATGGACAGAGATTAAGACCTCATGCCTGACCTGGTCTGATGGCTACTGATCGAAATGATTTCAAGTTTTTAAAATGATAGTAAAGAAGTCGGTTGCTCTGCTTACATAAAGACAAATCTTTGAAACTCAATGCTTCATGTACTCTATTGAGTAGTTGTTACAAAACTTTCTACTGGGAAGATATATGACACAACTAGTACATTATAATATGTATATCAAATTAATTAAACTGTAAAAGACGAAATTTATTTTAAAAAAAGTAGTTTATTATTGTTTTTGCTATATGGTCATCCAAATGATGAAACAAGTTCTGTTGTTTTAAACTTAAAGTTTATATATAAGTTCTATGAAATATTATGCATGATGTATAATTGTGTAATTACACACATTTTTTGAAATCAATACAAAATAATTGTGTCCATTTCATGAAACAGATAATAATGTAATATGGATACAACATATAAAAATTATTTTTTATAAACTACATTTTTATTAGAACAATATAATAAAAAAAAAAAAATTAAAATAATTTCTTTTATTTTTACAGTTGGTGAAGGTAGTGACCATAAAAAATTAGAATCTATGCTTCGAAATTTGGGTTCAGCACTTACAAGTGTCAAGCATGAACAAGAATACATGAACGTGCGCGACAGAAATCACAGAGCTATTAATGAATCAACAAATAGACGTGTTGTGATGTGGTCATTCTTTGAAGCCGTTGTTTTACTTACAATGACTATAGGGCAGGTATATTATCTAAAAAGATTTTTTGAAGTCAGAAGAGTTGTATAATATTTAGTATATAATAATATATAATAATTTTTTTATTTATCTTGTCTGTATATTTCTTATTAAAAATTGTTTTTTTTGTTTTGTGTAAACTAACTAAATTAAATTAAATGCACATGTATTTTAAGACCATTTTGAATTCAGTTTTTTTTATTGCTTACCTTGAACTAAAAATACATATATTAATTCAAATAATTGTATAATGTTATATTAGTAGATTTATATTTAATAATTTGGATAGAAAGCATCAGTAATTATTATTAAAATCACGAAGCATAAGAATAACACAAAGATACTTATTTGGGCTGCAATTAGAAGTCATTTTGTCAGTATAGGTAAGAAGTTTATTTTTGTTTTACTTATAAGGATTTTTAAATGGGTAATTAATAATTAATAATTATTATAGTGTGTATCATTGTTCAATGAGGAGGGCATCAAGAGGGCTTGAATAATGGTGTCCATTGTTCATAAAAAGTGTTAATTTTAAATAGTATTTCGAAATCTTTTTTTTAAATCTATTATTTTTATTTTAGGTAGTTTTGTTATGATTATTACTGTTATTCTGTTCTGTCAATTGTGTGACTGCACTCGAATTGCATGCCATCTTTTAGAGGAGTCCGTCTGAATTGCATGCTACTTACAGAGGTCTGTCCAAATTGTGTGCCGTGTATAATTAATAATAATAATAATAATAAAAATAAAGTGGCATTTTCCTTCTCACTTTTACAAACTTAGGACTGACAGTAGAACGCAGCTTAGCAATTTAGTAATGGAATTCAATGGGTCCGTAAATTTCTAGCCATCAATTTGAAAATTGTGCATTTAAATAATCACGAACTATGTGAGCATTGTGTGCTGGAGCACTGTCGTGTTGAAAAATAATATTTTCTCTTAGAGCTGAAGGAATATCATCAAGCATCATTGGTAATGCGTTTAATAAAAAATTATAATATCATCTACCATTGAATATTTCATCATTAAAAAATGGATCAAGCAATTTACTACCAATTAAACCACACCAAACGTTTATTCCCCAAACAGTTTAATTATTGATTTTAAATGTCCAATGTGGATTTTGAATGTCCCAGTAACGGTTATTTTGTTTATTAATAACACCATTATTTGTAAACTTAGATTCATCTGTCCATAATATTGAATTTAAAATTAATGGATTTTCGTCTAAACCGGTCATCAACCACGCAACAAATGTAAGTCTCCAAACTGCATCACCCTGACGTAAATGCTGAACTAAACCAGGTCGATATGGATGCATTTTATACTTTTTTTAAATCTTACAAACTATGGTATGAGATATTCCAAGCTCTTTACCAACGTACTGTGTAGAAACTCTGGGATTTGCTCTAACATAGACTAATAATTGTTCCTCAACCTCTTTATCTAAAGCAGTGTTTCCTAAAGTGGGCGATATCGCCCCCTTGGGGGCACTAGAGCTATCCACGGGGGCAATGGAAGTTACAAGCATTATTGGAGAGCATTGACTTACAAAAAGGGACGGTCACTGTATTTATTTTTTTCAACAAAAATTTGGTAACACACGCCAAAGGAGAATCGATATTTCACACACTCGAAGAGTTTTTTAAATAAAAAAAAAATTTCTATATGTAATATCTTATGAGTTGCGACCGATGGTGCTCCAGCCATGGTAGGGCGCTATTGAGGTTTTATCGCATTCTTAAAAAAAACATTGTGTTATTCATAGACAATATTTAGTTGATAAAAATTTAAGGGAGCGCTTACATAAGTCATTAAATTATGTAATTAGAACTATCAATAAAATCAAAAATAATTCATTGAATGATAGATTGTTTGGAAAACTTTGTACTGAAAACGATGAAGAATTTAATCAATTGCTATTTCACACTGAAATTCGTTGGTTGTCAAAGGATGTCTGTTTGGATAGGTTCTATAAGTTGTTTGACACGGTGCTTGAGTTTTTAAAAACAGAGATGATATTTTACGTGATAACTTAATTAATTATAGAAGTGACATTGCTTATTTGACTGACTTGTTTAAAAAATTTAATGAAACAAATTTGCAACTTCAAGGGGATGATTTGAATTTAATCAAAACAAAAAATATTATTTCTGCATTTGTAACAAAACTTCTTATGTACAAAAGAAATATAGGACGAAAAGAATTTATACAATTTCCAAATCTATCAATAGAACAAAAAAATGATGAAGATTTAATTACTTATTGTCAACACTTGGAAGCATTACATTCAGATTTCAAAACACGATTTGAAGATATTCTTAAAATGCACTTACCCGAATGGGTTTTAGATCGATTTTCAAATACTGAAACGATAAATTCTTCAATATTAGAAGATGAATTGGTGGAAGCAACTACAAATGAAGAATTCAAATTCAAGTTCAAGAAAGAATACCAAGCGTTCTGGCTGCAAAAGCAGATACCTATACTTTATCCTGGATTGTGGGCTGTTGTACAAACATTTTTGATTGCATTTCCATCATCTTATTTGGTTGAATGTGGGTTTTGTGCAGTAACAAATCTACTCACAAAAAAAAGACAGCAGTTACTATAACTAATCGTGAGGACTTACGAATGCTTCTTACAAAAATCGAACCGAATATTAACCAACTTCTAGCAAAACACCAGATACATCTATCTCATTAGGATCTTTTTTTTATTTGTACGTATACCTATACTATATAATAATAAAACATAATACTTATTTGTAAACAATTCATTAATTTTTCATTGTATATAATGTATACTTTTGTACCTATATACTTTTTTTTTAAGGGGGCGTCTGTCAGATTTTTTTTTTGAAATGGGGAGTAAAGATAAAAAGTGTGGAAACCTCTGATCTAAAGAATTAGCTCGTCTTCGTTATTGATTGTTAACCCTTTTAGAAAATGACTCATAGGTTCTAATATTTCTTTCTAAGTTATAAATAAAACTATCTGCTGGATATTTTCTATCTTAAATAATTAATAAAAAAAAAAGAAAATAACTGAGAAAATTATCTAAATAAAAATTAAAGAAAATTACTAAATAATACCTGGGTAACGTTGAGCATAAATTTGTGCTGCATGACGTGCATTTTTTTGACACTCCCAATAAATAAATAACATATCGACTTTTAGCAAATGATTCATATTGGTCATGGAGTAATGTACGTGTTTGAACGATGAAAAATATTGAAATGTTCAGTCACTTCATTTATTTCATCGTATTTAATTTTGTATCAAATTATCATACAAATGTTTACTCTAAGGTAGATATTATACTTAATATTTAATTTTATAATTTTATAATTTATATTTTATTATTATTTTATAAATTTTATAATATTTTATAAAATACGATAAGTATTAGATAACGTTTATTTTCCAATTTAAAATAGCATTAGACAACATAGACAACAATATGAACAATTCATATGTTAAATTAATTAATAACTAAATAAACTTATAACTTAAATAAGAATTTAATTTTTTATTAATTATTAATACATCCTAATAGATCCATTAAATGTAATGAAATAAAAAACATACGTTTTTTCTGCTATAAATTATAACTCGTACACAAATTACAGTGAAAATTATACAGCAATTAAAATTATAATTATGTGCGATTATCAACTTAATAATTAGGGATGAAAATGTCAAACCTAAACAATCCTAGAATAATTATTTTTAGAGTTACAGTTGCATGTATTTTGCAGGTTTTTGGTTGAATTGCTATAATTTGGTCAATTTTGGACTTAGAAAAAGATGGTTTAACTACTTAAATTCATTAAACAATTAGGCAAAAAATAATTGGTGATTAAAATAGGGGGTTACCATTTAAGAAAAAAAAGTTGCACTGTGCATGCGCATGTCTAATTAAGTTAAAAAATTCAAAGGACATAAAAATACACATTTTTATGTCATAACAACTGACCAAAAAACAGAATTCAAATTGCAGGACTTTACACAAATTTATTGAGTGTTCTCAGTTAGTGTTTACACACTGTATAAATATTCAAAATAGATAAAAATGGATAATAATACATCTTAAATTATTTGTACATTTATTTTTTAAAATCCTAGAAGGGTTGGTTTTTGGTTTAACTCCTCCTTGAAATTCAAATGGAAACCTAAACTTTTTTTGAAAATATAATATGAAGTTTTTTTCAAATAAATTTTATGATTTTGAATTTATTCAAAACTATGCCTGAGAGTGATTTAAAGTTTTTAAAAATTACATTTTGACCGTATACCAATAAATAGCTAACGATTTCATTTATTTTCCAATGTGCAGTATTTTTTTCACGAACCAATTATGGCTATATTAATATTAACTTTAAACTGCTCTCAATCATAGAGTATTGAATAAATAATTTTTATTCAATCACTAAAATGTATTAAAAAATATCTTTAATTTATGCTTACAAAACAAATATAGGTTCTATTTGAACTTCAATAGTTAATCCCCAAAACCAACCAAAAAGGTAAAAAAAAAATGTATAAATTATTTTAGATGATTATAAATCAAGAAACTTTCATATTTTATATAATAAAATGGCTGTAATATGCATTTTTGAAACCCATTAAATATAGATATTAAAGATATCTAAAAAAAAAATGTTAAGTGAAAATATTAAAAACAATTGTTTTCAATATAAATTATTATTAATACAACTTTATTTTAATTCTTATTTTTGCTTGTATAAAACTAATTTATGTAATATAATATTACACTTTCCAACAATTAAGTTCAATATGAAAATAATATGTTTTTGAGTAAAGGCTTCTTAAATTTATATAATTCATTTTTTTATAGTACACACACTGGATAACTGATATTGTTTTCATGAATATTTAATGGTGAAGAAGTTTAAAAACACCTATACTGAAGAGCATATGCGCATTTACCTCTTTTTCAGGATATGAGAAGACTGCCATTAGTGCCTCTGAATGTTATTTTAAGCTTGTAAAACTGATAAAATATACACAAATATTGAAATGTCTTACAAACTGTTTAATTTAAAACGTAATTTTTTCTTAAAATTCAAATTAAATTACAACATACATATTTTTCAAATATTTAATTTAATTCATAATATGGTTTTTGAGGTCATCGAGGACGTAGCCCTCTATTCTCCACCCTTAATCTGGGCCTAGTGTTCAGGATATGTATTCATATACCCTGCATACCCCCTGCGCACGCCTATACCATCAAAAGATTGTAAGTTAGTGAATGTATTGTAGCATAGTTATCTTTAATTAATTATTTAAGAAAAAAATGTATAATACTAATTATTTTTTATTTGTTGAACATTCATTTACCTGGGTAATTTTATTTATTTTATGAATATTATCTATATCTACTTAATATTCTACATAATATGTTGGATATTGTTTGTCTCAGATAACAAAAAATGCATACTACAGTAAAGTATTACTTTACAACATTTTCATTAACTTAACTTTAATTTATAATTTAGTTATAGTTTTATTTATTTATCTAGTTAAATGAATTCATGAGCTTTAACAGAAACACAAAATTACTCATAAATAAATGTATAATGAAGAAATTATTTTAATACTGGATTTTTAAATATGTAAACTGTTTGTAATTTTTAAAGATAAAAAAAACCAAAGATAGAAATGCATTAAAATACAATTATCTTTGAACTGCAGGATTTATGTTTTGTGGATGATTGAAAACAGAATATATTTATTTTTTTTGACTTAATTGCATTTCAAATTAATTTTGAATAAATGAAAACAATAACTGAAAAATAGGTAATATAAAAAAAAAAAAGTTTACCTTACACTTTATTCAAATTTATCTGAAAAATTAATATAAATTGAATAATATTTTAGTAATAGTTAAATTCTTATTTAATTTAATATCAAAATATCCAGGTACATGATGTTTATAACCCACTTTAGTATTTATATTTAAAATTGTTTAAAACTACAAAACAAAAACCGTTTTACTGTATAATATTTTATAATACAATAATAAATTAATAGTTAATATAGTATAGACAAATATCACAAGATAATTTTAAAATAGGTATAATATAGAATAAAATTATACTCTTAGGCAAATAAAAATACATTTTTTTTATATTGAAAAATATTAAAATAAATATTATTAATTTTAAACCGAAAATATTAATTTATAGTACAAAGGTACATTGTACATTGATAATTGTAGTACCTACCTCTATTAAAAGTTAGTTAAAATATTAAAAACAATTGCATTCTATAAAAATTTCCAAGTGAGTATGTACTTTTCACAATTTACTTTTTAAAATCAATTTTAAAGAGTCATGTAAAAGTAAACATAATTTAAGATCGTTAATTTTATATTTTTTAAATAGTAATATTAAAAAATAAATATATTTAATGTAGGTACTAGCTAAGTAGAAAGTAATAACTATACCTAGAGGAAACAATGTAAAAGCAATTCCCCCTCTAGAAGCAGTTAAATAAACAAAATAACTGATCTGGGGACAGGTGAGACCACTGTTGTAGGTGAGTATTGAAGAAAGTGGGGTACATAGTTATTTAATTTATACCTGTAACCAACAATAAACGAAAAACAATTCGAAGTGAAGTTCGGTTATACATATTTTGAAAGGCCGTGATACTACATCAAACTAATTTTTTTTTCTACTTAATACGACATATATTGAACCTATTAAATTTTCAAGAATTTCTGTTAAGTCACAATTTATCTACATAGTAACTACCAAATTAATAATACATAAAAAAACTTGCAAAATTAAAATATCTATAAATAACTCAAAAATAAATGAAATACCTCGTATATAAAAACTAAGTATACATTTTTTGTACCAATTTTAAGTCTACGAATATTTAAACCTGAATTACAAAAAAAAAAAAAACAAAAACAATATTGAAAATAATAAAACTGCTTTCTTAGATACCAATTAGATTAAAAATGTAACATAAAAGTCTTATAGTTTATTTATTGGAGTAATATTTATAGTAGAAAACATAAACTATATAACTTTAAAATAATGAAATCATTGTGCCATAATTTAAAAAAATTGTACATTTTGTCCTTTTTGGTTTTTCCTAATTACTATGAAAAATCCATTAGATATCAAAAAATAAGATATTATGTCAGTGGCTATATGTTAGGAATAAATTTGATCTGTCATTTTTCGATTGGAGTAATATTTTTGGTAGAAAACTTAAGTATAACACAGTGAAAATGGTAACATCGCAGCACGCCATAAATATATGCGTTTTACCTGTAGTATTCTTTCGGTTTTTCCCAATTATTTCGAAAACTTCTTGAAAAATAAAAAAATAACCTGTTTTCAATGCATCAACTAGAGAAAATTAACTTTCCAAAAAGGCCTGTACCAGGAGTGGCTACAACGAGGCTCATGATCCGCATGCGGGTTTTGAACCAAACTTAAACTAAAATTTATACATATATATATATAATTTCGTTAGAATCGTTAGTGTTTTTATTGCCGTGGGTTTCGTTATCATTACAGTTGTTATTATAAATTGGCACAACAGCCAATTAAATTCATTAAATCTAAATATCGATCTGAACTAACTGATGAACATTTAAGTGGACTTGTATGAACTGTGCTTACAAATTATCAACCACATTTCAAAACTTACAGAAAAAATGAATACTCGAAAAAGCACTTCTCATAAGTAAAACAACAATAATATTAATAATAATAATGTTTTGTGTAGTGTAAAAATAAATATTCCTTCATTTGATTGAAAATGAAAAATGTGTCTTCATTTTATAAACATCGCTTTATAATGTGGCTCGCCTCGATTTAGTTTTATAAATTTGCAGCTCCCAAATTAAGGTTAGTGGTCACCCTTGGTGTATACTTTCGGGCAATTTTTCTGGTAAAATAAAAATATAAAAACGCACATCATAATAAAACCAATAGATCACTCGCTACACTCTGAATCTAAAAAAGTAACAACTATATACATAATTACATTAAGTGGATATTAAAGAAAAGTTTTTTAGTTTTCAACTAATGCTGTTAGGATTCCATAACCAAATATTATTTATAGATATTAAAAATGGCTTTTACTATATAACACAATTATATAGAACAAGGACTGTAATACAATTTGTATAAATGTGGTTAGACCAAGAAAATAAATTAAATAATTTAATGTATTATATAAAAAATGCATAAAATTAGTTTTCATAATTATATCTTATTTTTGTTTATAATATCATATTTTAAAAATAACACAAGCTAAACCTTAATATTTTTTTTTTTTTTAGTATATGATACATTATAGTTTATTATAAAATTAACAGCTAATTTTATGTAGTTGGAATGAATTATTTTTTAAAAATATTTTAATGTGCCACTGGTCACCACATTGACATTGAAACATAAGTTACAAGCTGCAATATCTAGACCAGACTACTCTAATCAAATAATAATACATAATTAATAGAAATAAATATAATATAATAATACAAAATGTACTTAAAGATCATAATTGTACGTCATGGAGTAAAATAATATTACTATTTTATTTATTTTCAATTAAAGTCTGTAGTTGTAACACCAAATTTCTTGCCAATGATAAAACTGTTTTAGCGTCATGATGTTCTGCCATTTCTGATGTATGCAAAAAAAAATATTTATAATTCCTATTTATATTAATGAATAAATAAATATATATTATTATAGAAGAATCATAAGCGCTAAATAATAATTTTGAAATAGAACTTAATTAAAATTTGATGATTTTAAGTTTACCATTAAAGAACTTGATTATATCTGTAAAATCCATATGGTTGGCCAAAATAATATCTCTGTATGTTTCCACAAGAGCAAGTGCAATGAACAATACAAAATGAGAAGAAGACATTTCTTTGGCAGCCCATATTGTTTCCCATACCGTAAATACATCATCATATAATAATTCTAAAAAAATATAAACATTTGTTTTTAAAAGTTTATTATATTTGTAAAACTACACATGGAAAAAACCTATAAATAGAACTTTTTTTTATTTATAAGTATAAAGTCCTTCTGTAGATTATACACATATTTATAAAAAAAAAAAATACTAAAAAACAACTGAAACAAAACTAATATATTTTAAATAGAGAACCCCTACATAATTGTATGGTCAAATTAAAAATAATTTCCTTAAATTCTGTCCCAAGGTGAAAAAGTGAGACAAGAGCTTAACACCAGAAACCATTGATTTACATATTATTATATTCAAAATTATACCTAATAAAACAGAAACATTTTGGTAATAATAGTATTTTATTTAATCATGATATAAAAATATAATAATAATATCTCTCATTGCTCATTTGTTCAGATTATATTTATTACAACTAAATATTTTATATTAGAATCATTAACAATCATTATTTCAATATGTATGTTAAGTTACCTCGTTTGAAATCCAATAGAAACCATCGATAACAAAAATAAAAATGAGTGAAGTCTCCATTTTCATGCATAAGTTCAAACATTTCTGAATCTAATATTTGTACCAAGGATCTATAAATTATATTTATTCAAGTTTATAACAAAACAGAAAAAAGTATAATTTAATATCACCTCATGTTAGCAAAATGAGTGTCCATAGCACCACCACTATGAGGAAAATTTACAGACATTCTTTCCATCAATAAACAAAAACACGAATAGGATAATGTTTCGTCATCCAGAATAACTAAAAGTGGAGCAACAAGGTCACACATTCCTTGCATGTATCCCATTTCTAAATGATCCCAGACATAACTAAACATAAAATAGTTAAGCCAATTTTTGTTATTCATAAAACAAGTTATTCATTAAAAATTAAAATACTCACGTGCATATAATATTCCTTAGTTTGTCAAGATTTTCAAGAGTAAAATATGGATAATTTCTATCACATCGTTGAACATCTTTATCAATTCTATGTACATTTAGTCCAAAATTTTCTACCAATTCTACCTACATAGATATATGTTATATTTCAATAATCAATATAGATAAGTAGAAATTAATATTTTTTAAATGTTTACTGGATAAATTCCTCCTTGTGAACTCGCTGGAGATATACAAGCAGATCTTTGTTCGTGGTTAGTCCCTCCCATCCCTTCATTGTCATCCACTGCTAGTTTAGAAGATTTATTATCTTCGTTTTCTAAAAAGTATGAATATAGAAATAATAATTTTTTACATAGGGAACATGCCTACATATTATATCTAATCATAGAAAATCGATTGGATACATATCAAAAATAATATATTGTACAATTACGAGGTATTGTTGATGAAATAAACGAAAAATAATAGATTTATATAAATTTAAAATACCAATATTAGGTAAACAAATTCAACTATCACCTCTTATTAATATTTTGAAGACTAAACTAATAATTTTAACAAATATTAAAATAGATTTGATAAATTTATATCATAAAATTGAAAAATATTTTATTTTAATTGATTTAGAGTTTATATTATACTGACTTAACATAACATAAACTCTATAGTATATTAAGCTTTAGATATATAGTAATATATATATATATATATATATAATATAATAATAACAGTGGAAACTATTATTAGGTTAGGTTAGGTACATTGTACTGGTCTAAAAAAATTAAATGAGTATCTAACAACCGGACCTTTGTACAGCTCTTTTTTTTTTTAATACTTACCTATTTTAAAATTGTTGTCGTCTTTATCACTACAATTGTCCATTGTTTTTTCTAGACTTATATTAGCAGTAACAATAACCGAAGTAGGACAAATTCGTGATATATCTAAGGGAGTGAAAGAATGTTAATAGTTAATTTTAAAATGTAAAAGGTACTTTTAAAAACATGGGGTTTTATATGAAATTAACATTAAATATTCACAAAAATAAAAAATAATAATAAACTTCTATGATTTATTTTATATTTACTATTATTGTGTATGAGGTTGATTAAAAGTTTATATTATAAACAATAAATAATAAATTCAAATTTTTACAGTATATAAAAAATAGCTAAAACATTTCATAATAAATAAGGGTACATTAGTAATTAGGTAACCTTTATAGTGATTTAATATGATTATGCTTTTCTTATCTATTATATATGTAACGGAAAAATTGAGTTATATTTTACTTCTAACTTCAACCATTTTAAGGATTAAACAGATTTAAATTTTTGTAAATCAATCTATTTTGTAGTTTAACCAGTTTTCTTTTATTTCATCATTTTACTTTAAGTTCACCAAAATAAAACTATAATTTTTAGATTTTTATTATGATAAGTCTTTTTCAGAATTTATATCATACCACTAAAAATATTTTTACCTACAGTGGAGATAGAATACCTAATCTAAATGTTTATGTTGCCTATTGTACAGGGTCCAACGTAATGAAATTAACTCCCACATTTTAAATAATTACTGTAACGTCACCAGACCACCAGATGATAGTGGGAATTGGTTGGTCATATCGGTCAGGTTTTTAATTGTTGTCATGCTATCCTCGCAGGTCAGGTGAACATCAGAGCTTGACAGCTTGTAATCGAAATTTTTTTAAACACAGTGAATCTATGATTGTAACGCAGAAAGCTTTTCACAAGCGCTAAATATTTGGACGATTTACTTTATAAAACCTAATCAAAAAAAAAAAAAAAAAACTATTATACGTATTTAAAATAAATAAAAAAAATTGTTTATGTATATTATAGGTACTATTTTTTTAGAATTCACATCAGAAATTTGGGAGATCATAACATCGGACCCCATATTTATTTATATATAAACAATAATCAAATTTCCACTTACAACCAATTGAATAGTTAAGTACCTATATTTCAGTACCTATACAATATTTTTTTTATAAAGTAGTGCCAAATAAAATAGGTGAATTTTAATTATTAAACATGAAGAATACTTTTAGAAAAATAATAATTTTAGTATAAGTACGAGTTTTTTTAATTAGAATATTATGTATAACAAAATTCTTAAAATTGGTTGCGATATATAATTGGATAAAAATTATTATGATATATAATCAGCAAATTTTGTATATAAATAGGTAACAAAAAGTATAAAACATATCAGTTACCTTGTGATGAATTTTCAACTACTTTCTTAATGATGATTTCTTTTTCGGTAACTTCATCTTTACCTAATCCTTCATCTGACGATAAGGAATTCTAAAACAAAAAGTGCAATCTGTAAATAAAATATAATTTAAATAAATAAATTCAGTATCTATATTATAGTTTAAATTACCCATCTAAAAAAATAATTTATTAGTATAAACACCAATCAACTTTTACAAAAGAATAATTGAACATTTAAAAAATGATATGTTATAACAAAGACTGGATTTAATTGATATTGCAACTTTTTTTACAATAAAGATAAATTAGATCTGATAAAATATTTAGCCGATATATACTAAAAATCTTCTGTCTATTAAATTTTATAATTCATTTTTTTTTTCAATTTTTGACATTTTATACAATTTTCCACATGTTTTTAAATCATAAGCGTTTATTGTTTGTCCGGAATTTTTTAGAAGCTTGGAGAGCCCAGCGAGCGATAAGTGTCTATATATATATATGGTGGCATCATCGAAAATAAATAAATACAGAAAATAAATTCTGGGTATACCTTTACCAGCTGAACCTATTATTACAAGATGGGGAACATGGTTAAATGCTGCACTTTTCTATGCAAATAATTTAAAAAAATTTAAAAACATAATTGAAAATTAACTAGATGATGCTACAAGTGTCGAAAAGCTGAAATAGCTTGTACAAAATAATATAGTCAAATGTGGTTAAGCAAATTACACTTATCCGAGTTATTCATGAATCTTACAAATTTGGAAGAATCTAATAGTGAATTACTGAAAAGCATGGATATATTTTAGAAAAATTGAAGATATTTTAACAAATATTCCTGGTCTAAATGAGAAAAATATTAAAGACAAATGTATGTATGTAATTGAAAAAGATGAAGGGTATAAAACTTTAAAGTCTTACTATGAAGTTATGTCAGGTAAAGCAAATGTTAATTTAGATATAACGCCTACTTTATTAAATTATTTTAAATATGCACCAATAACTAGTGTGGACGTATAACATAGTTCTTATTTGTACAAACATATTTTAAGTAATAGAAGATTTAATTTTAATGAAAATAATTTAAAAATGTATCTAATTATCAATTTTAATTAAAAAAAGTAACATTTATCTAATTTTTTTTATATAACTTTTCCATTTTTATAGTGCAATTTATTATGCATTTTTTATGTATTTTTTGGTGCAATTATTTAATTTTAATATGCAATTTTTGTGTTTTAAATGCAATTAAATCTGGTCTTTAGTTATAACAATGTAACAAAGCTATTTAACAAGATGCATAATATAATTTAATTTAATTTAAAGCCAAATATCAAAACTATTATCATTAAAGGATTGCATAGATTTGATTAAGGGATCATTCATTAAACATTTGAACAATAATTCAGAATATAAAATGTCTCATGGGATTTGGTATGGATCTGAGGAACCCATAGGTCAATACATTCTTCAAGAAATTGGGATGAATCTATTATCTCTGAATAAGATTCAATAAAAAGTTAAGATCAGGTCTAACATATCATTTCTTATGTGAAATAAGATTTAAAGTACCCATGACCAGATATAGCAATAATGAGTCAATGTTGGTCAATTTTAAATTAGAGACCTGCATAGCTAAGGAATTGTTTATGGATCTATTCAACTGAATTTATTTGGACTGCAAGTAAAATATTCTTGAACTGTTGAATCATGAATCAAGAATAGATCTAATTGAATTAGAATAAAAAATTACTAAACATGTTGCCAAATTAAAACTTTTAGTAACATTTAGAACCTAAACAAGAACTTTTATGGCCTTTCAAAAGATATATGCAATATGAGATCAGAAGGATAGAAATGGAGTATATATAAATCCTACGTCTGATCCATTCATATTTCTTGTACAATAAAATATTTTATATTAAAAGTAAAAGTAAAAATAGTCCTACAATAACTTACTTTATCACAATCAACTCCTTTGGGTGAAAGTTCAACATTTTCTTCTATGTTTTGTTGATCGTTGGCTAAAATTAGTAAATTACGTACTTCTTATTTATTTGGATAAAAATTAATTTAAAATCATTACATACTATTGCCACATAAATTAACATTGTTTTCTAATTGAGTATCATCAACAACTGGAGGGTTATCTTCATCGGATGAAAAATTAACGTTATCTTCAAATACCTAAATTTCATAATTTTAAAATAAAGTTATAAACTAATAAACTCATTATTTTCATTAACACAATTGGCTTACATCATTACTGAGTTCTTGGCTAAGAACTTTAGAATTAATAGGGGTAGGTGGCGGTGCATCTCCACCAGATGTACTTTCACTGGAAAGTTTTGCTAAATTAGCCGCCATTGTTTCACGATCTTTTTGTCTTATTATTGCTTCAACAGCCATCCATTCAGACATTGTTGTTTCATATTCTTGTTTGCAACGTGAATCAACAGCATTTCTTTCTTCTATTGTACTACCAAATTTATAATGACCTAATAAAAATGGCCAAACCTAAAAACATTGAATTATATAATATAATAGTTAACCTAATTAATTTAGTACAAACGTATAAATGTTACTTACTTCTTTTCGTATTTCATGTTGAACACCGCCAAAATAAGTGAGTCTAAAAATGTCAAATTTCGAGTCATCGCTGACACAGTCAGAACCATTTTTCAATAAATACCATTTTTCTTTAGTTAATCCTACTTCTGCATCACTGGAATCTACTATTGAAGTATTTACAAGACCAGATAAATGAGTTCGAACAGTTGTTAAATGACGACAATATGCAAGCCATCCATAAAATGCTCTTGATATAATTTGCTTTTTCATTGTTTCACATAGAATTTGTAAAGAATCACTGGAAAAATGTATAATTGTATATGTATATAAAAATAAAAATAAATATCTATCTAATAAAATACAATTTTGAGCAAAGTTCGATTAACTATGTTTTGATATGTTGTAATTTTCATTTAAATTGAACTTAAAAAAGGTTATGAAAAATGTGATACATAAAGCTCAAATTTATAGTACATACATTTCTACTGTCTTAAAACAATTGTATTCCCATAAAACTAAATAAAACTAAAATCCTGCGAAAATGACAAATACCTATATAAAGCTCAAAAATGGCAAACAGTTCTTGAAAAGTAGACTCCATCTAGAATAGGACAAGTAGGTATTCAGTGGAAATTATAAAATTCTGAATATTTTCAAACAAAATACATGAACAAAAAAGGCAAAATCAAAAATAATAAAAAATTATTTCCTTCAACTTTCCTGGTTTTTCTACATAATTTCTAATTGAGAAAAATAAAATAAAAATCAAAGAACTACCCTAAATGCACTAACACAAACATTTTTTTCAGAAAACATGCTACACTAAAATTTCAAGCAACATTTCTAGACCTCCTAATAAGATTTACAATTTTAGAAAAGTTATTCGCTGACAATAAATGAAAAAATAAATCTCACACATCATGGTAAAACCAATATTCAATTCCTGAGAGCTTTGAATTTAAAAATGTCTGATACTGCTGATAAGTGTCAAACTATTTAAGAAAGAAAGTTGGGAAAGAGGAAAAAAAATTATACAAAGTGGAATGTCTGTTTATCAGAGTGCTTATAGTGACCATAGTATACTTATCAGACATAGTTATGTTATTGGTTGTAATAAAATTAATGGGGTTTAACATAATAGTAATAATTTAATATTATACAGTATATAAAATATGGTAACAAAATACCTATACAATGTATAAAATAAAAAGGATTTAATTTATATAAGAAGTAATGAAAAACAACCATTGCTAACGAAAAACAAGCAGAGTATTAAATATTAATCTTTATTTTTATCCGGGTTAAGCTAACACATAAATCTACAAAAATGTAGTTTTTCTAATTTATTAAGAAACCTATTAAGAAAATCGAAAAATGACGTCATCAATGCACTAAATAAATCATAAATGCTAAAAGAAAGTTTTTAATTTGAGCTAGATTTCTGGTAAAAAAGTTGTTTACACACAAAAAAAAACATAGTAAAACTAAAGATATATTCCTATCTTTGCTCAGAATTTGAAAAATTGTTTATTACTATTATTTATTTTTCAACAATATAATTATTACCCTGTATCTTTATTAATATGTTGATTAGCAATTAATAGTGGAGAGGCTACAGGATCTATACTGCTAGATGTAGATGATGATGAATTAGTTGACGATGATTCCAAGTGACCTCTTACTCTGTTAAGCATATTATTTGCAGCCAAAGGCACAGACCAAATTTTTGCATCCAAAATTTCTTCTCCTCTAGATACTAATAAAAACAATTATTTATCTATTATACCATACATATTATATATTGAAGAGTGGTATAACAAGCGTTTGACAATTATATAATGAAGTAAATACATTTATAATTACTAAATTAAGAAAACATATCTCTATAGATTGCAGTACCTATACACATTTAATCCCATGGTATAAATTAAAACTTACTAAATTCTTCATGTCTAGCTTTACTAATTATTTGAAATACATAATCTCGAGATTCTTCTGTATTACTAGATAAATCATTTGAAATATCTTGTATTTGAGGTCGTCCTTTTCTTCGTAATTTAGGAAACACTTTTCCTAAACAGAAATATTTTACAAGTATGTTATAAAACCAGGTTTTCATCCTAACTTATCTTGATTAATTTAATTTAAAATAATTTTTAATAGTTCCAGTTTGTATTAACCATATCAAGTGCAAAAATCAAAATGAAATCTTTCTTTAACTTTTAACTTACATACAAATTACAGACCCTCTAGAAGAGTCCAGCCTAGGATCTATAGTAATTGTATACATCGATCATAAGAAAGAAAAAATACTAAATAAAAACTACCTTTTCCCCTCTGTGGCCAAAGTGGAGGATCCAATTGACCATGTGGTAATAAACCGTTTTCTAAACAAGTAAGAAATGCTAGCAAATGGCCACCTTGAGGGAAATGTATTGGTGGTTGCTGTACACCATCCTGTGCAACTAAAACTATAGTTCCACCATTGTCATTTCCTATAAATATAATACACTTTTAATCATTTTTTATTCAAAAACATTTAATTGATATCTCATAGATTCATTTTATAAGACAAAAAAATAGTAAAATTTATCAAATTAGTACTTGTATGATTTAGATTAAATTATTATTATGAGTTCATGAAAACCTAACTAATAAGCATTTCGATCAATCATGAAAAATAATGCTTAAAATACCTAATTAAAACTCATCAAATATTTGAAGTTCATCATAAAGTACAGACTATGCTTATGGACCGAAATGAAATTGTGTATAAGGTTACGTAATGCATATAACTGCCTCTAGTTGTACACAATTTTATTTAATTAAAAGGTAAAAAAATTAATTTATAATCTGTTATTGTAAATGGAATGACAAAACCCAAGTTAAAAAATTAATTTTAGGATTAATACTATTACACAGTATAAAATAGATTAGTAACCTACATACTTTTACATTAAAAATAGATAACATTATTATCCTAAATCACAAATATAGTATATTTTACTTTTGTTATTAAAACAAATACCTTGTTGATGGCAATGGACATACACTATTTCATCTACATTAACATTCATTGCATAATCCCAATACTGGCTGTAACATGGAAATATACAATATTGTTAATAACTACAGCATTATAAATAAAGTTTAGTACAGTTAATGTTCATTTGTTTCATAGTTTTGATTATTCAGTTTACAAAATATCAAAATATAATAATCTATTTTTTTTTAAATGGAAATTTGTTTTAAAAAAAATATACCATTGAATGTATTATAATGAACTACATTATTTAAGCTTAATAACAATACTAATTATTAAACAAAAAATTAAAAATATAAATATAATGAAATCATAGCTTACACAATTTTAAATTAGTATACGAATATAGTTTTGACAAATGTGTTAAAATGGTTTGAGGGTTATATATATTTAAACATATTAACCACAAGATGAAAACCCGAAATAGTTTAAACAAAGAACTCATTGAAAATTAAAATAATTTATTCATATTTCATCATTCAATTTTCTATCAAATAATTTTAATAATTATTTTATTAACATAAATGTATAGTTAATTTGTTATTAGTACTTGCTTTTTTTTATAACAATCAATACTAAAATAGTATATTTATATCATTATTAATTATTAGGTAGGTTATCTACACAAAATCATATATACTATTTTGTGTTATTAAATATTTAATAATTGTATTTTACATTAATTTATAACATTTTTTTATATATTATTTACATTGCAGTAATATGAACATCCTAGAAAAACACTAGTTTTAACTGATTTTGGTTTTTATTGCAATATTTATACAAAAAACTTCTACTAACACTACACTAACCTTTTATTGCTTATATCAATTTCAGGATTATCATTTTGATTAGCTCCAGGAGAATTACAGTTCATTAGTTGATTTGGAGTCCATTTTATAATTAATGAACTAGCAGTTTGATGTAATGACAAGTAACCAGCCATGGGTTCAATAACATCCTTCTGAAAACGTAGAAAAGTTCAAAAAATGCAAATTAATTGTACAACTACTAATAAATAGAAACATTAGTATTAATAATATATTATAAATACCGGTATAACTAAAACATTGTTTTTTCCATATAATAAAGTAACTCTATTATTTTGATGCAATGATTCCACATAGTCTTTAGCGGATATAGGAGTTTGTCTTTGGTTATCATCATTATTTGTAGTATTCAAATTTCTACGATACTGAAATAGGGTAATTTAATTATGTAATTATTTATATGAATAAATTTATAAAAAATTGGGCATAAACTACAATTTTTTATTTTAATACTTTATTGGGGAATATATTATTTTAAATATATATATATATACATATATAAAACCAGTTATCAGCCGCTTATTGGACTCACGGTTAATTGATTCATTAGCCTATTAGACTCAAAACAGGTGGTTACGATTTGCACACATAATAAAGCACATCAAAAAATTAGTCTATTCGACTCACACACCGGTTAATAGGGTCATTGGAAAATTAGATAAATAAATAAAATATGTACATATTTTGAACAAATGTGCTATAAATACGATGTAAGTCGGTACTAGTATTTTGTTTTTACCGAAGAGATAAAATAAATTACCTTTTCACGATAAACCAAGCAGTCGTCAATGTCAATAGATAGGTATTGTATTGTACGATAGGTAGTGTATGAATAGACGACGTCGTTGTGTTTATTATGTTGTCTGTATTTACATTCTCTGTACAAATTTTTATTTTTCATGTGTATTTTTCGTTCGTATACAATGAAAAAACGATATGATTTGAGTGTGGAAAAAAAATTAGATGTTCTTAAAAGGCATGACGAGCTTCCGTCAAAACGGCCAAAAAAGAATGTGGCTGGTGATAGTGACGAAGAGGAACCTGATGAGAAACCACCATCAACTAAACAAATGCTAGAAGCTCTTCAAATTCTACATAGAGGGATTCAGCAAAGAGGTGATTTTGACGTATTCGAGCAACATAAATCCTACGGAGATATGATTATAAAGATGGCCGAAGAAGGAAAATTTCAATCAATCCTAGATGGATTTTTATCAAAAAATTAATTAGATTTTACATACCTACATATTACATATTTTATTTCATTTTTAATAGCGTAGTTAGATTATTATACTATTATACATACCTTGAATCTCAATACATATTTTTTAAGTAAATAAGTTTTTAATTTTAAGCATTTTTTAAATGTATTTTAGGTCATTCGCCTAATTGACTCATTCAGTTAATGGACTCAAATGGTCAGGTCTCAAAATGAGTCCAATAAGTGGTGACCACTGTATTAGAATAAAGCATACATTTATAGGAGTACGACAGGGTGGAGATGTATGATAACCACTTGATATACGGTGTCTCTGAACTAACTCATCAGCTGGTGGATCTGTCCAAAATTGATCATGAGATTTTGTACGTGAATAATCTAAAGCACAAGGACCAACTGAAAAAAAATAAAAATTGTTTATTTAAGTTTAAATAATCTAACACAAAAATAGACATTTAAAATTACCAAGAAGTGAACTTAAAATGCTTCCATAATCTGGATCTGCCACCAAAGAATCTTTTTCATAATATTTACTAAAAAAAAAATAATAATTAATTTTAGCACTTTTAATTTTTATCATTGAAGATGAATGGTATGTTTACAGTCAACTTGATGTATATTTGTTATTACCTGCAATTTTGAACTAAATGATCGATGATAACCGCTAAAAGTTTTTCAAATAATGCTAGACGAATCCATAAATACTTGGGAAGAGTAATAGATGTAGAGCCCAAACCACTACCTGCTGAATTTTTCTTGGTCAAAGGTGGCGGATGAACATTTGGTAGTGTTATACTATTAGACAGTGTACTGTTTACAGATGCTGCTCTGGTTGCACAGCTGTCACCACTACATTATTATACAAATAGATAAAAATTGTTACATACCTACGTACCTATATATTATAATAGGTAATATTTTATTTAGAAAATGAGTAAGCTTTATGAGTTAAAAGTATATTATTCTAACTCAAATGTACATTTTTATCAGTAATAAATGTATATTTGCATTAACTCCTAATAATATTAAATGTTAATTTATTTTTGACACAGTAAAATTATATTATACTAACTCAACAATTAATTGTTTGCAATAATTTAACTTAATAATATTATGATAAATTAAAAAAAATGAAGATAATTTTTTTATAAATAACCACGTACATAACAATGGTATGTAATAAATAACGTACCTACATACTATACAATACAATATTATAAGTAAAGATAAGAATACCTACAGGTGAAACCTATAATATACAAAATTATTTGGTTGAACTCTAAAAATTATTTGTTCAGACTTTTACAAACGAAATTTGGTAAATCTTAGGTAAACAATTTGGTAAACAATTATATTATTGAAAAATGTACCGTTCAACTAATAGGCAATATAGTAAAATCTACCTTACGTAGACTGTGTAGAACTCGCTTAATTTTGGTTTAAGAGTATAAGCCTATTATAAAATTAAAAGAGGACTATTAATCCGGAGTTTGAAACATTGTTTGTTCTTAAATTATTTTTTGAAATATTACAATAGGTAATTTAAAAACGATGAATTAGTCAAAATGTCTATACGATGAACTAACTTTTTATAACATTTTATTCGGAATAATAATAATAATTATAATAAAAAAAACATCGCCTTGCCTTCTTTAAATTTTACACTAAGTTATTTTACTCTAAAACCAAAATTAAGCGTATTCTACCGTTCTACGTGGTCTGCGTAAGTAGATTTTTGCTTTATTGCCGGTCTTGTATCTGAGATCAATGCGATCTCCCCCTTTCCCGTGGTACTAATTAATAATCAGTTAATGTTGATGGATTCACCCGAGATTCTTTCGGGTGTTTCCTAAGAACTTCTAATATTTTGGTCACCTACCCTAACGTCCCTTCATACGAACAAGAATTTTCCCATAATGTATATTGTTAATAAAGCAACACTATTAACTAAACTCCCCTCATAATCGTTTTCCGTTAGCAATGGTTAATATGCAAAATCGATGATCGATCAAAATATTCAAATTTAAAAACGTAGAAAAACGTTTTTATAAATAAATAAATATTTTGAAACGTCGAAAAGGCACTCGAAAAATATAAAATACAATTTAGGTTAAAATGTTAAATAATTCGATAATTGCGTAAGTTAGTAGATAACACTTTATTTTTTAGTAAAACTCATTCAATCTAGATAACTACGCTGTATTATTAATAGTAAAATAAATTACTTAAATAGCCATTATACCACAAAATATGCTTCACAAACATTAGTCGTTATAGTCAGATAATATAATATAATATAATAAAATATATATGAAAATGAAACAAAAATTTAATAACGTAAATAAGTAGACTAGGTACACCACCTAATTTCTAAAAATTTCTAAAAACGTTTTATCATTTTAAATTTGGATATTTTGTCCTTCAATATTTTAATTTTAATTTGGTTATTTTGTATATGGATATTTTGACTTAGTAGATTCATAAAATCATAAATTAGGATTTACTATAAGTAGTATAGGTGCACAATTTACATACATACATACATACATATTATGTTTATGTTGAATTAAGTTTATTATTATTCGTTGATATCAGAGATATTATTATATCACACTGAGATTTCTAAAATTTCCCAAAACGTACGCAAACACGTCATATTGTGCGATATAACAGCAGTGGTATAGCCCCTATCTTAGATTTTGTAATCAACCAAAAATGATAATAAAAATAATTTCAAATCATTTTTCGAGCTTTCAATATAACAGAGAGTTATGATATAATCCATAAGGTACACAAATCGTATATAAAATAGCATAGGCGCAAATAGAAGGGGGGCTTTAAGGGCTTAGCAGTCAATGATTGCTTTAAACTGTAGTCAGTGGCGTCATTTCATCTTTTGAGAGAAGGGGGGCAATAGTTTTGACCGGCCCATAATAAAACTGAAAAAAAAACAGATCGCTTCGCTCGCTCACTTAGGCTCGGCACCCAGCAATGCAGAGTGTGACTGCAGCGTATTACATTCGGTGCAATAACTAGTCATTGGTGGTATTTTTCGGCGCCACGTACGCAGTGTAACAAATAACAATAACTATTATTTAATAATGATAATTTTGGTAAACATTAGAGTTAATATTATAAAATGTAAAAGTAAAAAAATAAAAAAATATATTATCATAGATTTAGTTAGATTATATAATAATATACCTATATTATTTAATAAATATTAATACCTATCTAAGAATTGTAATTATCCCCTGATCTTTGGATCAAAGATACAAACAATATATCTACATTTTAAAAATACACGACGAATATGCACGATGGTTAGTTTAAACACAAATACGTGTTTTTGTTAACTTATTTCAATTTTGATAAAATTTAATAATAGACATAATAAATTAATTAATTAAATAGACCTATGTATTTCACTATGAGACTATGTCAGTTGGTCATGGATACATTAACTAAAGATATCTTATAGTAAATCATTTTTATATTCAAAAATTTGTTAATTGTATGATTTGTATGTTTAAAAATATTAAAAATGTACAGTTTTTGTTAAGAAATTTCAAATTATTATTAAGCTTACTTATCATTGCCAAATAGTAACCAAGTCAACGAACGCCTCCTGCATGTACAAATTTGTGTTGGACTTGGGACTAAAGAACTCCTTCTTCTAAGAGGAGAAACTACTACTGATCTGAAAAATATTGACCAATTTTATAAAAACTATATGGTCAAAATTAACTAAATTTTCATAGATCAGATTATTTTTCTCAGGAGGATAATCGTTAACAAATTAATTCCTCTTTATTTATGCTTTCATTTTGTAAATATTTTAATTTAAAATTATTATTTACTTAATGATAAAAATTATAATATAATTAAAATCATTTTAAGACAATCAATTATCAATTTTTTTTTTAAATACTTTATTAAATATAGATTCATTTTAATAGAGGCATATATAGGTTTGTTTTTTTGGGGATATATGCAATTTTTTAATACTAAATTAAGACTAAATAATATATATAGTATACTCTAAAATGCTTTTTGTAATTTTATTATAATATTATAACAATATATATCATAATAATTTAAGAGGGCGGAACTGTATTTAGTCGGGATGTATTTTAAAGACAAACAAGTTTTACCCGACGACGTATGATAAGCTATAACCACAAAGTACTGATGATCTTTTATTTCCAAACAAAATACTACTCCAGAATAATATTTTCTACAAAATATAATTCTGCAAACAAAAATCTGATTAAATATGTTTTCGACTTTTTATGCACCCTACAAAAACATTGTGATTATAGCTGTTTGTCAAAATAGCAGTAGTTAACTCAATAGCTGGTATGTCAACTATAGATTACCAGTGGCTACTGGTAACGTACATGTTAGTCGTTAGAAATCGGAAAATGGCGCTAAAATTCAGGTGACCGGACCAGGAGTTGAAACCGAATCTTTCGTTTCCCAAGTGTTTGCCTTATCACTGATTTAGTACGGTAAACTAGTCTTAGGAAGATAAGGTCTGGTCATCTCATGATCAAAGCCTGTTTAGAAATGCATAGGGTAACAAATCTCGTGATTTTAACTCACTCTAGTGGATGATGTATGAAACTATTATCTAAGGCCACATTTATTATAGGCTTAATACTATTAAGTCTGTAGCTGTTTTAGATTTTTTTTTTTTTTTAATTCTTGATCAAGAATCAGTGCTAGGAACCGAAATTATCACGATAATAGCAATGGATTGATCGGGTACAGGGCAACCTTCGAGCCCATAACAATTTATGATTGGCAGTAGCACAATGAAGGGAGGGGTAGAGGGATTAGAACAATCACCTTCTTAAAATTTTTTATTTTTCATTTATTATTCTAAGCACAACGCCAATCCTGAAAAAAATCCTACGTACACTACTGTTGACCAGGCCTTCACTACAAATAATAAATAAATGGATAGGACAGAGCCACGAGAAATATTGATGATAATCGATTAAAATAAATAAAACAAAAAATAAGAAATATAAATACTATGTAACAATAATTTATCGAATGAAAAAATGTATATTTCAGTGTAAATCAGTTATAATTTATTAATTATGAAGAAAATGAAAATTTTGAATTCAATGTATAATAATTCGAAGCTTACTTTTCATGGTTAAATATCATTCAGGTTAATGAACCTCTTCGATTTAACATGCATGGACAGAAACTTGGTGAGATTATTGAATCTCTTTTTAGAATTATCGGTCTGAAAAATACTGCCTTTTTATAAAAATGAATTATAACTTAAGTGTGAAGAATTTAAAAATGTATAACTTTCAATAAGAGCAGAAAAATGGTAGTTACGGCTATGATATTAATTATATTAAATTATAATAAAACTGAATTGAACTATATAAAAAGTTACCTTACCTATTTTTTAAACTCGACAATTTAAACTTGATTAAACTTGATTGAACTAGACCTTAAATAATTAATGTAAAATCTAAATTTAAAATCTATTTTAAATGAATATATGTATATTTATTAAAAATGTTATGACAAAAAAATTATAAATAATTATGTTTAAATCATTTGAAGTTGTGAATGTTTACAAATAATTTTTCAATTAACATCATTTAATACTATATTATTGTTTGTAAATGGCAACAGGTATCGAAGATTGAGTATAATTCCAATATATTCCAATAAGTGTACAAAATATTTTATATACTTTGGTAATAAGTTAATAGGTTAATTTTAATCATGTATCTTATTTTAAAATATTATATTATACATTTAAAACTCTTTTGACTTGGAATTCTTTTTTTACTTTTTTGAGTTTTTGACAGTGGCAACTCGTTACTGGAGTCTTTGAGATTGTGGTTCCTCAAAACTCAACAACTTATAAATAATAATCTACTAAAATTAATAATTTTAATACGAATAAAAATTATTCATAGATAATGATTATTTCACATTTACACTAGATAAATATCCAATATCACAACTAAATAGAGTAGCACTTTATGGATTATTGTGATATTGACTGGGATAGGTATGCCATAGGTACGTGAAAAATAAAAAAGTAGCATTTATAGTAGCAATTATTGTTTTTTTTTTTTGTCACAATAGCATATTCATAGTGTCATAAATATTTTTCACATTTTTTAACATCACTAGAACGTGTTATGGCTAGCGTTATACTCAATGGCGTAACTAGAATTTCTAATATCCGTGGCAAAATAATGTGTTAAGGTCCTAAAGGCCGAATCAATTAGCAGAAAAAAAAGGCGATTCAAAAAGCGGTGATACTCGATTGAGCAAGGTCGTTATCGGCTGACCTTTTTGACGACCCGATTGAGCACGATAAAAAAATAAATACTGTGTACAACATTTTCAGATTTTCACTAGTGCGTATGATGTGTAAATTACTAATAGGCAACTAACATATTAATTGAAAAAGATTTTGCTATCAATCGAAAAGTACCCACGGAAGTTGAAAATAACTAGGATAGGTAAGAAACCAGCATTTTATCTTCAACGTTTGTACTAAAATGTGATTAAATGTAATTGTATGTACTTACGCTGTAAATAAGACTTGGTCACAGTCAGTCTGTTCTGTTGTCTCGTGCTCTTGTTCCTTCACAAATAGTGTGTATTTTGTAAATTTTACGATTTTTATGATAGAAAATAATAAAATACAAATTATTTTATCCGAGAGGCAAAGAGTTGGCAAATGTTGGAGCTTTCAAGTACAAATTTATTGGGTTGAGAAAAAAAGGTGAATTGTTGAAATGGTGATGTACAAAAAATGTTTGTACAGCAACAATTTATTCTGAACAAGAGAAAAATATCGTACTGCAATCAAATGGACAACATATCATTACGGAAATTCATTAAATTAAAATTATTTTTTAATAATAATATTCTACGGTACAACGTGGCAACGTCGCACCTATTTTCGTGCTCAATCGTGTTGTTTTTTGGATTCCTATTGTTTGATTGCAACCGTGCTCAGTCGGATTCCAGTCTTCAAAAAGACTCTCACCTGTTCAATAATGCCTTGGGCTCTGGTCTATGCCACTGCTAAAGCCCTCATCAGCTTTAAACTCATGGCATTTTGCCCCATTTAGGCCATTGGTTATATGCCACTGCCATTTTATCAGTGCGCACGCTCCCGTCCATCTGACCACGTAATTGTGTACTGTATATATTATTTAATTGTATATTATTGTTAATCAACCATGTGACTAGCGCCAGCCGTTATATCTGGTACGATTCTGTTACACCACTGTGTGGGTGTATCGCATTAATTTACAAAATAATAAAGTAAATCATTACTTAATTACAACCCAGGTACATATATTTATGTCATATTTATTTAGTACATACGTTTTTATTAATGTATTATATGTTTGTAATAATAACTATTAAGACCATTAAAAATGTTCAAAATTCTCAGAATTTTCTATTAATCGCCATTGATTTTTGGTGGAATTTGTAAAATGTTGTCTATTTGCGTTTTCCAACCAAAACTATGTCACATATGGTTTGATATTATGATACTTATGATATTATAATGATAATTGTACACACACTTTTGAGTGGAGTATTGAAAGGTTTCATTAATTTATTTGGTTTGCCGCAGTTTAATATGCAGACGTGATGGATCTAAGAGAAGCGCGAAGGAGGTGCGCTCCCCCAAGTCTCCTCTAAAGCAGGGTTTAATGCTAGTTAGTACTAGTTAAGAGTAGCTGGTATCAATAATCACTTAGCTTTATCGCTATTCCTGCTCTGTGAGTTGTGACCCCCCCCCCCATGCAGAATTTCTGGATCAACCTCCGTCGTCATGCTTCTCTTTCGTAACTCAATTCTCTAAACTTCTAGTAACTATCCCTATTCATGTCTATATTAGACATGGTTCATATAGTACTATAGTACATTCTTCGATTTCCTTTTTCGATAATCTTACATCATTTTCTATGACGAATTTTGTCACTACCTACGTGTATTAATTTAATAAATAGATTATAACTTTATGAATTCAGATACATTGTACATACGTAATAATGTTATTTATTTTTCGTAACACAATAATTTTAAACGAAACCATTTCCAACCGACATTTCTCAGTATCAAAAATATTTCGACAACTTTACCATTGAACTACAATATAAATTATAAAACATAAGCAGTTATTTTATGAATTGATTTTAGTAAATGGTTGATGTATAAAAGGCGATTAAGTTGACTGGTTCGTACACTCATTATCTAAAAAAATATCAACTTTTTTTTCCGAATTTGTTTTATAGAACTTTTAAGAAACGAGCATCTTAAAAACTTTACATTTATGTTATTTTTTGTCACACTTAGTATTGGGGATAAAATCAAAACCAACTATTTATTTTCAAAAAGTAACCTATATTAAAAATTCCCAAAATATATCAAGTATTAGTTTAAATAATTTTTTGTATTGATATTTTTGATTTCTATCAACCCGTTGTTGAAATATTCCACTTTTAGGTTTAGGTAGGAGGAGATTTGTGGAGCACTATTCAAACGCTGCTCACCATGCTGCCACACAAATGGTGCGAAACTATTCTCCTCTACCCAAAGTTAAAAATGCAATATGCTATCAATGGGTTGATGGATATCAATAATTTCAATACCAAAATAAATTTAAACTAATATTCCATCTATAAGTAGGATTATTAGTATAGTTTGTAATTTGAAAATCAAAAAAAGATAGTGGTTTTACATTACAAAATAACATTAATGTAAAATTATAGAGCTACTTGTTTTAATTTGTTTGCAAGGTCTTTTTTATAATACTTTATATTTATATAGTTAACTAGAAGAAAAAATTATTTTCATCAATGACAAGAGAAAAATCGGAAAAAAAAATGAAAACTATTTAAATATTTTAAATTACGAATAATTCGTATTTTGTGATAAAATTATGTTTTATTATTATAGCAATAAAAAGATATACATTTATATATGATAATAATGTACCTAATAAGAAATAATGCGTACCTAAATATTTATGAACAAAAAAATGGTATAATATTTCTTATAAATACAAACCCTATTAATATTAATTTTGTATGTATTATCTCGTTAATTTTAAAAAAAATCTACTATAATATTATATATTTACCTATTTGGATCAGAATTTTCCATTTCTTGAACTTTCTGACTAATTATTAAAGCTGGTTCAAAATTTTTTGCCATTTTATGCAATAAAGCTGTTGTTGAACTTGTTTTAAATAAACCCAATGCTCTGCGTCGCAGTCCTTGTGACAGACATGATTCAACAGCAGCTATAAAGAAACATGTAATATCTGTGATTTTAATAACATGTGACCTATATGGCTTTGTAGAATATAGATTATATGTGTATAAGTATTATGTATTTATTATTAAAACCATAAATTATTTGTTTTTTCGTTAAAGGTCGTTTTACGATGAAGATCTTTGGAATTTCATATTATTTTGAATTCTCTATTATACAATACGCTATATTACTTATAATTAGGAGAACTGAGTATAAATGGCTGCAGGGTGGGAGGGACTTGCGTCTAAAGCTTTATATATTCGCCTTTATAAGTCTACATATTGGATTCTGAGCAGAATAAAATAACTAAAATCTTGTGTTTTTTTTATGCTCAGAACACATTTTTTGGACCGAGAAAATACGAAAAAATGTTTTATTCTGCAACCACCTAGGAAATACATATTTAATTGAACACGAAGCGGGTAACCTAGTTCATAAGAGAGGTAATTTTTAATTTTTCGACATTTCGCTTTTGTGAGAAATACGTATTCTTTGTTTGTCCTTGTAGACAAAGATATATATTGGTACGGTTGGATTTCCACCTATTTCCTCAAAAAACTTACTGAGTATAAATATAGTTTATAGAAACGATAAATATAATTACATTAAACAACGATTCTGAGCTTTCACTTGGTCAGGAAAAAGGGAACTTTCTCATTTATAAAAGTGTACTCGTATTTTATAACAATATCTACGTAGTATATATAATTATATAGAGGCACCTTGTTAGAACATTATTGTCCACGAAAACCAAATTTAAAATTCATAATTGAGTGTTTCAATCTTAGAAATTCAAAAAATTATTCAATTTTCGTATTACAATGATGAAAATACAAAATAAGTGTGATTCTCCTTTAAAAAATGAAAAATATTTAAGTATCTCTCTCATGAAACACCCAGTAGGTAGGTATCCAGTAGGTAGGTATAGTTTTTGCATGATGCGTGCAGTTACGACCCTATAAAAGTTACTATTATTTTTTATAATTTAAAATTTTTGTATTGAAAATATGAGACTATAGTTGAGACTTGAGAGAGGTGTGGGAATGATTCTCCCCAAGAATCTTTTTCTGGAGAGTTATGTTAATCTCTCCCCCCTCATGATAATTTCCTAAATACTACACTACTTTTAATATCAATGCCGTGATACACAAAGACATGACAATGACGCTCACAGAAGAGCGTTAGAGGGCTAGAATCCATCCTCCTCCTGAAATGTCTTTCTTCACTAAATTTGTTTAAATCAAGTCTTACATTCAGCAGTATAATATCTTAAACCACAGAATAAAATAATGACATTTAATTTCATTAAATTATTTTGCCATCTATTTCGGTAATAATAGTGATAATACTGTACTGATAATATGTGCTATCCTCTTCTAAGAAATTATTATAAGCAAAACCCCTAACCGGAAAAAATCTTGCGTGCGCTACTGGGTCATAATATACTAAAAAATAACTAATTATTGATAAAATATATTACATATTATTTTATGTATACTTAGATTTAGAATACGAATGGTACAAGTATAAATATAAGTCATAAATTACAATTCAATATCAATCAAAATCCATAGAAAAGGATATAGGTTATTCTTTTAAAATTATAAAATTTTAAAATGTATAAAACATAAAAGAAAGTCCATCAAAGTATGAACAATATTTAATAACAAATATTAATAGCTTCAATTTTGTTTACAAACTTCAGTTATTCAATTATATAAATGATAAGGTCAATTATAAATACAATTTTATGGTATAGTTTGAAAATAACTTTAAATTCTAAACGGATTAATAAACGATATGTGTTCTTTTGTTAATGAATATGATATTAACTAAAAAATTTACTTTACATTTATTACACATGATTAAATTCAGGAGCAATATCTGATATAATTTTATATTCATATACATTATTTGTTTTTGATAAATGGGATGTAAAATCGAACAAAAAAATTAAGGAAAATAAGAATATTATTAACCATGCAAAATTGATTTTTGAGAAAATGTATTTTATTTTTAAAATTTCAAAATTTTTCAGTTTTTTCAATAGTGTAGATAATATATTTTTGGTTTCATTAAGAAACATCGAAAATTGAATACAAAGTTAGTTACACAATTTTTTAAACTGATAAAATTTCCATTAAACACTCATATTTTCAGTTTTAAATTTAAATCAAGACAAAAATTATTCTACATTCCCAACTTCCCACCTATAACAGTCATGGTATAATATATTATGTCCCGCTCGGCTTCTAATTTCATTAAAGAAACTATTATTGATTTTATATTATGTCCTTGAACCCACTTTATGATGCTGTAAAAGTGTTTTAAAATTAACAGATAGCACCTAAATATCGATTGGAAAATGGACAATGGCTTCTTGTTATTGTAAATAATCAGTTAAAAAATATTCGTCGTCATAATTTATATCATAAAACGAAGTGTATGTTTGTTTGTAAATGACCCACAATTGAATATATCGCACGCATAGTTCTGAAAATGTACAATACAACAACGTTAAACTACCACAGGTCAATTACGAGAGGGGAGATGGAAACAATGATAGGTTTAAAAGTTAAATTTAATTTCTTTTATTTATTTCGGTTTTAGAAAGGTTTTTTAAAAAATCTGCACTTAAATAGTTTGAAAATATAATATAATATATATATAAAATATAATATATATAATCTTATATAATCGTGTGGCAGTATAATGAATCCAATAAATAATATTTTAACTTGTAACTATTTCTTCAACTAGTGATTTATTATTATTTTATAGTAATTGTTATAAATATTATCTTTATACATACGACTTTAATAAATTCTGATATTACAATCATTTTTTAATCAATTGTATTGTTTTTTTACATGCAGAGTATTTTTAAAAAACATTCTGAGCAGTTATTTACAATCTAAAAATTGTATTCAAAATTGACAAGGACGATGAAATTCAAAACTAATTATTAGCAATTACCAATAATACAATACAACATATTAACATTTGTCCCTATTTTTTTTAGTTTTATTAAAATTATAATATTATACTATACCACAAAGAGATGTAATTGAACCACTTTCTTCGTGTACAAATTTTCTAGTTACTGCTTCTTCCATTATTTGTTTCACCTGTTATATAAATAATATTCATTAATTTTTCGATAATTATCTAATTTAAGTTAACTTAACAAAAATTATAATAAACAAATTTTAACAAAAATAACAGTACTTATAATTATAATTTGTAAAATTTTATAAAAACTTACAGATAGAAGAAATTCAGAAAATTTAAATCAACAATGAAAAATCTATGCATATAAATGAAACATGTTAAACCAAACTTCTCTCAATGATGTTGATTCGTTCAAATATCCCATAAGAATATACAGTCAATAAAATAGTCGAAGGTCTGGGGATTCACCTAAACTCCCGTCTGAACCGGGAATGCCATGTCTTCAGAAATAAACACATTATGCAAGTAGACGATATTTATTTAATTTTAGGTTTTATTAAGTTTATCTATTAGAAAGGATTTTAATGAAAAAAATAGACTATAGAAATACACAATTTTAAATTTACATAAACGTACACAGACTTTCATGGCCTACGTGCAGGTTTAGTTAGTAAAAAGTATTCAATAAAGTGTATTTTTGTTGAATTTTCCCCGAAGTACATACTATCGAAGCCTACATTTTTTTTTGTATACATATTACTAAAAACAACATAAAAAAGTGAGATTGAATTTCAATATCAATTCTACCATGTTGTTCTGGGTAGTAGATGTAAATTGTTCTTTAAACATCTCATACAGATCCCTCCAGCCAAATGAAACCGTGAGACAACATTTTGTAAATGCTCGGCGTGAGTACCAAGGATGTGCGGTTTAAGAAAATTCCACTTTAAATCTACGTTCCAAAAATTGTTACACTCAAATTTCATCACTTTTTTAGGAATATAGTATATAATATATTAGTATTAATAGTATTGTATTTTTATATTTTGTTATACAATAAATTTAATTTTTTTCTTTATTGTTTTTTTTTTTTTTGGGGAGGGGGAAGTGGTTAAAAATTGATTTCATCGCGATGTATATATTTATTTTCGCTTATAAAACGTTTACTGAAAGTTATTTTCAGCTCGCGGGATATCCCGTGCACGTTGTATAAATTTATGATAATTTGAATAAAAAGCAAAATCAGTAATCATAATCACACGAGACATTGATTAACCTAAAGTGTAATATTATTAGATGGAATTGTCTGTATATATTTTTAAAAGTATTCTTTAATTCTTTTAATTTTAATTTTTTATAAAAATAACTTATATTATATAGAACCATATAAAAAAATGTTGTGCTTTTATTTACTTAGAAATATTCATTTTATTTTGTATGGGTTATAAAACTACGTTATTTTGATAATTTTAGTCCGAAATATATCAAAGTTACCTTTAAATTATTCTATGATTTAGTAAATTAACTGTATAATATACATATATACATTATAAGCACAATTAAAAGTTATTAACTCATATACCATAGATAAGTACGTATAAGTATTAAGTATACATTGAATCAATTATTATAATTAATACAATTATTAATAAATAAAGTAAAAACATTTACTTAAGGAAAGAAATTATAGGTACTTGTATAATCCTAATAATAGAAATAGTACAAAATCTAGTAATAATTTCGTACGAAAATAGTAACTCAAAATAGACGTGATAATTAATTAAATATTAATTTCCAAAATAAAAATAAATTTTGTAGAAATTAATTTTATATAATTTTGATTATTACCAAGAATTATGTGTGAAGTGATTTTAAACCATTTATAATATCACTGTGGCACTTTTTTTTTTTTTGCTCATTTTTTGCTACTACATCTGACGAACGGATATTTAGCAAATTAAAGCGCATTAAATCTTAACTAAAGTCAAAAATAAATTATTCAAGACTAAATGCACTAAAGTAATGTTAAGTAATGAAAAATCATAATAACCCGTTTAAATAACAATGATAATTATGTAAAAAACTTGACAATACTGAAATACCGAAATTCAATTGTAAAAAATAAAATTAAAACTTATAATTAATATTTTTAAATTCTAAGTGAAGCGAAGAAGCTTATGATTTTAAAATGATGTTTATTTTTTTTTCTGTGGACAACTTTTCTACCAGTTATTTAGTTCCGCTTTTCAATGATAACCTTTTTTTTTTAGGAGGCAATCAAACTAGGGAGGTACTTTAAGGAGGTCATTTTTTTGGTTTTCTTAAGAGTTTTCTCTATAAATAGGAAAAAATTGGAAAATGTACAAAATGTATAGGTATTAGTAAAAAAATATTATGGCTTTTTTTGACCAATGAACAACTTTTCTACCAGAAATTTTCCTCCGAATTACAATGATAACACTTTGTCTGAAAATGCTATCACTTGCGATTCATTTTTTGTATTTTTGTCAACAACTTTTTACCCGACGATATATTTGTACTGATCTACAAATGGCACCACCCTATTTTGCCCTCCTCAGCAACCTAATAATCCCCTACCCTTCTTACTTCAACACATACTCTCAAATATCCTTATACATTCCCAATCAAACCTCTAAAAAATAGATGCGCGCACAGAGCTCGAACGCTAACTGAAAATTCGATAAAACCAATCGGCGTGGTGAAATCAGAATCAAAATAAAGATGCGCGCGCATAAGAAATGAAAAATAGCTGCGCGGGCAAAGTCCAATTTCGTCAAGATCACCGGTCGTAGCGAAAAATCATTCAACGAACCGCAGTGAACACTGCAACAGCGAAAAAACACGAATTTTCATATGCTGCCAGCACTTTAAGGGAAATGTTAATCGTTGTCGAAAGTACCGTAACAATAAAAATCAGCAAGAATGTTATCAGAACCATCCGAGGAAAAATTTCAATATTTGTTGATGTCCCACGGTACGCTTAATAAAAATTTTAATTTAATTTTTGTCTGATTAGTATTTTACCACATTTGAATTGTTTAAATGTAGCTAATTAAGGGAAATGACAATCGCTATACAGGAAGCACCAATGATATCAACAATAAAGTCTGACATCACCGTTGATGCTGGTTTCACACGATTTCTTGATTCTATATAGTATTACAAACATACATTTATTATTTAAATTATCATAAGACAATAATATAATGTTGTATACAAATTATAAATTTTGTATGTTTTTATTTATTTGCAAAGCCTAAAATTCCACCAACTCCATACACGTTTTACTTCATCAGTGAGTAATGAGTAATACTCAAAACACACTCAGCATTTTTTTTCAGTCTTCGTTTGGAATTATGTGGATACAATATTTTTGGATTTTCAAAAATTCAATTATATGGCATAATATAACGTATAAAATTCAAACATTAATAAAACATCGCGACATGTTACAATTTTTACTCTATATAAAAAAATGACCATTTAGCCCGAAAAACATGGATGATAGTAATCTATTTTGTAGTTAATTATCAAAACATATTTAACCGAACTTCGATCAGAATTATTTTTATTCAACAATGATTTATCGTTGCTTACGGTTATAAATTAGATTACCTACATATCTTACTTTTTTAACATTGTGCTACATTTGGTATTTCGGAGAAAAAATTTTTCATAGAAAAGATGTTCAAAAACAGAAAAAATACAAAATACATCGTACTAAAACTAATAGCTACGCTCCGAATCTAAAATAATCTGCTCAGGTTAGAGTGTGGCCACTGCACTCTGATCTCTGGGGATAAAATATAAAGAAATGTTATAAATTTTTAAGTACAGAATTGTTTATGGGTCTGATATAAGTTTAAGGAAATACAATCTATTCGGCTCAGTGTATATGCAGACCTTATAAAGACATAGATTAGTTACAAAACCTATGCCATGAAACAAACTCACTATGCAATTACTTCAAAATGTGTTAACTATAGATACAGCCAGTATATAGTATATAATAATATGATATATTGACACATTGTATACATTTAAAATAAATTTTGAATCGTTTAAACGATAGTGATAATAACCTTTAATCTCCCAAATTATTCTTTAATGATTCTGTTGAATCTAAGATATTTTTTCAATACATAAGTAAGGAGTCAAAACTATCTCAAAATCGATCAAAATGATCATAAAAACCAACTCGTAAATTGTTTATGATAGACCACCACGCAGGGGCCTCAAAATATACTAGGCTCAAGACTAAATACTTATCGTTTAACTCCGGCCTTGTTTGACATGACGACATTTAAATTAAATAGTTGTTTGTTTTAAATTTCATAGAAACAATTAACAAACAAAAACCAAATATAAGCCAGTATAAACATCAAATCGATTTTATTTGAATCAATATACATACCTGGCTACCTATAACTATTACACGCAATACGCGTACTAAAATATACAATTTTTAAACTGGGTTAGTGTTGAACAACCACAAAAAACGTCAAAACGGGGGAAAAAACAACTTTAGTAAAGTAACCTCATAATTTGTATGTGCATTACAGATAGTTTAAGTGCTATGTTACATATATTATAGATACAATTTAGGTATTATAAGAAGTACCTATCATAATAATATAACATGTTAATGTAATTAATAATAAAATTATATGTCGTTTAAATGATATTTGCATTTTAATTTTGTGTTTTATGGCGTACCTTTAGTTTATCTTAATTCGACCCATATACCTCCTTACCTAATTAAGAAATAAAATTTACCTGTGTACTATAATATAATTATTTTTATATTTAAATAACTAGGTATTTTAATTTATTTTATTTTGTTTTTAACTTTCGTTTTAAAATTAAATCAAACAAATTGCATTTTTTACGTGGTCCACGGACGTCGATGAAAATCGAAAGCTCCGAGTTTGCTAATTACCTATTAACTGTAATTTTATCAAAAAGCTACCTAAACCACGTAATATAATGCTTAGGTGTACTATCGCGATTGAAAGTGCAATTTCGTACCTCTTTTTTCACATTTTTGATGAGTTGCTCCTTAAACTTTTTACCTGAAAAAAATAAATACAAAATTAACGATCCCATATGTTAGCGAATTCCGTAGAAATATAACTACATATTATCATAATGTGTAATGCGACCAGTCGAGTGCACCAGTAACGGCGGCGATGCCGGTTAAAACAATATTGACATAAAGTTTTGTTCCGGCCATATGGTATGATAAAATAAAATATAATTGTAATTAACGGGGGTTAAACTACATACTGGTATTCGCGTCCATAGTGAAGAAGGCGGAAAATTGTGATCGGGACGGCCACAGGGACGATGGTAGCGACGATGATGATGATGCGCGATTATAGCATTCAACAAGTGACGACTTTGGCACATATACGCCCACGCATGGACGATATATTACTACTATTATTATTATTATTGTTATTTTTTTACGTTACGTTCTTACACATTTTATCCGTGTGTGTACGTGCGTGAATAGATAATCGTAAAATTATAATGTATACAGTCGACCGTCTATACGACGACAGCGACGCTGTAACGTCCGACAACACGCGTTGTCGTCACGGCGTTAGATTTTCCCGTTGGATACGACCAAAGTTTCTTTTCAGCGTAGAACTTCAGACGCCCGCCACTGGGTGTAACACACCAACCGCCTCGCGCACAACATATTGGACGACTACTGAACTACGGTCTCGGCCCTCGGTGAACGTGAACGGCGATGATACGACGTCGGTAGCAGTGGTGAACGGGCGACAAGCTCGCGGGACGTTCGGGGGCGGACGAGGACCGCCCGCCGCCGAGTCGGACCGGGCGACGGGACCCGCCTGATAATAAAGCCGCCGCTATTGACAAGGGGCCAGCTGATTTTTACCACGGGTTTGCGGGCCGCCGACCAAGGAAAGTTGGGGAGTTTTACTGTAGTAAATAGTTGTAGTAATACAATCTGACGTCCGGTACGAAGACCAACGCCGACCGACCCGTATACTCTATCTAATAGCTCACCGTCCGTGGTTCCTTTCGCTACGGTAATTCTCTTCGCGGCTACACTGTTTTATGGTCATAGAATATTTTTTTATATTTTCAATTTTTCATTATCTTTTTGAGGTTGGTTTTTTTTCAATGTTTAGAGAATTTTGTTATTTTATTTACGTTTTTTTCGATCTACCAAATTATTCGAATTCGTATTAATGTTGACTGTTTTGTTTATTATTTCTCTTAAGTCATCGACTTCTCTCAACGTAATTTGTGTTCAATTTCTTTAAAAATTATTAATATGTGAATTGTGAATAGACCATGTATATTTTCTCCTTGTTCGAGTGTTTTAGGAAACTTCAAATGAATTTCAGATAATGTTGAATGTTATATCATATTAATCAATTTATATCTTCTAAATAAAGTTTATTATCATTTAACAATACAATTGTCTGTTTAAAGTTAGTTCTATAAAACTGTTAAAATCTCATTAAACTTATTGATTAATTACATATTATATTCTTAATAATTCTGTGTTAGGTACCTACTTACTACAATAATGACATCATCAGAAGATGTGCTCCTTCAAGTGGGGCCTGTACGGCATAAAAAAGGCGATGGAACATTATACGTGATGAGTCAACATGTAGCATTCATCTTGAATTCTAGTGACACTGTTGCCATAAGCCACCATTATAGAGATATAAAAATGCAAAAGATTTCATCAGAATTCAAGAACAAAGTGCAATTACAATTGGTGTTTCACGATGAAACTATTTCACTATTTCAATTTACAAATTCTGAGAGGTACTATTTTTTGAATAATTAATTTCATTAAATATTTTTGTATAAATCACCTAAGTCCTAAATCAAATACAATATGTAGGTATTAGATAGCAATGAGTTTATTGTTTTTCAAAATGTTTATAAATTTTATTAGTAAAACTATTATTAAAATAGAATATCTTTTAATAATGAATTCAAATTTTTTTTTAATAGGAGTGATGCAATGCGAGATAGAAATCGAGTTAAAGATTTAATACAACAACTACTCCCAAAATATCAAAAACAGGCAAACAAAGAATTTGGAGAAAAAAGTCGTATTCTTGGTGAAAACCGCATGTTATTTCAATTGTATCAAGATCTAGTCATTACTCATGTCATAACACCTGAAGAATTTTGGTCACAACATGTACCTTACCATCTAGCTACTCAATCTAAAATAATCACTCAAAAAACAGGTGTCCCAAATAATTTCCTCACTAATGTTACTGTCAAAAGTGATGGTACAAAAAAGTTTAATTTATCTAATGATACTATACAATGTATCTTTAAAACATATCCAGCTGTGCGTCAAAAACATTTAGAATATGTACCACATCAACTTACTGAGTCAGAATTTTGGCAAAAGTTCCTAGAGTCACATTATTTTCATAAAGATCGTATAACTACAGGTAGTACAAAAGATCTATTTAATGATTGTGCTAAATTGGATGACAATTTATTTAAAAATGAAATAAAAGATTTGTCTAAAAATAATTCAGATTGTTATGTTGGATTGATCGAGGACGATGGATCAGATGATAATATAAATTCTACATCCGAAGAAAAATCTTCCATGGCTAATCTTGTACATGAAAATATAATTAAACGTTTTAATCAACATTCAATGATGGTTCTCAAGACTTGTGAAAAATCTAATTCAAATCCCATACCCAATGGAAATGATGTAAAAGTGTCATCTCATACTAATGGAACACCAGATACTTCATTGAAAAGGTTAAAAATTCAAGAAAAAATTGGATTTGAAGATTTAAATCCAGAAATTGAAATTTTAGACCTTAATCAAAAAAAATTAAAACTATCCAGAGTGGAAAGTTATGTTAACGGTTTGACAAGAGAACACAAACATGATAATACTACTTCCAAACTTTCTAAAGCGAGGGAAGTCCAAAAGAGTATAATTTATGATGTTTATGAATGGAGTAAGTCAACTTCAAATCAAGTAATTGAACCAAGTGCAGCTGTTAACACCCTTGGTTTACTTACACCTGGTGGGAGTTTAATGAAGGGAATCAGTGATGAATCTGCTTCATTAGCACAACTAGTACCAGTTACAGTAGAAAAAGATTTACGTCAGTTGTATATTTCATTAGGTGAACTTTTAAGGCACTTTTGGTCATGTTTTCCAGTTACTACACCAGCATTAGAAGAAAAATTAATGAAAACTCACGATTCTTTACGTAAATTTCAAAATGCTAAAATCAAACCTTTTGAAGACCAAATAATTATTAATCATGGTCAATTAAATCAGCTTACAAATCATTTAAATTTAATGTTGCATACTGCTTACAATAAATTTTCTCTTTGGCACTCAAGGCGAAAAATACCTAATATTCTTTGACAAGTGGCTAAACATGTGTTCTTGTACTACATGTTTAATGTGCAATTGTCCCCTTTTTTGAAATTCATAATATAAATATATATGATTGATAACATATGTGTCATATGAAAAAAATTTAAATGTATAATATAAGCCACCATTTAACATCCAAAAATGTATGGTTAATAGTCACTAAGATATTATTTTTATAGAAATAAATAGATAAATTTGTATTATAAATTATCTATAATTTATACCCTACCTACTTATTTGCGGTGTAGGGATAAAAAACAAGGGTTTTTATTTTACTATAAAATAACAACAGGTAATTTATTGAATTATACATTTATTATATAATCTATAAGTCATATTATGTCCAATGAATATAACAAAAATTTGAATTAAATTTTTAAGAGATGTACTGATTACAAATATGTATTGTTTGATTCCTAGTGTCTTAAGTTAAAAATGTTTAATAGTTTCTAATTTTAATTATTATTAAAATATCTTTATTGTTAACCAACATAATATTTTAATGTAAAGTTGTTTTTCATTTATACAAAATGCATGTATTATTATTTTTGTTAAAATTATTTTAATGTGTGAAAATAAATCTCAATTTTAATGTTAGGAAAAAAATATATTTACGCCAAATTAAATACAGATTCACTGGCCTGAATTACTTGGGCCTAGAAAAAAATAATACGTATATATTTATAAAATGTGTTTATGTGTAATTTAATATGTAAACAAATAAAGAGACTGGTAAAATGTAAAGGTATTAATTTTCCATATTTGTGTGTTATCTTATGTTAATACTTAATAGATATAGTAACATTTTTTTACGATTTTGTTATCTTATTTTCTACTATATGATTATAGTCTTAAACGAGTTTCACCAATGACACAGGTTAAGATATCAATCTATGACCAATGGGCAATAAACAAACAAATTGACTTTTATATATGCTATATATTTAAATTAACAATGAAATGAGTAATATAAAAAATAAAAGTTGTTTTAGATTAATAATGAATACATTTAAAATATAAATAAAAAAATGGCAGTTGTAGGTGGAAAGTAGGCAAGAAGCATAATTGTTTGATTTTTATCTGTACACAATAAATAAATTGCGGAATAAGATTCTGACTGTAATTCAGTTATATGTGATATTTTGTAATTTTGTTATTTTAACAATTTTCATCAAACTTTGAATTAAAGACATTTATCAAAAAAAAACCTACATTATGCTCAATTTTTTATTTTTTTCATGTCTACTACGTATAACTTAAAATGAACCTCATATTTCATTTTTAAACATGTTCAGCCAAAATAATTTTATTAAAAAAGATACACTTGAAACTCGAAACAAGATATTTAGTGGAACTACAAAATCGAAAATAATGAAGATTTAATCATTTTAACTAAATTTGTCTATTCTTTCAATTATTATAAAAACTGCTTGAAAAAATCTAAAAATGACCCATGATTCAAAATTTTTTGAAAATTGCTAGTCATTTTATAGTTAGAGCAAGATATCTAGTACAAAAGTTGTTTACAAACAGAAAAAAAACACATCATAGTTGAATCAATATATTTTATGATGCACTTAGAATTTAAATTTCAAAACAAAAATAATATATAAGTAGGTTATAGGTACCTATATATATTTTCATTATGTTATTAGAAATGAAATTAATTGCATATAAATATTATAATAATATATGTAAATCTACAATCAAATTGTCTTGATTTCTAAATAGCTTACTTAATTTTTTTATATCATAATAAATATCCTTAATTAGTAATTATTTAATTTTTTTCTCTACAAGCAATCCACAGAAAATTCTATTTCACTCTAATCGACAGTCCAATTAAATTTTCCATTTTAATTTCTATTGCACTATTTTCCAGACTGGCTTTAGTGAGATTAATTAACTTAATTTAATTCCACCAAAAGTTAATTAACAGTGATTTTATTATGAGTTAAAATTACAATTATTGCTCAATCATTCAATCATAACATATTTTATATTCTGGTTAATACTAGAATACTGATTATTACCACCATACTGGTTAACAAATATATAGTAAGTTGTACTCATAGATAATATTATATAATATCTTATATTATCTATGGTTCTACTGTACGGTAACTTATACAGTAAAAGTAATGCAAAACATTGATAATAAAATATAATTATCTATACATACATTTTTGCTTGACGATAAATGGACCTGTAATTTACCATATAATATCAAATAATCATTTATTTTATAAACAATAATAACAAAAATAATATTAACAAGAAATTTTTTCCTCTATTCCCTAATAGTGTTAGTTGTTTAATGTTCAGTATTAATTATTTTTAACAAATATAATTTTATTTTTTTTTAATTTTAGGTAAAAAAAAATAAAGAGTGTACTTTCTGTTATTTTATTAGGTAGGTACTGATTTTTAAAATCATTGTTATCTAAATTTATTTTGTTTTTTCTATTATTCAAGCATTCAAGAATATTTTAATTAGCGATTTATAGGTGAATACAATCAAACTATTGTAAATAATTGTAAATAGTATCTACTTATGCATTGAAGCAAATATAAAATGGCTGAAAAAGCTGCGCATCACACAAAGACTTTTGTAAATCGCCCATCGATTTTCGAAGTAATTGCACAAGAAAATTTTTCTTCTACTGGTTATCCAGCATTGAAAAGAATATTTAACGTAAGTCATTATATTAATGTAGACAAAAATTTGAATTATGTTTAATTTTAGTTCCTAATTGTTTTAGTATATTGCTCTCAAGAATCCCCAACGATTAAACTGGCTCATACAACACTTTGACGAAGTATTTTTAACACTGAACACTTTATGTCAATATTATTATTTGAAGAAATATGGTAAGAAAATCCTAATATATTGTTTTTTACGCCTATAAATAGCATTTAAAATATAATTTGTAATTGTAGGAGGAACGTTCTCTGAAAACTTTTATGATTTGACAAGAGTATCACGTACAAACAATTCTAAACCTGCTATTGATCAGTTATATATCAGTTTAGTTCTAACAGTCTCTGTGCCTTATTTACAAAATAAATTTGATGCATACATCGATCAGTTGCAAACAAAATATAAATTGCAGCTTAAAGAAGTAATTAATGTTATTATAATAATGTTATGTTTACACTATTTGAAATACAACGAGAACAAATAAACTGAGATGATTTGGGCACATCAAAAAGAGAAAGAAATCTGAAGTAGGAAAAATTGTATTAAAAATAAATGTTAGAGGAAAATCGAGGAGAGGAAGACCATAAAAAAGGCGGATTGATGCAATTGAAAATGATATAAGAACAGTGTATGCTAGTTGGGAGATAAGGTCAAATGGAGGCTTAGAACAAGGGAAGAGGGCGAAATTGCTTAAAGTATAATAACTTGTTTACAGAAATTATTTTAGTATAAAAAAATACTGTATGATTTTTAGTCTTTTTGTGTCAGTCAGTGGTTTTTTTTTCAAAAATAATAATTTTTAATAAAACAAAGATTTGAATATTATTAAATTTATTTTACTGGTTTTTTTTTATAAAAAAACCATAATTAGAAAATAATACTATTAAATAATACTTACTGTTTGCCATAAGGTTAAGCAGAATTACTAAATTATTTCAAAGTTTAATGAATAAATAAATAAATTATTAGGTTTTGTCTTAAAGACTTAAGTCATCTTGAAGTATGATTTTGAACCATCAAAAAATATTTATTTTTTTTTTTTTGTGAATTTATTTTAACAGTGATAGCACTGTATATATATGGATCCTTTTTATCTAAATTAAACATAAAATTATCAAATTTTTTTTTTTAAAAAAAACATCAAGTTTTAATTAATTGATGCAAATTGACTATAACCAGGTCAAGCAAAATTATTAGTTTGAATAATAAATGCTTTATATTTACTTGGTGTTGTGTTAAAATTTCTCCGTAGAAAATAATTATAAATCATACCATAAAAGTTCATTAACTATATTTAAACATTTACAAAGTTAATCTAAAAACTATCCTCCAATAATGAGGTTTTATTTGTGTATTTGAACAAGTTACCGAATGTAAATGGGGATGAGGAAATTTCGATTGTTTATATGTAGACTAAAAATCTATTCAACCTATCCTATGTTTATCTATCATTAATTTGATTATCCATAGAATTGTAAATAAATGTATACATTTTTTTAGAAAGTATTTATTGCATTGAATAAAATATTTCATACATGTTGGGAAACAGTGTGTTTAATATATTATATTAAATATATAAATGGATCTAGTCAAACACATTCAGTTTTATTAGATGTAGCTGGCATGGTCTTAACTTATAAAAATATTAAATCGTCAAATAATGAATCACTTGCTGCTCAATTAAGGTAAAATATTATTCTTCTTATAAACATTAAAATTTATATGTATGTAATTTAATTCATTTTTAGTATAAGAGAACAAATTAAAAACTATTTATATTATGGAATATCTCATTCTTTGGAATTGGGTGCATTTTTTATGCAGTTTTTAAATTGGTGGCATTCAGAAAATTTACAATCAAAATTTATCGCCTATCCCATACCTAATCCTCCCAAGGTAAGTTATACAGTCTTATTTAATTATTGGATCATATTCTATATAAGAGTAATTTTAAATTAAACTTTAACAGAAAAACGAGAAATATAATTATCTTAGAAACACTAATAAGTGCCCATTATGTATAAAAGAAATGAAAATGCCAACTGCTCTTACTGTATCAGGGTAAGTTTATGTAATATTATTATATATTTACATAATATATAATAATAATGAAATTTAATTTATTTTACAAATAATTAAACAATTTTGAATTGTACAAATTACGTTTTATTGGTTCTACTCTATTTGATTTTATTTTTTATACATTTTGTTTTTAGATTTGTTTTTTGTTACAAGTGTTTGCATCGATCACTTATGACAGAATCTAGATGCCCAATCACTAAAATACCAGCAACAATGCAAGATATGATTAGAATTTTTTCAGATACTGAATGAATTTGTATTAATTTATGTAAAATTAATGAATTAATATTATTTGTAAAGAATTGTTCAATTACAAAAAAAAAAAAAATCCATTAATTATTGTATGGTTGTATGCTTTTTATAGTTGATATTTTAATTAAAGTTTACTGATATTTTTGCTTAAAAATTAAAACTATATTTAACCTACAACTTTGCTTGCCTTTTAGAATGCATGTTTAAATTATTGGTTTTTAGATTTCAACATTATCATATACAATTCTTGTTTTACTTTAAACTACAATTTATAATATATTTAACTAGTTATGTAACTAGTATAGTAGATTATGGTAAAAATATAATTATACTTATTTTGACGTACATATTTTGTTTACTACCTATATATATTATTTTATGATCAAGGAGAACCAAATGGAATTAAATTAATGTTTTTAATGAATATTATTTCTTTTCATAAGACAAACAAATATAAGATATACCAGAATACTTTATTTTTAAAGTTTTTAGAGTATATATTATAATTATTAAAAAAACAAAACTAAAACTTTGCTATAATTTTACATAGTATTGTTTTCCAAACAGGTTAATATAACTTATTTTTAAAAAGAAAACTTAATAATAATTAATTTTATATTTTGACTGAATTTTTATTCAATCTTCTATTATTATTTTTTATAGTTTGCAACTAATTTTAATATTTTATAAACTAAAAAAAAAAAAATCATGGAATGTAAATGTGAGATTATTCGATATTTGTTATTTCTTCATATTTAGTACAATGAAAAGATCAAAATTAAATACCTATCAGATTTGAAAGTTCAAAATAGTATTTTATTAAAATATGTACATCAATCAACTAAATATAATCAATATAATATAATATAATTTAATAAAAAAAATGTCAAGGATGTTTGACTTTTTAATATAACATTTCTCAAATCAATTTTTTACTTCATAAAAATAAAATCTGTAAAGATTTGAATCCAAATATTTGTGATCTTGCTATAATAACAATTTTTGAATAATTTGTGTTTATTAATTTTAATTAATACTACTGAATTTATATTTACAGATATATATCCTTACATTAATAGTATGTTGTTATACAAATATCCAAAAGTTTTTATCAATTCAATCTGAAAAAAAAAATATTTTTTATACAATTATTATTCAAAAACTGATCTCTATTACAATAAATCAACAATATAAGTTGGCACTATTTTTACATACTGCCTATATTTATCTTGGCACAAGTTAATTTCCTATTGTTACATTAAATTTTAACGTGACAGATATTATTGGATCAAATGTATATATTGTTAAGTATTTTGACATATTGTAATATTTAAAAATGTAATAAATACTTTAATTAAAACTAAAATAACATCTAAAAAGTACATACCATTAAGATTAAAACCAGATACTTCTTCGCCTTCACTATCGTCTGAAATTTCATTAGCCATTGGTGCCAAATAAACATCCGAAATTTCCCGTCCAGCACTTAATGAACTTATAATTCCTAAATTAATATCTTCTCCTTCACCACTACTAACTGCTAAACTATTCAATTTGCTATTTAACTGTGTAATTTCTGTTTGTAATTTTTCTTTACGCACTTTCTCCCATTCAACACGATATTCCCTTTATTTTATATAGATATGAAAACAAGTTACTTTTTTAGGTATTTATTTGTATAAAATAAAGTATAATTTTACCGTTGAAATTCATCAGCTGCTGTATCAACCATTTTTAAAAATTCATCAAAATTATAGCCTGTTAATGAAGATACTGGTACATAATTTAGTTCATTATAAAATTCATCTAAAGTCAATGCCATAGTACGGGTCAAATTAGACATATATGAAGTCTCTTTCTCTATAGCATCAGAAAAGGCTTCAAAATCATGCATCCATTCAATCGCATAAGTTGGATCTACAATATCACACTAATAGTATATATAAGTTAGAAACATTATAAATGCTAAAATGTTTTATTGGATAATTAACCTTATTTAAAACAATAATAAATGGTAATTTTGCTTTGTATAAAACTGAACATGCATACAACATATTTGACATGAATGTTACTGGACTAGTACTTCTTTCCAAGTCCATAACATAAACCACGACTGTTGGAAATGTAGATGCAAGACATTCAGTTATTATCTGTCCGGATGCTGACCACGTAAAAACTTCAATTTGTCCAGGTGTGTCAATAACAGCTATATCATGAGTATTTTCTACATTCACTTTTCCTAAGAGTTCCAGTAACTGATTAAATTTGGTGGAGTATAAATTTAAAGAGGTTACAATCGCACCATTTGGACCCAAATGATACTTTTTCATCACTTGTTTGTACCTTACAGAATCCCTAATATCTGCAAAACAAATATAATTTATTTCATCAAAATATTATTATTACTTACAATAATATATTCATTGTTATACCTATGTTTGGTTTATAAGGCATATTTTTACAAGCCGGGTCAAGATTTACCAGATACGGAGGTCTTTTGTGTTGCCGTAGGTATGAATCAAGTTTTGTTACAAATGTTGTTTTTCCTGAACCTGCCATACCCAACACAATGAGACAAACTGGTGACTTCATTGTACCATTTTCACTTTCTACCTCGCCATCCATTATGAAATAAAATTATTCAAATTTAAGTGTACGCTATAAATTGTACAACACGCACGTGCAATATTAAATCGGTGATTCAGTGTTTACTATTTATCTAAAAACAATAACAATGCTATCTATTATCATTATCTTCAAATAATAACTTTATCATAAATGTACCATGTAAAAATATGTAACCTAACAATATGAAAAACGTGCATGTCCGGTTCGCCGAATGTACCATACATTACAATTTAGAATTATACCGTTTGAAAAAGTAGTTAGATCAAAAATCAAATTATGGTTCGTAAAAAAATAGACAATAGGATCAGAACACTGATTGAAAATGGTGTAATTGTTGGTCATCGTACTATGTTTGTAATCGTTGGCGACAAGGGTCGAGATCAGGTAAAGTATTATAGTATCTGTATTGCCATACTAACTGTATAACACTACAATATTATAAAATAAACACTAAAAATACATTTTTATTTATACATAAAAGTCTAACCTAATTTATGTTAATTAAAAATAAAAAATAATTTTGAATGTATATTTTAGGTTGTTATATTGCATCACATGCTATCTAAAGCAGCTGTCAAAGCTAGACCTAATGTATTATGGTGCTATAAAAAAGAACTGGGGTTCAGTAGGTAATTATTTGTTTAAATGAAGTCATTAAAATTTAAAATTGAGTATTTTAATTTGTTATTTTGTATTTAGTCACCGTAAGAAACGCATGAAGAGTATACAGCATAAAGTTAAAGCAGGGAAACTCAATGTAAATGAAGATGATCCATTTGAATTATTTGTCGCATCAACAAATATACGATATTGCTATTATTCAGAAACTCAAAAAATTCTTGGTAACACATATGGAATGTGTGTATTGCAAGTAAACAACACAAAATTATTTTATTTTATTGTTCTATTTGTGTAACATATATTCAATGTTTGAAGGATTTTGAAGCTTTCACTCCTAACTTATTAGCACGTACTATAGAAACTGTAGAAGGTGGTGGTTTGGTAGTATTTTTACTACAATCTTTAAAGTCTTTAAAACAATTGTACACCCTAACTATGGATGTTCATGAACGTTTCCGAACTGAAGCTCATCAAGATGTTGTTGCCAGGTTTAATGAAAGGTGGAAAATATTTTTCTTATACTTTAAATATTAGAACTGTTACTATATATGGTTTTATTAATTAGGTTTATGCTGTCTTTAGTGTCATGTGATCGATGTTTGGTGGTTGACGACCAATTAACTGTATTGCCTATTTCATCTAAAGTACTTGAATTAATTCCCGAGAAAAATACAAATATTAATTCAGTAAATGATCAAGAATTAGCAGTCTTAAAAGAAAATATGAAAGATACTCAACCAGTAGGATGTTTAGTTAGCTGTTGTAAAACTGTTGATCAAGTAATTTGGTTTTCTCTGTTATAGTATTAATATTTTCAGAAAACATGATGAAATGATATTAATTTTTTAGGCTAAGTCATTGCTGACATTTATTGAAGCAATTTCTGAAAAAACTCTTAGGTCTACAGTATCATTAACAGCTTCTAGAGGTAGAGGAAAATCTGCTGCCCTTGGAATAGCAGTTGCAGCTGCTGTTGCATTTGGTTATTCAAATATTTTTGTTACATCACCTTCACCTGAAAATTTAAAAACTTTTTTTGAATTTATTTTTAAAGGTAATGAAAATTGTTTATTTTTATTAATACATATGCTAGAGTGGCCCTTATTTTTAATATAGAAATTTTTTGGTCTATCCCTCTAAATTAGTTCCAATATACATAAAAATAACTTAGAATTTATATTTTTATATATTAAAACTTAATATTTTATTAGGTATATAAGGCATATTTATTGAATCAATTTTTCAATAATTATATTAGTTGTAATAGTTTTATTAAAATGTATTGCTATTCAAATATAGTTTCCGGTACTGTGTACGGTAGTTTATACTGATTTTGATCTTCATTTTTTGAGCCTGTTCGATTAAAATCTTCCAATAATTTGATCTCTCGTTCCACATTGACATTTACAAATTTAAATTAAAATATATTTCATACTCTATAATGTTTTGCCAGGAAGTAGATGGTGAGTCTATTAAACATGAATACATATTAAATAATTTAAAAAAAATTCTAGATCATTAACAAAATAAATTCTTCTATATTTTTACCTTAAATATGTAGTATTTCACAGAATTTTAAGTTGAAACATTTTTCTAAAGTGCCATAATTTTTATTTTCAATACTTCTTACTACTTGAGTCGTTTTATTTTTTGTCTGATTATGTATACCGTTGTCATAGAATGTTAATATAATTGTTTCAGTTGTTAAATACCATTGATAATTGACAATTTTTTATAATATTCTAATAATTTGTCTGTATTAATAAATATTACATACAAAGTCAAATCTTGATTGGAAGCAAAATTAGCTTTTAAGAGGATTGAACCACACTTTATGTAACATTATGAAAACAATAAAAATACAAACATCAATTATTCTATTTTGTTTAAATTGAACTCTTCAAGAAAAATTAATATTTTTAAGCAATAAATTGCTCTAATATGAAAAATGTGGTTTTAAACTTTTGAGTGCTTTGAGACACTGGTTAAACTTAACCAATCAATATAAAATTGTCTATATAACTATGTATATATTTGAATCCAAGGCAGAAAGACTTCAACCAATATCATAAATATACAAATTTAAAAATTACGTAAGAAAATTATTTTTAAAAACATTAACATAAGCACTTTTTTGATTTAATGTGTATAAGAGATCTCGATTTAAAACTTGAACACAATGTTTGTACACACATAAATGAAAAATGTGTAGTCGCATATTCACAGATATTTAACAATCATTATATAGTACCTTGTTACTACAGTACAAATATAAATAAGAGCTAACGGCTTTTACATACTGCTAATGTTAAGTCGATAAGCTAATTATTTTGTCGGTATACTTTTTTATACTAATATACATGATTACTTATGTACATGGATTTATCAAATTTCATGTGGAATAGTGAACTCTTATACATATACAATTTTTTATATTCATATATATCTAATTAATTAGTTTTTTTTTTTTGTCATAGGTTTTGATGCTCTTGGATACCAAGAACATTTGGACTATGGATTAGTTAGATCTACAAATCCTGATGATAATAAAGCTTTGGTTCGGGTGAATATTTTTAGAGATCATCGACAAACCATTCAGGTATAAAAAATACAATTTATTTAGTATTTATCATTTTTAATTTGACCTATATTAATTTGTATTTATTAAATACCTATTTAGTATATAGTTCCGACCGATTCAAATAAATTAAGTCAAGCAGAGTTGGTTGTAATTGATGAAGCTGCTGCTATACCTCTTCCACTTGTAAAAGCTATGCTTGGTCCATATTTAGTATTTTTAGCATCTACAATTAATGGGTAAATTAAATACTATTAATATGAACACATATGGATATATTTTTAAATATGCAGAATGGCACGAAGAATCAAATGTTTTATCATATTGTGTGTTTTAGATTTGGGCCGTAATTAGGTATCTATCAAGGTTTTATCAAGTGGTGTATTTTATTTTTATTTTTTTGTATCTGAGCAACTTTTCAACCAGAAAATTGCTATTATGTATTAAGTGTAGTACCTTTTCTGAGGGAAATTTTATCTAGTGGAGACATTAGGGAGGTCGTTTTTTGATTTTCCAAGTAGTTTATATATTAATTGAGAAAAACTGGAAAAAAAGAAAACTGATAAATTTAAAAAGTTATTATTCTTTTATTTCAATAAAAAAATTGTACATTAAATATATTACTACATTAAAAAACGTGATATTTTTTGTTCCTTTTTTTTATTTTGTTGGCAACTAAAGAAGTTATTATGTGATTTTCTGTTTAGTTTTTTTAATAATTGAGCAAAATGGAAATAGAACAAGAAAATTTACAAAAATAATGCTCTTTATTTTCAATATTGTTTTATATTTTATTTTGTTGTAATTTAATTTAGAATATTTTTAGAGACTTAAAATTTTGACAGAAAACATATTTCCCGTTTCTAGTCTTGGTAAAATTTTAAAAACCTTTGACCTAGGCACCTGATTATAAACATTTTAATTTTGAAAGTTTTTTTTTTTTTACATAATTTTTATTTGATAGGTAGGTACTCTGTGCATAAAATTGTTCAATGTTTTTACATTTAATAGAGAGTTTCATTATAAGTTGTACTTAGTGGTAAAAAAAAAAAAGATTATGTAATATAGTTTAGTTTTTTTTAAAAAATTTTAAAAGTAATCATAAATATTATGGCCTTTTAAAACATAATTTAAATAACTGTGTATCCTATCTTTCCAACTTCACACCTACAACAGTGGCAAACTTGTTCTCAGTATCGGTTTTTTTTTTTTTTTTTTGCGTGTATTAGTTTCTTAGTAATTAAAGTGAATAACCCCCAATACTTATATTATCTTCTACATTATACCTAGTTTTCAGAGAATCAATCAAAATCCCAACATTATGTACCTTTCAAGTAATCATTAACATTATATGGGTCTGATTACTTACTCTGGTCTTCAGACATTGCTGTGTCAGTTGTAGTTAATGTATTTCTGCCTTTATTTGTGTCATATTTAATTATTTGCACTATATCTCTATATAAAGTGTTCTATATTTAATTGAAAAATATAGATTTATGCCTATATTCTTGTTTGTTTTTTATCTCTAATATTTGACTTATTATTGTCAGTATTTTTTAATTTTCATTGCTGATTTAAAAAAACCAATCTCAGTCAAATATTCTTAATGTTATTAAGTTTTATTATTAATCAATTTTGATATTTTTTTAGTTATGAAGGAACTGGTCGATCATTATCATTAAAGCTATTGCAACAACTGCGATCTCAGTCAACACCTATTGGAACCAATGCTAATCTTAAAACTGATCAAAATTCTGTTACTGGACGAAATTTAAAAGAAGTTTGTTGTTATATACTATGCTGTATATTTAATCTAGTTATATACCGTTTGATAGGTTTTTCTGTCTTTGTTGCAATTATTATTAAATTTTTATAATTATTGTTTTTTAGTAAATAACTAAAAAAGGTTACAGAGTTAAAAGTAACAAATTTATGAGATAAAATATTTAAATTTAATACTTACATTTAGTATTATTATGCTTTGTCACTATTCTAATTGTTTTATTTTTGACTATGGGGTCACACTATTTAGTATTTACATACAATGTATAGAAGATATATAAGATATCATAATTCAAAAAAAAAAGCCAACTTAATTTAAATAAACAACTATATAATTATAATATTTGTTTTTAATTTTAAAAAAAATTAGTTACATATTTTTTTTAATAGTTTGAATTTTGTTATTAATTAAAAAATAGAATTCAAAACAACTATTTTATTTACTAATTACATAAATGTCTTAAATTAATTAAATATTAAATTTGATTTTAGGTTACTTTAGATGAGTCTATACGTTATAAACCTGGTGATGATGTGGAAAAATGGTTGACTAATCTTTTGTGTCTTGATTCAACGAATATTGCTCCGTTACTTTCTGGTTGTCCTCCTCCTGATAGCTGTGAATTATATTATATCAATAGAGATACTTTATTTTGTTATCACAAAGCTTCAGAAGCTTTCCTACAGCGAATTGTTTCATTATATGTAGCTTCACATTATAAAGTAAATATTTTAATATTATATGATTAGTATAAACCCTTCATTAAACTTGTATGATATCTAATATTTATTTAATATTATTATTAAATTATTAGAATAGTCCAAATGACCTTCAAATGATGTCTGATGCTCCAGCACATCATTTATTTTGTCTTCTGGGTCCTGTTGACGTAAACATGAACAGTTTACCTGAAGTATTATGTGTAATACAGGTATTGGTTGTTATTTATTTTATATGGTTAATATAAAACTGAATAATTTTAACATTATATTATATTTTAGAACTATTTACTTGCTACCAATTATTTTTAGTTTAATTTCTTATTACAATATGTTATCTAGATATGTCTAGAAGGAGAAGTATCTCAAATATCAGCAGCAGATGGTTTAAAACGTGGTAAAAGAGCTGCTGGTGATCTTATACCATGGACAATATCTGGATGTTTTCAAGATGATCAATTTCCATCTTTATCTGGTGCTCGTATTGTTCGTATTGCTACACATCCAGATTACCAAAGTGTAAGTAAAAACTTTTAAATAATAATATTATTTTTGTTATAATAATCATCAAAAATAATATAATAGATGGGGTATGGTTCAAGAGCGCTGTCATTATTAAAAATGTATTATGAATTTTTGATTCCGAGTCTTGAAGAAGGTCAACTTCCTAAAGAAAATATTGATTCTATTCAAGAAGAAGATGTAGATTTACTTGAAGAAAGAATTGGTAAACATAAATTTACTTTTACTCATTTATTTATATTATATTGTATTAATAATACTTGTATTATATTGTATTTTAGAACCACGCAATAATTTACCTCCGTTATTATTGAAACTAAGTGAACGTCCACCAGAACGTTTAGATTATATTGGTACCTCTTTTGGTCTAACTGGTCCACTTTTAAAATTCTGGAAGAAAGCTGGATTCATTCCGTTATATATTAGGTATTAATCTTTTTTTCTTAAATTATCAATTTTAATTAATCTTATTAAAATTATGATTTATATGTTTATTTCAGACAAACCAATAATGAATTAACGGGAGAACATTCTTGTATAATGATTTCAACATTAAATACATCAGACTCAAAAAATCAAAATTGGTTATCCCAATTTTGGATTGATTTCCGTAGACGTTTTATATCACTTCTTGGTTACCAATTTCGTAAATTTTCACCTCAATTGGCTCTTGGTGTTTTACATAATACTAATATAACCATTCAAATAGACAAAAGTAAATTTATTTTTGTCAAGACTAAAATTATTAATTTAATAACTGTCTATTTATTTTATTAGATATTTTAGGTCAAACAGAGTTGGATGTTCATTTAAGTGCTTATGATATACTTCGATTAGAGAAATACTGTAATAATATGGCCGATTATCATCTAATAATGGATCTTTTACCCACTCTATCGAAGCTTTACTTTCAAAATAAATTTGGAGATACACATTTTTCAGCTGTTCAAAAAGTAATGAATTATTTAAATGTTTGTAGTTTTATAAAAACATGAGTTACGGCAATTCCTTTAGGCATTGTTGTTAGGTTTGGGTCTACAATACAAAACTGTTGAAGAGCTTGCTGAACAATTTGACTTGTTACCTCCACAATTACTTGGTCTATATAATAGGATGATGCGTCGTATACTGCAAGTAATTAATGGAGTTATGGAAAAAAATGTTAGCAATGAAATGCCCGTTTTGCAACAAACAGATAGTAATGAATTAAGGCCATTGGCTAAACCATTGGATGAAGAATTAGAGCAAGCAGCTAAAGTATAAATTAATAATTTTTTTTATAGATACATAGTGTAACCAAATACTAATTATTTAATATAGGTGTTGAGAAAGAAACAACGAGCTGAATTAGAAAAATTGAAACAAGAAAATCTTAATAGATATGCAATTAAAGGAACCGAAGATGAATGGGGAAAAGCTCTAGGAAATTCTGGTAAAACTAAAAGTGTCATTAGTGTAAAAAGGTAAAAGACATTTGCATTATATTTAATAACTTTTTTTTTTTTTTATTACTGAATATTATTTTTAGTGGAGAAAAAAGATTAGCAGACCCAGCTTCATATGAACCAGAAGAAGAAAATGAACCAAAAAAAAAAAAAAAAAAATAATAAATTCAGAAAAAAATAGTTCTTAGGTTTTTTAAATTTGTATATGTGTGTTTTATATAACTCATTTGAAAAATACAACATATCTATAAACATTGTGCCTTTATAATTAATGTTCATATAGATGAATAAGTTTTAGTGCCATTGTGTAAAAAAACAAAAGTTAATGAAGAACATTTTACTCCTCTCTTTTCTTATCTTTCGCATTCATCCTAATTATTTGGAGTCTGCCACCCTCATCTTAAACTTACACTTGATCTAAGCTACGTCTTATGGAATCATCACTCATCCAGTTAGGTATTTTTATCTCTGCTGCACTCAATCTCTCTACTTACTCTGCTTCCTTCTGAGCGAAGTAAGCAATGTATGGATTTTACAACTTTTATTTTTATACTGTGTACAAAAATTATGATAAAAATATTGCTCTGAAGTATCAAGTGTAGCAAATTTTCTGAAAGGGAATTTTCCTGATGTGTTTTCATAATAAATGAAAAAAATGGGAAAATGTACGAAAATAATGCTTTTATAATAAATTTAAAATTTTGTTTCAGATTCTAAGTGAAGCGAAATAGCTCATGGTTTTACAATGTTTATTTATTATTAATTTTTTTATGGACTACTTTTCTACCAGCAGTTTCACTCGAATTTTCATTGATAGCACTTTTACTGAAAGGAAAATAAAGTGGGAGAAGGGTACTTTAAGGAGGTCATTTTTTTAATTTTCCCAGAAGTTTTCTCAAAAAATTGAAAAACGGAAAAATATACGAAATGTATATTAATAAAAAAATATTAGTCTTTTTTTTTTTTTCCCATAGACTTTACAGGCTTTCACAACATTTTAATTGAATCAGTAGGCTCAGAAAACTATCTTTAAATCATCCACCAATATCTTAAAAATCCAAACAGCTAACCCTGATTCATACCGAAGTACAATCCACCTCTTAAAAAGAAAAGAAGCGCAATATCACACATATCAACCACACTAGGATAAATCGTTCCGCATTGATATACGCAACTTACATCCTTCGACTCCTACTGTAGATATTGGATCTGCTATAGAAGATATGGGTTTTGCAGTTCGTCAAGTTGTTAACGTCCTCCAAAAAGTTACGAAAATTAAGCTGCCCATGTTCGTTGTCGACCTTGAGCCAGCCGTAATCAACAAAGATATATTTCACGTAACTTCATTGTTACACACAAAAGTTAAAATTGAAGAGCCTCATAAACGCAATGACATAATACAATGCTTGAACTGCCAGGATTATAGCCATTTAAGGAAGTATTGCTCGTATTCTTCAAGATGTGTTCGTTATGGTGATAACCACCCCTCTACCACCTGTAGTAAAACCATCTTTACGCCCACCAAATGTGCCCTGTGTAAGAGTGACCATCCGGCCAACTATAAAGGTTGTCAAATATACAAGGATCTTCAACGACTCCGGAAACCCGCCTCAGATATTCATGATAAATATCATTATAATAAAAATATTGTAAATAATGTAAATAATACTAACTGTGACGCCACCCAACAGCCTACTTTCAATAATCATACACCTCCAAAACTTTCTCAGACATACACGCAGGCCGCTCATACGAATAACCTTGTTCCAACTTCTAATAACCAAATTAACGATAACACATTTTCAAATTTTCTTAATGAATTTAAAGCACTAATTAATCCTTTACTTTCCCTCCTAACTACAGTTCTCGAACGTCTTCTTGCAGAAAATGTCAAGTAACTCAAATAATTCATTCACTTCTCAGTCATTGGTTATTCTCATGTGGAACGCTAATGGCTTAAAAAATCACAGAAACGAATTTATCATAACCCTAAACGAAAAAAGAATAGATTTAGCACTTATCTCGGAAACACATTTCACAACTAACACCAAATTTTCAATTCCAGGCTACAACATAATTAATTCGTGCTACCCGGATAACACTACACATGCTGGTGCCGCGATTCTCATTAAATCCTCACTACTATATCCCCCCTGTCCATGTGTACAAGAAAACTAATAAATCACATTCCAATTACTTTTGCTGTAACATTTTGTCCACCCAAACACAAAATTACGCCATTACAGTATGAAAACTTCTTTAATGACTTAGGTCACTATTTTATAGTCGGTGGTGACCTAAATGCCAAAAACCAACCCCGGGGCTGCCACACGTCCAACCCAAAAAGACTTACTTTAATCCAAATAGTTAACCGAAAAAATTATTCCATATTAGCTCCTCCCGACCCAACTTACTGGCCAACGTCTAAAAATAAACGCCCAGATATCTTAGATATATTTATAGTTAATATCCCTACTAACATACAAAATGTCATAAATAATTGTTTAGAACTATGCTCAGACCATACTTCAGTCCTATCTCTGGATGCTCAACCCCCCCTCCGGCCCCGGAAAGCTTGCCTTACGGATGGTACCACGGACTGGAATAAATTCCGTGAAATAATTGAACAAAACATCAACCTAAAAACCCGACTAAAGTGCCCAAACGAACTAGAAAACGCTGTTCAACATTTTACAAATATAATCCAAACAGCTGCTTGGAGTTCCACTATTAGAAAACCGTGAAAATCCAAAAACTCTCCCCCAATTCCTACCCATGTTCGTGAGCTAATTGCTAAAAAAACGACGTGCCAGATCCCTTTGGCAACGTACCCGTCTGCCATCTGATCCAGCGCCACGGTCGTGGCGCGAGCTAAGTAAAAAGAAAAAATAGCTTTACGACGATGTGTGTATAGTATATCGAAGCAGGAGTAGCCCATTTAAACTGTGTAAAATACAGGTAAATTTGTTATGCAACATAACTAATTTTCTAATGCATCAATTAACTTCTAGTAAACACCAAAAATCAGAAATATTGTGTAGAACGTGCTTTTGTAAAAATCAACAAAGTCGTACGTTTAGAAATTAAGTTAAACATGAAAAAGTGCGACATTTTTAATGGAAATTTATATTAAATTCAGAATCACATTAGCCGTCGTCGTCGTCGTCGCATCGGCCGGTTCCCCCACTCGATTTCGTGTATGCAGCTCGAGGCCTAGATGGGAGAAAATATTATTACAAGAAAATATGACCACTCAAATAAATGTAATGATCACTTAAATAATAAAATCAAACAGGATCATAATACTAATCAACACAATAATGAAAACCGTCAATCATAATAATAAATAATAATCATAAACAAATATCATAATCATCATTTTAAAGAAATAACCATCTTAATCATAATTGTAATAATGATAAGCATGATAATAATACTATAATGCACAATCTAAAAATAATAATTTTATTTATCATTTTAATAAGAAGCATAATAAATAATAATGAAAACGATGATCATCACAAATATGCTGATTATGATATTTGCCGAGAATTAATATTATGATTGATGATATTCTAACTTTTTAATTCATCATAAATTGAGTTTAAAAATCAATAAATTTAAAAGTATTCAAAACGATTGGTATCGGTGAAAATCAATTGTCGTACTCGATTAGGTTACTCGGTTTCTGGTTTAGTAGGTGACCGCCAAGGTTTATAGATAATAGAGGTTGCTTTACCGTCGTGTAAACAAAACGAACCCCCCGCATTAATTTTTCGCCTAGTGACGTCATTGCAGTACACCACGACCATCGATCGTACGGCAGCTGCAAGGTTTATAGATAGATAATATCTATGCGGCAGCTGTACAAAATATGCAATATACTTACCACCGTACATTTATTTATTTTCATTGGTGGTTTCGATTTTAGTACCTACTAAAATGTTTATTCACTGTATGGCTAGGAACTTAATGCTCCAAGTGTAGATTATATGAATAAAATTATATTTCTAAAAAAAGACAAATATACTTTAAATACTGTAGGAATATATATTAAACTTGTTTTTAAATAGTTTACAAAAGTAGAAAAAGTAATACCTGTTCTATACTCTATATTTCCCAATGTATTTATTTAAATGATTCCTAAAATAAAAATAAATTTGAATAATAAATATTTTAGTAATAAAAACACTCCATAAATACAAAATATATAAAAATATGCAATTATTTTTATTTAATACCTACTTAATAAACAAGTCAAAAGTTATATTTTTAAGTTATATTTTCTTAGCTTTTGAAGTTTTTGTAATTGTAATTTAGCTTTCATTTTTACAACTAGAATTTGTTGATTTTGATTTTAGTTTATTTTAGTTTTCTGTAGGTACTACATCTGGTTTCAGTCTCCTGACAGGTTTTTGGTCTAAGAGTTCAGCTTTTAAATCACGAAGAAAGTCATCAGAATTGAAATGTTCTGAACACATATGATGTACTAGGATTCAAAATGTCTCCTCGTTTACATTTTTGAATCCATAACTTTTGAAGAACTTTTTAACTTTTGGGGTCCTTTGGAAACCTTTAAATTACGGTAAAGTCAACTTAAAAAATAGTAAATTAAATGGAAAACTGAATTCATCTCTATAACTCTATTTACAAGATGATATCAGTACATCACAAGACGTATGAAATCATTATAATTTATACCTGTGAAATGATACATCAGTCCTTCCAGCTTTTTTTATTTTGCCAGAATAAGAATTGCATGTTGCACAATTTGAACCTCCTTTCGTATTCATGATTTGACAATTCAATATAATAATATTAAAAACACAGTTGAAATTGTAAAAAATACGAAGAATAGTACCACAACTTATTATGGCGGCATGTACCGTGTACTGCAGTGACGTCATTGTCGGATTTTCCTCAGTGCTTATTTTTCATAAATTTGACGGTGAGGCAACCTCTATTATCTATAAACCTTAAGTGACCACTACGATTTTAGATATTACTATCTTAAATCGTGATTATCACTGTGACTGAAATCATAGGGATATTGGTTCATAGCAGTTCTCTGCATAATCATAGATAAGTATTTATTTATTTTTCCTCAGGTTAGTTGAGTTTTTTTTGTTGTTTAGAAGGGGGGGGACGAAATTTTCAAAAATTTACAAAGGCGACGTAGAATAAAAGAGATTGGAAACCACCGCTGTAATATGTTTGGCTGATTTCTATTAAACCTTGGTCTATGAAAAAAACTATATTATAGTGATTGGCGGAAATGACTAATTTTGACTATCGATAATTTAAAAACAACCGAGTATTTATCGATTGAATAGATATTTTTATCCGTCAATTGTTTTGAAAACTATCGAACAAATTAGTCGATAGTTTTCATTCAGTAGTAATGTAGTATAACCTAACTTAACCTAACTTTATAGCACCGACTGATTTTGACCATCGATAGTTTAAAAAATAACAGAGTGGTTATGACTACTAATAATTTGAAAACAACTGTATACTTTTTCAAGTAGATAGATATTATTAATAGAAAGGACCATTGACATAATTATATTATATTAAATTATTTAATGTCAAATTGTTACAATGTTACATTATATTATGTCAATGGAAAGAACAAATCAATAGTCCGATAGTTTTCTCTCCAATTGCTATCTAGTGGTGTGTAATATCGTTAAGATGCCTTCCAACAAAAAACTCACAGATTTAATTTAATACTATTACCGAGACGGCGTTTCTGTCTTACTCTATGCCTTAGGGCCTAGACTATGATACAAACATTGATTATAGATACTAATCTATGGTACAAATAATTAATTATCTATGATTTTATTTGGAACCATATTTGCATCAATTAAATTATTTACCGCCAAAATAAAATTAGTATTCAAATTCATACCTAGTTAAAATTTCATATATAGACATTAGTCATTAAAACGATTTTTAATTAATAAATAAATTTGGAACGAATGCAGTTTAGTTCTCAAGTAATTTTAAAAATATTTTTTTTCCAAAATTTGTGTTTTTGCATGCTTAATAATGTGATAGTGCTTTCAAAAAAAGTCGCTTAAACTTCATTTGGAAGTTATGTTCAAAAATCTTTAAAATGCTAGGTTTTTCTAAAATTCATGTTTTGAGTTTAAAATACCGAAAATTCATATTTTTGAGATTTTTTTTAGAAATGGTACGCTTCACATTTTCGTAAAATCTAATTTTACCTATCATACTTACTTTTTTAAAAATCAGAACTGATATTTTGTGGTTTGGAAGAAATAGTAGAACAAATATTAGTTCTGATTAAAACTTCTGTATGTTATTAGTTATTATACACCGAATAAAAATAGAAGTCCAAAAGATCAATTTTAATTTACTTTAATATGCAAATGATTTAAATTTATGTTGTTTATTATCAATAATATAAAAAGTAAGTATGATAGGTAAATTTGGATTTCACGAAAATATGAAGCGTACCATTTCTAAAAAAAATCCCAAAAATATAAATTTTTGGTATTTTAAACTCAAAACACGAATTTTTGAAAAATCTAGCATTTTGAAGATTTTTGAACATAATTTCCAATTGAAGTTTAAGCGCCTTTTTTGAAAGTACTATCATATTAAGTATGCAAAAACACAAATTTTGGCAAAAAAATATTTTAAAAATCGCTTGAGAAATAAACTGCATTTATACCATTTGGTGTATCCTATTGGAATAATAGACCAGGTCCATCACGTGACTTCACCATATCCATATGATATTATGTTATCATTATGTTTATCTTATTTTTGTTTGTAAAATCTAGCACTGACGAGAAAACAGTATATACAATAGTTCGTAATTTTCAACTCTCATAAGTTTTACTTACTTTTCTATTTCTATATTCATAAGTTACAGTATTTTGATGGAAACAAATTGACATAATATTTTATTTTAATTTAAAAAAAATTGTTTACTCAATTTGTTTATTTGCGGACAAGAAAACTCCGTTCTTCAATGGTCTATAATTTTTCAATACCGTCCGTGTGAATAATTGTCCTGTGCCATGTCTTATATAAATGCTTACAAACATCGGACAAATAAAAATGGTTCATCTGAAGATGAAAAGCAAACTTTGTTGGTGTTTGGGTATTCATGCAAGCTTTTCAAGGATGACGAAAAAGCTCTTTTCATTGATCAAGGTAAACATTTAATACCCTGGATGGGTGACGAGACATTAAAAATAGACAGGTATGCATCAATAATTGTTTACAAATAAAATAATATTTAGGGATCTATATGTTTTGGCTTTACAGATATGATTGCCGCGGGGCTTTAAGCGACTTGCAAGCTGTAGAAGCCCTACCATTTGGTCAAAGTCGTTGGGAAGGATTGACACCTGAAGAGAAGAAGATTGAACAACTATGCGAAGAAGAAAGGTATAAATCTCTCAATGACAAAAATGAAGAAGAATCAATTTATCAAGGTAAACAATAGTCGTCTTACTACAATTGTTTTATTGTTTTAAAAAAAGCAGTTAATTGAATTATGTTCAATAACAAAAAAAAAACACGTAGGTAACACATTAACAAACAGCTAGGTACAATGTGTTAGAAAATAATTAACTATAATATAAATATTCAGAAAATAAAATGTAGGAAAATATTATACTAGGTAGATTATAAACATGTTGGAATTCGAACAATTAAAAACACTTAAATATCAAATTATTAAAATTTGGAATCTAAACAATTCAGAACACTTAAATGTCAATATAAAATAATATAAATATTTTGGTTTTTATTTTATCTAGGGTTCATTTTTTTTCCCTGACTATTATTCTGATAATTTAGATTTTCAAAAAATTGGTTTTCAAACAATTTATTTTTGTCACCTATTTTCTAGGATTTATTTTTTAATTTTAAATTAATTAAAATTAAGAGTTTTAGGTTCTAATATATAATTGTTTTTGATTTTTATTTTCTGTGCATTTAGCCACAACTAAATAAACAAGAATGATTATGAAACTAATAGAAAACTGAAGAAAATAATAATAATTTATCAGATTGAGGTTTAAATCCTTTACATTGACTTGTTAAACTACTATAAATAATAGTTTTAGACATTCAATTTTTTTTAACTGCATAGTTTAGTAAGAATTATTAGCATAAATTGTACACTTGAATTAATGTTTTGGTATCTGGAGGTTTTTTAGTTTCTTTTATCTCTAAAATAAAACAATATTTGCTATTAACTATTATTATAAGTTAAACATTATAATCTATGAATTTAATGATATTTATTCTTAATTTGGTGTTCATAGTCTGTTGCGTTTTTATTTTGACTTGTGTTACCTAATGATAAGTTTTAAAATCTAAATTAGTTGTAAGTAGAAACAAAATGTACAATACTCCAGGCAATGTTTTTCTTATATATTTTAATGTTAAACAGGTGTCACCCTTATTGTTGGAGGTGAAATGACTACCTACTTTTGATTTTAAAATAGCAACCTATATTGAAAATGCCTTAAATAGATAGAGTATTAGTTAGAATACATTATTTCTGACAACTAATAATGGAAAAAGTAAATACTTTTTGAAATAATGACAGTTCAACGATAAAAGAATCACTCAGTAGACAGAGATTTAATAATCCATGAAACATGATGGGTTACCCTATATTATCAAATTAACTTATTGTTCTATAAAATATTTTAAATTTTAAATAGAAAGGAAAAAAAAATGTATAGCCTTTAAAATTTTGTTAAATTAAATTTTTCAATTACTTATTGTGTTACTTATTTAGGCAACTCTTTGACAACTTAGTATTCTAGTATTCTAGTTATACCGATGTTTTTACTTTCTAAATGCTTTTGTGATATATTAGTTCATAATATATTTGTTTGCTTGTATATAAATGTAATTAGAGGAAGAACTCAAACGACTCCACCAAGCTTTGAATAATGATGAAAAGGAATATGGACAAGTTGGTTATAAATATGAAGACGAATCTTCAAACACATCTGAAGTAAAAACTATAGATGATACTGAATATGATCCTGAACTAGAAGAAGCTTTTATACCACCGAGAGAATTAGAAATTCCTTCTAATATGCACGTTGTGAGATAAATAAAAACTTAAAAATTTGTTAATGGTGATTTTACAGTTTATTTTATTTTTAGCCTACAACAAAAAAATTAAATGCTATCATAGAAAAAACAGCATTGTTCATATCAAAGCACGGAGCCCAAATGGAAGTACTGTTGAAAGCGAAACAAGCACATAATCCTCAATTTGAGTTTTTATCCTTTGACCGGCCACTATACCCTTACTATCAACACATACTTTCAGCTATCCGATCTTGTCGTTATAATCCTACTCTTGCTAACGATAGCGCTGAAGGTAATATTTTACAATCTAAACTAAAAATGTTTATTATTTATCAAAATATATTATTTTAGATTCATTAGATTCCTCAAATGAAGAGAGTTACCTTCATCCGAGTCTGTTAAAAAGTGCAAAACAACCAGAAACGGTAGGTGCCCCAGTTTGTGTTCTACTATACATTTTTTAACCAATTTTTTAAAGAGTATTAATTTTGACAAAAAAATATGTGATAACATTACTTGTCTGTGATATCTTACGTCATTTGCTAATAATTTATATTTTTATTTTTTTTTAAATGTGTATATTTTATTAAACAGTGATTATTTTAATGATATTTTAGATGAATCATTATACAAATTAAACTTAAATTACAGAATTTTGACATAAAAATATATAAAAAAAATTTGAATTTATTCTCTTTATTCTTTTATTTTTATTTTTTTTACACATAATTAAATGGTGTATTCAATATTTCTTTTTCCTTTTTTTTTCACTACTGAAATAAATTAAAAATGGTAATTTTATTGAAACAAATTGTACCATAAAAGAGTAGCAATTTGACGTTAAGTGATATCTTGGATTATAATGTGTTGGTTATAACTGTAGATAAGACATTCATTTATAATATTGCCAGTGGAATACATCATCTATGTACATTTAAGCTAATAATGAGGTAAAAGGTTAAGATGAAGACTGGTTAGATTTCATAAAAAAAATATATATCTTTGATGAAATTGTAAATAACCATGATTTATAATACAAATGGAGACAATACATCAATGTGTTGAAAATATGTCATCTTGAATGCCGTGTGGTCTGGATGCTGGTAAGTTATGTGATTCTTCTTTTAAATATTTTGAAAATAATATTATTTTATATTGGATATATTTATAGATATTTCCATGATTAATTGGTTGTATATAATTTTTATTTTTAAATTGAAATTTATCTAATGATAATATTGAGTAGACTATTAACCTGAGTGATTTACTGAAATGGATTATATTAGAGAAATAATTAATATATAATATACATTGAAAATAAAGTATAAAGTAAAAATATCTCATATAAAAAATTCTAATTTTAGAGTGTTTTTGGTATTACTTTTCCATAAATATCAACATATAAATCTACATTTCTAAATCTTATTAAAATCAATATAACTAATTTTACAATAAAACATTAGGCATGTTATATAAATTCATTGAATTTGTAAACTAATACAGTAGTAGATGAAAAGGTAAAATATATATAGTAATTAAATATAAACTGCTACATATAAGTGTCTATAATTGATATTTCAAAAAGTGTTGAAGTTTTTTTTGACAATTTAAGAAACAAACAGTTCTCAAATTTTATATTATCATTTTATTTTGTCACTTTTATTTTTAGGGACAGAACATTATACATATTCTATAAATAGATAGAGTATTAATTTAAATAAATGTTGGTGTTGATTTTTGATATCCATCAACTCATTGACAAGATATTCGTCTTTAAAGTTTGGGTAGGGGTAGAGTGCTGAATACTGGAGCACTATTAAAATACCATGTACCTTGCTGCCACACAAATTATGCTAGACTACTCCTGAAATCACGAATTTCAGCACCATAATGTATTTAAACCAATGCACCATCATGGAATTTTTAATTAGGTATAATTTAATAAGGTGCGATTTGAAAATCAAAATAGGAAATTGTTCTAATCAACCCTAAAACAAAGGTAACAAACAATAATTATGAGAATGTAAAATTTTAGAGTTTTTTGTTTCTTAAATAAACAAAAAAAATTTTGTTTGATAAAATGCAATACTTTTTAATGTATGGATTGGAAACACTTTAATAGAAATATTGTATATCTATATGCAATTATATAATATTAATGACAAAAATTGATTTTGATTTTCATAAAAGTTTTTAACTTAAAACATTAATAAAAATATTATTTCATTTTCAACCTTTTTTTTACCATTAAGTATTATTTATGATGGACCTATTGTGAATTTTTGATATTTGTTTAGTTTTATAAGTAAACTTTTATAATAGCATGTGTTATGAATCTTATGCTAAACGAAAAATTCCGAATTTTATAAATACATTAGTTTTACTTTGAACTGATTATATCACAATAATAAAATCAAGGCGGCTAGTGAGTCTTTAGTAATTAAAAATCACCTTTTCAAAGAAAAATCTAAATAGTGTTATTTTATCAATTTAGTAAATATTAGTTGTTTATAAATTAAAATAGCATATTTTGTCTAGAATTATCTAATAATTGTTATCTGACATTTTGTGAATTTATATTCTGTGGTTGTGATTAATTTTATTTAAACAATACAAGTGGTTATTTTTAAGTGATTTAATTTATTATAATATTTTTTAGCTAAATTATTAAAATACATTAAATTTAAATTGAACTAGATATGTAGAAAAAATATGTAAATAGGCATTTTTAGAGGCAAACAATTTATAACTGTAGGACTCGTGATGTTTCTGATCAAATAATTTAATTATTATTTAGGTTTTAAGATAGAAAGTCAATTTTTTCATCGTTTAAATTTATTTGTTCGCTTTTTACAGTTTTGTAAAAATTATTCAGTATTAGTATTAAAAATTGAAAATAATTTAAACTATTATTACATTAATATTTTCCAATTTTTACCAATTAATAAAAATACTAAAAGGGAAATCAAACAAATACTATCCCAATACACCAACTAGACAAAATGTATTACCTGCAACTACCCCTGAAGTTGACAACTGGAGTAATACTTTTGGTATAAATTAATTAACGGAAAAAATAAAAAATAGTAAAACCTTAAATTCCTCGCTATCCTCAAAACCTGAAATTAACCAATCAATAATAATTATGTAAACATATATTATAGTTCAACCTCAATTTAACTTGTAATTAATATGTATCCTATTTAAAATGTTGGGTGTAACAAAAATGTTGTTTTTTAATTTTCCTCATTATCATCCTGTAAAGAAAAAATTGAATAATAAACTAAACTAAATTAAATTTTGTATAAATATATTATGCCTATTACATTAGTTTAGTTGTTTTTAATTGACATAGTATTATATATTTTTAAGTTCTACAATAGAGGTTCTATTTTACAGAATGATACATCTCCCAGATTTTACAAATATTAATAATATTTTTCAAGTACAATATTTATGATTTAAATTATTGTACTCTGAACAGTTTTTAAAAAATTAAAAAATAAATTTCAATTTATACTTGTATTAGTTTTTAATTTTGGTATTCACTGGTTCTTAACTATTAATCTAAAAAAAAAAATATTGACTGTTTTATTTTGACTTCATATCATTAATTTTAATATTTTTTTAAAGATCAATTCTGATTGAGCTAATTCAAATGAGTATGAGTACTACTTTATTAGTATTGACTAATTTTATAATATAACAATATAACTGAATTTGAGACAGGTAAGGCTAGAGGAATTTACATCATAATAATGATGTATTTCAATTACATTCTTGAGTAAGAGAATCAAATACCCTATTTATTTTAAATCAAGTAAGGTAAGTTAAGGATTCTCCATTAAACAAAATATTATACCTTAGTACTATGTTTTTATTTTTATCCAACATGAGTACTGTTATACATTTTTATAGGTATCGATAATTTTCATGGAATAAAGCAGATTATTTTGCCAATTTAAATTATTACGCGTATCATAAAACACTTCTAATTAATTTTATGTCATATTTTTTGTATACAATTTCAATATTATGTTTTATTTTTCAGGTTATAACTGTGAGCGGATCGAGTTTCTATTTATCCAATTATATTTTAGCTTCTATTTGTACCCAATATTATATCAAAAAATTCCTTTTACTTAATCTTTCCTGATTAAAAAATAATAATAATAAAATTATAATCTTCTATTGTTAAATTTTTCCTTTTTAAAATTCTCAATTGAATTAATAAAATATTAATTTATTTAGTTTTCATATAATCTAGTTTAAACATTGAGAAGTCTATTTGATTGCTCCCTAATTTAATTCCTATTAACCAGATTTTAATGGAATAGGAATTAAATCTCGTTTTGCAAAAAAATTTCTATTTAGTACCACTGCAATGTAATAATTTATTTTTAATTGAATTTATTTCCAGACGCCATTTATACCAAACATAACATACAAACCTTCTGCAGACTGTTCATACTTAATGCTAGTAAACAAAATTAAAGAAAAACAATCTGCAATGCCAGTAGAAGAGACCAGTATCATTGAAGTAGAAAATGCTTCCACAAATGTTACCTCATCAGAATTTGATGGACTGACAAAATCAGCAAGACGACGACTGAAAAGGAAATTAGTATCACAGTCTTCATTAAATGCACCAAACTCTCCAGACTCTGATGATAATGAAATTATTGATGAATTGAATTTAACTGAAGTATGAACAATTTAATTTAATGATGAGTTATTCTTTGACAGTAACAAGAGATTTTTTTTAAAATTAATTTAATAACATTAGTTAATTATAATTGTTATAGATCTAATTTGAAAATAATAGATTAAAGACAGGCTTAACTGTCTTTGAACTGTTTGAAAAACATGATAAATTACCATATTTAAATTCAATGATACTTACTAAACATTATGAATATCATCATTTTTTTAATTTCCTAGTTTAAGATATTCCAGAAAATATTACTAATAACAATATTTATATAACCTCGTGAGAAACAACATAGAAAATAATTTTACTTCTTTTTAAATCATATTATTCATAGGTTTTTAATAAAATATTGATAAGCTCTTTAGGATATTATTCCCATTTACTATTATAATTTTATTGTTAGGGAGTGAATAAAAAACCATCAAAGTGTAGTAGTAGTAGTAATAGTTTTGATAAATGTAGATTAAATTATGCACTATTATTCTATTAGTTAAGTAATTTAAAACTGATAATTTTATTAATTGTTATTACACATTTTCTTAGGCGAATGATATAAAAATAGGGTCAGAAATTTCAAACACAGTTCAACCAAATATTATAGTTAATGTTGATGTACCTCCCAATGATTTACAAATTATAATTGATAAAATGGCTTCTTATGTGACAAAAAATGGAAAACAATTTGAAGAAACTGCGCGGAAAAGACGTAAGTATAGGTTAAAGTTATGATTTGATCTTATGAAAATTGTGTTGTATTATTTTTAGAGGATCCAAGACTAAAATTTCTAGAGCCCGATGATTGTTTCAACGCGTATTACACTCAAAAACTTAAACTTTATGCAACAATTAAACGTTTGGAACAAACAGCTCCATCCAAATCATTTGTGGACACTAAAACAAATTCAAAATGTAACTATAATCAAATATATTAGTATTTTATCAAACAGTAGACTATAGTGAGGTAACCTATTCATTTTTACTATTATAATTTTGCATTTTCTTTCCAAATAACATTCAACACAATTTTCAGTTAATAGCTTTAATAGGTACTATAAGTGATAAAAATAACAATTGAAATTATCAAGGGGAAAAAAAGAAAATATTATTATATAATTTAATGTTTTAAGAAAAATTTATTATAATAAATAATTATTCAGTACTTATTATCAATCATCATTATAATCTTCGTTATTATGTTTTAATATAATTATTACCTATTAAATAAGTATTAAATTCCCATGATCGTTTTAAAATTTTGAGATATAAAATTGATTATTATCATAGTATTAATTTAACAAATTGTTTTACATATTATAAAATGCAATTCTAACTTTACATATTTTCATAGTACCTGTATGTTTTTCATTAAAAAAACAAAAAGAATCTGAAGGTGTGGAAATAAAAAAAAGTGCTCTAGAAGATAGTTCAAACGAAATGAGTGATGATGATCATAGGAAAGATCGGACCAACAAAACAGAATCTAGCCATTCCAAAACGAATAAATCCTCATCCTCATCTGGATCTGTTAAGAAAAACCCATTACAAAATACAGCTAAATTAGGTAACTGAGTATTATTTACTCATATTTTATACCTAACTGATTTTGCATTACATATTTATAGTAAGCCTATTAATAGGTTTACTATTGGTCATCGGGTACTATTAGGTAATATACCTAATTTGTTTCTTTAACAAACAATATTTTTATCAAAGTAAGAACAAAATAAAAAAAAAAAAAAATGAATAATATCTATTTAGGACCAATGTAATATTATAAGTTTAAATGTGAATTTAAATGCCTACTTGAAAAAGTAGTATATAGTTATAATCAAACCGAGAAATGTTTAATATATATCAATAAGGATAATCTATCTTATATTATAGCTGAAGATAGATTAAAAGATAAATTGGCTATGGCAGCCAAAGAAAAACTTGCCATGCTAGAAAGGGAACGTACAAAAAAAGAAAAAGAAAAAATCCAAGCCGAGAGGAAGAGAAAAGCCGCACAGTTTTTAGCTTCCATGAAAATTGTGTCCTCTTCTAATAGAGAAACGACACAGTGTAACAACGCCACCATCACTGCTACCCAAGAAGTGATAATGAAATCTGATACTGTCAGTCCGAGTAAGTGCAGTGAACTAGTGAAATTTATTTCATTCCATGCTGACACAAGTTTTGTTTTATTTCAGATTCTCCCATCAAAAATACTATAGCAACTAATCTGATAGAGAAGAGACCCTCTTCTCCTGTTCCTGAGAAGAATGGTTTGCTCACTACTGGTGACAGTTTACCCCAAACTGCACGGTTTTCATCTGCCAGAGTGCAAGAAATCATTTCTATTGGTTCTAGGTATGCAATATTTTACCACATGCCTGTGGCGTTAGGAAATGACATAGCTAACAATGTCTTTATGTAGAGAAATCAAGGTGGAATTTTGGTGAAATCAAAGGATCCACCAGTCCTAAGACTTGGACTGCATTTAATGCATTTCATCAGTATTTATACTGATTTATACTACAAAAAGGGCAGATCCCAATTTTTTTTATAATATATATTCTTAACTACAACATTTGTTACTTATAATTAGGGCTGGGAATGTAATGCCTAATTAAACCCTAAAAAATACTTACATATCCAAAAACTTAAAATAATGTATTAAATAATTTTGGTTTAAATCATATTTATATTATATGAATACAAAATTTTAAAAAATTGAACATATAGAACTTCTTTGAATTGGATTTATTTTAATCTGATTTGTTTACTCATAATTTAATATTAAACAGGAAATCTAATGATTTTAAATATACCATTATGTTAATATTGCCAAAGATAACACCAATCATTTTCTCATTTATACCATCATATGATAATATAAAATGTGTACACATTTTAAAATAATATGTTGTATACAAAAACTCCTAAATGCCCCCAAAACCTTTTTTATTTTAAAATCAAAAAAGCAAAATAAAATATCATTTATTTATTATTAAAAGTGCATAAATTTATAACAATATTAGCATCGCCCCTCAAGCTTTGGAAAAAAATACAAAGTTTATTGAAATCCCAGCTCTACTGCATGTTTTGTTTGCTACATAGGAAAACATGTTAAGTGAGGTATAAATCTGTTTAATAAGAATACAAATTTTACTAGTGCATGAATTTGCTTATTTTGGTTTATTTGGCATTTTTTAATAGACTTGGTGTATATTTCGTATACATTGAAGAAATTATTAATAGTTTTTGTTTAAAATTAATGAAACTCACAAACATTTTCATTTTCGAAGTTTTAGTATTTGTTAAGGTTTTTTTTTTATTCTTGTATGGCCTTATGGGCCATTAGGGCTACAAGGGCTATTAGGTTTTTCAGCAGTACCACAAAATCAATATTATCGCACTCCCTCTGTTTCGATATTGCAATCAGTATTTATTTTTGGTGAAACTAAGTTGTATATGCATGCAATGCTTTCCACCTTCTTATGAACTAAATCCTAATAGCTGTTATATCATTATATGCTATTTCGTAGAATATTTTTTATGCAGCCTATTAGAATTTTTTGTAAAGACAAGATCAATTATTTTTTTTTTCATTTTTGAAAAATGCATTACGAGTTCTGCTTATAAATATTAAAATAATTGTAAGGTATTATATCTTTTGAATAACATTAATGTGGTAAAAGTAAAATTTAAAAAATCAGTAATAAGTTTAATATGTAATAAAAACGTTAAACGTGTGCATGTTCAATAAAATACATAAAAACTCAATTCGTATTCTTTTACAAATTTGTGTTAATAAATAATATTTAGTTTATAACAATGTAAGAATTACTTAGGCTGGGAACATTTCTTATAAGTAATTATACTAAACAATTTTTATCTTTCAAATGGTAATATCTTTAAGGACCTCTACCATAATATTTGTTTTCTTTCGGTTTCACGCCTAATATATCATCAAATGCACGTGATACTTTTTGGTTGCATTTAAGTGAAAAGAACCCATTTAATGAGAAAAAATAAAAAGTACTATGCCTTGGCTGAATGATTTGTTTAATATTTTAATTTTTATCAAGAAAACACACAGGTTTAATTAATCTAATTTTACTCATTATTAACTTATTAACAACCTAATGATTTTACATGAATATAGTACCTGAGTTAATAGGTTTTTATGTATTTGAAGAGTGCAATATTTGTTTTTATTATATACTTATTGAGCTTCTAAACTTTTTTTAAAAACATTTTTGCCTCACACTGCTTGACAAAGTCTTAATGCGATATTGTATAAAATGCAAAAATTTGTTTTATGGTTTTGAGTTTTTGATGATAATAAAATAATAGCAGAGCAACATTTAAAACTTAAATTCATACTTTTATATAATACTACAAAGTTTGTTTTTTAACTGTAGGTTGTCTGTGTGTGATTGATATGCTTAATTTTTATTAACAAAACAATACTACTTTTTTCAGTGACGAAGAAATGATATACAACAATGGTGAACTTAACAAAAATAATAAACACACCAAAATGTCTCTGCAGTCCAGATTACAGGGTATATATACACATTGTTTTTTCTTGCTTTATAGTTTTTAGTACCCAGTGGCGACGTTAATGATCTGGTTATTTAATAATAGTTATATTTGAGTGGATAGTAAATAGTAAATTCAATTTTTTGCAAATTTCATGGTATTGATTAGTTTAAAAAGACTATAACTAGAGGTTATACATTGGTTATTGTATTGCGCCCCCACCAATAGACTTATAGTTACAATCTTAATATGATAACCATAAACTTTTAATGATTTATGTGAATAAATTTCACGCCGCCACTTTATTTGTAGTAAATAATTGAATGTTGAAATTCTTTATTAATATTTTTTATTTACATAATAAAATCACAGTTTCCGATTGTCATCTGTATGTATAATTTTGAGTTATTTTTTCTTTTTCAAAGGAACACTGGTGGTTGAGAAACCGTTTGTTAACTGAATTGAACATTGGAACACCCATTTCTTAACACTTTATTCAATACTACTTATTTTCATCTAGTCTTATTTAGGCGTGCATGTCCACCTATCAAACGGTTTCTTCTACCACTATGTGGATCATGAATTTTTTAAACTACCAAAATTCATCGAGTAGATATTTTTCATTATTATTACAATTCCAGAAACACTGTCCAAAGAGGTTATCAAACGCAAAAAAAACGAAAACTACGACAAAGAATACTACAAGAAAATGAAACGTCACGAAGAAGTCAAAGAAAAATCTCCAGAGTATGTAGTACAAAACAAATTTTGTTATTTTGATATGGTTAAGGGCTGTTAACGTTTCAATTTTTAATCGTTAAAAGACATAATATGTCTGTTATAAATAGTTCAGTCATTCAGTAAAATGTAGTTATATATTTTAGTAAAGTTACTGAATCACTAAATCATAAATTCAGTTACTGAAACATTTGAACACAATTAAGTCATATTTTTTTTTATTTTTACACATTAATGACAGACATAATAAAAACCACAAATTATAATATATCTTAAGTTGTGATAAAAATGAATAATTATATTCAATATTATGATCATGATTAAACTTATTTCGTCTGAAAAATGAATAAAGTCCAGTAATAGAAAATTGTCAGTGAATTATTAAATACATGCAAGTGTTTATTTTAAAATTTACTTATTTTTTACACAAAAATTCACCAGAATTTTTTCATCAGTTATGTTGATATATTGTAAGCATATTCTATTATAATAGAAACCAATATGAACATATCACATATTCTGATTAAATTAAAAATTATTATTCATCTGGTCATCTTGATTCACACTTATTTAGCCTAGTTTAACTAGTCAGTATCAATCATCATCTTACAAACTTTAAATATGATTACAAAACTCAAAAAATAATTCACTGTTACAACCCCAGAAAACTCCCAAAATTAAGTTATATTTGTATTATAATATGGTTTGATGTCTTTTAGCCGTTACTCTTCTCGGGAAAACAAAGAGCGAAGAAGTAAGAGTTCGAAGAAATCTCATTCTAGTCACCATGGCAGTTCCTCGTCAAAAGACCGCAAGAGTGAACGTAGTAGTAGCAAACGGTCCAAACATAAGAAAAAGTCCAAAAAGTCCAAAAAACATGCACATTATGATTTAGAAACGTCAGACGATAGCACCAATACCAACAACAGTTGATTTTCTTGAGCATTATTGTATATCAATTTTTATAAAATATGTAATAATATGTATCTATCCCCCTACACAACAATATCCCATGGTAATGTACATATTTTTTTTTGTATTTAAATTATTATCTTAATTAAATGTTTTTGATATTTTTAAAATATATAACATTATTAAAACAAATGAGTTTAAAATTATACTTCTATTACTGTTAAAACTTTCTGTATACCTACTAATAGAATGAGGAATTTTATAATAGCATTGGAAAAAATTTCATAATGCCAATGTTTTACATAAAAATTATATATATTTCCGACAAAGTTACATTCGTACTTGAACATAATACACAAAAGTCCTTAAGCTTGAAGTAAACAGGCGCCACCTACTCTCTTAATCTTCTGTTCAGCTTTTTTGGAAAAGAATTTTGCTTTTACGATGACTGGTTGTTTGGGAAGATTACCCTTTCCCAAAACTTTGTAGTAACCCTGAATAAAATATATGAAAATACACTAATTATTTATGATTTTATAAAATATTAGTAATAATTTCGTTAAAGTCTGAACCAATCAGATTTTATAAATTTGGCCACAGAAATTTGTACTTCAGACCGCCTGTCGCTAAACATTTATTTTTTCATCATGATGGTTTGACTTTTAATAATAAACATACATATTTAATTTGATGAACTATTATTAACCATATTACCTTCTTAACAATATCGATAACAACTGCCTTTTCTGTATCTTTTTCATACTTCAACCTAGTCTCTTCAGGGATTAGTGTATATAGTTGACCAATGTTAATGGCTGGACACCATTTCGAATTTCTTCTTAAATGGTAATTACGCATACCCAACTACAGAAATAAAAGCAACATGTGTTAGTATAATAATTGAAAATAAATTATTTATAATACATAATAGTTGTTAGCATTATCTCTTAAAATAATAATCTATGAGTGGCAGTTTAGCAATAATTTACAACAGCTTCTGAAATATAGACATTTTGAAAGATTTCTCTCTCAGACAAATGCCTCCAAAGCACATTAAACTAAAAAAACTAGGAAACTATTTAAATATAAATTAAGATTTTTCATTTTTTCAATAAATGGGAAAAATATGGTATGTAATACTACATGTAAACAAAAAACTACACATTTTAATTCAATATATATATATATACAAAAATGTTATGTATATATGTATATATATATATATATAATATTGTAAATTGTATGTATAGTAATATAGTTAAAGATCGTAATATTTCAAACTTATCAGTTATCATTTTTGGCCAAATTTAGATATATATATATATATATATATAAAAAAAAAAAAAAAAAAATGCACAGAATAAATGGATAGGATGGACAGAATCATTTTTTGATTTCTTGATTTAAAGTAAGATTTCTAGTAGAAAATGTAAAATTATGAAATTGAATCAATAATAATCAAATTATTATTTACAAAAGCATTAACAATACAACAAATTAATAAATATTAAAATAATACTTAATTTATGAACATTAAAATGTTTTTCAATTTTAAATGTAAAGAGAAAAAAAAATATCAAATTTTTGAAAGAAAATAAGACTATTTTTTTACCAATGTGTTCCATGTGCTTATGTCTATAGTAAATCCTAATAATTCATAACACAGAAAAGTTTGTATTTTACTATAAATAAAAACTCATTATTTGTAAATGATAAAAATCATACAAAAGTTGCGGTTATATAAAATAAATGTACTTGTTACCTTTCCAAAGTAACCAGGATGGTATTTATCGAAGTTAATTCGGTGGTGATGCATACCTCCAGCATTACCTCGACCTCCAGGATGCTTTCTATGCTTACCTGAAAATCAATTAGACATGATAAAAAACTGAATGAAAATATATATAATATAATTATAATAGTAAGTAACAAACAATCAGAAATAAATTAGCCACATAAAAGTTGTACTTCAGACCGCCAGTCGCTAAACTTTATTATCATCACATTGAAAGCACTTTTAAATTAAAAGGTATTTATTTATATAAAGTGTATATTAAATTTCATCAATTTAAATTATAAAATAAAATAAATTATAAATAAAGAAAAAAATCACTTTAATTTAGCACACACTATATAACAAAACACTAGAAATGTTTATTTTGTTGATCAAATGGTGCATATAACATTATTCATGAAATTTTTCAAGAAACCATTGGTAAATTATGGAAGTTTGTCGTAATTAGGGTATAAATGTTGCTGTGCTCAGAATATTTTAAATGAATAAAACCCTACATTGACATTGCAAAATTAGGTAGATAACATGAAAAAAAATGATTGGGGTAAACCTCATGGAAAAATCAAAATGTTTGACGCTTGTTAATATACAAAAAAAAGGTGCAACAATTTTTTAAGATTAGTAGATGTCAAACTTAATAATACGGTCAAATGTAAAAAAAAAATTGTTTGAAAAACAATTATTTAAAAGAAACCAACGACAAACTTCAAAAGCTTAAAGTTTAAGTTATTAAGTCCATAACTTCCTTAATAATGGTTTCCCTAAAAAATTTCTAACACTTAAAATCAGTCAAAACACAATTTTTCAAAAAAAAAAAAAAAAAATTTAAAAATAAGAGGCACCTGGTAAACTAGATTTAGTTATAGATTTTAAATATTATAACCAAGTACCTACATTAGAAGTAATGTTATTAAATTATGTAGTAATGACCACTTAGGGCTGTAGTGGAGAATTTAAGGCGGTATACGCTGAATACCTTCTGGTTATGGTTGTATACTATGCCATAGTAAAATCACAAAATATATTGAAATTATTATTTTCATTTTTAGTTGATTAAGAAAACATAAGTTATTTACTATTTATACCCTCTAATAAAACAATAGGTTAGACAATGCATTTACATACATTACACTTATACCTAATTATAGTATGGTTATAACTTATACCCTCTTGCTTTTTTACGATTACAGCACTGGGAACACTTAGCTATACTTCTCAATACATACCTACACGACCATGTCCATGACTGACGTGCCCACGCAACTTCCTGGTCTTTTTCTTACTGGTAGTCTATAACAAAATATTAGATATGACTTCAATAAATAGTTTCAGATTTGACCTAAAAAGTAATAATTAGTAGTGGTAAACAGACAATATTAAGATTATATCGGAGTAAATTTACGTGTTAAATCACAATTTAAATCTAATGTCCTTTTATAAATAACGAGAGAAGTATGTAAAAAGAAAACTACAGACTTTAGACCTAAATGTATACAAATTTACAAAATATAATATATTATAACCAGATCAGGGCAGAAAAATCTCGACAATTATTTTCATAGATTAGCAATTTATCGTGTTACACCAGACACAGTACAGTAAGTATTTACAATTTTCAGAAATATATGTCACATGGTTTTTAATATTTTTGTATGTGCATCCAAATAAATGCAACGATAATGAAATGTTGAGATCACGTCTAGGAAAACTACATAAAAGCATAAAAAAAGAAAAAAATTAAAAACAATGATAAACTTACCATTTTTCTTCAGAGATGAAGGAAAATGAAGAAGCAACAAATAATTCGAGAACTGAATTCACTAAACAAGAACGAGTAGTTAAAAGGACGTCACTCCAATAAAATACAAAACTATAATTTTTAGGTTAGGCGGCAATATGAAATATTTGTATCGTCTTTGAATAAAACGAAACACAGGTAATCATGATGTTCGATAAAAAATGTGATGACCGCCATACATTATTTACTTTTTTATGCGCGGTACCACCTTCATTCATTTTCAACATAAATATAATATTAATTTGTGGCTATGGCTATGGTTTTCAAATAGATAAATAAAATTAAACAAAACGACTATATAATATGTTATGGACACTTCATATTAAAATTACCCCCTTCTGATTTTTGGATCAGATTTATCTCTGTGGGATTAGATGATAGAACAGTGGTTTTAACATCAAATATTTTTTCCTGATGCCCCATACAAATGCCCTCCCATGATACCAAACATTCCTTAACAAAGGAACTAGCCGGGAACTCATCCGATCACCATCGAATTTTGGAAACGGACGACTTTAGATCATTTTAAAACGTGATTCCAAATTCCATTCCGTATCTACCAAGGTCAATCATTTTTATCTGATATAAATTTTTTTTAATACACTTGAATACTTGAAACTGTTGTAGATGAGAAATTGAATGTATAGGTATTTGTAAGGAACGATAAACCATTGCTAACGAAAAAACGACTATAATGATATAGGCGATAAGTTTTAAATATTTTCTTAAATAATGTTAAAAAATTACCTTACAGAACCACCTCAGTCAGATTTCTCCAGAGAAAAAGTGCTAACTTGTAAATTTGAGCAAGATTTCTGGTAGGAAAAATGTACAGATAAAAAAAAATATTCCTCACTCTGCTTAGGATCTAAAATAGATATGCAATTTATTACCCTTTTCTACTCCTCCGGTCTAAACTTTTCACGGTTATAACTCATAAGCGGTAAATCTGATATTTAGTATTATGCATAGGTACTAAAATTTCTAAAATAATATCTATTCGAATTTTAACTTTGTTAAAAACAAAAGTATGTACCTACGTATTTAAGAGAAAAATGTAAACTATTTCACAATAATTAAAAAAAAAAAAAACAGAAATCAAATTCACTTAAAATCCTCAGAGATAATTGCTGGTTTATGATAAAAAAAATCACTCTGTTTATCAAACTATGGATGGGACTTGTGTGGGGTGACAAATTGTTTAGCATTTATTTGTTTTTATTTAATGAAATATGAACATAAATTGTTTGTCTCATTATTAATCTCAATAATTAGACTTACAACATATATTTGATTATAAAATACATACGTAGTTCATTAAATTTTCAAACCAGTTTGAAAAACAAAACAGATTACCAGTTTAATTATAATATCCTTATCGAAGGAAAGGGCATCAGAATCATAGAAATTTATGTGAGGAGAAAAACTTTTTATAAATTTAAATTATTGAAGTGGAGAGAAGGGCAAGATATTAATAAGTGGAACTTTTTTTTAAGGTTAAAAACATGCTATACTAGCGTGTTCTGTCTGTCCAACTAACATACAATATAGGAAAATCTACCTTTTAACAGAATGTGTAAAACTTGCTTCATTTTGGATTTATAGTAAAATCATCTACTATAAAATTAAAAGAGGAAAATATTCCGGAGGGCAAGACAATGCATTTTTCCTATTATTTTTATTCTTCTTCTTCTTCTTTCTTCAGCTTAAAGGTCCTTGTAAGTAAGTCTCTCCACTTTTCTCTGTTGAGTGCTAATTCAACAGACACATTCACATCCAACAATTGAATGTCCCTCTTCACAGCATCCTTCTATCTCGTTCGCGGTCTACCCAGTGGTCGTTTCTTCTGTATCGTTGCGGTTGTGACCTTTTTAGTATATCGTCTTTAGCTCTCCAAATATGTCCAAACCACTCCATTCTCTTAGTTCTTATATACGTTAATATCGTTGGTTTTCCATACAATTGGTACAAATTTTTGTTTTTCCGCCTTTCGAATGTTTTTAGATCGAGATTGTACACCGGGCCAAACATTTTTCTCAAAACCTTTATTTCAAATATTGCCAGTTTTTTGTTATCACCTTTCGTCGTAGATTAAGTCTCACACGCGTAAGTCACTATTGGTCTTAGATAACTGACATAGAGCAGTGTTTTCGACTTTCTCGACAACAATTTAGATTTCAATAACTTTTGGATGCTATGGTAGCATCGGTTTCCACATGCTAATCGTTCAACTATTTTCTGATGCATGTCATTTTTATTGTTTATGTTCACACCTAGATACTTAAAACTTTCTACACTTTCAAATGTGAGATTATCTACTTGTAGATTAGGCTGATCTTCTCTTCTCTTGGAAAGTACTATAAATTTTGTTTTTCTTCATTAATACGAAGTCCCATTCTTTTACTGGCCGTCACAAGGTTAGACATTGTCTGGGTGATATCTTGTCTTGAGTTTCCTAAAATGACAATATCATCTGCATACGCCAATATTATTTCTTTATTTACCACCTCAACTTGATGACTATGATTTATTTCTCGAATCACCTTTTCGAGACCTAAATTGAATAGGGTTGAGGATAAGGTATCTCCTTGTCGTATATAACAATAATACTTTATTATAATTTACATCAAACATTTTTAACTTCTCTATTGTAGAAGTTGCTACCCATAATCTATAACAGTCGACTGCGGTTTTGTTTAAATAATTATTTTCGGTCCTTCCTAATTTTTATCTTTAAATTAAATTTATTTTTTAAAGTATTTAAATTAATTATAATTTGAGGTTTTGGATGTTTACCTACAGGAAACTAATGACCAACGACAAAATGAAAATACAAATGACCTCAACTTCAATNTCTCCTTTTTTAAAAACTGGGCATAATATCGACAAATTCCACTCTTCAGGAATTATTTCTTTTTCCCAAATAAGATTGATAATTTTCCATATTTCGTTTTTCAGAGTTTCTCCACTATTTTTTACTAATTCTGCTACTACATTACTTTCTAATACTTTAGATGATTACTAATACTTGGCTCTGCCGTACTATATTGTATGTAGGTCGCATCAGATGGTCTAGAAGCTGTTTTATTAAGCAACATTTTATAGTAGTTTTTAAACTCTTCTGCTATATCCTTTTCATTTGTTAATAAGTCTCCTGTCTGATTTCTTACCATCCTAGTTTGTTGTTTATATCCCTGTTTGACATCTTTACTATTGCTAAAGAATTTTTTGGAGTTGAATCTGTTCTTTTCAATTTCTTCAATTTTTCTCTTTTCTTTCTGAGTATTTTATTAGTTTCTATTTTGCTCGCTTTGTATCGTTCTAAATTTTCATCTGTCGGATTTCTTAACACTTTTTCTCTTAGTTTATTTCTTCTGTCTACGGTTTCTTTACATTTTTCATTAAACCAGTTTTTCTTTTTACTATTTTTTTCCTACTCCTAGGCAGCTTTTTGCACTATTTATCACTGTCGTCTTTATTTTTTTCCATATATGTTCTACATTCTCATCATTATTTTCATTATTCAGCCTTAGCGTTTCATGGTGCATTGTATGAGCAAATTCATTCGAGACACATTCTTCTGCAAACTTTTCAGTACAAAATTTTTCTGATAGTTTTCCTTTATTTTCTCTCCAATGCACTGATAGTCTAGTCATAAATTTTGCAATGACTAAATAATGGTCAGAATCTGCACCCCTAAAGGTTATGTTTTGTATACATCCTTTGTGTCTATTTTGAATCATTATATGATCTATTTGATTTTTTACCACTTGGTTTGGGGCTACCCATGTCTGTTTATGGATATCCTTTCTAGGGAAATATGTACTACTTAAGACCATTCCATTTGTCATGCAGAAATTAATTAGACGGGTACCATTGTCGTTGCTTGTGTCATGGAGACTATCTCTGCCAATCGTTGGTCTATATACCTCCTCCTTACCTACTTTCGCATTGAAGTCCCCAAGAACTATTTTAACAGAATAATTAGATGTTATATCACATATCCTGTCAAGTTCTTCATAAAAATCTTCTTTGATATCATCTCTCTTGTCTTCAGTTGGTGCGTGAAAATTTATAATTATTAGATCAAATATGCATCCAGTTATCCGTATGTAGCACATACGCTCATTTATTATTTTTATAATTATTATTAATGTTCAATACATAGTTTAGAAATAAAAACTAATTTATAATTTTTAAATGGCTGTTAAAGTTCAAAAAATGAATTTAAAAAAAAGAAGCACATCATTTTGCTCTCCAGAATACTGTCAATTTTAATTTTATAATAGGTACTTTCACTCTAAAACCAAAATTAAATGAATTCTACTTAGTTAGCGCAAGGTAGATTTTGCTATATTGTCTATTAGTTAGACTGACAGCACATGTGGGTATAGCATCCTCTTAAAACCACCTTTTATCACTAAATCCCGTCTAGATATATTTTATCTAAAAATCAGACAGGGGGTACTTTTAATATGAAGTGCTACTAACAGACCTGCATAATATACTAGTGAAGATACCATTCATGTATTTTAAAAATCAATTGATATGGTGCTTTCATTTTGAGGGAAGAGACATTAACTCAATCAATTTAGATTACTAAGTGCATCACAATTATACAAAGTTTTATTACAATATTAAGGAAGTTATGTTCTTCAATGGGGGAAATCTACAACACCCTTTCCCTCTAGCTGTTAATACATCACAATACCTACTTACTTTTATTTAGATGTTACTGTACCTCCTTTCTTCCTTTATTTTCCTGGAATTTGGGTGGTGGGGGTTTGTAACATTAACATTTTTTTCTTTTTTCCACTTTCGGAAAATTTCCAGAAGAGGTTGACCTCTCCGGGGCACAATCTTCCCTTATAGATTTTCATAATATGTTTAATTGGAAAATAGCTAATAAGACAATATGATCTAATATGAAAAAATAATCCAAAAAGATTAAATCTAAATAAGATAACACCTGATCATCAATAAGAATAATATTTAATTAGTTTAAAAATATATATAACAAACAATTATAATTAAAGTATTCTATTATTATATTATTTTCAATTAAGCTATCGTTTCTTCAGCAACAAATTGTGGAACAAATGTATCGTTCAAATCGTTCAAATATTGATCGGGTAACCTGGCTGCATTCTATAAACAATTTTAATGTTACACAATAAAGAATCAGTTTAGAATTAAAATACTTACTATTTTTTTAGCCCTCTGTTCTAATATTGAATAAGCAAAATGGTTAAGCTGAAAATAGAATAAATTATAAGATCAAATATTTAATTATGAGAAAAATGTAGAAAAAAATTAAGCAAATTTGACATTTTTTTTTTTTTTTTACTTTGATTCATTTATAACAATTTTTCTAATTTTAAATACTAAACAGTAAACAACCATTACTAATGAATATTTAAAAAAAAATTATAATAATCATTGTAAAACCAATAAATTCCTTTCATCGGAATCTAAAAATATATCTGGAAAATATTTTGTAATGGAAACAAAATAATAGAATTCATTACACAATAATAACTAAATATAAAACTATACTTACCATAATATTTTTAGGCAAGGAAACACCTTGAAATCTATACAGATTACCATCTTTAGTCTCTAATCTGTGCACCTATTTTAGAATACAGAAATATTATGAATATGGAGTAGATTTTAGATACAGTGAAATCTGTATATATAACAGACAGCAATGGAACCATACAGACCAAGAGCTACATTTTGAACCAAATTTTTCAGTACAAAAGTTGTTTACAGAAAAAAAAAAAAATTAGTATCATTGTAAAATTAATATATTCCTCACTCCATTTAGAAACTAAAATTAAAACGAACAGAGAAAAATGTAAAACCACTATAATGACGAAGCAATACGGAATAAGCATTGAATAGTTTTTACGTTTTATATGAGTTTTTGGTAAATTTTGTCCTGGCAATAACTTTATCCTTATTATCAAACATGTAATCTGTCATAATCACTATTAAAAATAGAAGAGCAACTCTGTTACATGATATGCATGTACATATTTACAATATATTTAACCTTGAATTAAGATAGCTGTCTGATGTTAAGATATTGGGGAAAAATATTACTATCCGTGTTAGTAATTAAAAAGAGTCCGTTATAGAAAAGTCAAAATATATTTAAATGCCTATCTTTTAAACAGAGCCTCATTATTTTGTCTGTTAAGAGAGGTTTCTGTTATATACAGGTGTCTGTTATAATAGGTTTCACTGTAAATTATTAATTGACATTGAGAATAAATTAACATACCGCAGCAATAGTACAGCGCCCTAATAAGTCTGTATTACCAAGCATAGGCCCTCTACTTATGTCAATATGGTCACCAATTCTGTATAATATCACTTTTTTATCTAAAAAAAAAATAATTTTATGTTAAAGAAAATTAATTTTAAACAAAGTTTTTGAATTTTATTTTATAGTCCAACTATGAATCTATGACAGAATAGATAAGTATAATTACATACCTATGTATTTTTGATACACACATTGGTTCAAATATTTCTTCATTTTACCTATTATCATAGTATCCTATTTTTTATTGGCTAATACAGCATTGCTGATAATAATGTAGAACTACAACATAAGCCAAGTGTGGAGGAGATGCGCAAACTGAACAAAAATGTGAGACACTGTAATGATACCTTTCTATTTTGCCATGTATGAATTTATGAGAATAAACTAGTATTGTTCTGATTTGAATACAGTGTAAACAATTAAAAAATAGTTTAAATTGACCTTCTCTCTAGTGTGTCTTTTTAAAGTTCCCTCATACAATACCAGGAACCAAACTCCTTTTTATATTCCAGCTCACTCAACTATGTACAACCATAATCATTCACTGCATAGGATGCTTAGGATGGATTAACCTCTGTCTACAACCTATAATATTTGTACTCTTATAATATTAACTATTGTTATCTCTTATATTTTGTACTGTTTCACTATGTTTGTTAATCAATTATTTAAGTTTTTGTTTTTGTAATTACCACTCAGTGTTTATATTCTAATAAATAAATAAATAAATATTTTAAAGATAAATTATCTAAGCCATAAGTATTATCATGGCCAGTTTTATTATATCAAATAAAAATAATAAAATATTAATTTAACATTACCAACTGACTGTTGAACAATATTTGGTATTTGTTCTTTTTTAAATTTATTGTCCTGAAATATATCTAATGCGAGTTCTTCAGAAACTGGAAGTCTGTCAAACTGATATGATTTTTGTGCTAATTTAACCATATTGGCTGACAAAATTCTAAGTTCATTATCTGATGGTGACCATTCTGGTAAATTTGACAACTCCACATCATAAACAAAACTTCCACTTTTTACTAATATCAAAATAAAAACAAATGTTATAAAATAAACACAGTTAGTACAAGGAAACTAAGAACTTTCAAGTATAAAATGTATGGATATTGAGTGTTAAAATGATTGAAATAATTAAGCTAATGAAGAGATTCATTTAGACAGAGAAAACCAAGTCATCAATTGAGTGTTCAGGAGTTCAAACCAACCTAATATTTGTAATTATAGATAAATTAATTTTACTAACAAAAGAATAAACATTTATTTTCTTCTAAGTTTTTAAAAATATTTATAGTAAATTTGTTATTAAAACGATAATGTTTGGGCGTTAAACCAAAGTACAGAATATACAAACTAACTAGTAAGAGCTATACATTGTATTATATATAAATAATAGGATGATATAAAACTCATAAATCAAACATGTAAACACAAATAATATAAATCTTTAATTACCATTAGGAGAAGGAAAGCTATGTAATGTTGGTAAAATGTCTTCTCTGAAAGCTTTAGTGATTACAGCTCCTAAAATAAGCGAGCAACTACGCCAATATGCTCTGTTGAAATGATATGGATCTGGAAGATATTGGGCATGCATAAAATTAATTTCGCAATCTGACTCGAGCGGCCTATGCATATCCCATAAATGTATACCATCAATTAAGGCAAGTCCACTTCTTTTAATCAACATTTCGGATATATCTAAAAATAAATAAATATTAAATGAGAAACTAAGGTGTTAAATAATAATTTATCATACGTTTAGCGCAATGATAGGGTGTTGAAATTCCTTTGTTCATGGATAATACGACATTTTCAGGTGGACCATTGTAATTAACTGTGATTTTTTCAATCCGACCAACCGCTTCTCTTTGTCGTTTTTGTTCTTTGTCAAATAAGTTGTTTTGGTAGGCTAATATTTCACTTTTGATTTCGAATTCTTTTGACATAGAAACATATCTTTTAGCTAAAAACACAATTCATTAAAACAAACAAAAATAAAAACATAAATGTATTTTTTACAAAAGGTATTACAATAGGTACCTTTCATATACTACTTATTTGACATATTATAAAAAAACAATTGTACTCACATAACGTATAGTTGTAATTCCTGTACAAACAACTACCAAACCGTTTCATTTTTCTTATTAAATAGTCGACAAATAAATAAATACAATTATTTTACATTAAATTTAAACAAATTAATTATCACAAATTGTTTGTATGAAAAGGAAAAACTTATGATTCACCATGGCTAGATATACAAACATGTCGGCAAGATAACCACACTACACTATCACTGCGCATTTTGCACCAGAGCACGATGCGCTTTCTCAACAACGTGTACCAGAACTACATTCAGTACTTCCGGTGTGGTAAAAAACATAACCTCAAAAAAAAAGTATCAACTATCAAAATTTCAAATTATTGTCTGTATGAATTTAATACCAACGAATTGACGGCCTTAAAGATATGTGTATTCAAAATCGACAAAATCAAAATGCAAATATTCACACTCGAACGTTTGATATCCAGTATTCAGTGTGTTATAATAGACCATAGTTTCATGTGTAAACCCAGGATTTATTTTACTTGAATCAGTAGGTATGTTAAAAAAAAATCTGATTTTGGGAATTCAATTCTGTACAATTCTATCAAAAGATAACAAATAGACAAAAGACACGAAATGATTACACACCGGGCATGAAAAGATAGAGGACGCTCTTCGTTGACTGTGTGACTATAAATTATTGTGCACACCATACAAATACAATAAAAATAAGCCATTAACTATATTGTGAATATTCAAGTACCAAGTACACTTAACTGTCCGATGCCCCAATATAATATTACGAGTACCTAAGACCCACTTATTAGAACAAAATACAAATTATATACAATTATTCACTGTTAAACCGTTGATTATGTGACATGTGTATAGTAAGCGTACGATAATTTACATTAGTGTATTATTGTAAAATGAATACACTACTGCGTACAATAATACATTGATGTCAAGGCGGGCTAAATCACTGCGATATGTTTCCATCACTGAAATTTATGAGTTTCAATATTAGATTACTCATATTTTGTTGTATTTTAAAGCCAATGGGAGGGGTATAACCCCTAATCTCCACCCTGCGAACGATATTGAATTGGTAGACACCTTATATTAATGGTAAGTATTTTCCGTCGAATTATTTTATATTTATACGCCGGTCGCCACGATAAAGTTCAGTCGCGCGTTGGAAACCAATCAATAGGAATTACATACCAACAGTCGGACGGCGACCGGTCGTGCCTTGGAAACCGTACCTTAACAAAACAGTACCAAAAAAATTCAGACGAACTTCGTTTTGAAGTTATAGGGGAAAACCTCATAAAGTTAGGTTTTCCTTATCGTGTATTTCTTAGTTCGAATTTATTTTCAAAAATGTATATTTTCCAATGTCTAATTGGTATAATCAAAACTTACTTATCATATTTACTTATATAGGTTTTGTACATAAACATTGAAAAATAGCATTTTTTGAATTAATCTAAAATGTGGTCAAAAATTGACATTTCTTTTATTATTATTATTTGTAGTTATTGTTATTTTGATAACAAAGTTTTTTTATTGAAATCAGAATAAGTTTATATGGCTTAGTTACAAATGTTACAAACGTTCAAACGCGTCATGTAAATGACCCTTGAGAGTGACCACAATGAAGGTCTATAGAAATTATACTTTCACGTTTAATGCTCTATATAACTCCACTGTTTTAACTATTAATTGCTATAATCATTTTAGAGTTACGACTGTTTAAAAGATGAAAGATATAGTCATTTAACGGTAAATCACTCAATTGAATTAAAAAACCCAGAAACTGGAGCACACACGAACATCATTTAAGGAATGCGGCGTTTGCCAAAGTTTCCATGTCACAGTATTCTAGTAAAAAACATTTTCATGCAAGTTATTTGGCTAAATAAACGTTCCTGAAGTTTTGTCGTTCATCTGCCAAAACCCCTTGGTTAAAATTTTCAAACTTGCGGTAAAAGTTTATGACTCAAATGAACAAATTGCAAAAAACAGCAATGACACCATAAAATTCTGAATCAGATTCAAACTCAGGAGAATAAGTTTTTTTAGATAAAATTGTATCTACTTACTTATTTATGTTTGTATGGTAAATATAGGTTTGTGTTTTCTTGCAATAATATTGACTATATTCTATTATTGTCTTTTTAATTAAAAATTGTACCTCACTTAACTTGTGTTATTTTTTTGCGCCACGTCATAAATTAGGTCACTTTTAATATCTTCAACTCTCAAATTAAGCCTGTAACTATGATGAATTAATATGGATATACACCTAGCCCGTAACCACTAACCTACGATAAACCATTGATGAAAAACGATTCAGAGCATGGTTGTAGATATATCTGCAACCGTGATTTGGAGCAAAGTTCAGTTATATAAGTATTGAAAGGCCGTAATAATTACGAAATTTAATTTTAAAAAAATTAAAAAAATATATTACATTACATTCTATTTTATTTTTTAAAATAAAATGCATTTAAATTTCCGTTACCTACCCGATCTGAATTGCAAAAAAACATTTTCGGAACTCAGGTTTGATCCGCGACCTCTAGGTCGACAAAAGGTACATACTACAAATAAACTACGCCATTTTGACTTCACCATCGTTCGGTGAAACGGAAATTTCACCTAAATCGGAAATTTCTTTATGAAAAAGAATACTGCATTAAGATCAATTTTTTTTTTTTTAACAATAAGTACGACTCAATTAACCACCTGTCAAATTTGCAAGCACTTCTGTTAAGTCTAATAATTTATCTACAGAGTGCCTACCAAATACAAATTGCCTACGTAAAAAACTCCAAAAACTAAAATATTTCTAAATAGCTCAAAATCTCAAAAGTTTTAAAAATTGTATCACGTTTAGAAAAAATAAGTATAAAATAGTCTGTCAATATTTCAAGTCTGGGAATATATAAACCTAAATTACAATTAAAAAACAAAATAAAAATAAAAGTAATAAACATTATTTTCTTTTTTGGTTTTTCCAAATTATTAGAACAACTTTTTTAGATATCGAAAAATGACTTTCACTGTTAGTGGCTACGTATCAATGGGACAAAATCGATTTTTTTCGTTTTTGAATTGGAGCAATATTTCTGGTAGAAAACATTGTGTTAACATAGGTAATAAAAACAAAAACGGTAACGCTGCTATGCCCGGTAATTATACACCATTTAACTTATACTTTTCTTTTGAATTTTTCCAAAAACCCGTTAGAAAATTGGAAAATTACCTCTTCTAGCATCAACTAGAGAAAATTATCTTTCAGAAAAAGTGTATCAATATACTTCGAAGCAAGTTTTCTGGTAGAAAAGTTTACATAGACAGAAAATATAAAAATAAACATTGTAAAACCAACACTTATATTCCTCGCTCCCCTCATAATCTAAAATGCAAAACGAATCTTGCAAAGATTTTCACTGTGATCACATTTTTAATATTTTTCTCCAGTACCTACGTTCTAAACTTGAATACCTATGTAAGTTTTATATTTGAATTATCCTGTAGGCTGTATTGATTGAGGAACAAAATTTACTTAATAGTTCAAAAAAAATATATGTCTATCACTGTTTAGTATTTTATTGTATACTGCTAATTCAATAAATAATTTTGATTTTTTTTATTCATCACTTTGCGACCTAACTAAATTTTTTTTAAAATAATGTACTTATTTATCAATTAATTTTTATTATTTGTTTTTTTCTCCTGTATACTTTATCTGATTTGTTCAAAAAATGTTTTCTCCCTTTTATTATTATTTGTCCCTTTTTTTTAATGTATTGTACTTTTATTTTGTGTAAATTGGAATTTATTTTCCATAATAGATAATATTATTATTATTAATTTAACTATATAAATAACAATTATTAACATTTGATATTATGTTTAGAATTAAAAGTTTTTTTTTCCAGTGGAGCTAGTTAACCAAGCTACTATAAAAATAGTTATTATTATAGGTGCCAATTGTATGAATATGCATACATTAATTTTAAAATAAATATTTTGAGATTGAAAAAACTCTTTCAACATTTATTTATAAAATTGTGTTAACTGTATTATTGGTAACAATTATTTTATAACAAAGTCTGTTTAAAACTATAACAAAAACAGATATCTAATTCTTTTCAGAACATCTACTATAACTGGATTTTAATATTGTTTATATTATTTATATAATATTTTTATTAAATATCTTCAAAATGAACAATATAATTTTATTGAATACAATTCACAACAAATACAAATACTTATTATTTGTTTAACAATGATAACAAAAACTTATGATTATAAATAGGTATATTTAATAACAATATTTAAACAATATTTTTAATAGTATATTAAAAAAATTGAATTAATTATACTAAAATAAAAAACAATTAAATTACAATAGAAAAAATGGGAAAAAAAATTAAATTGAACAAGCAATTAACAGAGCACAATATAAATGGTAAGTAGTATTGTGGAAAAGATAAAGATAAAAAAAAATCACTATATATAATGCCCTATAATTATTATTTGAGTTAAAATAACTTGTAAGATTGTTACACTTCTAAACATATTATCTATCAAAAAAGAATATTTACAAATTAAAGTAGTACATATATATTAAACTTTTACTAACAAACATTGTACTTAGATATAATGTCATGTAAAAATATCAAAATCTTAAAATAAATAATGTATTTTTAATGAATATTGTAAATAAGTTTGGATGTTTTTATATTGATATACCTAGTGGCATATTGGCATACTTGAACTTCCACGTCAATCTGCCACTGATTATAATTTATTACAATATACATATTTTAACTTTGTAAAATGATTTCAATAATGAATTAACTATTCTATATATAAGTCTTGACCAATTAATAAAATGATCATACAGTAGAAGCAGCTTATTAGGAACACTTTGGGACTGAGGTAAAACTTGTCAATTAACAGATTGTTTCTAATAAACAATTGGTTTTAATATACGGCCTGTCTGTCCATGTACATTTTGTTTCAAATAACACAATTGTATCAATTATCTGTGTTCCTAATAAGCAGCTTCTATTGTACTTTGATGAATATTTTAAGTGACTAATAACTTATTTAGTAATTTATTTATTAAACTGTATTGTACTATTTATATTTGAAAATTAAAAATTGATATTATAATTAATAGGATTGTTAAAATTCTAATAGAAAAAATATTACATTTTTCTTTTATTGACCACTCAAACAAATTTAATTTAGTAAGGCCCTAAAAATTAATAAATAATTTATTAATTATGTAAATATAAAAATTAGTTATAGCATTGATATTTTGTTTATTATATGTATGTATATATATATAAATTTAAGGTTAAATTTTATAAACTAATATACTGTTATAATCTTTATTGAATATTTAAGAAGAATTACTATAAATTGCAGTACAAAATTGATGAATGTAAAAAAAGAATCACAAAATATAACTAATTAATACAAACTATTAATATGCATAACAGCACCAATTTACAGAGTATCTCAGAATTGTTATTATAGTACCTAACAAAAAATTTAAGTTTAGCAATCTAAATAGAGATCAGATCATTCATGATAGTAAAACAATCAATAAATCCAAAACAGAAAATATATTTTTTATTTGTGTAAAAGTTAAAAAATGTAAAAATTATTATTCCTTTTATTAATTTTTATAAAATAACAAATAACTGTTTATATATTTAATATTAACAATTTTAATAAAACCAATTTAGAGGTAAAAATAGGTACATTTATTATTGAATACATTCTATAATTTTTAGACAGCTAACTTTTTAATTAAGCAATAGGTACTCATATGGTATAATAACAAGAAATATCTTACAATTTAACAAAAAAAAAATATGCATAAATATTTAAATACCGGAATTTTAAAGTGGTTTTAATATTTTCATTTATTAAATAGGTACACATGATTGTATATTATTTAATTTTAACTGTGTATGATTATACATCAGCCTTATAATAATACCTTTTTAACAAATATATTCAAATTTTGTTTAAGTACTTATTCTAAAAGTAACAAATTCACTTGAATTATTAAAAACATAAAAATCAAAAAAACAAAAAAAAATTAGTTATATAGACTTTAAATTTTCAAGTTAGGTTGTATCCCAAATTGCAGATTGCATATACAATATATTATATAATGTACTATGTAGGTATGTGTGTTGAAAGTAAATGTAATACAATTAATTTAGAATTAATAGAAAAAAAGATAAAATATGATGATAGTCCATCATACAATTAAATGCTTATAGTACCTACATCTACATGAAAACAATATTAACTGTTTAACTCACAGAAAATACAAGAATTACACTAATACTGTACATTTTTTTTATTTTGCATACTTAGTATTAATGAACCAAAAGTCTCTTTACTATAAGATTGAAAACATGTTACATTATAATAGTATCATTATTCACATAAACACTTAGTGTTTAGCTGTTTCAATCAAAATAATTATTCAAGTTTTAAAACAAGAATAATTGCTACACATAAATTTTTAGAAAAAACAAATTATAAATGAATTTAAAAATATAACTTAATATCGAATATTTTAACAAAAGATATAACTCAAAGAAACTTAAAATCATTTTTTAACTGGTAACAAATAATAAAATAAATAGTATTTTAAAAACTGGTTATTAGCAAACTATATTTAAACTCTTAACAAAAATAATAATAATAATAATAATAATATTAATTTTTCAATAATAAATATATCAATCAATAAAAATTTAAATTGTCATATTCAGTGCTTTACCTTCCACTGAAAAGTAAGCGCAACATGTATTGAATATAAAAACATTATTGCTTTTTTATTAATAATAAGTATACCATTTCACTTAAAATTTGATACATATATAAATTATTGTATATATACTTTAACTAATGTAAATTATAAAATATATCATATCTGTAAGAACGTTAAATAATAAAATGTATTCCCAATGAATATACCTTTGTATTTTTATAATTTTCATTTGAGATCATCGAGAACAAGATATTTTATAATATTATACTGTACCCATGTTTTCAAGTCTATACTTATTATAATATAATAAAACAATTTAACAACATAAAACAACAATATAAATTCAGATCATGTTTTATAACAGTCACACTGGTGATCTATCATCCGTGCAAGTAAAGCACCAACACGTGCGCTATCTTTTTGAAGTCACTATCATATTAGATTTTGACTCTTTCAAAAAGCGTACCTGATCTAGCAGGTTTTGTTTCTCTCCTAATAATTTACTTATATTATCTTGTGCTTCACTTAACAGTAATCTGTAAATAATAATTAATTTAAAAGTATATCAAAATGTAAAATCATAAAAATATACTAACCTTAAGCTTTTATTTTCTTCTTGAAACCTACGTAATTCTTGATTTTCTTCTTTTAATCGTTCAAGAGTACCCAATTTTCTATGTAAGTATTCATTTTCAATTGAACATTTCTTTAACTCCAATGTCAATTGAATTAACTGAGTATTGCTATCAAGGCTATCACAGTTATCTTTAATTGGTTCTACACAAACTAAACCATCATTAGTACGTTTTACTTTTAATCTACTAAGCCGAATTTCAGTATCTGTTGGTTTTGTAATTGTTTCATCTTGTAAAGCATCATTTTGTGTTGGATTACATAATTTAATTATTGTATTTTCAACTGTAGCCTGTATAAATACAAATAATGACATTTATTATTTTGAAAAATTAATAATTAATAATTTAATCATACCTCAAATGGCAGTGATTTTGATGGTTGTTCATCAACAAAAAAATCTGCTAAACTCGCAATTGAATTTGAATTCAATGATAAAGAAACATTGTTAACTTTAGCAGTAAGGTTATCATTTTTCCATTCTTCCATATGAACTAGTTTTTCATCACGTTTTGGCATTATATTATGTTCTAATCGAATCATTACCTTAGGTATCTGTGGTAATCCTTCAACACTTTCAACTTCATTCCAATCACGTGTTCTGGTTGTAAATTTATCCTAGTCAATAAAATATATTAATTCATATAAAAAATTTCTAAATATAACTTAAAGTTTTGATGACTACTAGTTAAACTAATGTTAGGCGCAACTACGACAGAGTACTGGTAACTATAAGCATTCCAAGTATATATTTTAATAAAATAGCAAAATCATTATATTTTTTATATTTCTAATTCGTAGTCTATGTCTGGATTATTTTTAATTAAGTTTAAAATTATATATACTACAAAATAGAGCTATTTTGAATGGCCATATTATTTACAGTCAATCATATTATGACAGCCTCTGTAAATACATTTTTTGTATTGTCAGGTTGCATAGGTATATTTATTATTATTCTTTTATAATTTTGTTTTATTTTTTATTTTATTTACGATTAGCATTAATTAATATAAATTTATAAATAAAACGTGTAACCTAGATATCATTAGGAGAAAAATTCAGTTACCAAATACACCAATTTTGTGTTAATTGGCATTAATGAATGACATAGTTGAAACTTTGACATTTGTTTTATTGTTATGCGGCAATAATTATAAAATAAGTTTCACAACATTTGACTCACAAAACTAATTTCCTCAGAGAGCAACTCTGTTATTTATGAAAATTTAAATTAACTTATTCATAATTTATATATATAACAATTTAAGACTAATTTGAGAATATTAGTTTTAAAATTTAAAAAATATGAGCTTTAGCTGCGCCTGTATATCTAAAGGACATCAATACTATAAAACTAGTCTAAAATAATGTGTGCTACAATATTAATTATTGTTTTTTCGATCTTTTATACAATTTTCTTATATTAAATAAAAGACAAAAATTAGTCAAATTTAGTGCTTGCTGATAATAATGAGATAAGTCTAAAGATCGAAAAAACAAATTATCCAGAAATTAGTAATTATGAGTACCTTTGTATGCTGTGAAATGAACAGCAAATAATTTGTGTAAGCACACCATTGCATTCCAAGGGAAAATGATAAAATTAAAACAAAATGAAGATTAAACTCAATAATGATCATGCAATTATAGTTACATATTCATAATCAGTCTTTAAAAAAACAAAAAATAATAATAATAAAAAAAAAGAGTGAATGTTCAATGTATAAAAATTGTCTTAATAGAATTTGTATGTTTTATTGATTAGAAAAAATATGAATAAAGTTGATACACAAGTAAATTTTTTTTATTTATATAGGATAATTTTTAGCATTTAATTGTTATTAATTGATAATAGTTTAAATAAAAATATTTTCCAAACTTTATTTTACCTAACTTAATATTATTATAAGACGAGGAGTATTTATTTATAAAATCAATATACTTAATATACTATTATTTTTATAAAGTTTTCATATAGTGATAAAATTTGGTAATTTTTAAAAATTAAAGACCCAGATCACTTACTAGATTTAAAGAAGTAATATACTGTTTTAACCTGATTAATAACAACATGCAGCAATTTTGAAGAAAAAAAAGTTAAAAGATATACAAAAATGTTAGAAAAAAAAAAATAATGCATTAAATAATACAATAAGATACCTGAAATTCATCCCATGGTATATAAGGACACTCTTCTGTGCTAACATTTGTAATTTGTACTTTAGCTACTGAATTGAGACCTTCTGATTGGTGTAAAATTTCTACATGTCCAAATTTTAATGTAGTGATAGCAATCTGAAATAAAATTAAAGTTTTGAAATACTATTAAATAAAAAATACTGTAATATTAGTTTTTACCAAATCTTTTCGTTTCATAGAACTTCTAATTGAATCCCTTTCACTAGATGTGGTTGGTGGTGTTAACTCCCCTCCCCCACAAATATCATCAAATGCTTCAGAAGCTAATTCAACATTTTTTATAAATCCAACTTTTTGAATGTGAGTTGATGGAAACTTAAATATTACATCAGCACCATCATTTGTGTCTAAACTCAAATCCATTAAACTTTCACTATCTGAGCTCATATCAGACCTAAAATGTGTTAATAGATATTAGTTACTGGTATCAAATAGTCAAAATCTATAAGCTATAATTGCTAAAAGCTATTATATAAGTTATTTGTTAATAATTATTAAGAGATAAATAATTACCTAACTGAAACATTATCATTAAACTCATCCATATTTTGTTTTGCTGTATGATCAACTGAAGTTCCAAAATTAAACCATCGTTTTTTCATGCCTTTGAAAGACGGTAAATTAATATCAGTTGTAACTGTTTCTGCCATTTTAATTTTAGACATTTCTTTAACATTATCATATATAACAGATGCTGACTTTTGTGACATGAATTCTTTTCGTTTAGAATTGGCATTAGCTTCTGATATGGCCATTGGTATTCTAAATGCCTGGCTCATATCATACACATAACCAACATCCTGAATAAAAATAAAATAAAAATATTATAAAATATACAATTATAAGCTGTTAAAAAATATTATTATACCTCATATGTGGTTTGAATAATATTACTCAATTGTGCGCTATGGCCACTTTGAGTGGCTATACTAGATGAATCTGCTACAAGACTTGAGCTCACATCATCGCAACCACCAGATTTGCCCATAACATCCAATTGAGCACTAGTGACAAATGTGACTTCAACTTGAGCAAATAGCGCTGCAAATATGAACGATCCACTCTTTTTGTTCCCTACTATGTTATGTTGATCAGCAACAATATAGGTGGCCAGCTAAATGTGTATACATTATTTTAAATTAATCAATATTATAAATCAATAAAATACTTACTTCATCAACTGCATCAGCTACACGTAAAAGAAAGAGATACTGAAAATGATTGATTTGTATGCTAACTAAATTTGGAACATGACATAATACTGTCATATCACAATATTTTAAACTTCTGTTAAATACTTCAGATTTTGGTGTGAAGGTAGGCGGTTGAACCCATAAAGTTAAAGGAAAAGCTTCAAGAAAAGGTACTGGTGTAGATCCAACTGCTCTGGCACCATAAAAATCCCCCCAAACCGGGTCCAATCTTACACACCTATACAGATGAAAATATATTAATATTAAATAATAAAAAAAATTAATATAAATAAAATATTAACAAAATATAAATGCATTTTAAGTTACAAGAAAAATCGAAAAATTAATGATTTAATTTTTTGATTTATTTTAGCTCTAGATGAAGTACAAAAAGTATAGGGACATACAATTATTTTTGGAATATTCTTTAATAAGCTATATTATTCAAAGAAACAAAAAATATCGTTCTTTGTCAATTTAAGTTGTTTTTAGTATCTAAAAACGCATTAACATAGTATACAAACAAGATATGCAGCACACGCAAATACAAAACATAGTGATAGTTTGTATATAAACAATACAAACATTCATAATTTGAGGTTATGGTAATAGTGGTAAGTCAAAAAATGTTTAACGACAATCAAACAGTTTTAAAAGTTTTTATTGTTTTATCCCTCAGTGCAAATACCAAAACTGAACTACGAGTGAACACTACCAGGATCACACTCTCTAAGATTGCAATATTATGATCACTGTCTGGGACTTAATCTAATTATAAATATTAGGCTCTTGATTTTATTCATTCATTATAATTCTAATTAATAATTATAAAAAAAAATAACTTGAAAATTTTAATTAACTGTACGAAATTTAAAAAAACACCAGAATGTTTTGAAAATTGTACCATGTTTAGAAAATACTCATTGAAAATTTTAGATGTCTAGTTCTTTACAATTGTTTTACTGAATTAGAACAAAAATAAAAGTGTTATAATATGTTAGGTAAAAATTCCTGTTTTCTCTGTTTAAGGTTTTTCTTCACTATTAAGAAAATCAAAAAATAAAATCCCCAATACACCAAATAAACAAAATTTACTACCATAATAAAATACCCCTAATGCTAATGATTGAAGCCAGATTTCTGGTTAAAAAAAAGTTGTTCTTAAAATAAAAAAAAAACAAAATCATAATAAAACCAAAACATTACCAGTGTAAAATTTAAAATGTATTTATATGCAAATAATGAAATATAGTTAGGTACTCTCTTTGGAAGTATCACTAATGACTAATGAGTAACCCCTTTTTCATTTAACTATTGTAACTACAGACAAAACATCATTATCACAAATACATATTATACTAACACTTAAATAAGTAGAAGTTATTTTGTTTGCATAGGTTGTGTATTTCTTACAAAGTTGAAAAATTAGAAATAGAAATATAGAAGATAGGAAATCAAGGATATATTTGGGAGATTACAGGGGGCTGGATCCCATCCAGGAAATATTTTCAATAGTAAATCAATGTGTTTATATTTAATTTAAAATTATGAGTGTGCTAATAAATTATTAAACTAATTTGCCAGACATTTTTCTTCAGATATGGCCTTGTGGGGTGCCCTTCAATTTTCTTACTTCTTGTATCTGGGTTCTAGTTTTCCTAAACGGTAGAGTGCTTTTTTAACCCAGTTCTATACTAAAAAACTACAGATTTATAAAAAATAAAATAAAATACACTAAATACAATGTATATGGTGTTTGTATATGCTGTGTGATGTGTTTATGAAAATATGACATTCAACATCAGTTCATGAACTTTGTGATTTTGTTTGGATATTATGTGATTATAATACTTTAATATATAAATTATGATACCAATTATCATACCAAATATCTTTAGCTTGAATCCATAAAAGTTCTCGGCTAAGCTTTTCCATGAACTCTTCTAATGTAGAAACTATTATATTATTTGGATATGCTCGTACATTATCATTCCCTGAATCAACAAAAACATCCAACTTAACTTGCATTTTCTTTTAAATAAATCATAAACACACACATAGAATTTATAATTGAAAGTGGATATATAAATAAAGTATTATAATTTTCTTAAAAGTTGAAGTAAAAAATAAATAAAAATATTTATGTTTGAGAATTTAAGTTGGGAAAAAATTTCAAAACACATAAAACAACTTTCCTTTGAAGCCCTTATAAATAAGGAACAAGATATCAAACTATTGATTTTCTGGACGTCACATGACTTGAGGAACTAGGAAAAAATTTTAAAATAACAGAAAATGACAACTTTTCTTTCAGTTTCGAAATTAATAAGATTTAAAAAAATGACTACTTTATCTTATCTTCCCACATAAAATAGTAGTCTACAAGTGTTCTTTTTTTGTGATTATTATTTTTGAATATGTAGGTTACTCAAACTTAATAATTTAATTGAAGTGTTTTATACATGTGTGTTATTATAGTGTGTGATACATTTCTCTTATTCAAATAAAATATATTATAAAACGTTCCATCTATTTAAAGCGTAATATTTTCAACTTTGTGAAACAAAAGACAATTGTACAATATGTAATTACACAAAATTAATTTAGTTATGAACAGAAATACTAAATTTCACAAAACACAAGTTGTAAAATTGTGGGTTGCAATAGGGTTAGGTGAGAACGAAAATAAAGAAAGCCAAGTATATATATATAAATATATGTAAAAAGGTCTGATACTGGTAACAGATGTGGCCACTGTTATAAGTGGGTAGTTGGGAAAATGGGATACATTAAGTTATTTAAATTATGTTTATCAACAATGATAAACCATTATTAACAAAAAACGATTCAGAGTCAAGTTCGACTATAAATATTTTGTCTGGCCATAATATTTACAATGTTCGTCAAAATTATACTCAATTTTATTGTTTTACCATTAAATACAACTTATATAATAACCCTTCTGTCAAGTTTTTAGGCATTTCTGTTTAACATTTTATTCACAGGAGTACCTACCAAATTAAAGCTACAAAATAAACTCGCAAAATTACAGTATCTATGATAAGCTCAAAAATTGATCAACTATTTTGAAAATTCAATGTAATATTTTAATGATATTAAAATATGTTAAAAGCATTTTTGTGTTATTTTTTAGCCTATTCAGGATTTTTTGCGTGATTTGCTTATCTGCACCACCAAATTGTGTAGATAATCAAAAGTTTGCTGTATAAACTTTTCTAAAATGTAGATTGTTTTATATATTCCTTTAAAAAATTAAGGTAAAGTAAAATTTTACTAAATAAATAAGAGATGTTTACATACAAATTTATTTTAAATATAAATATTATTACCTTTAGCATGATTTAATAATTTTTCTGTTATTGGATGATAATCGCCATCTTTAGCTGGATATTCAGAAGAATAGAAAAGAGAAGAGAATTGCAATCCATTAATACAATTAGCTAAATCAGATCTTGACATGCCATGTTCATTACTACGAACATTGCTCAAAGTTGCTCGACTTGTTTGTAAATTTAATGATTTGGGACGGTCTTTTTGATTGTTACAAAGTTTTTCTTCTTCAAAAATTAACTGTTAAAAAAAGTATACATATAAAAATAAATAATTATATTTTGATGAAAGGTTAACTTTGATATTATATAATATATTTGATAAACCTATTATCTTTTAAACAATTACTTACACGGGGCATAATTGATTCAATAAGAATGTCAAAATAAATCATACTGCCTAAATGATCTTGATTTGCCACATTAGTAGTCATTAGTGATTTATAAACATTCAACACAAAGGTATTTAACCATAATACTGTTAGTGCATCAAAATTCATTTGAACTGGATTTAATTGCGCATAAAACTTTGAAGGAGGCACTAAAATATATAAATCATTAAATATTATATTTGTTTTACATTATAATAAAAATATATTTAAATTTAACTTGCATGGAAATCCAACATCTCCAGGATAGTAATAATATGTAAATTCTGCATGTATTATTTTAGAATCATGAGGTAATTTATGACGTTCTTTATCCCCTAAAACATAAAATACAAATTATAAAATGTGTAATCATACTAGTTAAAAATTAAAAATTAAAAAAAAAGTTGATACTACTGATAGGTATGCCACTGTAATAGGTGGGGAATTATGAGGTAGGATAAATTAAGTTATTTTATTTATATCTGTACACAATAATAAATCAATGGTAATAACTAATAATATGCCATAACATTCTGAGTGAAGTTCAGTTAAACATGTTTGACATGCTGAGATTTTTAAAATTTTCATCAAAATTATTTAAATTAAAAATGCTTATAAATAAATAAAGACATTATCCTCAACTTGTTTTACAATTAAATAAAACTTAAAATGAACCTCAATAAATTTACAAAGTTTTCTGTATGGTGAAAGCAAGCAATTTTATCACAAAGCTTAATAAAATCTAAAATTCTCGAAGATGTCAAATGACAAAATAACTTAAAAATTGATAGAATAATGTAAAAATAACCATGTCTAGAAAAGATCAATATATTAAGAAGATTGACCAAATTTCTGGTCTCTACAATTACTTTTAACTGAATTACAACAAAAAGAACTAAATCAAAAATTATAAAACCGTTAATTTTGTAAAATTCACAATATTTGCAAAAGTTTTTTTGCAAATTACTAATAGAAAACTACATGGAAACTAAACAGCCCATTACTGCACCAAGTAGATAAAATATTTTTCAAAAAGACGTTACTCTAGGAATTCAGAATAAGATTTGGTAGAAAAACAAAATCAATAATAAAAAAGTTTATTATCATAAAATTGTCCATTTTTTCTAATTATTATAAAAATTACTTTAAAAATCAAAGGTTGACCTTCCTAATTTACTAACTACATCATAAATGCTAAAAAAGTTTTATTTTTATTTTTCGATTGATCAAGATTTCTGGTAGAAAAATTGTAAACATAAACATAAAAAATAAATAAGCACACATGGTAAAACCAATACATTCCTCGCTTCACTCTATAACCAGGATCTAGAAGAATTGATACTGCTACGAGTATACCACTATTTAAAGTGGGAATTTTGGAAAATATAATATATAAGATAATTTCATTTATATTAGTATGCAAAGATAAATCAATTGTAATGAACACTAATTTTGAATGAGGTTCATTTAAATACATTTTGAAATGCTGTAATTTAAGTTATTTTATTTAATTATAAAAAAAATCACTACATACACCCAACTTTTTTTATTACCACTGTAAATTCTGTCAAAAATGCCAGGTCTATATTTAAAAAACACTACCTCCCAGTCCCCAATGCACCAATTATTCAAAATTTGCTTTTAGAAAAGATTCTATCAAAGGAAGATTTTTAGTAGAAAAATTGTTTATAAGCTGTAAAAAATTAAAAATCACATTTGACTTTTCTATCAAAAAAAAAAAAAGCTTATAATTATATTTTACTTTACAATACCTTTAATAAAAGCAATTTGCTCTTGTTTTCTTCCAGACTGTACTCTAAAGACAGTAAAATCAGACATTCTTAAAACTGTACAGCTTGTCATTAGTTTTGAATATTGAGCTTTTAAATATTTAGTAATGTTTCCTTTTTGAGTATCAACAATTTGGAAATTATCTCGTACAATTGTACAAAAATTATCCCAAAATTCACACTGAGAATCTTTGAGCCACTGAAAAAATGATGAACTAGCTTTCTTGTATAGACCCCAATGTAATCTATCACTATCAGCTAAATGATAAGGATATAGATCAATTTGAAAACATGTTACTTCAATTTGTATAGAACCTCCTTTTTCTAAATCTGGATGCAATGATCGACCTAAAAGAATAAAAATATTAAAATTTAAACCAGTAGGATTATCTGCCATAACTCACTTCCAGGATCATCACTAAGATGAAGATTAATTTTTTGTGCAACAAAATGATAAGATGTTTCAATTACATCATGAAAACTAAATAGACATGAACTTTTAGAATTTGATACAAATTTTCCTCTTTTTTCCTGATCTAATTGGGCTTGATATTCAGGCAAACACTAAAAATAATTTACTTATGTACAGATCATTTTAAAAGATATACAAATATAATAAAATAAATAGTAATTACTTCTAACTTTCTAACAGCTTTCTTCTTGCGAGAAAGATCTGTAGATTTTTTAACAACACCAGCTAATGAATCTATATAATGAAGTGCAGCTTTCATTTGAGAATCGGTAAAAACACATAATAATTCTTCAATTAGAACTGCTAACTTGCATCCCAAAATAAAACAATCTATAAAATAAACAGTTTTGCATTTTATTTAATACAATTAAAATTAAATATCTAGATACCTGAAAGTCTCTTTTTTATAGTTAATCTGCATATTATGTCATTTGTAAACAATTTGATTGGAGGTTTTTTTCGATCATTAGTAGAATATAATTCAATTCTTATCATCTGCCAAGTAAGTTCTTTAAAAATCAATATTTGAGTTTTCTGTTCATTTTTTAGTCTTGTTGTCTTAAGATTTGTTGACTCCCAATTGGGAGACTTTGATTGTACTAATATTTTTAAAATCTAAACAAGTATTTCATTTAAATGCAATGTTAAAGATTTTTTAAATTTGGTATTATTATCATAAATTAAATATATTTATGCGTGTATTACAGTATTTTTCAAATGTTTCATAACATAAAAATATTACCTGAACTGAAGCATAAAAAACAGGATCTCTAAAAGTTATATTGACTTCATTAATTTGTATTGTCATACCATCAATAACTTGATTAATAAATTTGTATTTTCCTGGTTGTACAGTTTGTACATTTTCCCGCATTGCCATAGATTCCACATTATCACAAGTTTCAATTTCAACAGATACTTTATCTAAAGTCTTTAAAATATATACAAATGACAAGTATTAATAATCTTTTGCAATTTACGAAATATATGGAAAAATTAATAATTTATAATTAATTTTATGTATACATTTAAATTACATAAATGCATACACACTAAATAATAAGTTCTTAATTTGTCTAATAATCTAGTACATAAATGAAATAATAATTTAAAATGAATTAATAAATCGATCAGAACACTTAATTTTTATAAAAATAGGATAATCATTAATCACATCCTGAAAATGAAGTATAATTTTAATAATTCTGTGTACATTAAAATGCTCATAATAAATTAATCAAATATTTCTATTATATAATTAAATTTGTTAGTTAATAATACAGTAATATTATGTATTCAACTTTTTATATTGTTTAATGTATACTATAAAAGGCAGTCCTTACAATGTTCCATAAAGTGCCTGTTTTTGTGTTAACTGAACAAATGTTGCCAATTTATGGCAGAAAATGATCTGTTAACGCTAACACTCATTTTACAGGATATTGTAAGAACTAGTTTCAAATATCATAAATTTATTACCAAGGACATAGGAACTTTCTTGATAGCCATGAACGGAACCTGAAAAAATACTCGATCACACTTGGCGCTGGTAATTCGTACCCAATATGGTACATCTAATACATCCATTAAAGCATTTTCATCGAGCTCCAAAGATGTTAATTCACCTTCTCCTTTAAACGTACTTAAATTAATATCCTCTTCTTTCAGACCCTTGGTGAACCTAAATTTTAATTGTATATTTTTAACAGAATTTAGTCAATAAATTACATACATGAACATAATTTTTTTACTCACCTTGCTAGTTGTTTTAAAATCTGCTTCTTGAGAACTGAAGCCATTTTTGTAGTTTCAAAAATGTATATTAAATCCTAAAATACTATAACTACTATACAAAAGGGTTAACTGTCTAGCGGTTGTGTATTCACATGTTTAAGATTCGATTATATAACAATATACTTTGAATGAATATCATTTAAATCATTGATATCTGTACAAATTCAAAAACATGTACAAAAAACCTATACGCTCTATAGTGGCTACTAAACACTAAACGATTGCAGTGAAGTGTGGAGTTTTGAAGAGGTGGCAAGTCTTATCAAATGACTTTAATTTAACAGCTGATGTGTTTCATTTTGATATGAATTTTTTTTTATGCAATATATTCATAGATAATATGACTTAATATATTCTATGAATACTATGTAGAATATTCATAACACATCAAGATGAATAATATACGAATATATTATTCTTTATCTCGATGTCATAGCCACGATTATAGCATTATATTATTATCATAAACTTTTTACTATACAAAAATACTTAACATATTGTAAGGTCTAAGTAGTATGATTACTAAGAGGACGTTATACCCACATGTGCTATCTCAGTCCAATTAACGGGCAATAAAGCAAAATCTACCATACGTAGACTGCGTAAACCTCACTATAATTATATAATTTAATTAGAACAATATTCCGGAATACGAGATAATTCGTTTTTCCTTATTACCTATTCTAATTATTATTTCGAAATTCCGAATATAATGTTCAATGCATAGTTTAGAAATAATAATTAACTAATCGTTTTTAAATTACTGTAATGCCTAGTTTAAATTCAGCCCACTTTCGCGGCAGTGAACAAAGAAGTCAGCTTGAAAGTGGGCAGCGCGAGTGTGTAAACACGTTACTAACCATGCTTCTCGTATTGTCGCTGCTCAATGCTCCCGTCAAGAGCGATAAATATTGAGCAACGCGAGCAGCAATCTAATCGGCACAAAAAAGCTGCACATAATAGCAGGGCAATCGTTGTGCTCGGCAATGTAAACACTCACTGCCTACGACGCTGTTACCGAAGTATTTTGGGAATTAAATACAGCAGCGTGAGAAGCTGCGGCAATGGCTGAATACAAATGAGATATACTATTGAAAAGAGCTGATACAGAGGATGGGAGCGTCCACTGTTGTAGGTGAGATGTTAGGAAGGTAGAATACATAAAATTATTTAATTTATATTTGTAAGCAACGATAAACCATTGTTTGATGAAAGACGATTCTGAACGTAGTTCGGTAATACATAATTTGAAGTGCCGTAATTTTTTTTTGCGATTTTTGTTTAAATTTGATTCCAAAACGCTTATCAAATAAAAAAATTATATAAATAGATGATTTTGAAATTTTATTACATCTAGGTAAGTCCAATATCAGTATTATTACTAAGTTTCAAGTCTCTACGTGTATTCCAGCAAAAAAACTCCCAAAAATTAAAATTCCTTAAAAACTCAAAAGTTTTGACGATGATACCGTAGGAAAATAAATTAAAAAGGTGAATTGTGATTTTTCGATTAAATCATTTTTTCTGATAGAAAACGTTGTCCATGTTTTTATAAAATAATGAAATTGTGAAATTGGACGTTTTTCTACGTTTTTTCCCACTTAAGTGCTTTTAGTTAAAAAATGGTGTCAAAAATCAAAAAATCTACCTGTAAAATTCTATAGGTAGAGACAACTAAACAACTTGTGTTTTTAGAAAAGTTCGGAAAAATCGGAGAAAATTTACCAAGAAAACACACATCCACAGACTACGAGGTGTGGCTATTAAACAACGAGACTGGTTACGAAAAAGTGTTTTATTATAAAAGTTATTCTACATTCAAATGCTCCCCTTCAATATAATCCCCTCCCCTCGCCACACGCCGTTTCATTCGTTTCTTCCATTGCTCGAGGCAGTGCTGGAAGTCTGTTTTCGTAAGACCATTATGGAGTTAAAGTTAACAAATAAAGTAACTTAATAAATTCAAGTAACCCGATCAAAAATCTGTAAAAGCGAGACAAGTATTCAAAGAAACTGGAGGAAGTGGGTTAGCCCTCCTCAGTATTTGTGGAAGCGATCAAGCTCCCTAAACAATTGGTTTGGGGTACACCGTTATTTCCTCGGCCTAAAATTAGACACTATCAGGGTTAGATTAAGCACGGAACCAAGAAGAGCCATGACTCCAGACCCTGAATTATTGAAGGCTTTTTTTTCTTACAGTAACTTTATAATATTTAAAGTTTATTGAAAATTTGAAAATTCAAATTGACAAAGGGTTCACAGCATACGATTTGTAGATGACATTATAGGTACTGCTAACAGAGTCTCAAAATGATATGAATTAAATGTTCAATACCTTGGCAGATATATTTGATGAGTACAAACTGAATATCAATGGACAGAATACAAAAACAATGTTAATAAGTAAGATCAATAACAATGATGAAGTACATATCAATCTATGAAACAATTATATACAGCAAGTTAATGAGTTTTGGAAGCCCAATGATGAATAGAAACAAATAAACAGCAAGTTAATGAGTTTTGAGAAGTTTAATTATGAATAGAAACAAATAAACACCTGACATAAAGAGAAGGATTCAGCTCTCGCTAAACAAGCTTTCCTTAAAAAATATAATAAACTTAGTAATAGGTACCTCAAATTTTAAACTTGTAAAAAGTTTATTAAAACTTTTGTATGGAGTGTCTTGTGTTAAGTATGTGAGACATGGGCAATAACACAGAAAGATAAAAACAAGCTACAGGCATTGGATTGAGAAGGAAGATGATTAAGACCAATTGAATGGAATGAAAATCAAATGAATGAGTTCTAGAAGAAATAGAAAAGAAAAGTCTAATGATTAACATAATGAAAAGGAAAATCAAATTTATTTGGCATCTTATCTGTTACAATAATTTTCTTAATAGCATATTTTAAGAAAAAATAATGAGACGAAGACTAAGAAACGTTAATTATTTCCATAGTGTGTAAAAGAAGATAGACTGTATCCTATCAATAGCTAAAGGAAGCCAGCGAAGAACAGACAACGTGGCTTATTCGACAAGGCGTGGTCTTTAGAACATGATGATGATGAGTACATTGGAAAATCGAAGATTAAATGAAAAAATAATTTTGGAAGATACAGAATTTCCATTTGGTGATAGGTAGTATTTTTTTTTTTTTAATTTATTTACAGTTCCCTTATTGGTTATTTTTTTGGTTTATTCACGGAACACACTTTCGGTTATTAAAAATAGTCCGAATTGTTGGCAATTAAGTATAAAATATTCTATATTTTTTATTTAAGCACAAGTTATTAATAAGTATAATATTGGTATGTAAAATGTAGTGCATATCTAGGTAGTTAAATTATCATTTATATTTTTTTTTGTGTGGGGGGGAGGGGAAAGTGGTATGTGCGCAGTAGTAAGTTTTATAGGTTTTAGCCACTGAAATGTGAAATATGTTTAGTTATGTTTGTGGAGATCAAAATAAATATTACTTATGACATTTTGAACGTTGTACCATTAGGTATTACACATTTTCATACAGTATCACACCCACGTTATAATGTAGCCACATAAATATAGGTAAGTAGGAACCTATATTAACTTATCGTACACTTTGGTCTTTATTATATTATTATTTATTCTATTATATACCGATATACGAGTCTAATCACTACTTTTAGTTCCAAATTCTAAATAGTGAAGTATATTATAAAATAATAATATTAATAATGAGATCATCTATTTTTCACTCGGTTCTTATAGCCAGTATAGTTTAGGTACAATTAGTATAGATAGTTAAATCGGTACCTAATAATTTATACGTTATTGGTTTAGTGGTTCCACAAACTACATTTGGAGTTTAAACGAATGATGTTAATTAATAATTTAATATAAACTATAGATACCAACATTTATACAGTGAATTAAAGTATATTATGTAATAATTATTACAATTTAAATAGCTACCTACTTAATGAGTTAATAGTTTAGTAGTTAGAAGTAAATAGATGGGTAGGTAGTTTACATTCTGTTTTATGGCTAAATTCTTACATTTTAATAACAACAATAAGTATGGTGGATCCACCTTGGTGACAAGTAGTTATATTGATACTTGTAAGTTGTAAGCAACAAACGTTTTTAAACATTTCCGTAAGTCACCCGTAACCCCCCTCCCCTCCCCTGAAAATTGATCCCAAATAAGTGCTTGAATTTACTTATTAACTTTTATTTATTTAATAATAAACATTACTGGGTTTTTAAAATGAGGAATGATATAGCACTGTAAAGGGAAGATGATTAGTCCCTCATAAAAATAATGAAAATAATATTGACCACAGCAAAACGAGTAAGACTGGAAATAAATGCTGAAAAAGCTGAATATAATATGTTATAACAGAGAATGATTATATCGGACCTTGTACAAACACATTTGGAGATACGCCGTACGTGCATATAGGTTCAAGAGAGTGAGTTTAAGTAGCAAGACTACAAGCTGGAAATAAATATTACAACGGATTATCTAAATTACTAAAAGGAAAAATGATCACAAAAAATCTATAGGTTTAGTCATACTCTCATTTGATTGATAATAAAAAATGGTTTTAAAGTGTGGACATTACTCATCCGCGAATCCTAACAAATCAATGTTTTGTTTTCGAAAGAAAAATATTAAGAAGAATATTCGGGTCATGTTGGGTTCAAGATATCAAAAATGAAGAATGTAAAAAACCGACGAACTCAATCAGCTGTACCAAATGCTAGAAATAAAAGGAGAAATTAAAAAGAGAAAATTCCAATGAACCGGGAATGCGCGTGAAAAAACAAAGATAAACATTACATACGATCCAAAGTAGTGTGCCAAAGGAAAAAAGACCCTTGAGGTGTAAATGGGAAAGGTGGGAAGATCAAAAAAGAATTTATATGGAAAACGTAAGGCCTGAGACGATTTATCAATGTACAGAGAGAAGTAGCAGGATTATGTTAGACAGTAAGACCTTAGAGGTCGTATATTAAAGAAGAAGAAAGAAGAAAATTAAAAACCGTGTACATTTTGTATTTTTCATTGCCATACATCTACTGGATCTATCAATTTAATATCCTTGATGATTTTTCTAGTTAGTACAGTTTGATCTGCTTTTTAGTAATCTTGTTTCTGAAGTTATTTTATCTTAAGAAATTTTGTGTTCTTCTCCAAAAATAGCTGCTTCTTTTTTTTTTATTTTAGATTAAGGAGATTTCATAAAGCATTTATAATTTTGATTATTTTCTGCTAAAATCTTAAATCTTATGAGAAATACGGATATCGTTATTCTCTAATATTTGATAAAAATACGAAATCTAAAAATCCAGACATAGTTTATGTAAAATAACGAGGTAAAAATTAAAAACTGCATGCAATTATTTCAAAGATCTATGAGTACTTACAAGGTAATTTAATTAATTGATCACTTGCTATTATATTTTACTGGCAAAAACTGAAATACAATTTATGCATAAATTTATGTATTAATTAAATTTATTTTTTTTTACTAAGTGTACTTAGGTTAGGTACGTTCGAAGAACACGTTCCATAGTTCCGCCGAAGTCTTATACCTAAAGGGTTCCTATGGATTCTAATTTTAAATTTGTATACATATTTTGCTTATAATATAAAATACGAGTAATTAAATTGATTGTTCTACATTTTTACTTCTACATATAATTTCAAGTACATTTCTTCAGGCTCTCGCCTCCATTTTTCTTGCCCAATCGTTAGTATCCTATGAGTATTGTATAGGTAGTAGAACAAAAATCATCGTTAGTAGAGAAATATTGTAGATTTTGATTTCGGAGCCTACATGTTATCAGCGCACGTATGAGTGGTATGTAATGTTCAACGTATTAGTTTTACAATAGTATTTATTTATTAGAATTTGAGCATAACGAGGGACCTATTGGTTTTACCATGATGTGTTTTTTAAATTCGGAGCGTAGTGAGCGTACCACGTTCGTCTGGTAGGTAATAAGGAAAAACCAAATTAATTTTGTTTCAAAAAATAAAATTGAGTGTAATGAAGTATTAATTTTTTAATAGAGTTTTAAAATCACATTTTGACGAAAATCGTAATTATAACGGCCTTTCAATATTTGTACAACCGAACTTCACTTCGAATCGTTTTTCGTTATAAATGATTTATCGCTGGTTACAGGTATAAATTAAATAACTTTATGTATCCCACCGGAAACAGTGGCCACATCCGGCTCCAGTATCAGTTCTTTTTTTTTACTGTCTGTGAACAACTTTTCTACCAAAAATTTGCTCCAAATTTAGAAGTAAAGAATATCGCATCTTTTCTGAAAGGTTTATTTGGTTTGTGCAATGAGATCATTTTTTTGATTTTTCAAGGGGTTTTCGAATTAAAAGGCAAAACCCGAAAGAAAATTATAGATAAAACGAAGATCTAAAACAAAAAAGTGTTATATATTCTATTAGAGTTGTCCAAAAGCTCATGTATAAACATTTATAAAGCCAACATCTTATGAAATGTAATTTCAGATTTTATTTTATTGTAGGTACTAATGCATACAAAAGGTGTAGGTACAATAATATAGAAATGTATTTAGATATAAGCTGATTTGTTTATTGCGTACTTATTTATCCTCGTGTAACTTAACATTTTGGCTTCAATACAAAATCCTATTGACCATAAATTGTGCCTATTTGTATTAAAGGTGAACTTTTTATATAAAAATAGTACCTACCTAGTCACCTAGGTAATAATAATATGGTTTGATAGATGACTTATTCAATTAATTTATTATTTTTAAAATATTTTATATTTACAATCTAAATTTAAAATGTTACCAATGATACTAATGTGTCAAAAATAATTGTGTGCGCATAAATAAATCAAAGAGCCGATACTGTTGATGGACGTACTAACAGTTATAGGTGAAAAGTTGGGAAGGAAGTATAGGGGAAATTTAATGTTTATCTGTAAGCAACAATAAAGCATTGCTACCGTAAAAGCGATTCTGAGCGGAGTTCAGTTGGTAGTGTTGCTTTGTCAATAATATACAGGATGATTCACTAAGCGAGCTCACCTCATTTTTTTGGTTAAATTTTGCACACATATTGAAATTCTAAATTTTGAAATTTTTAAGTTCAGTTAAAGTTGATAATTATTTATTAGCTTATTGTAAATAAAAATGAAAAAAAATATGTAAAATAACGAGAAAGTTTACAGCAATAATGATTTTATTATTTTCAATTTTGTTTTTGTTTTGTTGTAATTTAATTCAAAATATTCGTAGACTTAAAACTTCGACAGTAAATATATATTTTCTTTTTTTAGACGTGGTAAAATTTTAAGAACATTCGAGACATTTATAGATATATATAATAATATGTTTTTGTATGCAACTTTTATTTTGTTGGTACTCTTTGAATATAATTGTTTGACCAACAGGTTTATTATAAGTTGTAATCAGTGGAAAAATAAAAAAATTTGAGTGCTATGTAGTATTTTTTTTTTATATATAAGACTTGATATTAAATATTGACGAAAATTAAAATTATTGAGGCCTTTCAAAATATGTATAACTGAAATTTTCTCTGAATTGTCTTTCATTTGCAGTTGCATTGTTGCTAACAGATATAAATTAAGTAACTTTATCCTGCCTTTCCAACTTCTCATCTACAGTGGCACATCCGTCCTGAATATCAGCTTTTCTTTTGTTTTTAAATGCAATTACAGAAATAAATAATAATTATGTATGTCTAAATTTGTATTTGTATTCAATATTATTAGTATGAATTATATCAGTTTCACCATAAAACTTTACAAAATGATAAAATAATATACTGCACATAATTATTATACAATATTATTTACAATTAATTTATCAAATATCTATTACAAATATTTAAATTTGACTAATATTAAATAAAAAATGTAATTAATTTATTAAAAAAAATCTAACATGCATACATCACACATTTTAAAACTCTATAATTGTTAATTTTTTATGAATCACATTAATAAATAGGTAGGTATTCACTATATAAACAGTCTTTTTAAGCAATGAAATGTCATTGGTAAAACATATTTTATACTATACAAATATAAGTGTATCATATTTAAGATTCTACTGAATTTAAAAATAAATTTAAATCAGGAACATAGTTCAAATTAAAGACTAATATTAATGCTAAAAACAATACCACATTTTTTGTAGGTATTTAAAAAATTAACACAATAAGTATTGACATGATTTTTAAAACTGATAAAATATCTTGATAATAAAATTCTTAACCCTATTAAAATACCAAAATATGAATACAATGAAAATCATATCATTATAAACTAATAATTTATTATACTAACATAAAAAAAACTGTTAATTTGAGTATCAAAATTAATCATATTATGTTATAAAATGTATATCTTTACTGTTTTTAATTTTAAAAAAAATTATTTTTCTTTGATTTAATGTTCCAGATGAACACATAATTAAATATCATAAATAGTTAAGTTTAGAATAAAAACAATAATATTACGATAAAATCAAGTTACTTGGGACATAATTTAAAAAAAAAATCTATTGTTTCATTTAATTTCATTAATTTATTGTTTCAAGATAACCCAGTTTTTTACAATCAAAAATTATACTAATTGAATTGGTTTTTTTAAATGATACACTTGGTTGAGCATTGCTTATGACAGTATTATAAAATGCTCACAAATTACATATTTAACTTGTGAATGATAACTTAGGAGACAATTGTTTTTAAAATATCAAAAAATATTTTTTAATTTACAATAATAAATGTCTTATGTTAATATATTCTGATGGCATTTTTTAGTAGTTTTTGAATGTGATCATTAACAAAATGTATTAATAATGATAACAAAAAAATAAAATTAATGTTGCCATACGGAATAGTTCAATTTTTTTTAAATTTAGCTGAAGTTATCAATATGACCCAAGTAGCCCAGTTAACACAGTATTGTTTTTTACTTATAAATAGTAGATAAAATAAAATATGCTTTAAATAATGCTTATATAATAACAATATATTTATTATAAAATTGATTATTATTGTGCATTTTATTCATATCTAAAAGCAAATCAATCTTGTATTAGGTAAAATCATTTTTAGAATAGTTCTTTTTAAACATTTTTGAGTAAATTTGCTTTTCAAATAACAAATATTGGTTCTGGGCTTGTTCGATTCTTTTTAACTCTAATAAAATATACTTTTCATTTGGAATCACTTCTAGTGCCTTTTTATAGTATGTAATTGCTTTATTAAAATGATTAAGTGACCCATATGCTTGGCCAAGGCGAAAAAATGCTTTTCCATTGTTGCAATCTGTATTTAAAACCTGTAATTATTATTATTTTTTTTTTAATATAAATTTTTTTAAATAAATTTTATTTCAGATTTTTATCAAGGAATTACTTATCTTATGACATATTATTAGAATCTATAATAAGTAGAACCTACTTCCAGAGACTCATTTTCATTAATAACAGACTCTATTAATATTCAGTGATGTGTGGTTAGACGTGAGCTATCTGACGGCTTATTCATTTATTATCTCCTTAATAACATTATTGAATATCCAAATATACGATCAGTATTTTTACACATAATTATTTAATTAGAAATTCAAATTTATTATTTATACCTTTTTCCAGAGAGAACTTTTGTTACCTAATCAAATTTGTAATAGTGTCAATTTCTTTTTTATGTCTCGTGAATTTTTTAGAACAAGAGCTTTATTTTAAACTAAAACCCTATTTTACTGTGCATTTATTTTCTCTTTGGTTGTTCTAGATTATTATTATATGTTTCTGTATTTAAAGGACTTGTCCCTAAAAAAATGTTAATGAATAAATAAATATGTTTAATAGAATTCAAGGTTGTGTTATGTATTTAAACTATTAATTATTAATAATTTGAACTATTATTATATTAATACAAATAATATAAGAGATTCAACTATCTTTATAAAAGGAGGTCATTAAATATTGTATAAATTATGAGTTTCTCAGAAAGTATTCTCCTATGAAATCTGGCACTAAATTTTTCAATAATTTAAAACCCAATTTGTAAGTTTTACTAATTTCTTACATATTCTTATCTTTTCATTTTTAAACAACTTACTTGTTTTGAAAATTCAATGGACATTTTGTAATTTTTCATTTTCAAATAAACATTAGATAAATTTAATAATGTATTCATTTTTATTAAATCTGGTTCATTAAAAGTTATTTGAAGGCCTTTATAATAACTTGTGTACCTAAAAAAAATGTGTATTAGTTAATATTTATAAGACTTTTTTTTCTTTGTAACATTATATTATCTTATAATTAGGGCAAAGTAATTCTGGTGTCACTTACAAAAAGGCTAGCTAGAAAGAAATTAATTTCATATTACGACAAAACCAAATCTGTACATGTATGTCGCAAATTTAGCTCTTTTTTGCTTTTTGAAAGATTTTAAATTTTTTTTTTTAATCTTTTTGGAGGGCATTTTTAGCACTGTATGTGCAAAATCAAATAACAATGAGTCAGTTGATACCAATCAGAGATTTCTAGTACCTGTTTTATACCAGTGGTTATCATAATTGTAAAATTGATCATTCAATAATTATTGTAATATCTTAATGTTTACATAATTAAATCAATACAAAGCAAACATTTCCTTAAAACAAAGGGGTTTTTTTTCATGTGATAATAGTATGACATAAAATTAAATTAAGTAATTTTTTTTCCTCAATTTAGATATTTTTTAAACAATTAATTCAATCACCAAAACAATTGTAGTATTTGTAATGCATATTTAAGGGTTTTTAAGTGCTAAGTACTTGCATATTTAGTACTTCTTTAGAGCTACATGTCCTTGAACCTATTTATAATTAACAGTCAAAGTATTTATATTATAAAATAATTAAAAAAGAATATTTCAATATCAAATTTAAATTAATTAAATTCAATATTACAACCCAGTGAAAAAAAAAAAAATAAATAAAAAATAAACTGAAATAGGTAATTTAACTAACTCAAGATATGTTTATTATATATTATACCCCATAGGTAAATTTGTCCAATTCATGATATGAACTTCAAAAATGCTGCCCATTTTATGAACAGGCAACGGGCATTCATATAACTTCAATACTACCAAAAACATGTTATAATAGTGAAAATAAATATAATATATAAATATAAATTAATGATTTTTTTGTTAATTGATAATTTTTTTTTTAAATTTATTATTTACTATATAGATATTTTGTTCAAAATATAATGTTATAATTATTAAATTTATTTATTTTCTGTATTTAATTTACTTTAAAACATGTATAAAAAAATAATTAATATGATAATAACAAATTTATAATAATTTATTATTTATTATTATTATTGTTTATTTCTTCAAAAAAATAATGGGCTCCACTGAACAGGTTCATGTTCATGGGGGGCCCATGAGTTCATAATTTATAATAAGGAGACTAATACATTCATTGTAATTTACATCCACCTTGTTTTTTACAATTTTAGACTAATTAGATGAAACTAACTTAAACATAAACAATGCAGTTAACAATAATTAATACATGAAGATTTAATGTATAATACAGTATGATAAAATACAAATCCAAGCAACTAGATTAAAGGTATAAAATATTTAAAATTTTATATTTGGTTCATTCTGCAACCAGTTAGTTATATTTTTTATTGTTTTGGTGTCTGATGGTATCATATTATATATTTTTGGTTCTATATATAAGTAAGTAAATTAAGTTAGTTTTTTTATACATTAAAGGTAGAGTAATATTTGATAGTTATCTTGTGTTATAATTATGTTCAATACTAAGTGTTAGGTTATTTTTAATTATATAAATTACTGATTACCTTTGTGGACCTAGAAAAGGCATTTGATAAAGTGAGTTAGCAAAAGTTATTTCAAAATTTGCAGCAAGTAGGAGTGGATTACAATGATAGACAATTAATATACAATTTCTATAGACACAAGACAGCAGAAATCAGAATAGACGACAAATCTGCAACAGCAAAAATATGGAAAGGCACTAGACAAGGGTATCCCATGTCATCAATGTTGTTTAATGTATATGTCGAACAACCAATCCATGAAATAAAGGAAACACTCAATAGACGAAAAATAGGAGTGACAGTTGGAGGAGAACTTAAACAAATGCTTAGATTTGCTGAGGACATTGCTTTAATAACCAAAAGCGAAAAAGAAATGAAAACTGCATTAGAAGTGATACAGAAGTGTTTTGAAGAATAAGACCTGAAAATAAACTGGAAAAAAACTAAGGTTATGATATGCTAAAGATCACAACAAAGACAAAGACTCCAAATCCAAGTGGGAAATAACTATACAGAACAAGTAAACAGCTATAAATACATAGGCAGTCTAATTACTCAGGATGGAAAGTCCACTAAAGAAATTAGAGCTAGGATAGTGCAAGCGAAAACCACATTTATGAACCGCAAGAAATTAATATGCTCCAAGAAAATGAGTATCCATATGAGAAAACAACCAGTTAAAGTGTTTGTGTGGAGCATTGCTCTATACGGGTCAGAGTCTTGGGCGATAAACAAAGCAGAAGAAAGATATTTAGAAAGCTTTGAAATATGGTGCAGGCAGAGGATGCTAAGAGTTAGCTGGACTGAGTTCCGTACCAATGACAGTGTTCTTAATAAAATAGGAGAACCTAGAGAATTATTAAGATCAATCAAAGAAAGAAGATGGAGACTAATTTGACATACCTTAATATACGAGGAGGAACTACACAATAGAATACTAGAAAAACAAATAGATGGCAAGAGAGGCAAAGGACGTCCTAGAACAATGCTAATTAAAAAATGTATTAAAGATGCCGAACTGAGAACCTACAGGGAACTGAAGAGAATGGCAATAACAGGGAAGAATGGAGGGAATATGGAAGAATACTATAAAACCTTAGGGTAGATTACTAAATTAGAAGAAGAAATTACTGATGCCTTATAGAAAAATTGTTTTAATGGTAGAATATTTAATCTATATATAATCCAAATACCACTGATTCACTGTATCTCAAAAAATACTCAATGTACACACTTGAAATTTGGAATACTGGTTCCTCTAATACTTTGACCAATAAGAGAAGATTTTTGAAAATTCAACCCCTAAAGGGTAAAATAGCGGTTTTTAGGTATATTTGATATGGATATCTAATTGATTATTTACTTATTTTTGTTTATTTAAAGGTTACCTTGATGTTACAGAAAAGAAAATTATTATAACTATTATTATTATTTGTTCTATTAAAATTCCACAATAGAATACATTTAGTCCGCTGAAAGTAGACTACCCACTTTCTACCTATTTGTTTTCATTAAATTCTGACACAGCCAAAACCAGAAATTAATATGGGTAAAATAATAATAATAAAAATTAGCACGGACAATGCCCAGGCGCAGGACATTATTTATACAGTATTCTCTGTGTGACACAAATAATTATTTTTATTATTTTTAATAGATTTAATGTTGTTTGGCAGACACCTCTTTAAACAGTAATACCATAGTTAATTATGGATTCTACTAAAGCCTGGTATACAATTCTAATTTTCTTAATTTCAATTAAATTAGTTTATTGATAATATAATTTTAATAGTTATGTATAGGCGTTGAAAATATTTATATACCACTAAAGTTTTGCTCAATTTATGAAATTGGCCCTTAATTAGCCATTTCACAGAATGGGAAAATGGGAATAAAATAGCCAGTTTTATGAAATGGACAAATTCATCCCTGGGGTTCAATATATATATATACTAAAAAATAAACCACTTTAATACTCAAATAAAACATTAAATTACTTCAAATAATTACCATGTATGATATCTTAACACCTTATCATATCTTTGCCGAGCAACAGAATAATTTTTATTGCTAAAATATTGATTTCCAGATTCTTTTATTTGATTAAGTATTTCACACATTTGTTTTACCTTGAGAAATATACATTTTAATTAATACATTGGATTAGAGATTAAAATTAAATAATTACATTTAGATCAGTCTGCTGAACTGTCCAATCTTCTGGAAAAGGGGGGAAAACATCACTTGTTTGATCATTTTCATTAATATTCCAAGTATTACTATCAGTTGGTAATTCTCCACAATCAGAAATTTTACAAGGCTAAATTATAAACCAAATAAATTAAGTAACTGATTTTGATTGAAAACTAAATATAAAATTTAAAAACTATATATAAGCTATTTCTACTATTATTAAAAAATGTATAATATTAAATAATACCATAACTTATGTATTGATTTTAAAACCAATAATAAACCATAACTTATGTATTGTTTTAAAACCAATAATAAACCATAATGAAATAAATTCAATATATTAAAATGTGACTAATATTTTACTTACGTTAATAGGAACATCATCTGAAGCTGTCAATAAAATTGTTTGCACAACACATAATCCTTTTTTTACTTTTCCAAGAACTACATTTTTACCGTCTAAATGCGGACATGGAGCAGTTGTAATGAAAAACTGTGAATTATTAGTATTAACTTTACCTGTATTTGCCATACTTAATAGTCCAGGTTCATCATGCTAGATTAAGAATTAAATACAGTTTTAATAAAATAACAATTTAAAAAATATATATGTACAATATAAACTTATGATTATCATATATAAAACTATTTATTGAAATTTACTATGAGGTAAAATTAGATTTTCAGTTAAAATAAATAAAACCTATAGTCTACCAACTTGACTACTTTAACAAACCATTAATATCTTGAATATTATACTCAGTTTTCTAATTTTTATATAATCATATGTAACCAAATATGCAGAATACTAATGTATTAAATAATGAATATACTTAAATTAATACAAAACAAATTCTATTATTTAGTTTTAAAATTTGAACACTCTAAGAGGTAATTAAAAATGAAATATTATGTATTTACCAGCAATTCAAAGTTTTCATCATCAAAGAACAAACCATAAATACTCTCACCACTAGATCCATCACCAGCAGCAATATCTCCACCCTGAATCATGAATTCTGGAATAGCTAAAATAAAAATTATAAAATTATTATAAATTGAACTTAATTAACATAAATTATTCACTTAAAAGCGTTCAAAAATAAAATAACCAAATGTAATAAATCTTTTATGACAATGAGTAGAAAGAACCAAAAATAGTTTCCAGCTATTTTTAAATATACATTATATATATACATATTTATTATTTGTTTATCTATTTTATATAAATTATATTATAAATAATAATAATACATATTTTAAATTTCAAAATATAAAAAACAACTAAATATTTTAATTAAGAATAAACCATATACATCAGTCTAACAATGGATATACCGAAAAATAATAATATTGAATCAGAAATTAAGGTTTTTTTGGCTGTTAATAAATTTAAATACAAATATTAATATACAAAATACTTTTAAATCAATCTGGTTGTACAAATTAAAACATACCTATTGTGGTTTGTGGGCTTAACAAAATGCTTTATAAACTCATCACGTAAGTTAAACACTATACTCAAAAAATTTCAAATTGGACATTCTTAATCTTTAATAACTAACTCAACACCTAATTATCTTTAAAACCTCAAAATTTCACAAATAAAAAACAAAATCTAAATTATCCAAGTTAGTTATTGCTCAACCCAATATACACCTTCTATACAAATTTAAATAAGTTTTTATTGAATAAATTGTAAAATTATTAAATTCATATAGATTGTACATTTTTTCTTATTATTAAAAATAATTATATAAAAATGATACTATACAGCAAAAGGAGTTATATTTTTATATAATATAATAAATTTATATACTATAATAAATTAATACCTCGATGGAAATATGATCCTTTGTAATGCAATGGTTTTCCATATTTACCGATACCCTTTTCACCAGTACAAAGAGCTCTAAAATTTTCAGCCGTTTTGGGAACTACATTATTAAATAATTCAATAACAATTCTTCCAACTATAAAAATAATATTGTAATAATTAAATTATATAGTAAAAGTTAGTAACTTTTCGAGTTTATTTGCAAAAAATATATTTGTTTAATGTACAGGCATTATAATTTAAATAAATATTTCACTCACTCTTTTCATTGTCAATTTCAATATCCAAGTAGACTACATAATTTCCAGGGGTAATATCACAGTTCAAATTCATGTTCATTTAACTATTTGATTGACTTAATATGATAGACTTCAAATTTCGAATAATATAGAATTTAGTTTCACTTTCAAGTTTTAACTATATTTTTAAAAATAATAAAAAAAAAATTACCCAATAAACTAAAATAATATGAATAAATGTAAGCATGAAGTTGAAAAATATTTTTATTTAATTTATTATTAATTATTTTTTATAACAATTAAATGAGTTTATTGTTGGTATTGTAATTTAAAATCTTTTAATTTAAATTAAATATATATTTTAAGCCATAGTGATTAGCAGATTAATCCAATTTATTTTTTGATAGATAATAATCAATAAATTATTTGTTTTGTGTGAGTACTCAACCCGAACTACGTGATGATATACGGACTAAGATATTATATATATATTTATTAGTTAAATATATACCACCTACCTCTTAGTCCGTGATTAAGTAAATCATGAACGAATGTTATCAGTTTTGTCACTTATCACGCGAAAATTTCAATAAAAAACAGATCATTATCTGAATTTTCTCTCGCTTTTTTATTTTTTGCAAACAAGTATTATCTAAAATTTCATTACACTCATTACAGTAAGCAGCACAAATTAAAATTTTAATTTGAAATCTACAAACACATCTATGCTACCAATTGAGATACACAGGATATCATAATTCATGATCCGTTTTCAGAGTAGAGTAATTTGTTTAATATATATTATAGTTCATTAGATAATAGAGCATACAATGAAGGAAAAATAAGGTGTCCATTGATAATAGAATATAATGACATAAAACAAGACATTTTTTCACAGCACTCTTGGACCTTGGTCTAAAGAATATTCATCTTGTAGAGCTAATATATATATATAAAGATGACTAATAATTTATTATTTTAACTCATGACTATAAATTTTTTTATGATTTCTAACTAGGATCTAAAGAATACTTAAATTTGTTTTCATAAGCAAACAAATGTATAATTGCCTTATTTATTTTGACCCAGGCCTCTCAATACCACCACCATCACAAAATCTGGTCTTGCAAAAGTAAAATAATATTATTTCCAAATTGGTTGGTAAATTATTTAAAGCTGTTATCATCTTATTTACTTTCCTCTTCACTGTCTTAAAAAATAACACTTCATAAAATTGTTATCAATATATTATTATCCTCCGTTTTATAATGTGCTCAATCTAACTCCCCTTGTAAAGTATAGGTGTACCATGAATGTTTCCTTCTTAAAGATAAAATAAAGTTGACTTCTGCCCTAGTTGTGTTGGTCAATTTCAAGGTTCCTTTGCAAATTACGAGAACTACCACTCCCTTCCTTATTCATAACTATACCTTCAACTACTTATAGAATGAGCCATTTAGGCGACTTAAGTCTAACCTATGTAAACCCCTCCTTATAACTTAGTGTTCAGTGTAATATTGTAATAATTTTTCTCTAAACTCATTTATTGTTTGTTGCTTTGTCATGTTAACTTATGCATTTACTATCTTGTAATAAGGGCACTTGCTTTTTTTATTTATTTAAAATAAAATAAAATACCTATCTCATTTTTAACTCTCAATTTAATAATATTTTATGGATTAAATAACTGTCTTACTCTACTCAAAAGAACATATATTTTTATTTATTTCATACAGTTATTGATGCCTCTTAAAATGTCACCTAAATACATTTTTATGACTGGCGCTACTAAGTTCAGAATCATTATAATATACTATAAATAACAAAACAATTTCTAATAATCATGCAATTATTAAATAATTCACTAAAATATAAATAAACCATAAATTTATGTAATAATTTGTTGTTACAAAAAAAAAAAAAAAATGTGTATAAAATATCAATATGAAATAACATTGTCTATATATTATTTGAAGCACCTTTTAAAGTTGCAGGAGTAATAATAAACCGCTTTGCAGATGAATGTGAAGTGTTAGAGCCAACAGTAAAATTATTTTCCTTTGGCGATTCAAACATTTCTTTTAGTAAAGCTCGTGATTCATTTTTCTGTAAATCTACAAATAAAGTAAAATTTAATTTATAATAACTTCCAAAATATAAATATATTATTATAAATTTATTACCTACATTAATTTATTTGTTTTTCAATTATGAATATTTAATGATTTACAATTGTAGAATGATAAAAAAAATGGATAAATGGATGGATGAAAAAAGGCAAAAGATGCTAGTTACATAATTTTAGGGTAAATATCAATAATTTTTTGGGCAATTAGACAATTTTGAAATAGCTGACATACTCTGTGTAATGGGTAGGTCATTTTTGTTAGTTAAGGACATTAAATAATAAATACACATAAGGTAATTTAGTTAATATCTGTATGTTATGATAAATCAGTACAAAACGATTATGAAGTAAATTGGGTTCAACATATTTCGACAAATTTAAATTTAAAACTTTTGTTGTAAATTGGTTCTGAACAATGGTTCAGTAACAATATTTTAGTAGATAATAATTACCTGTACTTTTCATATATTTTTCTAATAATTTAGGTGATTTGACATCCGTTTGAGTATTTGAATATGATTTCTGATTATATTGTCTTTTAAAGCCTGGTGACCAAGTCACAAAAGCTAACTGTCAAATGAGCAATATTAAATTAATGATTATTTACATTTATTTAGTTTATGTAAACTTACATCAAAAGGATTATATCCAGAAGTCAAATAAGATCCTCTTATATTTAAAGTATTTGAAGCAAGAGCTGAAGCATATTCATCTTTTAACCTAAAAACAGTTTATGAAAAATGCACTATGATATACCAATTGTATACAATTAGGGATATTACCTTTGTGTGAGGTAATTAGTGTTTTCTTTTGGTAATTTTGAATTTATTTCTTTTAATGAATTCAAATATTCATTAATTAATTTACTTGTAAAACAATTATGCTTTTTAGGGGAAACTGCTTTTATCTATAAAATAATTAATAACAATTTAAAAAAAAAAAAATCAGTTATTAAAGATTAAGTTATAAAGTAATAACTAATAAACTAATAAACTATATTTAAAATTACTAAGTAAATAACAATTATGTAAATACATTACTTTTAGTATCATAATTCCACATGCAAATATACATATAATATTGATAAATGTTAAACACATGCTTATTGCGCCTTTCATAGCAAAATCAACAGATCTTATAGACGAATATCGTAAATTAATTGTATTATTTATATCTTGATTAATACTCCTTATAGCAAATGCCCATAACAGTCCCTTAAAAATAAATTAAACTATTTACAACATAGTATTTTAAATAAAATATACATTGTTGTTCTATTAATTACATTTTTTAATTGCAAACATAAACATGAAGTAGTTTATTTTAAATACATAATGATTTTACATACCTAAAAGTTAATTTAACAATTTAAATTTATTTAACTTGTTTTTTAAAAATTCATTTTAAGAGCATTCCTACCATAAATAGTTTTTATACTTTAAATATAATTGTATCATTTGATATATACATATACAAATATAAAATACATACTGCATTTACAGCAGGAGGTAGAAGAGATGTAGATATTGCCACTCCGACTAAAGAAAATGTATTATTTCCTAATAAAGCAATAGGTACAGCAATTCCAATAAGAAATGCTAGTATAATTCCTACCCACAAATTATCAATATCTGACCTAAAATAGTTGAAAATAAAATTACTAATACTAAAGCTTAGACTTAGGCTCATATAAAGTTGTATTTATTCTACTGAATGACTCACATGTAAGCCATTTCAGTAGTTACCCATTGACTAGAATCTCTGTTATCAAAGTACAAAGTAATTAAACCATACCCAAAACCAATTATTACACAAAGAATTAAACCGATAATTTCATTGACAATTCCCATATTTCTCAGTTTTTTATCTTGAACCATAGTTCCAAATGTAGCAGCATTCACTGGTCCCTAATTAAAACATACATAAATCATTATAATTTACAAGTATCACTAAAAAATTATTTTATGTTACATTAACTTATAAGTACAGATAAATATTTAGATAATTCAAAGAGGACGACTATAAAGGGGTGTAGTAGAATGTGTATTATTCTAATAGGATAATCATAATTTAAATAGAATAATAGAATAATATCAATTCTTCTTCTTTGCTGGCATTTAATACTCTCTAAGAATTTTAGCCGCCATCACGATTTCCTTACATTTTTCTTAATCCTGAACTAGTTTTCTCCAATCTTTTACTTCCATCCACAAGAGGTCCTTCACAACATTTAGCTTTTTTTTCCTGGGTCGTCCTCGAGGTATTTTATCTACCGGTTTCTGTAAATTTTCTGTTAAAAAATGTTGATTTTGTGGATGATAAAAATTTAAGTAATTGGATACATCCCAACTATTTGGGGTCGGCCATCCTAGTTTTAAACATCCATTGGACTCCATCTCCCACTTCACATTTATCAACTTGCGACTGTTCTCGTATCATTTTCAATCACATCCAACCACCTCTTTTTTGTTTAGTCTATCTCTCCCCCTCGTTCAAATACCTTATGTCTACTAGAATCACCCAACTGGTCTTTCCACCAGTATGATACTAATAAGTAATTTATTTAAAAAAATTAATTCGGGGAAAGGTTCGTAAACTACCTCAGTCCAACTTGTTTTAATTAAATACCTTTTATCAGTAAAAAGAACATTAACCGTAAATATTTAAATTCAAAAATGTTGGTTATTTATTAATTATTTATATTTTCAGACTAATTATTTGTAATTTTTAATATCTGTTATATTTATATGTCCAATTTGTTGCTATTATTTTGTCTGATTTCTCTTAACCACTATATTTTCTATGCAGATACTATGCAAATTGTAACTCTACCTTTATTACAAGCTTAGCATACAGAAGTTAGATAATTTGATTAATATATTTCTATAATATTATGTAAATAATAATAACAATAAAATACAATATTTTTCCTTCTAATTACTAAGTTAGTATTATTTAAAAATAATAATGATATAACTATTTTAAATTAATTAAATAATAATAATAAATAAATAAATAAATAAAAATATAGTACCTACTTTTTATTAAACACTATTTTTATTATATACACTTGGTAATTATAATCAATAATAATTATCAAAGTTCACCAACCCGGTCTAGACTTATTATTATTATTATTAGACATATTGTTGCAATAAATAATAGTTTATGATTTCATAAGTTTAAGATTGTAGATCTCGGTCTGTCTGTGCATGATAGATATTGCTCAATGTTTATTATTATAAAATTAAAAAAAACAGACAAGAATACAGTAGAAACTTTTGTAATTTTAACATTAGTTAATATTTATATTTTATACAAAAACTTACAATAAGTGGAGATAGAAGCATACTAGAAACAAATATGAGAGTTTGGCCTTGCATCAGACCCAGAGATGCAACAGTTCTGTAAAATTATTACATTAATTATTTCAGTTATTTATATATTACTAAAATTGTATTCGACCATTAAATAACTACTATGTATTATGATTTTATTTTGAGATTTAAATTTAAAACAAATTGTATATTTATTTAAAGAATTTTTAGCTTCAAATAATAAATATATATAATTAAATTATTCAACTATATTATTATTAATTATATTTTATTTATTTTTTCAAATTAATTAATTTTATATCTTACTAACACTGAAATCACCAGAAGAATTAAAAAATCAAATGTTAACATTGCACCTGCTTCAATACCTTGAACTACTTGTGCAATAGTCAATCGAGTTCTCACTGATTGAAGAAATTTCTTCCAGGATGATTCAAACATATTAGGAGATGAACTGAAATACAATTGTTGAAATAAAAATCATTATTTTCAAATACAACATTGTTTCTAATAATTTCTCTCCTTGAAAAAAAAAGAATATTTTGACTTAATTATGTAAAGACTATATAATATTGCTTGAGGTATAATGAAAGATTAAAATGTCCAGCTTCAAAATATAAAACAATAATAATCATCAACAAAATACTTTTAAAATTTTTCCATATTATTTTAAGTAAAAAACAGAATAAAAATTCACAACACTTAACTTATTACATAAATTTAGTATTACGGTTCAAAATAAATATTTAATCATCTAATTTACTAAAACAATTTTTAACAATAAGATCTAGTAATATTATAAAATAAGAATGATTATTATTTTGATACACCTATGTTGTTATTAATGTGTTTTTAAATGATTTTATTATTATAGACTAATTAATAGAATTTGAGGAAATACCAAACTAATTTTATATAACATGTTTTAAACAGTTTTAGTATTTAGTGTTGATAATTTAAGTACATTATGTATTACTTGACTAAAGAGTGCTTTCCCCCATAAACTTACCCAAGTTGGACAAATGAACTGTTTTTCATTTTGAAGTTGGCCAAAGAGACTAAATATTCACAGTGTATTGGGTAAAAAAAAAATATGGATTAGGCATTTTTTTTATGTGTATCAAGGAATTTGTATTTCCAATACAATTATATGTAGCATTAAAAATACTATTATAATATTTACTTCACATTTTGATTAGTTTCAAAAACTGATTGAGCTGACTCAGGATCTTGATAATACAATGAACATGGTAGAATACTAAAAAAAATAGATATATTAATATAGGCATTAAATGTAGGTACTAATATAGGTATAATATAGTACTTAAGAACATTTACAAAATTTTTCCTTTTACACACATTATTTTATTTATGAAATTTATTTTGTATTTCATTTTTAAATATATTCTACTATACAAATTTAAAATTATGAAAAATAATATAATGTTCAATAAAATTGTAATAGACTTATAAAAAATAAAAAAAAATAAACTAATTAACAAAATTAATATAAAAGGTTAATTGAAATTCAATAAGTATTAGTGATCAGTGATCCGGTATTAGGTATTATAAAATCTCATTACACTACTACTGAATTAAATTTCATTCCAATGCCATTTTCCATAAATAAATCCAAAATATGTTCGCAATATTCATTAGAAGCAATCGAAAAAGTTACCTAAAAAAAAATATGAAACTTATTAATATTGTGTTGGTGCAATAAACTTATTATTAAAATTCTTTATATTACCTAGTTAAAATAAGTATATCTACCAATAAACCATAAATTATATCACTTACACAAAGCATATAGTAAGTATACAAATTATTAATTATACATATAGAATTTAGATACCTACCGAATGACATCTATTATCATGACTGAGATTCCATACAGAATTTGAAATTTGAAAACTTGATAGAATTGCTTCTAATGTCTAAGAGATACAAATTTAAAAATAATATGTATTAAACAAACAGTGTGTAAACTTTATTAAAAGAAGGAACCTAATGACACATATTAGATGTATAATAGGTATAGATAGTAAGCACCAATGATATATCTACCTTTTTCATATTTATCCATAAATGAAAGTTCGTGTTTCTTTTATTATTTATAATATTATCATTAGACTGTTTTTTACAATCGACATGTAAATTCGAACAATCACATGTAATATTTTGTGAAAGATGGATTTCATGGTGTTCTGTAGGAATTAAAATATTAAATAAAGCTCCAGACATAATGAGTAAAACACAAATTTCAGTCAACTAGTTATATTGAAATTATATTTATTAAAACATAGGTAATCATAAAAATGTAAGTACGTTCTTTTATCTACGGGTAGGTACCGCAATATACTGAGCTCCATACGGCTTAGGTACCTAATGAATCACTTTTGATATTATTTTAATGTGTATATATATAGGAAATATGGGATATCCGATACTAATCACATTAAAAATTACTATTTATAAAATTAATTAATAGATTATTTAATTACCACTATATCTTATATTTCATACTAGAAAAATAAAAGCAACTGACTCACTTAAATATTACAATAAAAATTGCTCATATAAAACGAAAAATGTGGTTTTTGGTTTTTTTTATGAAAACTAAATGTATGTATATATTTACCTTGTATAACAACTAAAATCGCGTGACACCATTTCTGAAAAGGGATGTTTTCCAGGTAGTACTTTTGGGAGGTAATTTTTTTAATTTTCCATACGATTTTCATAATATCTGGAAAAAAATAGTATAAAACGTAAGAAAAACGGGAAATTTGCGAAAATAAATACTTTTATTATTTTTCAATTTTGTTATAATTCAGTTACAAATATTATAGAGACTTGAAATTTGGACAGAAAAATTATATTTGCATTTCCTAGACATAGTAACATTTTCAAAAAATTTAAGCCAGTGCGCTATTTGAAGAATTTAAATTTTGCGATACGTAATTTTTATTCGGTAGGTACTGTGTGGTAAAATTGTTAGACTAAAGAGAAATGCTTGAAAATTTCACACAAGGTTCATTAAGAATCTTACTTTCTAGTAAAAAAATAAAATTTTAGTTTAATGTAATATTATTTTTTTTTTATAAAGGAATTTTAATATCAATTTTGAAAAAATCTAATTTTTTGTTTTGAACATATTATGATGTATGTTGCCGATTTAATAACGATGATGAAGTAAGAAATAAGCGGACTGACTTTTTTTTAGAAAATTATAGCTTTTTGAAGTTCTGATTTATAGATATTACATGTAACCTATGTTAAATAGCTATATGTTGTCAAATTTAAATATGTTTGTCTTAGTCTAATGGTTTTACATATCATTGTCCAATGGCGGTTATACATGATGTTCAAGCGGGGGAGAGTCAAAACTGAAGCCGACCCTCCCCAACCCATCACATTTTATACATATACTATACATATATATATAATATACATACGGATTATGGGAATAATAATGTTTATACATTAATAAAACACCTTAATATTAATGTATATTAAAAGAAAGATGTACATAATCTATATATTATATAAAATAACTTGTCTTAACTACTATCGAATGTACTTCGCTCAGAATAATTTTTTCGTTTGCAATGGTTTATTGTTGCTTACAGATACAAATTAATTTCTTCTCTATATCCTACATTCCAAACTTCTCACCAACAACAGTGGTTGCACCAATCGTGCGAATTATGTTCTTTATTTTTTTTTAACCATTTGTTTTATGTAGTTTTTTTAATAATTGGTAATACATTATAAAACATTTTATTCTTAAAATGAGTTTATGGCTGATAACCGACCACGATTGGTCGATTATTTTATAAACTCCGTTTATATATTGCATTAGTAAGAACCACGGACTAAGATATATCTTTAATCATACTTACTACTATAATAGTGTATAAATATAGTATCTCACTATATTTAATACGTGATGAGAAAGGGCTTAAAAGGGACGTCACAGGATCAGTAATACTGACAGTGTACTCTTTAAACTTCTTGCACGGTTAGTAAAGATTATTGTATATACTCTGTTTGGAATTCGACTGGTAAAGGTGTGAACTTCAACGTGTCTTTATTTATTTAAAAATAAGTTATTTTAAAATGGACGAAAAGCGTGCGTTGCAATTCTTTTAGCGTTTTCTATTCCAAGTAAACGTATTGCTAATAGGAAACGATGGGTAAAAGAATGAATTTCCAAACGTAAGAAATATTGTTATTTAAATATTTTAAAAGAAATCCATCTTTCCGATGCAAAAGACTACCAGAATTATTTTCGAATGAATATCAACATCTATGATAAACTATTATATTTGGTAAAACCATTGATCACTAAAATGAATACGAATATGAGGGAAAGTATTCCTCCAAATCAAAGGCTGACTCTTATTTTAAGGTACCTTACAACTGGGCGAAAATTACTTCGTATTTTTTTTTTTTATATTATTTATAGTAGCTTCAGGCTTAATTAACACATAGACAACTAATAATTCATTATAAGCAGATTTTTTTTTTATTTTTATTACAATAGTCCTTGCAACGAACATCCCATAAACAATTAAAATTTTTATATTCAGAAATAAAATCACGTAATTGTCGTTTACGACATTCGCTCGCATTTGTACATTCAAGTGCGTTCTCCATCGCTACGATATCAATACTGATGAACTGTCATTTACCACCAAACATGATCAATATTATCATCGGTAAAGAAATACTGACGACTCGATATTTGAAATTCCGATCAATCATCATTATTATTTTTCTATATTGACAGTACATCAGCATTCAACTCAGACGATCAATAATACTGGCAGTATATCCCATACTGACTCGTGGGAGGCCCACTTAAGAAATCTCACGATTATATTTTATACTCCATGAAAATAGTATGGTTCTTCTTCCATGAAATTAGGATTGTTGTCCGTCCCCTCCAATTGGAATCGTTCCGATCTTTACACGAGGCACATTCTGTCGCTTAGCGGTCTCTTTCTGAGACCACAACACGGTAAAATCTGATCGTTTAATTTCTGTACATTTTTCTATTTTGGTGTGTCGTTTTGGTAAGTAAATATTTCTCTAAGTTTTTATTAAATATTATATGAATTGAAATTAATTACTTTGTGCATTATAAGTTAGTAGTTTACCTTTTCCAATGTTTCGATAATATAATGATATTTTGGTATTTACTTGTACACATGGTTTATGCACAAAATATGTCCTCTTACCTTAGTTATTGTTTTTAGAGGATTGAATTATTCTTTAGTAATTTTTAAACAATGTTTTTACGTTGTTTTTTTTTTTATCTTATGTTATTAATTGTAATTTAATGTACATGTAATATATTACATACAATAAAAACATAACCTAAAATATATACCTACCTATATAAAATTTATTAATTGTCCATGCCTTTGAATTTCAAAACATTTAATTATGAATTATTATTATGGAAATCCATCAAGTTAACTAAAAGCATCTAAAGTCTTAACATTTTGGTTTTTAGTTCTTAAACGTATTAACATCTCTACGCCACAAGATGGGTAGAGAGGACAAAGCGACTTGGAAAGCTAACTATTTTGTTAAGTTGGTGGTATGTAATACATTCATCTGAATTATATAAACTTAAGTTTCATTTAAAATATAATTCCTTTTAGAATTTACTTGACGAATTCCCAAAATGTTTTATTGTGGGAGCCGACAATGTGGGTTCAAAACAGATGCAGCAAATCCGCATCAGTCTTCGTGGAAACGCTGTTGTACTGATGGGCAAGAATACAATGATGAGGAAAGCAATCAAAGGCCATATTGACAGAAATCAATCTCTTGAAAAGTAAAATAATTTTTAAATATACCTATATGGGTGTAAGCTATAGGTACATATAAAACTTAAATAATAATTAATGATGATAGTGTCAACTGAAAAGTGGAGTCTTAACGCATTAAAGCCAGAAATGGTTGAACCCATTGGTGCGGACAAAGCTTATTGTAGTAAAATGCTTTATACGCAGTCTGAAACTTTTGTAGTTTATTTAAAAATTATATTATAGTAACAGTAATTGTGATGAAAAATGATTACATAAAAGATCAATCGTTAACATGCCAAAGCCAGAAATGGCTGAACCCATTGTCATGGATTGATTTTTATTGATGTTAAATGCCTTGTGCAGTCTGATTTACTGTGACAAAAAATTCTAAAGTCTTATATTTGGAATTTCTAGTTTTTTAATTGAAAAATTATTTATTTTAGGATTATGCCTCACATTAGAGGAAATGTAGGATTTGTATTTACTCGTGATGAATTAGTTGAGATTAGAGATAAACTTTTAGAAAACAAAGTACGTGCACCTGCTCGTCCTGGAGCTATTGCTCCATGCCCTGTTGTTATTCCTGCACAGAATACTGGTCTTGGACCCGAAAAAACTTCTTTTTTCCAGGCACTTTCTATTCCAACTAAAATTTCAAAAGGAACAATTGAAATCATTGTAAGAATAACATGTGAATGTGTATTAAATTTTTTTTTTTACCAATGTATTAAATGTAAAATATTTTAGAACGATGTGCATATTTTGAAAGAAGGTGACAAAGTAGGAGCTTCTGAAGCAACATTATTGAACATGTTGAACATTTCTCCATTTTCATATGGTTTAGCTGTACAGATGGTGTATGATTCTGGAACTATCTTTGAACCAGCTATTTTGGATATCAAGCCAGAAGATTTGTTGAAAACTTTTTTGGCTGTAAGTTTTATTTAATTTCAATAATTATGTGCTGGAATTGCATAGTTAATATTGTGTTTATATATTATACTATTAAAACCCGAAGTGATACTTATGAACACGTGTATTCAGATTTATATTAAACCAATTAGCATGGTTTTTATATACAGGGTTTAACAGGACTATTTGACATTTGTATGTGTAACTACCATGTTTATTGACTATTTGTAGGCTATTTGGCATGAGTGCCAGAAACCAAATTGTTCAGGAAAGTCCAAAAGCTATTATGTATGGTATAATTTAATCTTAAAATTATACCAATTTAGTTTAATTTACTTTTGACCTGAAAACCTAAAAATTCATTGCACTACTTACCACAGGCTTGTGCAGACCTTGCTGGTTTGCTATACATAGGATGATTCAAAATTTATGTCACTGCCATTTTATCATATAAATATTCAAAATAAAGTAAAATGTATAATGTTGGCGTGCTGCATTTGAATAGTATTCCACTATACCTTTCCCCTGCCTAATCTAAAAAGTAAAATATTTCGTCAATGAATTGATGGAAATCAAAAATTTTAACACCAAAGGCGATAACAACTAATGCTCCATCAATGTATGATATTTTTAATAGGTTTAGGTTCCTATTTGAATTTTAAAAGTTGACGCCCATAAAATACAGTAAAATAAATAAAAATTATAAATTATTTTAGATGTTTATAAATAAAAAAATGTTTGTATTATACATACTTCTCTATTTTTAATATTTAAATGATGAAAATGGTAACATATTTTGAATCACCCTGTATGCATATTTTATAATATATTGTATGTAATATAATAGAATATTATTTTGATTATTAGTTATTAGTTCAATTATTATAAGTATTGGAATTATTGCCTAAGACACTTATCATAACAGTGATATTTAAACTTTTTATAAATTCCAAAGTCCTCTCTATCTAGCTTCGCAACGCCCCACATATAAAAATAATATAAAGTAAATTTTGTCAAGCAGCCTTCAAACAGCCAATATAATTCAATTGACTCCAAAAATGTTGAAAAGTTGAACTGAACTAATGCATTTTATTGGTAGTCGTGTAGATGTTTAGGTATATTTTGTATAATAATAAAGTTATGTGTGTTTTGTACTTATTAATTATTTCCTCTACTGTTCATGTTGGTAGGCTATCTGCAGTATTGTTTTTTTAATGATACATTAATGATGATGATTTATAATTTTATTTTGTCTTCTTTTCCCATCAGAAGACTTGATGTTGATAATAGAAATCTGAATTAATTTGTTAAAACAGTAAAAGTAAGAGGATATGATGATGATTCATAATTTAACTTTGTCTTCTTTTCCCGTCAGAAGACTTGATGTTGATGATTTAAATCTGATTTTGTTAAAACAGTAATATTAGAATGGTGATTTGTAAATTAATTTTTTGGTATCCTTTTTCTGCCTGAAAACTTAATGTTATTAAGTTTATTTTCTAAAACTGTAAATTACAATGAAAATCATTTAAAAATTTATCAAAATTATGATGAATATAATTTGCTTTTTAAGTCTTTTCCCAACTGATTTTACTGTTATGAATGTATTTTTCATATAATTAGTAGTTTTTTAAATAAATAGTTGATTATTATTCAAAACCACTGTGGTAAACATACTGATAACATCATTGTAGAAAAAAAATTGGTTACCATAGAGAACATAGGAAATCATTTAAAACAAGTATCAGCGTCTCTAGCAGACAATGGATAAACATTCATTTCACCCACTGTAGCTGTTGCCCTCCGCCTACAATTGTACAACAAAGGTTTGCTTAGTTAATTTTTTTCATGCCTTAATTATTGATCACAAGTAGGGCAATTTTTATCAGTAAGTTTTTAACCACCTATTTTGGTATGCCTGTTGTCACGATTGTAACATTTGTATAATTAAAGATTAAAAAAAAAATGTAATATTAATATTGTGAAAAAGAGTTTATAAATATTATATCAAATTTTTAGGGAGTATGTCAATTGACTGCTGTTTGCTTAGAAATCAACTATCCAACAGTAGTATCTGCTCCTCATATGGTGATCAATGGGTTTAAGAATTTGGTTGCAATTGCTGCTGAAACTGAAATTGAATTCAAAGAGGCTACGACTTTCAAGGAATATCTGAAAGTAATGAACTATATTCTACAGTATTATTTTATTTGACATTATTTAATTATGATAACATTCATTTTAGGATCCATCAAAGTTCGCTGTTGCTGTTGCGGCTCCTGTGGAAAGTGCAACACCAGCACAAGAAGCAAAGAAAGAAGAAAAGGTTGAAAGCGAAGAAGAGGAAGACGATGATATGGGCTTCGGTCTATTTGACTAACTTTTGTTCACTTGTTGACATTTTAACCTAAAATAAAAACTTATTAAAAAAATTTTTTATATTTCAATATATTTTTTTTTATTTTTATTCATCATAGATGAATTATTACACATAGATAGTGTTAATACTCTCAACAAATAGCTTAGATGTTTAAATTAAAACATTTTCTGTTGTGGTAGGTGATTTTAATATTTATTTAAGAGGGCGTTCCACCGCATTTATTGTTTCTATCTTATTCATACACAATCCTATAACGTTGTATTTCTGTAATCTAGAATAAATATTGTTTTTGTTCTTGTCAGAACAGGATTGAACTCATGAATCAGTTTAGACACCCTATTCTGCCAAATCATTCACTGTCATTTAACTTTCAGCTTTTCCATTCTTAGTTTGCTATAATTTAAAGCGTTGAAAAAAATAAAGTAACGTACAAATTGTGTTATTCGATTCGCAAACTGGAATATTTTTTTTCACAAAATTTGATACAACAGTATTGTTATACTTGTATCAATTGAATATAAACATACACTAGTGAAAAAAAAAAAATTTTTTTGGTCCACCATAATATATATATTGTGGTACCTCTGGATATAACGAGGGTAATTCAATTGTTTTTTAATATGATAAAGAATATATAATTAAATTATGTATGCATTAATAAAATCATTTATCTTCATTTTCGAAGTTTCACTTTTTAGTTTACTGACAACGAGATGAGATACTTTCAAAATTATATTTTTGTATATTAAATTGTACACTTTTTTTCACATATCTTGCCTTTGATTTTCAAGTGTATCACCTTTCTGAAAGGAAATTTTCCTGAGATGACCCTTAGATAAAGAAGAATAAAGAATAAAGACCTTTAGATTTTAAAATAATTGGAAAATTGTGAAAATTATGCTTTTATTTGTATTTTAACAATCTCGGCTTTTTGAAAATTATGATTTTGAGATTTTTTTTAAAAATGGCTCATATACACAGAAAAGTTTTCAACCTCTGCATTAGAATAATATTTTTTGTACAATGTACAATTATTTATTCAAACATTTTAACCCTTAACTTGATTTTATATCTTTTAAGATTTACAGAATTAAAATAAATAAATTGTGTCATAATATCATGGACCTAAAGAATAGTTAATAATAATTTTTATATCCAAAATATACCTAAACAGTATAATAATTAAATGATTTCACTAATATCTAACATATGCAAAATATTACAAATTTATTATTTTATTTTAATTCTCTGCTCAGAGGGAGTTTTACTCCTACATGTACAGCTTATAGTTCAAATGTATCATCAAATAAAACATCTGGGTTCAGATGGTCAAAAATATTATGAACTATCATCTACTTCTATCACTCATTCAGTTCCTCCACACCAACCTAGTTAAACAATGTTGAGAACAAACGTTAAAAAAAACTTGATTGGTATTTCATTAAACATGGGTATGGTAAAAATACCTGCTTATACTACTAGACGCCATACAAAAAATATGAACCTGTTGTAAATATAATGTTGATGTTAATTAATAACTAATATGATTTCTTCATTTTTGTAACAATAAATACTCTGATGAATTTGATATAAGTGAAAATGGTACAAGATTATTCAAAAGACTTCTAATTTTTTTGTAGTTTTAGTGGTTAAACTTTGTTTTAGGTAAACCAAGAGGCTGATTTGTAACGAATCATTAAAAATACTGTGTTTTATTATTTAAAAATATAAAATCTGTAAAATAAAATATTTTGTAGTTGAATAATATACAAGTTATGAAAACAAAAATCAATGAGTAATTTTAAATTATTTTATTTTATTGTATAAGCCCTAATCTTGTAAATGTATCTCTGGTTAGATACATGTATAAAATCATAGAATTTTGATAATTTATCCTCGAAGATACAATTTATATTTCAAAAACTGTTTAATAAAAATTTTTTTTTATAGTTTTATGTTATAGAAGTCTTATGTAGATAGTAAAACAGACAATTTTGAACTGTGTAATTCATGTACTGCCAGTTTAAACCTTAAAGTGATATAATATTTTAATAATAAAAAGTGAAGAAGTATATGACAAATTTTATAAGTAAATGTAACTTTAAAAATGAATAACGGAGAAATTTGATTTTTTTATATTTAAACTTTGTAAAAAAAAAAAAAACAATCAGTTACAAGTACAGGTTAAAATAGTAAATCGTAATAATATTGGTATTAAAAAGGAAAAAAAAACAAGGTATATAAATACATTATACAAAAAACCTAGTCTAATTGGTAAAATTATGGGGGTTAATTGAGAGGGGAAGATCGATTGATCATTGAAATAGACATTAATGGAAGTTATCAGAACAGAGAATTTCACTGAGGAATAAGATTGGGACATTTAAAAAGAATATGGGAAATATCGCAGATCGATTCAGAGGCGTGAAAGGTGCAAAGAGGAGAAGTCATTAAGGTAATGCTTATAGAAATAGGAAGGAAGTAAGGTATGGCCTAGTCTAAGGCGAGAGAATGAGGAAATTATTATTTTCCAACTGAGGTTTGACTTTTGGAACCAAGCATTGTGCCGTATAGCAGGAGAAATGTTCCTATACCAGGAAACATAGCTAAGAGGCAGACTTGACCATTGGTTAGCCCACATTTGACCTACGTGAGATTTTAACATTGGAAAGCAATCAATTCAAGGAATAAGAGAAAAAGTGGATTTAGCCAAAGAATCAGCAATTTCATTACCCTGGATATCTGCATGACCGGGAATCCATAGAAACTCAATCACAAACCACCAGGTAAGATTGTATAAGTATTACTTTATACTGACAGAGATAGAAGAGGGAGGTGAATTGAACACATGAAGAGAGTAGGCAGGATAGAGAGTTAGAGGCGAAGAAAATATTACTGGGGGCAAGCGAAGATAAGAGTTTAAGTGTTTAGAGGATGACAAAACATTCAGCAGTATATGAGAAAGCAGATGGAGGAAGATTGCTAGATAGTGAGATGTGTAGATCAGAGATGAAAAAATAATAACTAGCTGAGAGAGGGGAGACTTAGTCATCAGTGAAAATTTAAGTCATAGAAGGGAAAGTAGTATGGATGTACTCAAGAAATTGTTAACACAATAGTATAAGAGGTAATTTAAGGGAGTTAATTGGAAGTTTTAAAAAAAATGTATAAATCTGAACAGTTGGGGAGAGTAATAGTACTTGAAAGACAAGGTTGTAAAGTGGAGGTAAACTAGATTTGATAATATAGCTGTTGATAGAGGATAACGAGTGTGCAGTGAGAGCGAGTATAAGGAAAGATTTTTGAACGTAGTGCCAATAATAATAAATGTCAAAAGATTTATTTTATTAATCTGAAATTTTTCCACGGTTATTTGTATATATATTATAAGTCAATGCGGTTGCCAATGATAACCATCCTAAGTATGGAATCATAATAAAACTAGCTATTTTATTAATTTTATAAAATGTTACGATGCAACCAGCAACATTTATCCACAAACCACAAATCTCAATAAAACTCTGAAAAAAAAAAAACATTTATTCAAATTATTTCAGAGGATATATAGAATAATTTAATTTATACCTGAATACAATAATAAATTGCTAGAAAAAAATTACGATTCCGAGTAGTTTGGTTACACATGCATGTTGACTTTAAGAATTTAATAAAAATTTAAAATTTTAAACACTTATGAAAAAAACTACAGATCCACAATATCTTATATTCTTTATATTGTCATAGTAACAACTTATGATGAATAAGATCAAATTTGGGAACAACATTTCTAATCGCTATAGTTTAAAAAAAAAAACAAAATATTTTGAAAATTTTACTATGGAAATTGAAAAAAAGCTAATGCAAGTATTCTTTTAAAATTGTTAGTCTCTATGATTATTTGAAAATTGAGCAAAACTTTTGATAGAAAAGTTGTTTATAGACAGTAAAAATAAAAAAAACCAATACATGTGTCCCATAAAAATTTAATAACTCTGGAAATAATAAAAAAAATGTTATTTTTTTTTTTTTTTTTTATTACTTGCAGGGACAAGGTCTATATTTATATTTGAATGAAATTTTTTTACTTTTAGTAAACAAACAAAAAAAATAATAACTTTTTATATTATTATTCTCAAAAAAAATGTTTAATAGCTAGCCATTTTATTGAGTTTTTTTACTGAAAACTTTGATGTTTCAACTTTTTATTTTTATTAAATTCTGATTTTTTTTTCATTTTTTATAATTTAGAGAAAAGTAAACATAATTATGAAATAGGATAATCGTAATTGCTAATTGATCATTATTATTATGGCTATTGACTATACATTTTTTTCTCAAAAATGATTAAAAATGATAAATTTAAATAAAATAAAAAGTTGAAACATCAGTTTTCAAAAAAATAAACTATAAAATTGTTATTTTCAAATTTTTGAAAATAAATAGTTTTTTTTTACCAAAACATACAAATAATTTGTTTATCTTTATTATCTAAGGAGATATTATAATAGGTATGTCTTTGTGGGACATCTACATATTCCAAGCTTCGCTCAGAATCGTATTCAATTATTTAGTATTCAATTGACATACCCATTTTAATTGGTGAAACTCAAAGAATAAAGGTGACCATGCCCAATTTAAAACCAGTTGTGATGCATATAATGTCAAAGGGAGTTTTGCTGCACCTATAGTTAAAGAAATTAATAATTATAATCAGAAAATTCAAAACGTTTATTTTATAATCAATTTTACCAAAAAATCCACCGCCACTTTGGTATACCATGAAAGAAGCATATCCCATTCCTAAATATAAAATTGTCCAAACTGGAGCAAACATGTAATTTGGAGGCCTCCAGGAAGGCCGATTCAATGTCTATAACAAATATGTGAAAATATTTTATATTTTTATATATGATTTACCTATTTTTAACTTTTGTATTTACTGATTAAAATTAACAAGATGCTAATTATTACCTCGTACCATACTTTAATGTTTTTTCGGACAAAAATCCCTCCAATGAAACCACCGATCATTGGTGTTAGTGTGAAAGTTATAGGAATCCAAGATTTTTTAATTATGTCCATAATTTAATAATGTGTTGAATCAAAAATTTATTTAAGATGTCACAAAAAAAACTGAATTATATTTTTTAAAATTCATTGATTTTGCTAATATTTTAATACATAGAGTAATGAAAATTATAAACAATAATTCATAATTCATACAAAAAAAAAAAAAAAACAGTCAAAACAATGATTGGAATATACTATATTATGTGTATTTCAATCATAAACAAAATCACGTCAGAAACTGTGTTTACTACGCATATTATCTACTATGTGTTTACGTCATCTGGTCTCGAGAAAAAGCCGCGAAATATTTGTATGTAAAATTAAATTTTATTATAAGATACCAGATAACATAGACATTATAAAAGAATTATTTAAAGAATTATTTCTTAAATCATATTATATTGTATATCATTGTATATGATCTACAGAATAAGTTAAATGATCCAAGGATTAATCTATTACCTTGATAGTTATCTTTACATTATAATATAATACATATTATATTATTATTATTATTTATTAACACTATAAAATAATTATAATATAGAATATTGCAATTTTTAAAGTTAAAATATTAACATCTCATTTAAATGAAAGCTTGTACAGGAGACGTTAAGTTGCTAATTATTTATGTATTATTTATAGCTATGCTCGATAACCGTATCCAGAATCATAAAGCAGTGATTAAAAATACTGAATGGATTATTATTATTTTTATTCTACTATTTGGAGTATATTTTACGAATCAAATGTTTTGTTGCATGATGCGTAAGGTTAAACTATTAGGATTTGTTACTTTTATAAAAATAGTAATTTAATGGGTTAAATATGAAGGGAATGAATAAAACGCATATAATATCATCGTTTACTATCGGCTAATATGTTGTTCGACGTTCAAGATTACCATTGACTGATTTGACCATAGACCTACAATATGTATAATATATTATAAAATGTATGGATTTTACTGTCTTGTATTATAATATTGATTACATTAATTTAATCTTATTTCACCTTGAACTAGGCGATATCGGATCGTGTATATACGAGCATGTTGTTATAGCGAATCGTAGCGAGAAGGAAAAAATCTTCAAAATTGAATTGATTTTTATATCGAATTTTAATTGAACCAAAACACATCGATATATTTTTTTACACATAAATGAAGATAATGCTATCAGCTTGTTATCAGCACATACAATCATACACACTATAACCATTAATCAATGGCCATTGGCCAATGCTAACACTCAAGTCTCAAGGTAGGTAAATTAGGTAGTGCTCTATATGTGAATAAATCTATAATACCTGGTAAGTCCATATAGAGGAACCAAGACTCATTAAACACATACACACAGGGACGTACGCAGAAAAAAATTTTGGGGAGTGTTATTGAAGACCAGTTATTTACAATTAGAATAATAATATACCATTAAAATGGAATAAGTAAATAACCAAAAAAAAAAACAAAAATTTCAGGGGTGTTTGGACCCTAAAAACAACCCCCTGCGTAGGTTGCATGCGGATAGATTCATTTTTCATTTATAATGATAGGTAATCAAAAAAAAGAAAATATTTGAAATTACAATTTAAAATTAACATTATTTTTACAATATAAGACATGATATACTGATAATTTTAAACAATAATATGGTGATATGAATTTGTTTAATATTTTATACACAGTCAACAAAGAAAACGCATTAGGTACAATCTTGAAGAATAAAAATATCTATTTATCCATAAAGATATCTAAGATATCTATCTTTATTTTCCATGGGTACAATAAAGAAAATTACTATAATATAATATTTACATTTGTAAGTAGGTACGATGGACACGGAATAGTATGGTATGGATACCTTAATAATCGAAATATACCTACTCATTTGAAGTATTTATTATAAAAGTTATTATTACTGTTTCAAACGGATAAATAGCATATTAATTAATTAATTATATTATTGTATTAATGATAAATAATAATTTTGTTAAAATCGAAAAAAACGATAATAACACATTTGTAATTTATACTTGGTTAATTAACTACATACCGCCATATTTCTATACAATAAACTTGGATCATTTTATAGTCATAACATAATATGATGTGCCTAAATCCGTTAAATAATATTAATGTGTTTTGTCAAAGAATATAATAGATAATTCTTAGATAATTATTTATAACTCAATATATAAATATAACAATATTTTCGAAATTTTATAAAAAAGAATAAACAATTAACTATAATAAATAAATTATTCAACGGGTTACCCAATATTTTAATCATGGTAATTTAATTAACCAGGTTAATTATATCATGATTCTAATCATAGAAAAGTATATTCCAACGTATTATATATACGTAATATGTGTATAATTACCTAATGTGTACCTATATCAGTTTGTTTTCAAATGTAAACTTGTGGTGTACTTTTATATCTTGTATCTTTTAGCCTGTTGTCGTAGGTTAAATCATAATAGCTTTATAAATACTTACATACTAAATACATAATAAATTGGTTCAAACATCAAACGTTTTATACATTTATATAGATCGATTTTTCATTTTGATCTCTATTAAATTTTTTGAATTATCGATTATATCGAACAAAAATATCGATTATTCGAAAAAATCGATTTATGTCACCCATTACTACTAACTACTGTTAATTGACTATATAGATATGTAGTACACTAGTACAATAAAAGTAATACACAGGAGCAAATTGATTGAGTATTTATTTAGCCGGCTTTATTATTCTTAAGCGTAGTGTAAAATTTTGTTAAAACAGAATATTTTATTTTACCTATTTATAAACAGAAAATAAGTAATAAAGTATAATGTTAAGTTTAAAATTATCTTCCTTCATGAAAAATTCAGGTAAGTTTATTTTTTGTTTTTTTTTTTTCATTTTAACTTGCTTTGCCCTCTTGTAGAGTTAAGGTCAAATTTATTAATGCAGTTTTGATTTGATGTTTCTATTGTTTAGGCATGAAGTGTGCATTGAATAGCGTTATGAAAAGGTCAATATCTTCATTATCATCATTATCTGAGACACATCAAATGTTATATAAGACTTGTAGAGATTTTGCAGATGGAGAGCTGAAACCTATTGCAGCTAAAGTGGATAAAGAACATTTATTTCCTGAAAAACAGGTTTGTATATACAATATTTTTAAAAGTTGGATTTTTTCAGAATATACCTATAATATAAAACCACTGATCAATTTAATATAGTATATATTAGGTAGGGTAGTGAATACTTCATTTTCTTATTAGGTACTATGTATGTTAAAATGCCATAAAAATGTTTTAAAAAATAATAATTTTGTGTGTACATTTAATTTATTATATTTTATAAATGGATCAATAAATACTAAATTTAAATAATAGATAATAGATAACCATTGTAAAAAGAGCAGAGGTAGGTATAGTATTAATGGTTTTCAAGTACATCAAGTATTGATATATAATACCAATCTAATAATAATATTGTAATTAAGTACTTCATTTTTATTTTTCCAAAGTATAAAGGTATATATTATATAAATTGTATATTAAATTGTCATTATGAATATTTCACATATTTATGTGTAGTTAATTAGGTAGGTATATAATTTATGAATTAATACATAAATACTATATTTTCTTAATAATACTTATAATAATATAAAGCATTATATAATTTATTATACATTACTATAAAAGATATACCTGCTTGAAACTATTATTGTATTAATTATTATTAATAATAAATCAATTCATTTTTATCATTTTTATCTGACGTTGATCATATTCATTTTAATCTTTGGTATTTATAATTCTCTATTGATTACAATAATTATGTTTATTATTTTAAAAATTTTTATATTATCAGCTGAAAATTGGTTTTATTAATCGAAATATTTTTGTTTGTAATTTAGATAAAACAAATGGGGGAATTGGGTTTAATGGCAATTGACATCCCTGAATCATTAGGTGGTACTGGTCTTGACTATTTAGCATATGCAATTGCAATAGAAGAAGTCTCTAGGTATATTAAATTTGTTTTTTTTTAATTTTTATTACATATTTTATAAATGTTAACATTTTTATTTGTTTTTAGAGGTTGTGCATCTGCTGGGGTAATAATGAGTGTTAATAATTCATTATATCTTGGTCCTATTAATAAATTTGGCAATGATAAACAAAAAGAAGAGTTTATACCACCATACACAACTGGTGAAAAAGTTGGATGTTTTGGTCTTAGTGAACCAGGTGAATAATACAAGCATTTATTGATTTGTAGGTATACAATATATTTTATGTTTATAAACATAAATGTGACTCAATATTTTTTTAATGCTGATTTGATAAACGTATGTGTTGATTTGTTAATAATTTGATGGATTTTAAGTTTCTGATAAAGTTATTTAAAAATATTTTTACCCTATGATAAATGAACTTATTGTTACTTAATGGCTCAATAAAACTCTTAATCTTTCTATTATAATTGGTTTAAACTATGACCAATTACTCCGATTATAATTAGAGGTTATTAGTTCAATCTGATATGTCTTGGTTATTTAAATATTACTTACTATATAATTTACATTAAAGATAAAATAGGTATTATTTTAATGAATTAATGATAGACCATAGAAAAATAAATATAAATATTATAATTTAAATTTTAAAGTAATTATTTTCTGTAATTAATTAGAAAAATACATGCTTTTAATTTTACTGTAATTTAAATTAAATTAATCTTTTTTTTTATTTCTAATAACTTATACTTTTATTTCTGTTAGGTAGGCAACACAAGTTTGGTACCATAAGATACATTTTAATTATTTAAGTTTCACATTTTAAAACCTTAGTCATAATTCTTAGGGCCAATTTCACCAAAAACACACTAATCGTGATCAAAGTAATCAGGGTTAATCATGGTTATCAACAATTGGATTTCACTACACTAATGACTGTTCCGTTAATCACTATTATGGTGACCTCTATTAACCTTACTATTAAAAAATTAGATTGATTCTAACATTGATTTTTATATTGTTTTTATAAAGATGTCAAAAATTAAATATTATTTGTTTTTATGATATTTTGGTTTCATTTATTATATTAAAATATTATATGGCAAAATAAATATAGAATGAAATTAAATATTTAAGGAGTTTTTCTATTTCACTTGAACTAGTTTTCAATGATTTTGTCTTTTAAAGTAAAAATTTAATAAATTAGCTTATTTTATGTTTATCAATAAGGTAGGTAGCATTCTAACCAAGGTTAGAAGGCATTCTAAACTACTTAGTTTTATTGTAATATATTTATAATATTATAGTTTATTGTTCATTATAGTCTGCGTAAGTTTATTTTAATATTGGATATTTTCAGGTAATGGTAGTGATGCTGGTGCAGCTTCTACAATGGCAATTAAAAAAGGTTCAAATTGGATTTTAAATGGCACTAAGTCATGGATTACAAATGCTCATGAAGCCAAAGCATCAGTTGTATTTGCTACAACTGATAAAGTAAAGAAGCATAAAGGAATCAGTGCTTTTTTAGTTAGGAGAGAATACCCTGGTAAACATAACTTAAACAAATTATGAAATTTGAGAATTTATATTATATATTGAAGTTTTTTAGGATTTTCTTTGGGAAAAAAGGAAGATAAACTTGGTATACGAGGCTCATCTACCAGCAATTTGATATTTGAAGACTGTTCAATTCCAGAAGAAAATCTTTTAGGGGAGCCTGGTATGGGGTTCAAAATTGCTATGATGACACTAGGTAAATTACTTGTTTTATTTATTATTGAATTTAAATTTTTATTTTAATAAATTAAATAATAATGACCTTAATTTAGATGCTGGTCGGATTGGAATTGCTTCACAAGCATTAGGAATAGCTCAAGCTTCTCTTGAAGTGGCCATAGAGTATGCAAATAAGAGAATTGCATTCGGTGCCCCCATATCTAAATTGCAAAGTATTCAGGTAATAATATTTATTTTCTGGCAAATATATAAGTAACGTAGATATCACTACAATGTGCATCAGTTTCAACAAGTTACTGCTTAGAATAAGCTAAAAGTCTCATGATTGTGTGTTAAAATATAAGTTTAGAGTGAATGGTTAGAACGAGATATCGGCTACGAGTAAAATAAAACATACTAATGACCTTCCGGTTACAAAAAGCTAGTCGTTATCATTTGACTACTTTTTAGGTTGCCCTACTCGTTAATTTTGTCCATTATTTATTTATTTTATATACATAGTTATTTCTCAAGTTCCTCATGTCTATATTTGTCCATTATTTTTAGTTATCTTTGTGTTGATTATCTATGTTACAATGGTCAATTACATTATATTTTTGTGTTACACAGGCTGTTCATCTAAATTTCATGTTTTTATAAAATACTTATTTTTTAAAAAATTTAAGGTGTAAATATTTATTTTTGATATATATTTTATATTAAAAATTTGTAAATATATTAAATTTTAGTTTAAATATATTTTGGTTTTGATATAATTAATTTTCTTCAACAAGTTTATCGTATTCAACCCCCCCCCCCCCCAAAAAAAAAAAGTACTATAAAGATCATTTATTTTAAAATATGTATTCCAAATATTTTACTTGTATAATTTTTTGAAAAATAAGTATTTCATTGAAAATTTGTCTTGAAGTTTATTACAAATATCATCAGATTTGTGAAAATGTCTGTCATATTGCATAGTCAGTTTTTGTTGTGTGAAAAAAATTGGAATAATTGGTAATAAATAAATAACAACATCTTGTTCTATCAGTATTTAATGAACTACAATTATGAGAAAAACTATCTACCTTTAGAAACTTTTAACTGATTTCTATTGTATTATAGATTTTATTTTACAAATTATTTATTTAATCTTACCCATTTTGTTTGAAAATAAAATTGCTTGTAGAATAAAATTGCTGATATGGCTCTACGTGTAGAAAGTGCAAGATTATTAACATGGAGAGCTGCTGTTTTAAAAGATGAACATAAGCCATTTACAAAGGTTTGCTAATAAATATTTTTCTTTCTTTTAATTGAGTTTATTTAGTATTCTATTTAATTTTTTTCTACAGGAAGCAGCAATGGCTAAACTAGCAGCATCTGAAGCAGCAACATTTAATTCACACCAGTGCATTCAAGTATTGGGTGGTATGGGTTATGTTTCTGATATGCCTGCTGAAAGGCACTATCGTGATGCTAGAATAACAGAGATTTATGAAGGAACATCTGAAATACAAAAGCTTGTAATAGCTGGAAATATATTTAAAGAGTATAGTTCCTAATTATTTATATTCTACAAGTGTTAGTTGTGGAATAATTTAAAGACTATACAGTACTAAATATTAAAGTTGGTGGTTTGACTGAATTTTTTAAAATTTAAATTAATAATTTGAAACCTTTATCATGTATCAAAGAATGAAAATATCATTGTATAATATCTGTATTAAAAATGTATAGGTAATTTAATTAATTAATATTTATATGAAATTTAACAATGTACACTATTATTTGCTGATTTTTTATTTTAAATTCAAAGTTATTTACATTGTAGTACATAAGGGTGGACCAGATTTTTTTGCTCTTCTCATATTATGCATAGTTGGTTAAAAAAAATGGTTTCCTCACATTTTCAGATCTTTAAAATGATTTCTAAACAGAAATTTATTATAGAAAAATAACTGTTGTATTAGATTTATTTTTTTACAATCTAAGTACTCATTTCTTAATAAAATTGAGGCATATTAAAATAATTAGCACTAACAAATAAACTGACATGGAAAATTATTAGCTCGTAGAAAATTAATAATTATTTGTTATTGGTCTGGCACACCAAGGGTACCCTAAATATTTTGTTTTTAAAAACACCATAGATAAAAAATTCAGAGAGAGGTAGAAAGTTTACAATAGATTTTATTTACAATTACATAATATTTATGTTATATTTACAAAAGAAGTTATAACTAATTTATATTTTAGCCTTCAAAATAATTCAGAAAAACCAGAAACAAAATTATAGGTTAGATATCAAATATTTATAGTGTACCAATTTAATTGTTTTTAATGTTTGCAAACTATGCTTTCTTTCAGAAATGTTATTCCAATAGAAAAACGACAGAAGACCTTTTTGTTGCATATTGGATCTAGTTGCTCACGGAGAAAGTCATTTTTTGATTTTCTGTGTATTTTTTTTTAATAATTCAGAGCAAAACCGAAAGAAACAAAACGTGAAAGCACTAGACAATTTTGTTTTTTTTTTCGTTTTAATTTAATTAAAAATTTTAGTAGACTTGAAATTTTGACAAAAAACTTATATGTGTCTTCTAGAATTGGTAAAATTTTTCAAAACATTGAGCATTTTGAGATATTTATATAGGTATAACTCACCCAGTATGTGGCGTATTTAAGGGGGGAGATATATCTCCCTGATCTCTCCCCCTTCTTTGACATATTTTTTATTAGGTATTATACGAATAGGTACCTACTTTTCAAATTCGAATTTCTCTACATTTTATTCATAAAAATCAAAAAAGTGCATGTTTGTATAGATACTTATCAAGTTAATAAATAAAAAAAAAATAACTATAATGTCTATTAAAAACAAAACCTATCCGAACCACTTTAATAAAAAGAAAGTTTTTCTCCTCCTTATTCTTAGAATAGTAGAACTAAACCAATAATTATAATTAGGTACCTATTTTAATATGTTAATGTTAGGGGGTAGACTGCATTATAACCAACAAATTAACAATGAATCATTAATCATTATTTACCATTTTATATAGATATTTAATTTATAATTTTTACATAAATTTCTATTTAAACATTACAGTCTACAAATTTAGATTAAGAATTAAGAATAGGTAGTACATTAGACAAGTATATGACTACTAAAAAGTTGTAAGTAAATATTTATGTATAAGACCATACAAACAAATAAATAATTGAGAATGTTTTATAATTTTAAACAGAAAGTAATTAAATAGGTATTCGTTTTACAATAATAATGTATTATTATTCTGATAAAAGAAGATACCTGCCTATGATTATTCGTTTAAAATAAAACAATTATCAGTTTGTATTGTATTGGGTTATAATTGATCAAATTTTAATAGACATTTTTTTTGAAAGAATGTTAAATATTTGAAAAAAACCTTTGTAAAATCGATACTTCATAATTTTTATACTAAAATAGGACAACGATTTTATTTTAAGTACTAGTCATTTTTAAATTGTCGACATCTTAATAATTTTAAACTTTTTATAAAAATATGGGCCATTATAGCCCGCAAATGGAGTTAGTATGTCTCGTATGTAAAATTGCATTGTAAGCTGTGTGTTTAATTATTTAGAACAATGTTATACTATTATACTATACTAGGAAATAATAAATATAACAATTAATATTTATTAGATTAAATAACTTTTCTAGCATAAATAATTATTCAAGAAACACCAAATATTTTAACAAAATTATAAAGTTGGGAATGCTTTGGTACCTATCTTAACTAAAAAATTACTGACTTAGTAAAAAAAAAAAGGTTAGGTTAGGTGGCCTAGAGAACGTTTTCAAAGTTTGGTTGTGATCGGATAAATTCCAGGCTAACTTACTTGGAAAGAAACTTTATGGTATCAAATTATGAAGGGGACTTATGTAAGGTGTCAAGCCAATTTTTTTGACGTTAAAACCACTCTTCTATCGCCAAATTCCGTCGAGATATACTAACTTGATCCAAAAGTCTGAAGTTGGAAGATAGTACTTTTAATATGGAGTGTACTTAACACATCTATTTATACCATAAGAAAAAAGTCAGTATCCCACTCGGTTACGATAAAAATCAACCGAGTTACGACGCTTCAATGCACTAGGAACCTGACATCTCCCTGGAACGTATGGTTTTCCAATAATAAATTTTAGTATGTTTAAATACTAGAATTAAATCGTTGTAACAGACAAATTATACCCCCAGAATAACCATATCCCTCGGTACGATAATTCTAGTATTTATTACCCCCAAATTTACCATACTTTCCAGGGAGGTATGAGGGAGGGCCGCACACCAAAAGAACAAAACTGTGTTAGACTTGGACAGTTTGTATTAGTCAGCCTAACACTTTTTTATTAAAAATAGAATATAGGAAATTACATATTGCATACGCACACTAATAAGATAAAGACAAAACAAAACGTTTTTGCTTTGAACACAATAATTAGTCATGACTGATATTGTCTGAAGTATCCACTGTTTTCGTAACCTACTTCACAATTAGACAAGAAAGAAAACTTGTGTCTATTTTTTGTATTTGGAATTTATTTTTAATACTATACTTCATATAAACTTATCACATAATGTCTTATGAAGTTTGGTTAATTTAGTGGAAATGAGATCATCCATATATGGTTTTAATGACAAGAAGCATAGCAATAAAATAGTTTGAACAGTTTATGGGAAGAAATTAGTAAATAAATTAATGTTGATGGTAAGTTTAATATTAAACATATTAAAAAATGTAATTATTACTTACTGTAAATAATAATATACTGTAATTATTATATTAATAGTTATTGCATACAAAGTCCCAAATTTTATATTTATGTATAATTTTTAAATTTAGTTTCGTCTGAACGTAGTTTGCAAATTAAAGATAAAATTACATCATGAGTGATGCGCTTTTTATTTAATGGATGAATCAATAATTTTGTTTTTTTTAATAATTTTCTTATAGATTGTTAAATGTATACCACGTGCAAATTGCAACACCTTCATTAGATGACATCTTGACAACTGATTTTTGTTTTGTCTAGATCGTGTGCACGCTTTACAGAAACAATTGTTTTTAGTTTACTAACACGAAAATGACTAACACTGTCTAAGACAATTTTTTTCTTGGTGTGCGGCAAATCTTGTGGTACCGGCGGAATGGTTGTTGCATACTTATATCGGGGAGTATGATTTACCTGTTACACCGGCCTAGTACTTAGTAAATTCTCAACCACAGTCCATAATAATCATATAACCATTTGAAGCCACATATCAGCGATTACTATATAGCATAACGTACATATACAGGCACGTCAGCAAGATAATAAAATAGTTGGCAATATAAAGGCAGCTGTTCAAGCGTCTCAGTCCAACTACCGAGTACATTTCAAAAACAACGTAAACCTAGCCGTAAATTACCGTAAAAGAACCCAGTATGAAATTTATAGAGAACAATATTTTGTAGGGAATGTCATATAGGGTTTTTGTGTTATTCATAATAAACAGCTTTTTTTTTCTTTTTCTAAATAACTGTAACTTTTTAATAGTTCATAATTCAAAAAACATCTATAACTTTCCCTTCAAAATATTACTCTCTATAAATTTAATAATAGGTACTTTTACTCTAAAATCAACATTTAGTTAGTTTTACTTACTCTAAGCATTGTTATGGCATGTTACTCGATAGTTGGACTGAGACAGTAGATCCGGGTATAACATCCTTCGATTGGTACTTACTATTGTTCTATAACGATGAAAATGTCTATAATGCAGTGGCGTATCCGGGGGTGTGGGTTTTAGGGGGTTGTACCCCCCCCCCCGACAAGTCTTCGAAATAAATAAAAAATATTAATATATAGTTTAAAAAAATTATAAAGTGTTATTAGCACTTAACAGTTTACACAAATAATACAAATTAATAATATACAAGTCCAGTCCAGTGTAGTGTGTACATAATAATAATAGGTAGTTCTATGGTTATCGGTTATCGTTTTCGTTTATCCAAAAAAACCAAGTATTTTTCAATTGTCAATAGAAGAAGTATATCCACAGACTAATCGTTTTAAACTAAAAAATATATGTGCAGCTCGATGGGTCGATCGCCATGATACAGTTATATTATTTGAAGACATTCAACCAGCTATTTTACATACATTAGATAAAATTACACTTAGGACAGATTCTGACACTTCTAGTTCTGCAAGTTATCTTATTATTGCGATAAAACAGTTAAAATTTCAAACAGCTTTATCTATTTTAGTGAAAATAATTTTCAAAAGTTTTCCACATAACCGATATCTTCAAACAGTAAATCTTGATTTAAAAACTGTATTAGAAGCTGTTAATATTTAAAATAATATTTAGGACATTAGAGAAAATTGTGATGTAGAGTTTCAACAATTATTTTTATCCGTAATAACTGTCTGTGAAAAATTTGATATTACTGTTAGTTTGCCACGGCAATCTAAATCAAATGGTCCAGAATATTTTTTTAAGTATTCATACCTTTTATAGATAATTGTTTAGACCAATTGAACGAAAGATTGATATTGCACAATGATTATATATTAAACGGAGAATCAGATTTTTGGTACACAAAATATTCAAATTTAATTTAACTGATTAAATGATTTTTAATGAAATTAAATTGTATTTTATTCTGTGGTATAAGATATATTTAATATATATTATTATATAGGTATTGTGTTGTTGATTTCAAACCTTGATTTAAATAATTAAGTGAAAGAAAGCATTTCGGGGAAGAAGTTAACCCCTTAATTCCCCCTATGTGTGCGCTACTATAAGAAGCTAATAGCTTTTGAGTCATAAAAATACAAAATATCGAAAAAGTATCAAATATGAAAGTTTTGTCCTGTTCTTATAGAAAAAATGTTTGATTTCTTTCATTAATTTATAAATTCTACATCATTAGGTAGGTACCTACCTTTAAATTAATATAAAATTAGTTAAATATTATTATACACGTGCATATTTATTTGTTATGCTATAATTTATTTTATTGAATATAATATATTTATGTATAATTTCATACAGGAATTTGTATAATGCAAAACCATTGGAAAATGTTTATTATAAAAATTTATTGGAAGATTATAATTACATTGGCCATGACAGAATTTTTTCAGAAATAGAATTACATTATACTGTAAGTACATTTTTAAAGTTGATAACATGTTATTGTACTTAACAAAATTAACATCTCATCTACTTATTAAATCCTCCTAGGTTATTATTATTATTATTTTATATTTAGAGAAATGGTGTCAGTTTTATTTATTTATTATATTTTTATATGTAATTATTTTAGTATCTTACTCACCTAATTATTATACTTGTACCTATTACCTATACATTTTCACTTTTGAATTATGTAGGTAATTATATTATTAGGTATTTAATCGAATAATATATAATAGTGGCAGGTAACAGTATTTTAGATTCTTAGCGGAGCGAGGAATGTATTGGTTTTACAATTATTTTTTTTTTTTTCTGTGGATAACTTCTACCAGCAATTTTGTTCCAATTTACAATAATATCACTTTTTCTGAAAAGAAATCTGATTGGGGGATTCATTTACCATTTACTATCTTTCCAACTTTTCAGCTACAATAGTGGACCACCCACGTTTGAAGTATGTCAGTCTTTTAATTTATTTATTTATATCAAAAGTACACTGGTTACAATTACAAATAAAGCCTAACATCTGCTTAAATATTCTAAAAAATCTAAGTCACTTATTTAGATTTAGTGGTTCCCAATCTCTTTTATTCTACGCTCTGCAGATTTTCAAAAATCTCGTGCCTTCTTTTTTAACAACGAGAAAAATAAACAAACATATCTGGCCGTTATTCATTTTCCCCCTTCATTATGAAATAAAATTAATTTTATGAATACAAATTTTACTTCGTGATGACTACTTGTGGCTCACCAGTAATGTGTACACATAGTTATACAAAAAATGATGTAAATAATAATGGTTCTCATAAATTATCCTTATCCCCCGCCCCCTTCATGATAATCATTTGACCGTCACTACTACAATTTTGAACAAGATGAAAAGTAATTTTAAACAAATTTACAATAGTTCTTCAAATTAAATAATAATTCAATGAATTGATAGTTAAATACAATAAATAATCACACTAAAATATTATATTATAATTTAATTATAGATTATTAAAGTAAAAAAGGTGAATAATCCATATATGTATGGTTTATACTTGTTACATAGAGAAGAACTTAGGCGAAATATGGGCACAGTAGTAGAAGAATTATTGTACCACTGCACATCGCCATCAAACGCAGCACAAATAGCCAGACATAACATTGATTGGCGGTTAACCCGCCGATCACGCTATGGAAAAGGAGCATGTTTTTCTAAAAGTCCTTGTTATGCATCAATGAAGGCTGGTGCAACTGGAGGTATATAACCTATTTACATTTTTTAATTACCTATTTATAACAAATCTGTGTATTATTTTAGCATTTATAATATGTAAAGTACTTATGAGAGCAGTTCAGTCTATACACTATGTAAATTATTCTTTAAAGATACCTTGTGAGGGTTATGATACAACTTCAGGGAATAGAGGTAATGTTATTGTTAAATATGATGATTATACTTTTTATCCTGAATATATTGTTTACTATCGTAATTAAAAAAATTGTATTCATGATATGCAAATGTAAAGAAACAAATTACAGATAATTTTAACTTTTAAATTAACAGATGCCATTAGTGTTATTTTATTTTAAAGAATTATCAGAACCAATATAATTAATCTTATTATTAGTTTTTATTGAAGTGTTTGATTCATAGATAAACTATTTTATATTTATACATTAATATTATGTTCTAAAAAATATATATATATATAGACCTGTAAATGTATTGAATATGAATTTTTGTTTTTATGATTTCATTTTTATATTCATATTAGTTATTTTAATTAATTATATGTTTTTTACATTATATTATTTGTTTAATAAAAATATATACCTTTTAGCTACCGTACCATGCCACAGTTTTAATGTACAATAAGAAATGAAATCACTATTATCCATTAATAATCAAATTTTAAATTACAGTATTTGACTAATAAATATTGCAATGGATAGCTGTATGAATAATATACCACTCCAAAACTTTGGTATTAATGACTAAATTAGGATTAATAGTGAGCGGTTACCAAACTTTAATGACCGTGGTACCCTAAGAAAAAACTTTGTGTTTAGTGGAACCCCAATGTCTCTAATTTCAACTGAACCCTAATTTTTCAATTGTTTATTAAAAATCAATGAAAAATGTTAAAAGATACTGTTCATGATTATTGTTAACTATAGTTAATTAAAAAAAAAAAAACAATTTTTAATCAAAATTTTACTTATTAAAATAACAAATATTTATTATTTAATTATCAAAAAAAATATATTTTTATTAAAATATAATCAATTAGATTTTATAATAAACGTTTAATTTTAATATTTTTAATGTGATGAATGGAATTGTTTTATGATTTGACTTACAATAGTTTTAAAATTTGGTCTTGCATATGAAAGTTGAATTAGTAGGTCTGGAGCAGCATCCATATATTTCTGTACTTATTTTTAGTACAGGCCTAAGAGGAAAAACCAACCTAATAACAGTAGGTTGTTACAAAAAGTACCTAGTAGAGTTAGAATAGCTTTTTCAGCTAGAGAATGTTTATTTAATTATTTTACCATAATATGACATATATATTGTTGACAAAGCATCAATTTTAACTGAACTGCGCTCAGAATAGTTTTTTTCATTAGCAATGGTTTATCATTGCTTCTAGTTATACATTAAATTACCTTAATAGTGGCTGCACTCATCTTCTTTATCCTAGAATATTTTTTTCTTGTGTTTTCTGCTTTTATTTTTTTTCGAAGTGTAAAATAAAATTATTTTCTCAATATTCATGTACATCTAGTGGGGAACCCTTAGGTTCCACAGAACACATCTTGGGAATCACTGTATTAGTGAACAAAGTACATCATTTTAATAACAACTAATTATATTTAATGCAGAATTTAGTTTTTTAAATCAATTCAAAATATTAAAAAAAAATACTAAAACATAAGGCAACAGGTTTATTTATTTAATAATTGTGTATACTACTTAAAAATTATAAGATTACAGTACTTTGGAATACCCATAATATGCTGCTCTTTAATATTAGGTGTGTGGATAACAAACTATTACATGTTTAGAGTATACCAAATTATATAGCTTATCAATTTTACTTATTTATAACACTACTGTAGATATATTCTTGTCATGTAAAAGTAAAATTAAGCGAGACAAATGTATATACTATTAATGTCATTATTTTAAGTAGTAGTATATAGTGTAAACAATATAATGGATCAGACAGTTGACATTTACATAATCTATTCATTATAATAACACTTATTTGTAGTTTTTGGCAAAGTCCACTCCTTTTTTAATGTTAGAAGCCAATTCTGGTAATGCTGCTTTTAATAAATCTTTTTCAAAATCTGACAGATTTCCCATACCAAAGTTCTTCTCAATACCATTTTTCTAAACAAAAAACATATACATATAATTACTATGTATAGGTATCCCGCGATGATCTGACACTTATGTATGTTACTATGAATAAATTTTTATCTATTCAATATTTTTATTTAAGTATGGTATTTTATTTTCTACAATTTTATGATGTTTTTGCAAATATGAAAATTATTATAGTTTATAATCTATTATAATATTTAATCAGTAGTCAAAGCCATTATTGTATGATCTTAATTAATGGAAAAAAAAATCCTAGTCATCTGATGTGACATTTTAGATAGATACTTTACTATTAGAACTAGATTGAAGCCTCATAAATCACAAATATAATGAAATAAAGGAAAAAACAGTTCCTTAAGCATGTTATTTTTAATGTGTCTGTAACCTGATATCTACTATTCAAAGCTTTCAATGCATAAATTGCCATTAAAAATCCTTTTAACCTTTAAGCTAATTGACTCCCATCAAAAATAAAACATATATGTTATAAAAAATTGAATAATAATATAATACAATTTTGTATTTATTTTTAATTCTAAATTGAGCAAGGAATATTGGTTTTACAACAATTATTTTTAATTTTTTTACACAACTATTTTTACCAGCAATTTTGATCCGATTAACTATAACAGCATTTTTTCTGGAAGGAAATTGGACTAGGGAGATGCTTTAAGGAGGTCATTTGATTTTTCCAGGAGTTTTTCTAATAAGTTAGAAAAACAGGAAAAACAAAGGAAAAAGGAAAATAGATACAATATTAAACGAATATTATTAAAGAAAATGTCTAATGTTTAATATTAATTTATAGCAATGGTTAATCGTTGCTTACAGATTAAATTCCTGTCTATATCCTACCTTCCCAACAATGTCTAATATGATAACTCATTATGTCTTTGAATTTAAAGAAAATTAACTTTCTATACATATTTTACACTTTTTTAGAAATGGAGTCTGATAGACCCCCACGATACTATGAACTTAAAAAAAAGGTATGTGCCTGCATAAAAGTTAATTGAAGTATAGTAGTTAATAAAAAAATATTTACCCCAATAAGAACTGGAGTACTAAAGAATGGCGAATCAGTGACTGAAGATTCTACAAAGGAGCATTCAACTACATTAGGTTCACCAAGAATGGCTTTACACATAGATACAGTAAATTTAGCTCCAGCATATGCCATTGATAGGGTTGCTGAGCCTGCTCCAGCTTTAGCTTGCACAACTTCAGTACCAGCTTCCTAAAATTAATATATGAACATAATTAAAAATCGATTAAAACTATTTAATAAGCATTTATTACTTGAATACGTTTTGTAAGCTTAACAAGAACATCATGGTCGAAAGTTACTTGAGGGGTGCATTGAGATATTAAAGGAATAATCGTTGGCCCAGAATGCCCACCAATCACAGGGACATTGACATCAGTAGCACAGAGACCCTAAAAAAAAAAATTTATACAATTTATAAATTTAAATTTTATCTTATCAATAAAAAATGAATATATAATGTATATATCCAATATGCATTATGTATATTTACTTTGAGTTCAGCAATAAATCTGTTAGATCTTACAATGTCTAAAGTGGTTACACCAAATAATTTTTTTGGATCATAAACATTGAGCTTCTTCAATATTTCTGCAGCAGCTGGAACAGCACTGTTAACCTAAAATTATGAAGTATGTAAAAATAAAATAATTTATATAAAACATATTTTTGCCAACGAAAGTCACACAAATAGTTTCCTTGGTTAGCTGGAAAATGTATAGAATTGTCAAACTATATTATTTACTGATCGTGATTATGTTTGGTGAAATAGTTATTTGAATAGTTAGGTTAAACTTTGGTACCAGATTGTTGAAATAATAAAAAAATATTTTTGTCATATTAGCAAATAATAAGAGGAACTAATTGCGCTAATACAGTGTTGTTATTGATTGTGACAAGGCCCCATTAGGCCACTTTGTGAAAAATGCTTATTCAATATTATTAAGTCCACAATTTAGTGACATTTGATTATAAATGAATCAATTACTTTATATTGATTTTGAAGGCAATTATAAAAGCATTTGTAAAAATAAATTTAAATATTTTTGTACAATACCATATAAAATATTTATAATTATTGTTATTAAAAATGTTGTTTATAATAATTATTAATATTTTATTGATTAATAAATAATAATACTATGACCTTATTTTGTCATTTGCTTTAAACATTTACAATAAATAGCAATACAAAATATTATCTAATAAATAAACAAAATAGTAAAACAAATAATTGTTTTTATTCAAATATTGTAATTAATATAAGTTTATGGTTTAACTATATAAGAAGTATTTAGTATTATGTTTCTGGTTAAAAATTGTAGAAAATATCTTAGCTGCGATTCTTTTAAAATTTTACAAAGTAGTTATGTCTTTAAAATGGTAAGTATCCATTGTATGAAAAAGTAATTTGAATTGATGTTTGCAAAAATGTCAAATTGTATGAAATTGAGATATTAGTAAAAACACATAATAGTCATGTGCTTCTAAACACTGAGTGTAAAAACAACTTAACTTTTTTTTTTCAAAATCATTTATATCATAGTTTTTATAAATTATTCAAAAATTTTAATTAATCGACTCGTGACATTTCTGCAATCATCAATTAATTTATTTTAAAATATCATTTTTTTTTTTTAAATATATAAAGGAATGGGCAAGATACTTTGAAATGATCATCTGAATACCTACATATTGATTTCTAATCTATTGTAATTCAAAATTGCAATTCGTTTTTTTTTTCTTCATACAATATTTATGAAATATACTAAGTCACAAGTGCACAATTTGAAAAACATCATTTTTGATTATAGTAATAATGTAAAATAAATTGTATTTAGTGATTTTTCAAAAGCAACACCTTTGGCAGAAATGTACCAAAAAGAATTACTAGAAGAGTATAGTTATCAAAACGATGATCCACTGTTTAGAGACATAATAGCTTGCAGATATAATGTAAGTATAAAAAGTTAAGGTAAGTTTATATAAAGTGGTCACAGTAATATTTGCTGTCTCCATATATCTAACGAGCAATTTAGCAAAAATGTGTTTTTGTAATTCAAATTATAGTACTTAGGATCTAATAGACATAAAATAAAAATTATTTCATCAAATAAAAGATGAAAATATTTATTATGTATTTTTTTAATATATATATATATTCATTAAACAATTTTTGATAAAATAATATTTATTTTTTTATTTAAATCGAAGTACGAATAGATTATCTTGAATATTACAAGATACAGGCCACTGTAGGTGAGAAGTTGGGAAGGTAGGGAGGAGATTTAATGTACATGTATACGAAACGATTAGGCATTGTTAACAAAAAACGAAGAGTTTGGTTGTTTATACATATTTTGAAAATCATAAATTTTGTTCATTTCCCCCTTTTTTTTTCATATATTATGAAAGACCTTAGCAAAACAAAAAAATGACCTCTTAGGATTACTCCAGTAAAATTTCTTTCAGAAAAGATGCTACATTTGAAAATCGGAACAAAATTTCTGGTAGAAAAGCTGTTCACAGAAATAAAATAAATAAAAATAAACATTATTGTAAAACCAATCTCTCTCTAAAATTCTCTTTTGAAGGATAGTAAATGTTGTCAACTTTAATTGGGTCAAATAATTTTTTTTTTGTAGTTCTATTAGGTTTTGAATACAATGGTGAATCTAAAGTTTGGAAACTATGGGTTAGCTATTTAGTGAGGCCACTTCTAAAGGTCAATAATTAGAACAAAGGGCTTACTCAATTTTTTTTTTTTGTTTTGAAGAGAAGTAGGAGCTAAAGAAAATGATTAAAGGTCTTCCAGTATGGCTGGTATAGATATATATTATATACCATGGGTGGCAAATTATTTTGACGCTACATGTCAAAAATAACATTTTATTTTTGAGCATTCCATTAAGTCATAAAAAATATTATAATAAAAATGTGTGAAATTTTGATTTTATTATTTATTATTAAAAATATAAATATTTTAATTTTTCTTGTGCCCTCAAAATTTTAGGTACTAATAGATTGTTTTTATAAGGTTGTTAATATAACATTTGATCAGTTCTGCAAATGTACTATATTATACTACTATACCATACTACACTGTAGAACTATAAATAATAATAAATAATGGATAGGCCATGATATAAGTAATCAGATACAGATGTTCTGTTATTTTTTATAGCACTTAGCTGAGTTCTTCCCGTTTTTTCCTGTAAAAGTTAACTGTAGGTTGAAGGACCCCATGAACTCTCTCTTTGATACCACTTCAGGGTACTATTAAAAGTAAGAAAACAAATTTTTGCTAAAGTGATATATATATTATTCATTATATAGACAAACTATAAATGTTACTGTGATACCCACAGTAATATTTGATAGTTTCTTAAAATAGCGAACAGTTTATATAACTTAAATTAAAATATACTTGTTAAATTTGTATTTTTTTTCACCCATGGAATTCATTTTATAAGTTCTTAGGAAATTTTTTTCTATCTCAACCATACAGTCTAAAATAGACTACACAAATAGAATACATATTATAACTACATTGGAAGAAATATAAGTAAATATACTACAAACTAAATTAAATTAATAACTCAAATAATTAATCAATGTTGTTTTATTTATTTATGTGTACTTGATATCACGTAATCATATTATGAATGACATATCATGACCTCTAATATTTTTTTCATGTTTATGACCCCTTCAAAAATTGTTTAATATAACTTAAATAATTTGATATACAGTAATTTAAAAGATACTTATGGTTTATGGCAATACCTCAACTATCCTAACCCCTAGATTTAAAACCACTGATGTAATTATTTTCCACTTAAATAAGTTGATATCTGGGAAAATAAGAAATGAGTTAAATTTAAATATAAAATTTATATTCTACATTTTTTTTTTTTTTTTCATTAAAACCAATATTAGGAAACCATTTATTTTACAATGAACACAAAAATTATTTTGAAAATTGGCAACCCAAATGTAAAAATTTCAAACTAAATCTCATTATCCGATAATAAAAAATGAATATTTTATTTAATAATATGAAAATAAATTTTTATTTTATAGATTTCAAAAGTAAAAAAAGTGAACAATCCTCATATATATGGTATGTATTTACTACACAAAGAAGAATTGTACATCAAAAATAAAAATATGAAGGAAATTATGTTATATCATGCAACATCATTAGAAAACGCTATGAGCATCGCAAAAAACAATTTTGATTGGCGTAAAACTAATCGAACAAGATTTGGAAGAGGTTCATGTTTTACAAAATTCCCCACATATGCAAATAAATATTCAAGTCATAAAGAAGGTGAACAAATAACTAAAATTGTTAACTTTTTATAAATTTGTAATTTGTATTTGTATAATTACAGTTTTTATAATTAGCACTGTCCTTATAGCAGCAGTTGAAACACTTAGAGGGACCGCCTATAACTTATTAGTACCTTCAAATGAAAAGTACGATACTACCTCAGGTAATGTGATGCAAGTTTTTGTTAAATATGATGATTATAGTTTTTATCCAAAATATATTGTTTATTACACAAAAAAAATGTAAGTATAATAATATGTTTACTTTTCAATAGATAGACAGATACATTAGGAAATTAATTTTATGACTATAAGCTAATTTTTTGTTACATGATGATTAATGCATTATTGAAGTTATATTAAACAAATGTTTTGACCGGTTTCAAATCACAAATAAATTATATTTTGTAAGTAATCTAAAAATCCTGAAGATTTAAATAGAAGAACTAAGCTAATTGGTCATACACTACAGCAAAAAGTCTACAAGAACAATGGTAGAAGGAAAAAATAGCTGAGGGAGGCTAGCTCTTGAATATATGAGTAAAGTAGTTAAAGATATAGGTTGTGGAACATAATACAAATTAAAAACAAAAGCAATGCAAAATTAAAAATGGACGATTATTGGGAGCCAGCACCTGGCACGTTTAAAACAAGTAAAATAAGATAAATTAAATATGATTTGAGTTATTTATCAATTATTTATTATGTATCAATTTTATTATTTATCAAATTCTATATAATATATAATTAGTAAACTTTTAAAAAGTACTTACTGGATTTGATATAATACCAACAAGTGCATTAGGACTAACTTGTCCAATTACTTTAATAATATCACATACAATCGAAATATTGGTGTTGAATAAATCATCTCGAGTCATACCAGGTTTACGGGGAATCCCTGCTGGAATAATAACTACATCTGTATCAGCAACAGCATCCTTCAAAATAAATAAATGTACAAATTAAATAAAGTGCACCTAAATAAAGATAACAAAAACATAGTAGTCCACTTAAATATTGCATAATTCATTTAAAATGGCATACAATTATAAATTGAATTATAACATTTAAAATTAACAATAATTTAACAATTATATATTCAAGTTGTTAACACAGTATACATTCAACATCATAACTATAACTTTTAACAAGACCTTAGGTGAAACCTAACCTTACCCACTTTTATTACAAATAAATCAGACAAAATTCATTAATATACATAGTTAAAGAAATAAATTTATTTATTTAAAATTGATAACAAACTTAGTAACACAAATTAGGAGGTAAAAAAAAAAATTGGCAATTAATTTTACCTTGAAAGAAAGGATTATTTATTTTTAGAATATCATAAATTTAACACTGCCAAGAAATACAAATGTATTGGCAATAATGTAAGAGGAAAACTAGGGGTCATTGTGTTATTTATATATTACACAATCCCTCAGTAAAACATAATTTTAATAATTAAGTACATAGGTTTTTAGTGTTATATGAGACATTTAAATATAATCTTATTTCTTACACAAATAAAAATAAAAACGTTAAGTTTTTCTTACTGATTATACATTTTAAAAGATTAAAAATTATGTTACCCAATATTAGTTTATTATGAAAGAGTAGGTATTATTTTATAAAAGTACCTAAACATATTATATATTTTTTAATTAGTAATAAAGAAAAAAAGGTCTATTTAAAAAATAAATATATATTTAAAATTAGGCAAATAAATAAATACATTTGAACAAAAATAAAAATTTAAGTTATTACAGTAAAATAATTAGGTCGTAGATAAATTGACAATACAGTTTCCTTTTTCTTACCCTACCTCCTAATCTGTGTCCTGCCTGGGTGTCACGATTATGAGTGGAAGGTCTATGGTACAATGTAGTAAAAAAGTAGTAACTGAGTAATTTTAGTAATAAGTAGTATCATTAAGAGGATGATATTCCCACATGCGCTCTCAGTACAACTAGCGGAGAACATAATAACTTAATTATAATTTAGAGTAAAATGACCTGTTGTGAAGTTAAAAGAGAATAATAATTCAGAGGGCAAGATAATGAATTTTTTTGTTATTCTAAATATATAGGTAACCCTCAATGAATTGTTTGGAAATAACAATTACATATTTTTAAATTACCAACTTTCCAAAAACTAATTTAAACAAATTGTCTTGTCTTCTGGACATTATTCTCTTTTAATTGTATAATAGATACTAAAAATACCAAAATTAAATAAATTCTACTCAGGCCAGGTAAGCGTGATTTTCATCATATCTATTAACATCATAAACATAATTTTTTTTTTTTATTTTGTTGAATATACTTATTAATTAATTATACAGTTATATACATGGCTATATAAATAAATAATTGGTATAAATACGCATACACTATTATAAAAGTATTTTACTGCCAACCAAAAATTTGACTTTTTCTAATATCAGTATTGTGGTTTATCATTACAGTGAGCAAGACGATAATTAATCGTAGATTTTAAATAATTTGAATAATATTCATTATACAATGATGTCAACTGTATTAATTATTAAAATATTTAATTTTCATAAGTATATTATAAGAAATAATAATATATATATACTAGGAATATGTATTATATATGTACTTCAATTGGAATACTTACTTTTAAACTATCTAAGCCAACATGACTGGAAACATTTGAATTTGTGTCCATGTGGCTCAAATCAGCAACTACACCAGGAGTTACTGGAGCGATATCATAAATAGCTAAATCAGTAATGATTGGACTTTGTTTTAACAACAACGATAATGGTTGACCAATACCGCCTGAACCTCCGCATACTGTTACTTTTAAACCTTTCTATAAACATTAAAAACATTTATATTATTTAAAAAGGTACCTAATTGTAACCATTTATTTTACAAACAAGTTAATGAACAATATAATTATGTATATAATACTCAATATAGCTAATAACAAATTATAAAAGAAACCAATTTTTTCCTTTTCATTTACCTATAATATATAAAAAAATTACAATAGGTAGCTATTATTAGGATGTAATCATAATGGCTAATCAATCACATCACATATAATTAATAATAGTTTCATAATAATAGGAAAATACTAACTGCAAGGATTATTAATGTTTTTTTTTCATTTCAATGTGAATAATAAGATTATTTGTGTCATTTGTCTTAAGGACATACCCAAAAAAACTGAGGATAGGTTTTAAATCATTAAATTAGTGCAAAAGTTTCAGTTAAAATGTACTTTAATATAATAGATCAAAATCAATTGATTAAGAAATCAACTCTTTAAATCAGGATATTTTTATCGAACTAGGTTAGAACTAAGGTTAGTGATTTTGATCATTGAAGATTTAGTGGAACTCTGTATAATCTAACTAGGCAAATTAAGTCTAAGTTGATTAAATAGTGACTTTGTAGTTTTTAGTTATACTACAAGAAAATACAATCTAGATTTAAAATATATTTACGATTTAGTTTTGGGTGTTGGTCCAAATGTAAAAAAAAAAAATTTTAGTTGGTTATCCAAAGATACTTTAAGCAGTTCTCAGTTTTTACTAATATGATTATCATGTATAATATAGTGTAACATAATTTAATAATACTTTACTAAATAATAAATTAATAATTACAACTCTTACAGATGTACCTTAATTTTACAATTATTAAATCTATTATATTATAATTGAATAAAAAATATTCCCTTCAAGTTAGAAAAATATTTTAATAATGGTCATAATATATAATTGCACTACTAACCTTTGATGAATACTGTCTAGATCCTTGGTTGATGATGTTTTTTAATACTTTTGAAAACATTTTTATGAGTAAAAGGTAATTTTATGTAATAACAACAAACAAAATGTAAAATATAATTATAAAGTTAGGTAACTACCAAATAACAACTTAGAGAAGTAAAAATTGTATTAATACAATTATTTAAATAAAAACGGGTGGCGAGAATCGACCAAGCTAGACGACACAAAATGAAAAGAATCTAAATACCCAACACAAACGTCAAAATGGTCGGCTTCGGTATCAAATGAGTATTATCAATAGACAGTGTTGCCGATTGTTAAATGAAATCGTTAAAAAGTTTTTGTTTTTCTCCTGTTACCTACCCGACGTGGTTTTGAACAACAAATCAAGGAATATTTTGTAAAAAAAAATTGCAAATAGGTATTTTGTGATAACACGATCCGAGCTGCCCGGCTGCGATTGCTTCGTTGCTATATAGGCCATTGAACTCTATATGATAACTCATAACTATATAAGGATGATTCACTAATTGTGCACGCCTCAATTTTTTGGTTAAATTTTACATATTATATTCAAATTTTGATTTTTGGAATTGTCAAGTATAGTTAAAGCTAAATTCCTATTAGTGAAGTATCATTTATATGGCGGCACGAAGCACAGCGCTTTATTAGTGCTCCACTATTTTCCTTCTACTTAAACTTAAAAGTGGAATATCTGGAATATCTCGTTAACGGGTCGACGGAAATCAAATATTTATTTAAATTAATACTTTGTGTATTTATGGAATTTTTAATATAGGTTCTCATTTGAAAAATCAAAGTTGGTATTGCTACAGAATACTCTTTAAATGTTGTGAAAAATCTAAGTATTCGAAAATATCATCTTAAAAATTCCAAAAATCATAATTTTAATATATGCACAATTTAACTAAACAAATGGGGTCAGCACAAACAGTGATTCACTCTGTATATATAACTCATATATATAGTTTAATGGTATAGGCTTTCTAGTATTAGCACATGGTATTAGTTCAACGCCTAATTGATATAAGATATTAATACTAAATTACAAAATTCCACTAATGCGATATCGGAATAATCATTGTCTAAAGCCGTGGTATAATCGAAAAATCACGCCAAAAACGATAAGAAAATCCTGCCGTTTTGAATGTAAACTATAGAGTAATAAAATTCTTATTACTTTATGATTTATATAATGCAGTTATTGTAATATTACAATGCTCAAAATGACAAACATTTCGACTACGTATTTTTTTTTTTATGTAAAATGTAATGGTAGAGGCTCGGTATAGTCATAAATAATAAAGAAATAGATAGACCACTCCTTTAACAATTATGAGTGAGGCGAGTGGCAATAATGAATAAGAGGAGGTAAACAGAGGCTCTTTATTATCGTTTGGTTATCACTTACCGCGCAATTTATGATTCATAAGTGATATTTTTTGATGTTACATTTGTAAATTAGTTGATAATTTAATATTATTTTACATTTTTTTTTTTTTTTTATGTTTTAATGCATAATTGCACAATATTAATAATAACTTACATGTTAAACATAGAATTATAATTGTTGAAATTTGCTATATTACGCGTGGACCACAATTTGTTACTTATCGTTTAGGTGTGAATAGCATACGTTTTATAAGCTAAATTAATTAATCATAAATTAATTTTTGAAATATAATAAATTATCGGAGTACAATAGAACCTATTTTTCATTAAATCAAAAAAAAAAAAAAAAAACATAGATAATAAAGAAAAACTAAACGCCAGTTTACTAATCAATCTTGGAACACTGATAAGGCAAGGATAGCCTAATATCCGTTTATTTATTTATTATTATTTATGGGTATAATTCATAGAATATGGTATAATTATTTTGTCAAATATTGTGCTGCCAACTAAAAAATAACGTCAATATGGTATTTTAAGTTGTAATAGCTCGTACTCACGATGTTGATTTTATCTACATAGTGCTTGTACTATACATTATATTGTGTGGCGGCCCCTTAATAAATAAAAAGAGATGATTTTGGGGATGGGAGCGGCCACTATTATAGGTGAAAAATTGGTAAGATAGGATACATAAGGTTATTTCATTTTTATCCGGCACGCGGATCTTTTATTCAAATTGAAACTCATCCTCCCACCTACCTTATATTTAAGTCCTATTTAGAAGATCGTTTTTTCTCGGTACATTATGGCTCAGCTACATCTTCACCTAAACCAATCAATGCAGGTGTCCCCCAAGGCGCAGTCATTGCTCTCTTGCTATTTAATATTTTCATATATGACCAACCCACATTACCCACTAGTCTCGTCGCTGACTTTGACAAAGCTCTTATAGCCATGACCCATCCGTTGCTTTTTCACACAACCAAGAACATCTTTCGCTCCTCGAAAAATGATACAAGGAGTAGGGAGTGAAAATAAATGAGTCAAAATCGATACACTGTACCTTCACTCTTAGAAAGAGGAAATGTCCACCTATTACCTTAAACGGGCAAATCCTGCCAACCGCGCAGAGCATTCGTTACTTAGGGATCGTTATTGATCAGCATCTTACCTGGTCTTCTTATCTTCACAACAAACTTCTATCCTTAAACAACAAGTTTCTAATATACAAACTCTATATCAAACCAATGTGGACTTACGGAATCCAATTATGGGGTTCTGCGAAAATTTCAAACATAAATCGTATTCAGTGCTTCCAATCCAAACCATTGACCTGAAATATTTGTTTAAAATTTGATATTGATAACTAATCTGATAGGTTCTTAGAAATTATGTAGATAGTGTCTATAACATGTTGCAGTCATACTCGTTACTGAGATTTATTAATCTCAATTTTAGAGATGAATTTTGTTTAAGAATATTTAAGTTTTTATTATAATTAATAATAAAAGAATAAGGAATTTTACAAAATTATTTCCCCTCCATAATATATTAGATCAATATTGAAGGAACACTGGCACACTTTAATTTTATTTATATGTATAGACGGAAAATGTAACTCGGTTTAGACGTTTGTCCCATAATCCGTCCATTCTTATTCTTATTTCGTTGTCATGACGTATAGAATAGGTATAGGTAGATAAAAAAAAATAGTCTTAAGTGTGCTCGAGAAAATACTCAGTGACTTTGCCTTGCAATGAAAGTGCAATTGAAAATCGTATTAATTATTATTTATTTTATTTATAATCTGTATTTTATGTATACGAGTATATAATATACATTGACATATAGGTATTATGTAAATAATAAATAACTAATAGATTTTGTGTGCATGGTGACATTCAGATTAGTTCAAGGTTCTTGTAAAATGTTATCTTCTATGCACAGCTTTGTGGTTTATATAGTTTCATTAGTTATTTAAACTATTGACTTTAGATTCGATATAGACTTATATTTTAGATAGGTCAATTTTATATGAAATGTCAAGATTCTGAGCAGAGCTAACGACCACGAGCTATTATTATAAAGGAGCTATTATAGGTTTACAGCGAAGTGATAAAATGAGTCAAGGTCGTCTAACAATAATTATAGATTAAATGTGATGAACCAATTTATCATCAAACATGTTCGATTCATTAAGTATTATATAGTTTGCACATCTTACAATGCAGTACCCATAATAATACAAATCGTGAAATTTATACTAAATAAATGTTTATTTTGAAAATAATTTTACATAAAAGATAAAACATTATTTGTCGTTGATATTTTGATATTATAATTTCAAATTTGAAAACATAATGGCCTACAGTTTACCCAAATACATTTTACCATTAATGACTTATTTATAATTCTGATGAATAAATCTGTTACTATATTATTAGAGAATATACACAAATATGTGATATAGCATATGGCCGATCTATATTTTTAAAACTGTTTTTTTATAATTTATGATATAAAATGCTATAATTGATACCCATATTAGCTAGGTACAGTAATTTTATTTGTTGGCATATTGGAAACTATTGACTACATATTTTATATTATATACTATACATTATACAGTGTTCTTTTTATGCTAATAACTCTCAATAATTTATTTTTCTTTTTTGTCAATATGGTTTTGTGTGAGGGGGATACATTTGTAGAGAAATTTAAAATTTTTTATTTCCATCCCTCGATCGTTGAAAAAAATAACTTTTTATTTTTCCAATTTTAAATTTTTCAAAATAGGTATTTTGTAAAATATATTATTCTCAAAAAATTTAATGTATCATACATTCATATACGATTAATAGTTTCTTTAATGTATAAACAAAAAGGCGTGAAAACAATTTATATTCAATACGGTTATTTATATTTTTGGTTTTACAATGCTGTTTATTTTTTTTTTTTGTTCTGTATTCTAGACTTTGGACACGTTTTTTCCTAGTAAACTTACTCCGATGTATAAGTTTAGCTCCTTTTCTGAAAGCTCAAGTTGTCTAGATTGTACTTTATTTAAACAAGTCATTTTTCTATTTCCAACGCCATTTTTTAAAACAAAAGCACTCAAGTGGGAAAAAACGTAAGAAAACGTACAATTTCACGATTTCATGATATTATAAAAATACGGACATTTTCTACCAGAAATAATGATTTAATTGAAAAATTACATGACATCTTTTTTTGTTGTCTATTTGATTTATTTTCTTAATGTATCGTTGCAAAAACTTTTGAGCCACTTTTGAGCTTTTAAGGAGTTTTAATTTTTGGGAATTGTTTTGCTGTAATTCAGTTATAAATACACGTAGAGACTTGAAACTTGGTAATAATATATATATTAGACTTACCTAGATGCGGTAAAATGTCCAAAATCATCGGACTTTTTTTTTTTAATAAGTATTTTTAAATCAAATTTAAATGAAAATCGTAAAAAAAATGATGGCGCTTTAAATTATGTATTACCAAACTGCGTTCAGAATCGTCTCTTGTCAAGCAATAGTTTGTCGTTACTTATAGATATAAATAAAATAACCGTATGTATCCTACCTTCCCAACATCCCACCTACAACAGTGGTCGTTCCCATCCCCAGTATCAGCTTTTTTTTAAATTTTATTGTCAACAAAATGGCCCATAATCGTCTCATAACTTATTTCACATATCATATCACATGTAGTATTAGTAGTAATGTAACGCATTTTTAATGGTACATAATTTTTTACAGTTAACATATTAGTCACTCCTGAAATAAACACCAAATACTTGTACATATTATTATAATGTAACAAATTATAAGAATTTCGTTTTTATTACTACTTACTTCGATTTATATGTGTATAACATCAGGACTGAATTTTGAGATAAATATAAAATATATGGTTCAAATTAAATTTTATTATATATTTATGAAAGGAGCATGAAATATTATGAACCTAATAGATGAGGTAGATGATTGATTTTTAATAATTTATAGCTAGTAAAGTTTAAAGTCTTGCGTTTATTTGTTCATAGATAATAATAAAACTATGAAATAGATATACCTACGTTAATACTAACGTACTATTAAGAATTTTATTAAAGGTCAACCTCAAAAATTCAAAGTTAATAAAACTATTTTCGATTATCAAAATATGCGTATATTATATATATATATATATATATATATATAATAATAGATAAATTATTGGAATACGTCCTGTCTAATTAATCTTATGTAGATACTAATACAGATTATTACTATTTATAATAATAGTCTCATGAGAGTTTATTAATCATTGATAAAGAGAACAAAATCCCCTTTATACATCACCGCTAAATAATATTAGCTTATGAGTTTTTCTTCTATATGATGTGGATTTTCGTACGATGGTAACATTTTCAAGTGTTTACTCTATGTTAGGTTAAAGTTAAATTAGGTTTTTACTTGTTAGCTAAATTTAAGATTATAAATAGATTTTTTTTTACTGTAAGTACATAGACCTAAATACGGCTTAAATACGGGCCAAGAATATGGTGTGAAGAATGTCTGAAAATGTATAGAAAATAACGTTAATTATACAAGTATACAGGTATATAGACACATAAAGTAATCATATAGTAATGATTATTAAAAAAAGACGTATATACTTCACACGATGGGTGATACATTGTTGTAGGATAGAAGTTGGAAAGGTGGAATGTAAAGGGGATTTTGATGTATTTTTGTATGCAACGATTAATCATTGCTAACGAAATTGGATTCATAGGAGAATTCGGTTGTATATGTTTTAAAAGGTCGTAATATTTACGATTTTCGTCAAAATTTGAAATTAAAAATCCTATAAAAAAAAAAAAACTACAATAAACTCAACTTTTGTTTTTGACCATTAAGTATAACTTATAATGAACCTCCTATTAAATTTTCAAGCATTTCAATCAAACGGATTTGGTCTAAACATTTTATCCACAGAGTATCTACCGAATAAATATTAAAAAACTCGCAAAATTAAAACGTCTATAATGGCTCAAAAATGACTCAAATATTTTGAAAATTTGACCACGTCTATAAAAGGCAAATATAAGGTATTCTGTCTGAATTTCAAGTTTCTACGAACATTGTGTAACTGAAAAAAAAAATTGAAAATAATAAAAGCATTATTTTCGTACATATTCCCTGTTTTTCCTATGTTTTTCCCAATTATTATGAAAACTGCTTGGAAAATCAAAAAATGATTTGCATAAATTAACACCCCAAAAAAATTTTCTTTCAGAAAAGATGTTACAGTTGAAAATCGGAACTAGAGTAATACACAGTATAAAAAATAAAAATAAACATCATTGTAATACCAATACATTCCTCGCTTCGTATAGAATCTAAACAAAAGTAGGTGATTTATAATTTAAAAATATAATGTATAATATATAGATATATATTTTTTTTATGGAAATTTGTTTAGGAATTCTAAACTCTATTTGCAACTATCAATAAAATAATAACAACATACCTATACCTACTCATATAATATTATAATGCCAAATTATATTATTATTTCGTATCTTGGTAACCAAATAAATACTATAATAGATACAGGTATCACTTATTTACAAGACTCATAGCATTGTTTCTATAGAAACAAACATTGCTATAATCATTAGATTTTTTAAGCTAATATATTTTTTTTATTCTTTACCTTCTAATAAAGTTCAATAGTTCAATATAAATTATGTGAAGAATATTATAGACTGTGTTATTAATATAATTATTAAATTTATGTAAAAAGTAAATTTCAGTTAAGATTATTTAATTTAATTCGGTCAAAGTTGCTCATATAGTATTATTATCTATACTCGATAGTATAACAACGTTGAGTGAGTATTACAATTTAGTAAAACGAAAAAAAAAATATGAAAATTGCCATTACATAAGTTATGAATTCATCAAATGATGAATCAAACAAACTCGATACTGCCTTGTGCTTGACTTCCGACGACGAACAAATAGATTTACAAGAATTTTTAGATTTTCTTATATTAGCTTATAGGATAAATGATATCCTAACTTCGGATAAAGATAAAAACCTACACGATTCCTGTATCGATTGGACTGAATTATCTCGTAATAATTTGTTTTTACGGTTATCGGATAAAAATTACGACGTTGCAAAAGACGAGGTACGAAAACTAATAATGCGCGGTACTAGTATTGAACGTGTACAATGTGTTCTTAAACACAAGCTCAAAGAGATAATGAACGAGGGAATTCTGGATTCCGTTCTTCCGTTTATAGTTAAGAAAACATTGATCACAAATGTTTTAAAGACATTTGAATCAATCGGATCCAAAATTAGTAATAATCCTTTAAACAAAGATAAAATGTGTTCAAAATTAAAATGTAATACGACTGACAATGCCATCATCAGATCTAAAGGAGAGTAAGTGACTAATATCATTATATTACATAGTCGTTTCACTAATAAAAAAATATTAAACAAATTTGAATAGTACCGAGATTGAGATAAACGTGTGCGACGCAGTTCAAAAAATAAAAAAAGTTTTCCGGTGTCCTAAACGGCTTCTCATTTCCAAAATGGGTTATTTTTCTGAGGTCACCAAAGGTAACCAAATAAAATATATACTTTTTTTTCTATTCTCATCGTGTTTGTATAAAACAATTATGTTTTAGGTCAACGTTTGGAAGATATCGATATATCAGTGCATTGTGAAATACCTATATTTGACTGGTTAATTAAGTGGGTCAAGAAGGATTTGAAACCAAAGAACGAATGGCCATCTTTAGGTAGGTGTACCTTTATTTTAATAAAGAACTTCAACGTTGAACCTCATTTAGTCAAAAGGCAAGATGCGTAACACCGTTTTCATACTGGAAAAAAATCTTTATGCATTTGTGAAATCATTATGATTTTTATATCACACGTAGAAGCTAAGTGCTTATACTTACATTTCAGGATCTTCAATGATTTTTGGAAACTAATTATACGTGTTTGTCAACTTTAACAGTTTTATCAAGTGAAATTAAGATTCAAAATTTCCTGATTTAAAATACGATTTGAAATAGTATTAATTTATTTACATACCTTCTTTAGTTTTAAGTTTTAAGCTAAATATCAATAATTTCAGAAATAGGTGAAGCAAATGGCGATATAACTCTCGAAATTTGAATATATTATGTATTAGATGTGATATAAAACTTCTCTACATTTTAAATGTCATGCATTTAATGAAGTTATTTAGTCCCCTTATTTTATTATAATATGAATACTGTCATAATCATATTAAATAGCATTAAAATAATATACAACTGGACTTTGGTCCATTCAGGAAATAATACTGTATACAACAAAATTATGTTAACATGAATTTTCGATATGACATGTATTGGGCTGAACAGTATTATAAAGCTAGTTTTATTAACATTATGCTTACTATACCAAATATAATATTTATCGAATAAAATCGAATTTAATTTTATATTAAAATTCTTAAAAAAGAATGATAGGAATGATACGTGCCTAATATTTGTTGTGAATTTAAATTAGATTGTATTTAAGATATATTATATTTTATTACACAACGGGAATTTTTTTAGAATTTACATATTTTTTTCTTCAAATAATAGCAACTAGTCAATAATAAACCATTTTAATTTAGAATAGGAAAAATAATATACCTACCGTTTATACAATTTATACACTACACAATTTATAACTACACATTTCTATAGAAAAATAATTAGGTAACTATACAGAAATTAAAAAAAAAATTATGACCCAATCAAAATTCAAAAGTTTACCGAGCACTGAAATAATATTAGTAAACTACGTTCATAGCGACTTCATTATGTAAAACTGATTTGTCGATTATTACTACAATTTTTTTTTAAAGTCAAATAGGTAATTTACTAGCTTTTTGTTTTAACTAGGCACGGTTATCACCAATAAATAATGTTAAACTATTACTTATAAGTAATGAATTCAATTGTTATTTTCATTGATTGCTTTAAAAATAAATTGCTACCTTCTGTTACTAATTACAATAGCGTTATGAAAAAACTCCGGAAAATCTCACTAGAAGCGAAGACCATCCATAGCTACCATAATTATGAGCCAAGGAATTTTCAACGCTACCATGTTGACGTTAGTTGTTTTCGGCACCTGTCGTTCTGGTGATAAAGTCAAAATACTTAGTAATTTTAGTATAAAATAATATGTGATTTATATTCAAATATTTATAATGTGTTAAAAATAAAATTTAGTATTAATAATAATAAAAAACTGATACTGCTGATGAGTATTTTGGTATGCATAACTTTCAAGTTTACCATTTATGAATTATAACCGTTTAAAGTTTAGACCGGAAGTTTATTGCTTTTCCCTACTCTTCTGGTCTAAACTTTAATCGATTGTAACTCATAAACAGTAATTCTGAATGTTATGCATACCAAAATTTTTAAAACAAAATATTCTCTATTCGAATCTGTGTTTAAAATGGGGGTTCCTATTTGAAAAATAAAAGTATGTACCTATAGGTAAATACAGTAAGGATAAAAATTCAAAATGGGTTTAAAATAAAACTTAAGCAACTCCACAATGATTAAAAACAAATAGTGTTGTTAAAAGTCCAAAATTTCATTTTTTTTTATTTATCATGTGATTTTTTCCTTTGGATTTTTATAATTGGATAATATTTCAATATTATACGTTAGTTATAAGTTTATTATCTATATGTGTATAGTTGTTAAGTATATTTTTACTAAATTTTAATTTAATATTTTCTATTCTACATTTTTTTTTATATTGTTTATACTTTATTATAAACATTTGACGATAAATTACATATTATTTTATACTAAAATGACCAATGAAAATAATTTTCACCATAGTATATATTATTTATATTTAGGAAATGTTTGATAAGAATATTTGATTTCTACCCGTACATGAAATATTGAAAACGTACAAATACCCTTGCATAGCTATTGAGTCATTGAAGAATATTTTTTCATTTTTCAGATAATGGAAATGTAGTACCGATTTTAGTTTCTGCGTCATTTCTTCAAATGGAACCATTATTTCAAGAATGTTTACTATTTTGTAAACAAAATATTAATGATGTTTTATCGTCTTCGGCGAGTTTCGGTTGTGTTAACGACGGAGTAATTACAAGGTTTGTAAGTAAATTTACATCGTTAGTTTGATCGTAATTTGGTTTTAAAACGGGCAAATGGTTTTTTTCCTTATTTTTTAGGCTATCAAATCAATTTAACAATCAAGATATTGAAAATATTATTGACATGAAAGATAAGTTGAAATCTCGTTTGTTTACGAAGTTAATATTGGATTTATGCAAAAGAAACCCAAAACGTGAACTAGGTCATTATAGTACATTAGCTTATGCATACCAGTAAGTTAAATTAATACGTTTATATTGTTTCTAATAATTTGGTTTCTTTTCAAAATTTATTTGTATGCATTATCAGAAACAAAAATCATATTTTTATATTATACATTATTAAATTTAAAGTTCAATGTATTTTAAGTGAGTGAACTGATTCAAATTTTAATTGGCTATTAATGAATTTGAATAGGTACCTTGTCATTTATTAATATTAATAACACACACATAACATTAACTTGCCATTACATCATTATTACATTTAATGTTCGTTCAATCAAAAATACCTTGTTCTTTTAAAAAAAAATAATCTTATTTAATACGAATAATTTGATTATTCATCCTATGTTTAGTTGTTAACAGTGTACATTTTAAAATACGATTCGAAGTATTTTTGTAATGGTGTAACGTTAATTAAAAGTAGAGTTCATAATTTATTATAACAAAATAATAGTAATTGTTATTATAATAGGTACCTACCTACGCTGATAAACTTTGTTATAATTTCCGGTATAGGTAGGTAGACTTTTCCATTTCACGTTTTAGTTTATTATACGAAAATATAGTTTCGATATATTTATTACAATATAATATCGTTATATCATATTTTACAAAGTTGTATATAATATACACTATATTATCATAATATATTATGTTAAATTAAAATTGTTCATAGATAATAATAGATAATATTTGTGATTCTAATTTTCTATTACTTTTATCTCAAATGTAATAAAAAGATTGATGTTATTAAAAACAATTTGTCTGATAATATTGTAATTACGATATTTATTTAATTTTCTATAAATAATTTATTTATTTATAATTATATATACGTACGTTTGAAACAAATACACTGTCTCACCGCGTTATGTTATGTTCCATTTTTCATCTTTAATTAAATCGTAAGTTCAAATTCAATTTACATAAAATATTAAGAAAAATAAGGACTAAAAATTAATTATCATATTATTTTATTTTGAGTTTTTAAAAAATGTACAATTTGTATGGTCCTTTTACACTGAACTGATATCCGAAACACAATATAAACATTGTAGGTATAGAGAAATGTTATTCATATATAGTGAGAAACCTTAGATCTCAATATTTTATTGATAAAAGATCTGCAGTTCTTTCCTTTTTTAAAAAATGTATGGTTAATAATTAATTCACAATTAATCATAATTATTATGATCAATAATGCGATATTATATTAATCTATGTCAATTGAGTTGCCTATTCAAAAGGAAGAATAACAAATAAGACAAATAATAATAATTTTATTTTATAATATTGGTCAATATTATTTCATATTTGGTTATAAGTATTATCAAAATAAATTATTCTTTAATTTATTAAAAAATATACACATCTTGTACTTTTTGTTACTTAAATGATTAATAATCTCTTTAAATTTAGTTAAAAATATGGGTTACCATTTGCTTTTATACCTAGGGTTGTTCCTTTTTCCATGATCGATTATTCTTTTAATTAATTAACCGAAAAGATCAATTAATTAATTATTTGAAAAAGTGATTAATTTTTAATCGTTTTGTATTAATTATTTTTTGTAAATAATCAACAACTGCATCGCAAGTACACAATCACAACTTCAAAAAATTAATTTTATAAAATAATCTGATTATTACAATCATTATGGTTAAATAAAAGTGAATCAAAAAAAAAATATTTTAAATAAAACAAGCCATTTTTTATAAAATATGAATATGATATATAGCTAATATTAATAATTATAATACAATTTATATTTTTTCATTTAAATAGACACCAATTTGTTGACGCAGATATTGCTTATAAAATTATTATTCCGTGATTTTAACGTTATTTAACATAACCCCAAAAACATATAATTGTCTGCGCTCAATTATACAGCGGCAACATTTTAAATATGTTTGCATAATTAAACAGAACCTTGATGAGGTAGAGTTGTTCGAATATATCTTCCAAAAACGTGAACTCTTTAATTATTTTGTAATCAACAGTATCACTATTAACAGTATCTGATATCTGAAATGTAATATTTCAGTAAATTTATTCAGTATAATATGTACTGATAAAAAAAGTTATTAAAATGTTTAGGTTTTTGTGTCTAAATATAGAAAATTAATTATCGATTAATTGAACACCCCTATTTAAACTTACAACTTGTATAATTAGTAACAATTAATACTAATGAGGGTACAATTTAAATCCTAAGATACGAAATTAATACAATTTAAGCATAGTAAAAAATGTATATTAAAAAAAAAAAATGCTTGTTAATATTAAATCATTGATATTTTATTTTTTAGCTATTTGGAGTCCTATGAAGTTTATACTCGGGGCTATTTTAATATAAACTAATGTTATATTTCTTTTTAGTTACAGTAATTAAAATGTCTATGCATACATATTAATATTTGTCAAGGTATTTCGAAAGCAGATTTCAAAGTCATTTAATCGATCTATTTATAGTTGCTGTCGTTGTAACACGATTTTGGTTCCAAGTGTTGCGGGTAGGATACCTTGTAAGCCACCGACCTTTAAAATTGCTCAAAATGGAAGTGTAATTGCTTGTCATTTGAGGTAATCACGTTTTTTTTTATGTATCATAGTATATTTATTTATATGTTTTTTTGTTTTATTCATAATATTTTACTAATATAATAAGTACTGGGCCTAGATACCGTTTCATAACAGATTTTAAAATTTAATGTGGCTCATATTTTCATAAATGAAGTATATTATAAAATAATATAAGTATAACAAGTAAAACCATAACAAAATTATAAAATCATTGTAATATTATGATTTTAAAAAGAGAGAGGTTTGAATTTAAATGTCTCGATATGAATATAATAATTGTATAGGTAACTAGTCATCATATTATTTTGGTGAACTAGTATTTTTTTTTTTTTTTGGCCAATATCCAGAGCAATATTTTTTTTGGCACATCTTGTTACAATATTATTATCTTATATAAGTATTATATTTACAGTAAGCAACAATAAGCTAAGGTTTGTAGGCAAACAAATAACCTAAATTTTGAATGCTATTGTTGATATAGTGTAAAAATATTAAATTTTTTTAACAGTTTTAGATTCTGAGTAAAGCAAGGAATGTATTAGTTTTACAATGATGTTAATTTTTTTTTTTTATATTATGTACAAAAATTTTACTCTGATGTATCTAGTGTAGTAGATTTTCTGAAAGGGAATTTTATCTTGATGGTACATTAAGAAAGTTATTTATTGATTTTGAAGCAGATTTCATAATAATTGTGAAAAATTTTAGTAAAAATGTAGGAATTAATTATTATTTTCAAATTGTTTTTGTATGTTATGTCATTTAGTTAAACATGTTTGAATAGATTTAGAATTAGGACAGAAAACATATATTATTTCCTTTCTTTTTTTTCTAAACGTGGCAAAATTTTCAAAACATTTGAGCTATTTTTAAACTATTTATTGACATTTCAATTTTGCTATTTGTTTACGTAATTTTTATTCGGTATGTACTTCTGTGGATAAAATTGTTAGACTAAACAGAAATGCTTGGAAATTGAACAAGAGGTTCTTTATAAGTCGTACTTAGTGGTGAAAAAATAATTTAGTGTAATGTAGTATTTTTAAGAGGTATAAAATTAAATTTTGACAAAAATTGTATATATTACGGTCTTTCAATATATGTATAATTGAACTTTGCTCAAAATCGTTTTTCCTTAGAAATTGTTTATTGTTGTTTACAGGTAGAAATCAAATAATTGTATGTATCTTACATTCCCGACTTTGTGGGAAGTATGCTCGTATTTTTTTTTATTGAATATTTTAGTTCTTTCTTAGTGAAATGTATATTAATTGTATGTTAATTTTCGACAGAGACATGATCAAGATGTTTTCTTATTAAAAAACCTATAATTATCTATTTCCAATATCTAAACATGAAAATTATCTTTTCTACCTAATATTATCTTATATTATTAATACTGTATTATTATAAAATCGAGATTTTTTAATAATTTTTTTAATCTTAATCGGCTTAAAGAATTTTAATTTTAAACAAATTTTAATTAGGCATTTTTTTTAAATTTACCTAAATGGGGAAAAATATTATAAAATATTGATTAACATTGTTTCTATCTTGTGTGTAAAATAAGAACAAAGATATTCTGTATTTCCACCATTGGATACTCTGGCTGAGTTTAGGGCAAAAGGACCTATTATATTTACTTATGTCTGACTTAATGATTTTTTAAAAATATTTTGTTATCTTAAAAATGTATTAATGGTTCAAATTAAGAGAAATTAAATTAAATTAAAACACGCATATTTTGACAAAACAAAAAAAAATAAAAACATTCAAAAAATCATTCAGCTTAGCCGTAGTAAATATTGCTTTTTAGAATGTATGATTGGTTCCACTGGCAAATTTAAGGTTTCAAATAAAGTAGGAAAATCTATAAGAGGTGCATTGTAAAAAATGTATCAATAACATATTTACTCCCATTTTACAAATTCTTAAAATATACTCATTTTCGAAAAATATTTAAAAACAAAACTGAATATTTTATTAATAATTTTGTATAGTAAATAATATAATTGTACTTTTTTGTTAATAAAATAATACTTAACATAATATCATAATCAATGAAAATATAATATATTGGTAAGGAGTATGGACGCTCTGATTCCATGTAAACAGTAAATAGTAAATAGTGTGTATGCGAGTAAATAAAATTAAGTTTTATTTACTAACTACAATGTTGTGTTTTATCTAGATAAATGTTTTATCCAGATAAATGAGATTTATGTTATCTGAGACATTATCCGAGATAAGTAAATAAATCATCTAGATAAAATGTAATATTTTAATATTTATATTACACAATATGTTAATTAGGTAAGTATCTCCAATTAAAAAATATTAAATTTATATTTATACATTATTATTATTATAATATAAATTATTCATTTTACAATCACTGGTATTATGAATATACTTATATATTATTTAAATTTTATAATTATATATATATATACGATCTCTTGTCATTTTTCGATTGGATTAATATTTCTGATAGAAAAAAAAAGTTGCAAAAATTAAAAACAATAAAATCAGTAACGCCGTGGTGTGTCGTAAATATTTGCCGTTTTTACTATAATCTTCTTTCTAATTTTTCCCAATTATTTTGAAAATCTCTCGGAAAATCAAAAAATAACCATTTTAATGCACTGACTAGAGAAAATATCTTTTCAGAAAAAGTACTTCATTCTACACATCGGAGCAAGAATCTGTTAGAAAAGTTGTTTAGAGATACACAAAAAAAAAAAAAATATACACATAGTAAAACCAATAAAACCCTTGCTACGCTCCGAATCTAAAAATGTTTTGTATAGGCACGTTAAGCACGTCATATAATTTATTATTTTTTGCGTCTATATAATTTTTATATATTTTAGTTTTAAGTAATTGTTTTGTGTATCTTTACTTCTAGTTTTTAATTTATTAATGTTTATAGTCGATTTTAAAGATTTTATTTTAATGATATTATGCTGCAGAGATCCTAAATGGACATTGAACGATCACGTGAAATCGCTGTATTCAAAATACAAGTGTTGGCGGATTGTTTATTGGACTTTGTGGTCGGAATGCCATTTTATGAGATGTGCACGATGTCAAAACACGTATCCGGTCAAAAATCAAAGGTGGTGTCAATTCCATACGCAATTGCCACAATATTATCCAGTGGAAAACAATAGACATCTTTACTACCCTAATGGTGACTTTTACTTTATTACCATAGAATAATGACACGTTGTTGGTTTGATAAAGGTAAAGGTTGATAAACAACCGGGAATCTAGGCCATTTAGACTCTTTGACTAATGGTTCTTCTGTGGTTAACAAGATCCTTCGGGCCAATTAGTTTCCCTATCAACTAGAATCTTACTAGAACGGGAAACTACGGGGGATTTAGATATCCGTGGGAATCTGAATGGCCCATGATCTAGGTAAACTGAAGTATATTGTTTCCCATAAATATAATTTTGTGAGAAAATTTCGTTCCAGACAAATATTTTCTGACATTATAAATCTCAAACAAATTTACAAATATTAAAAATACAAATAATATGTATACAAAATGTATATACAAATTATATTTATATTTCTGATAAAATAGAACGATTATTGTATTTGTACAACTGTAAATCCATAGAGTATTACTTTGATTAAAATCTATAGTTATATATTTTATAGGACGTTATCCGTGTTGCAGCGAAAGAACTTTTAAATACGAGCCAATCAAAAATCCATTTGTAAGTTTTTCATTTTACTATAAAGAAAATTAACGTTAAATATGTTCAATATTTAGTATGATATTTTCACTATTTACCTGTATATATTACTTTGAGTTAACATAATTATAATAAAACCGATTGAATTTTAATGCTAATCGAATTTCGAAAGAATGATCAGACTCGATAATTCGACCAATTAAAAAACATAACGAATGATGTTTATATGGAAAATAATTGTAAAATGAAGTTAAGGTTATACAATGAAAACTAAATTATTAGTTATAATCAGGGTAAAGGACCTAGCTCAATAAAATAGGAAATATGTAAGCACAACCAATTTTTTTAATGATATAATTAAAAAATGTTAATCATTTAAAAATATCTAAATCATAAAAAAAAACCATTACTAATTGAATTATATACCATACTATGATCAAATTAATAACAAAAACCTTTTTGTCTTAACGAAATTGTTATTTTTAATTTATATTGTTTAAATTAAGTAAACACTAGTACATTTTATTGATAGAATGATGAATTTGATTATTTTTAAATATCTTTTTTTGATATTTCTTCTTCTAGCATTAAAAAAATAACATTATTAATGTATTAATTTATGATTTTATTGATAATTTTCGTCCTGATAAGGTTTTTTCTTAATAAATTATAAAAAAGTCCCAAAAAGCATTAAAAAATAACCTATAAATATTTCAAAAAGCTAAAAGACATAAATATGTAACGTAAAATTATAAATTTGGCTTTGTCGCAACATTAAATAAATTTATTTTAAAATGGTCTTCTTTTATGACTACACAAAATAAATATGTAAAATATAAATGCTAGAATTCCTCTAACCTAGTTATAATAGTTAATATTATAATTTACGATGAAAATAATTAACTTGTTAAGGTGATTGGACATGTCTTGAGAAGAGAGGAATCAGAAGCAATAAGATGGGTACCAAATAAACGTAAGAGGAAAGAGAGAAAGAGGAAAACAGAAAAAGAAGTGGTTGGTTTGAAAATAGTATGACACTCAAGGATAGACAGTGTATGCGAGGTAGAAGATCAGGCCAAATGGAAGATGAGGAAGAGGGTAGCAGACTCTAATATTTAAGAGTAAAATAGTTTACGATTGTTAAATACTTTGGAACATATTTCATTGAGCTGGAAATCTCTCTATAAAAACTCTGTGAAAGGACGCATAAAGAAATTGTATAATAATCTTCAGGTATTATCATTACTGATGATTAATGGTTAGCTCTTTTTTTTTATCCGTTATCGTTTAATAGATATTTCCATATAAAAAAGTCGTTTAATATACATTTTAAAATATGGTGGGTAGACATTTATATGCTTTCCATGTTGTGAAAAGTGAAGGGGGTAGAATCGCTTAAACTTCCCTCTTCTGTGTCTACAGCCCTGTGCCAGCCATTATATTAGTCAATAATTACCTACTTAACCTATTTAAATTGTTTATTATACGTTTTTAAAACATAAATATTTTAAAACAAAAAATATTGTTCATAGGTTAATAAAAAAAAAAAAAAAAAATGTGACGACTGATAATAGTAATAAGTGTATTATAATATATTAAGTATCGTATACAGTATAGATATAGGTATTTACTACTTAGTGTGTAGTACACATTTTAATTTGTATAATAAAATATTTTTTCACATAACGTTAACAATTGATCATTGTATAGTATAGGTATACCTGTTAAGTGTTTATTACAATAATTTAATGTCTTATAGCTCATACAAATATAAACTACAACAGACTTTTCTTACTGTGTTTAATTTGCCTAACAACTCGAATCTAGTCTCACAGTAATACGTATTACATATTGGTTAAAGATATGAACTATTTACAATTATTACAAGTTTAACCTCGTGGTCCACTCATAACTCATAATTAATAAGGCTCGTACGTTTTTTCCACACAAAATCTTTTAAATATGCACCTAACCACGCAAAAATTTTTATCAAATACCTATATGTAGTAAAGCAACTTTAATTGCATTATAATTACCAAAAAAAATGTCCAAACAAGAAATAAGTTTATTAGGTATTATTAGTAATAATATTTTATTACAACGTTAAATGTTTAATCAATTCACTAATAAGTCTACAAATTTTTTAAGTGTTCAAACCAATTTTGTTTTTTTGATGTTGTATATACTAAAAAAAATGCATAAAAAACCTATTTGACAATGTGACACTTCAAAAAATTAAGATTTAAACATTTTAAAGAAATCAAAAATGCTCTGTATTTGATTATATGCTAAAATAACTAAAAGAAACTCGAGATATGCAAGTTATATTATTAATTATTATAAGCAGTTATAAATTATTTATTATACCGAATTCTGTCAGCCGATAGGAACTATATAGGATATAACTCTTCTAGTCACATAAAATTCGCATATTATCATATTTTTTTTACAGGGTTGTCATTATCGAGAACACATCCCGTTGCTTGAGCACACCGTAGAAGTGGAAATATATAAACTTATGCAAATGTTTCCGTCTGTTACGACCGTTGACGCGCCAATATTTTTCTCTAAAGGATTTACAAAACTTGTAGACGTACACGGTAGATACCTAATTAGCTACATTATAAATATATATATAATATAGTTGTCAAAATGTATATGGCGTCGTAGAAACTTTAAACCTACATTTATTTAAATATGCACGTTGAAAAAAATGAATCGTTACTTTTGAATAGGTGAGATGAAAGACAACGATCAAAACACAGCTTGGACCGGCGAGCCTCATCATCGTTTTACTCCATTCATGGGTACCTATAATATAATATTTAATACGGTTACCTATAGAGGAACTTGTACAGTTGTTTCCCTATGATAACAGAAAAGCAAAAATCCATGGAAGCAGTGAAAATAATTTTCTCATGTGAGCTACCCGACGTGGTTTCGCAAAACAAATCGAGCCATCGAGGGTTATTTTCAATTAAGTTCTGACGTGATAGAGTAAATGAAGGTGGCTAAAGGCCCTAAACGAAGCAATATTGAAGTATTTGAGGTTATGTTCTATGATTAATTTTTCCTTGTCAGATGTACACGAGAAGAACTGACCTCATTCCTCATATAGGGTTTAAGCACAATGAGTTTATGAATGATATAAACTGTTTCCTATTTATAGTTACAAGCGAAGGAACGTCAAAAAAATCGCAATTTTGGTGGGACAGTATTGTAATAGGAACATCGTCAAATAGGAGACTGTCATTATTGACAGAATTATGGGAAAAACCGTTTACCAAAAGACTTACGTCACCATGTACCATAAGTAAAATATATTTAATAAATTTAATTGCAATACTAGTATAGTCGTACTTATAAATCTATCATGTTGTTTAATTAATTATAATTTATTTTTTACAAAATTAAAGATGATATTGCGTACGAAGCGACCGAAGTTCCGACAAATGAGATACATACATCGTTTGGGGGATCATCGTTTGAAGAAGTTGAAGATTCATTGTCGAGTTTTAGCGACAGCGAATCGGGTCGTTCTGAAAAAACGACTTACAACAGTAAACAACAAAAGGTCAAGCGATCTTCAAAAGCCATTAGAACGTTGAAACAAAGATACAGGTAGGTCGTAGGTATACCCAATAAATGAGTGTCTTTTTAAACTATACGTTTAAATTAATAATAATTTCAGGTATTCCGGAACTTATCAATGGTCGTTGACGGCACCGATGCGTTGTAATCAAGATAATCAGAGAGAATACGAAGAACGATGTTTCAGACAAATTTCTCAACATATGTTACATCAAAATAATAATTCGAACGCAGAGTGTAGTGGAATATTGACTTCCAATAACCCTATGGATTTTGGTCAACGATCCGGTAATAATTTTTGGTTATACTGTTATGTAGTCGTTTTTCATTTTAAAAATATACACATATATACTCGTGTGTGTATATATGTTTATAGGTTGACGGAATTTTTTTTTTTTTGTTATCAGGTGGGTATTTTGTAAAACTCGAATCAGAATTTCTATCAAAAATCGATCACAAAACTACTCAAAGACCAAATACAGTCGATACTAAAGGACACGCGAAAACTAAACTTAAGAAAACACCTAAATTAAATCAATAATAAGGAAAAAAAAATGTAAAAAAATTAACTTGCTACAATATATTATCATTATTATTTTAGACGTAATTTATTTGTTATCGTTTAACAGGAGTCGTCAATAAAAAAAAAAAACAATTTAAGTTTAAATTCAATGTTTTTATTCAAATGCAAATACACAAAACAAAATTGTTGAATATAAAATAAGAACTACATAAATATAATAATTTACACAAAAATTAAATTATAGTTGGGTATAACCAACAAATATATTATAGTTAAAATAGGTTGAAATTGATAAATAGGATGAAATAACGACCTTGGTAGATATAGTCTAAAATTTGAAAATAATATTATTATATTATTATGTAAATATTTAAGGTTACCCTTTGGTTTGGTCGCCTACTTCGCGACTAGATAATACACACACACGCGAACACACATACATTTAAACACATATTTTGTATCAATATTATTAGCAAATAATACATATAAAATATATTATATAAAAAAAAATGTTTATAAATAGATAATTTGATATAGTAAATATTAGGAATTAATTAAAAATTAAAAAATAGATAAAACGTAAATGCCTCCAAAGGCAGTATTATTCTTAAAACATAGGTATATACTTAGTAATATGATAATAGTGCAATTTTATAATATTGTTCTCGCATGAAAATAGTACTCGGTCAAAGATTAACGATTTATAATGGATTTTTCTACATATTATAATAACGCCTATTGTGCATATTCACGAAATTTTGGAGGGGGGAGATTGTAGACTCCTTATCCTCCCAACCGTAAATACGTGTTTATAATCATTTTTCTGTAATTTACATATAAATGTAATATACATATTCTCCGAATGAAATAAATAAGTTAAGTAAGCGGATGTTAATTTAAAAGCTGCGTTAATAATCAATATATGATTTTTACTATTAATAATAAAGTTCTAAAAAACAACTGGATCGTTGTTTAATTTTTTTGAAATTAATTTCGTATAATATTAAGTATCTAATATTTTAGAGTTATTATAAAAATTATCTAATTTCCAATCATTAAAAAATAAAACGATACTAAAATCTAGAAAACCACATCAATACGTTTCATATAGAAAATACAATATTATTATATCACACAAATAAATAGACAAATATTTTTTTTTTTTTTATGACGGTTTAGTATGCTAATAGTATGTAATATTATGTGGCAAGAAAATTTCGTAACAGTAACGACCGTGCGTAAGGTCCGACTATACTCGATTGATCAATAACTTTCAATAATTTTCGGGCATGGATAAAATATAATTTACAACCCCATAAGAGAAATATTACTTTTAACGACTACAATGTTATACACAACAATTTTTCGGTGTATATAATAGCTATCAGAGGCGAGTATATGACCAAAATTATTGGAAGAAGGGCAAAGTTTGTTTTCTTCGTGAATTTTTTTTTTTAAAACCTGATTGGATTTTTCATAAAAAAATTGAAACTTTACAAGATAATTTGTCGACTAAAAGGATAATTTTATTGATTTAGAGGGGATTCTCCTTTCATTTACAGTTCGTACCACGGTTAGGTTGCACGGTTGAAGTGAAACAATATGACTGCGGACACGAACAAATATTATGAATGGACATCATCATGAATATTTTCACTTATCTATATCCATTTCCTCCATATCTTTCAGAAAATAAAATCTTCACGATAAAAACCAGAATACAATATTTTAAGAACCATTTGTTCTACATAGTGGAATACACACAGTACCAATACGTAAAATCGTTGGTCATGTGTAGAACTCGATTGTGTGTTCATTTGGCAAAACATTATGTTAAGGGATTTTTATTAATTTGTGGCACTATGGCAAAGGACCTTTCGAAACAGTAGATAAACCATAGAACAAAAATGTTGAAATATATACTCGGTGATTATACACGGACAAATTCTTTAAAAGTGGCCTAAACACGTCCAATCAAATTCAATATTACATTTAAACGTTTAACAACAAAAAGCTTTATACGAATATAATAAAGACACGTAACTCAAATGCAAGATTATAATATATAATAAAATATTTAAAAACTAAAATAGTGCAAATAATTTTTTGGGAAAATTAACAAATTGATTTAAAAATATAGCGGATGACCGAAATGGTGTGATTTAAGCAGTTAACGGTATATAGGACAACTAAACCACTGATATTATAATATGGGTTTTTATTATTATTATGTTATATTAATTAATCGGAAGTGTCGTCGTAGGGGAAAACTAAACGGACTGAGAAATTCACGGGGTGGGGAAGGTCGAGTAGGGGAACTCGGAAGCACGACAGCGGTGGAGTGGGAACGGGAGCAGAAGGTTTTTATGTGTTGTAGCAAACGTAAGATTCCAACGTCGTGGGCAATTTTAATTTGGCCACTGATTCGGGATGTGCGTTTTTCAGGCATCCATTGAACAACGAATATCGTATAGTTTTGCGGCACAACTGCTGCAACGAACGTGGTTGCACCCACTGAGGTGACAGCGCTTTTTTGATCTGGAAGAACACCGGTCCAAATATGTTGTAGCATTGAGCATGGCTGAACATGGTGCGCATAACGTGCGTGTGCATTCTACTAGGATCATCGCCCATCGTCTGCATGCAAATAAATAAATATTAATATTATACAATGTTCCATGGTGACAAATGCAATTACTTTTGAACTGTTCAATTTTTAAATTTGTCGGTTTATAATAATAACTAGAGCTTTGTGTCATCATTTTCATATTTTACATATTTTAAAACTAAATTCAAAAATCATAGATAGTCTTTTGTTTTGTAACGTTTTGTAACGTTTTTGTAAAAAAATAATTTAATTAATAGTAGTATAATAAATAATAGATAATATAATTATAAGTATGAGTAGAGCAGTGCTGAATAGGAAACTAATGGGCATAAGATCTCGAATTCGAATGATGTAGGGAGATCGTAATACAGGCAAAAACTCCTGAGTATGGAATGCCAAAAAGATGAAGATAATTATTATTGATATGACTGCTGTGATTATTGGTATAACCCGGAGTGTATTATATAATAGGTATAGTATAAACTAATAATAATACCTGGGAGAGTAGATCCAATGTACACAAACAACCATCGTCCAAACGCCTTCTAATCATCACCGACCGTAGGAACCATGTAAATATGCTGTCTAGCGGACTTTCTATTGGATCTTCGGACACGAATCTCATTCTCGAATCACTTGAATTACGGTATTCTTTAAGAACTTTCACGTAGTTGAGTCTCTTCTCTGAATTGCAATCTGTTGCGAACACATATTAAATACATACAATTAGACCGGGTAACAAAAAAATCATATTTTTTTAGAGGAATTAGATATATCGAGTAGTGGCATAGGCCAAAAGTGTAGTACTTATTTTCTTTATCTCAGTTTTTAAGCATACCTAAATACCGTATATTATATAGTTGTATCAACTGGCATGTACATTTGCCCTCTCCCGAAATTATAACGACAATTTTGCAAGCCTGAATAAATCATGTATATGGTTTGACAGTTTCATTTTACTTGATATATTGAATGGATTGATCACATTACTATATAGGAATAACCTTTAGAATGCGAGCGAAAAATTACCATCATCCATTATAATTTATCTCGTGGCTGTTGACGATTATAAAGATAAACTATCCATCTTGTTGAATTATGGGCCGATACTCGATATGGTCGACCACTACTAGAACTTTATTCATTATATACATTTTTATATGAAAAAACTCTAACCAAATAAAAAAGTAAGTATACAAAATACTTGTATGTTTATATGAATACAATTTTCTGAACACTCGTAATCAGAACATAACAGCTACTCGTCATTGAACGATTGTGAAAAAAAAAATAGATAAGAAATATTATTGTTAAGAAGTTTTTGACAAATATATATATTTTTTTTATGATCAATGACTATAATTTGGGAAAAAACCGTATACGTATTCACTGGAAAGTAAAGAATTTATTTATTAAAACTGAAGATAAATGGACGAATATGCAGTTATTGGAAAACCTTGAACATTATTAGGGAGGGTTTTTGTCTATACAATGTTTTATCATTCGACTAGGTGTATGTGTTCCTCATAAATCACATTTGGTAATAGTATTGACATATTTTATATTTTACAACCGAGATAACTTTAAGTTTTCGTGGGCAGCAAACTATTATTTTTTTTACTCATCAATTCGGGAAAGGACGTTAATACGTCGAAATATTGTAGGCATTAAAAATATTAGAGACGTGATTTTACCTTTTTGATATATATATATGGGTTTAAATGTTCAAAATACTCACGGGGACGACACGGGATTTAATAGCTATGACAGCATTATTACATTTATTTTGTTGGCAGACAATATTGAAATTAATAATATAAGGAAAAAAAATAATCCTATATAGGGCGATCATCTACAAAGATTTTGAGTAGATTATATTTCGGATTTTTGCAGACATTATATTTACGACGTTATATCGTTATACGTTATACGTTTGTAATCATAATTTTAAAATATTTTCAAAATGCTACCCTTACTCAAAAATCTTAGTAGATAATCACTTACATTTGTAATAAAATAATCCAACAGTATTCTAACATGATCATTATTGTATCATGTAAGTTGGAAGAAAACGATAAAAGTAAACCTATAGTTATGTATATAATTAGATGTGTGGCTTACCTTCAAGCCAAATCGTTGCACCACTGTTTAACAAAAGCTTAGTGATATCGAGTGCCTGGTCCATGTAGTGGACAGTGTACGTGATCAATGATCTACCGCTGTTGTTCAACCAGTTTACATCGCTACCATATGCTAACATCATGCTCACAAACTGAAAGGTGCGTTTAAACAGACCGCAGTTCATAAGGCGTTTGGCGCCCACTATAAGAGCGGTGTTGCCGTGTTCATCAACAGACCGAGACCAACGGCGTAATTGTTTCGGTGTGGAGTTGGACGACAGTTCCGTTAACCGACGCAAAACTTGCATCCAGTTTTTGTGGATGTCCCCTGTTTAAACAACAACTGCACGTTAACTTTATCGATTTTGTGTAGGTACTTTACTAAGTTATAACAATGGTGGTGATTGGAAGACAATTTTTTTTTTGCACACTTTACCTGCGATGATTTCGAAAAATATGAAGCAATTGGCGTTTTCTAATTGCGGATGTTTTACACATGTCTGTTTGGTATTGAAGCGGAAGCATAAATCTAAGTTGAATATCTGAAATTATCATGTTTGCAACAAACACTGCATGTTAGTTTTGGTTTAATATTAGAATCATTATTTTATAATAGAAATTGTTATTATGTTTTATAATTATACAATTCTTCATGGAAGAATAAAAAGTTATATATTACTTTTTAATTTTTATCGAACCATTTAAATTTAAAATTAATTATATAATAACATACATACTCGTATATAGCATAAAGGTTATATTATGATATTTATTATAGAGTAAATTCCAATAATCAAATAATAATAATACCGCTGGTCTTGTAGCTAACATATCATCGTAGTTTTTGAAACAGTACAAAAGCAATTTGTCACCGGACAATCTCCACTCTTTGTAAGCACATACGTCAGTGCAGCAGGTCGCTTTAAAAAAAAACAAAAACAGTATCAATAAAAACCCAGAACATTGAGGGTATTTTGTACATCGTTTCTATACTCTGGGTACAGAATTAGTAAGTAGGTTATGTGGGAAATTGGGATGTTAGAATATTTAGGGTAATTTAATTATAAAATTGTATACCTATAATTTATAAAACTATAAATCATTTCAAACGAAAAACGATTTACAAAAAAGTTCGGTTAAACATTGTATTTAAATTTAAATTGAAAACGGTATTAGGTTATTAACACAATTATAAATCACAATTTTTTTTTTTTAAGAATTTATGATAAAATCAAACGTTTAAAAATAATTTTAAAAAAAGGTTAAAATATTTTTAAAATGTATTACGTCTATAAAGTTTTGTTATAAGTATTTGGTAAAAGTTTTTGGGTTTTAAGATTATTCCATATTAAATTACAACAAAATAACAAAATAAATAAAAACAGTTTGTGAGTCTCGGGTTTTTGACGTTTTTCTTTCCATTATTAAGAAAAATACATGAAAAATCAAAAGAATTGCCTCCCTAATGAGCTAACTAGACAAAATTTACTACTCAAAACTACTTCTGAAATTGATGATTGGAGAAAGATTTCTGGTTAAAATTTGTTCATACATCATAGTAAAAACGTTCCTCACTACACTTGGAATCTAAAATTCTACGAGGCAAAAATTAATGTGAAGAAAGAGATTAGAATAAGTTTTACCGCGCAAATTTGATGATAACTTTATTTAAACAGTATAGTATATACGTTGTGTGAGGGTGACCAGTTTAGGTTAGCAATGTTGAATTATGAATTATAAATGTATTATACATATATAGCTGGTATGCCAAGAAACACGAGAGGGTAGATTGAAATGGTATGGGCAATGAACACGTTGAAAATAACCCCGAAATGGAAATCTCTGAGGAAAATGCAAAATAATTTTTTATTAAACCGAATTATATGTGCCTTATTGTTTTCCATTCGTCTTAATGGCTAATAGATCCTAGTCCTTGAGCGTCCGGAAAAAAATGCACTTTGCATTGGAATCAGTGGAACTAACAATATGTGTGGGTATATATATTTTTATAAACTGCATACATACATGTACAATCTTTTCCGTGCCAGACTCCAGCAATTATTTTCTCGATGCCATCTTCATTCGTCGTTATGAACAATGTCGGCACTTCCGTCTGATTCTCTGGTGGCTGGCGTTCCGTCGACCGATCAACAGCGACATCTAATTGTAACGAAGCTAAAGGGTGGCAGGCACTGGATCCTTCAGCACAATCAGTCATTGGATCATTTTTTTCACTAAAATCAAATTAAATAGGTATATTATTAGTATTTTGGTAAAAAGTTGAAACAAGTTATTATCACAACATATTATAAATTATGTATCCGAACGAAACTATTCTAAATAATATATGAAAATAAATGAAATGAATAGCTATTCTAAACAACTTTTTTAATACAGGATTAATAAGTATAATGTTATCACCTTTTTGATTTTAATATTCAATTGATAATAAAAAGTAGGCATATAGTTTGTTTTTTGTTTATACTTACATTTTCTGTAGCCTTTATACGTATATACTTGTATTTAAAATAAGTAATACCGACCAAAAGTTTTTACTTATTGATAATATTTAATTCAAAAATTATTTCAAGACGAAAAATTAATTTTTAAATTCCAATACTTTCTAAACTACGAAAGTTTTAATTGTAATATTATAATTAAGTGTACATAAAATTCAGACGTTTTATGACAATAAACGGCAATAAACTACTAATATAATATAATAAGTATAGAATATTGCTAGCAAATTTTCAGTATTTTATTGATTCGATAAATTAAATAATAATCATCATTCAAAAATTAAAACTAATCAAATCATTAAACTAAGGTACAATCGACATGTATATATGTATAAATATACAGAGTGTAACACGAAGTACTGCTACTTAAAATAACTTTAGTACTACTCCATTTTTTTTTTTAAATTATTTGTATGTGTCTGTGTTATAGTTTATAAATGAACATTTTAAATTTTTTAGGTAGTAGGGTACTTAAAATAAAAAATTTCAATTTTAATATTATTTAAAAAAAAAAATATTCAAAATAGCTATTTTGTAAAATAGATTTTTAAACAATTTTTAGTGTTTGAAACTTCTGTTTAAGATTATTTAATCAGTATTCAGTAGTATTATTGTATGATATTAACATACGGAAAAGAAAATCCTTGTCATTTGATATGCACTGACTACTGATTAAATATTGTAATAGATTAAAAATCACAATAATATCCACATTTGTAAAAACTTCAAAAAATCATTCGTAAACAAGTTTCAACCACCAAAATTGTGTAAACATTTATTTTACAAGATGGCTATTCTGAATTAAAAAAAAAATATTCATATATAAACTGTAGCGCAGAGATACACTAATTAGTAATTATTTAAAAAAATTGAATAGAACAGAAGTATTTCAAGTAGCAGATCTTCTTGTTACACTCTGTATGGAAAAAAAAATAAATCTGTGTCAATTGCTATATTATCAAATGTCGTCGAACTATATTTTATTAATCATTTTTTTTTTTTAGTTTATTTAGATTTTATATTATTGTTCAATTCTTACATTTATTATGTACTTATATAATTATAAGATAATTTTTAATTTATAATGTTTGTATACAATTATAGATTTCACAAATATCGGGATATTAGTATACAATTTCAATATTTTTTTTTTTATAAAGTACCTAACATTAATCGTTGAATGCAATAATATATTTGATCACCTAACTAAAAAACGAACGCATTATATTTGTAGTATACCTTTTATAACAACGGTTTTCAACTTTTGGGTACATACGTATGCTACTCAAGATATTTATAAAATTGTTCACGCATCTTATTAAATTAAGTTAAAATTTAATGGTGAAGGCTATAAGCTTCTCACACCTCTTACATGCAAAGACATCGCATGCATGCTCTCTTGTATGCTGTACATACATTTTGGGTACACGTCCATATGGATAAAAGTACGTGGAAGGTTTTACTCCACATCCCCAACAAAAATGTTTTCCTAAGACTAAACAATTTTTCATTAATATTAAAAAATTATTAGTTAGTTTTAGTTAGCTGTTCAAAAAACCATGAAATAATAAATCACAAATATTAAATTAGTTATATAAATCAACTTAAAAATTTATTTTAATTTAGTTAAAGAATACTCAACAAATTTTTTTTTAAAGAATTAAAAATAGTGGTGACGTTAACCATTATGAATCTTTTGCCATTGGCAGTTTTGTGATTAACTATCCAACTTTTAATATATTATTCAGGATTTCATTCACTCAAGGGAGGACCATTTAAATTAATACATATTAAATTTAAGAAAAGTTAGAAGGTATACTAATAAACAATTTGGTCAGAGGTTTGTTGATAACCTGGGTCCAGTTATGTATAACTCTTTGCCTTTGGACATAAAGAAAAGTATTTCTAACACCACTATAATGTATAATTATATGGACATTAAAAGAACTGTTCAAATTTGGTTATTAAATGATTTTGTGTAATAGTAATGTTAATGTTAAATTTAAATATTTGTAATGCATAGAATTAAGAAAATGTAATACATATCAACATGAAAAATATAATATTATTGTATTAGTTGTAAGTACTTTTATTTACGTTATTTTGTTTAAGATTTTGCGATTTATTTGCTTTTCCACAAGTTATGCTTTCTGGGTAAATTAATCAAAAAATACGATCAGCTACTAATGACGACAAAATTATGACATGCATGTACCATAGTACTCGTTGACTTGGGTTTTTTTTTATGGGTATACGCATGTTTTAAAAATAATAAATAGGTTAAGATTTTTTTGGCTTTTCATCTTTTTCTTATTTTAATAATATATTTTTTTAAATTTTGAACATGTTGAAGCACTCCAATGAAAATTATTTGTACCCCAAAAATGAATTATGACCCAAAGATTGAGAAAGGTTGTTTTATAGTCCGTACACCTAAAAGTTCGCATTGAAAAAAGATAGGTATTAACAACTACAGTTTCAACTAGTAGCTAATAAAAAAAAACTTATAGTAAAGCATTTATCACAAAGGACATTTACATTTTATTTTGACTTATATGAAAATGCGAAACTTTTGGTTTTCAACTAAATTTGAACGAATGATGTGTAAATGAATAATGAATAATAATAATGTAATAATTAATTGTAATTAATTGTAATATAATTTGTAAAGAGTAATAGTCGATAAATTGTAAACAATACTTAATCACGAAATACATCAAAATATTCAAATATAACTAATATTTATTAAATATATAATATTATAATAAGTTACTGTAATATATAGATAATGTATATTTTTATAAAATGCTACGATTTTCTTTTTTATTGTTCCACAATCATTCGCGAAGATTAAATTGTATACAAATATTGAAATATTTAAATATTATTTTCTCTAAAGTAAGTTTTAGTAAAATCATTAGAATATAAGTACGAACTAATATTGATATATACCAATTACATCTATATTTTACGATTATAACTTTTGTTGCGAAATTCATAGTTTACATAAACATAGTATCATCATAAATAAAGCTATTCATATTATGGCTAATAAAGTTTTTTAAAAAGATAGAACAATGTCGTTATAATTTCTTAAAATATAAATAAGTCGTGTACCAGTGACGATTAAATGATTCTGTCATGAGGGAGAGGATAAAGATAAGTTTTAAGAACTATTATTATTTATATAGGTACCTTTTTATTTTTTATATTATATAATATATAATATCTATTATTATAAATATTTAAGGAATATGAGATAATGTGGGGGAATATATCTCTGTCTCCTAGATTATTGTTATTGCCGTGTACTAATATAAACTCAATACAATAAAATACGAAGCTATTGGCGCATAATAAATTTTAATTATTTCAAAATACACGAATTGTGGGTAAATATATATGGGTACCTTTATTTTTGCTAAATATATAGGGCCTTTAGTTTAGTTATCATTGACGCTGATATAGGCGATAATAATATAATGCTATATTTTGCGATATGAAAGAGATGTTCCGGATGCTTGTAAAAATAAAAACCAAAAATAGTAGACAATTATATTCTATGGTTTATTGACCATCAGACTCTATTATTATTGTATTACTATTTACTACCATAATTATTTTCCTATACATTTTTTGGATTCCATGATGCCTTTTTCGTATAAAATCGACTGTGAATTAGTTCTACATAATATAGTAGCGTAGTACTTTAGTACTTAGACCCGTAGGTTTGTGGGATCGGTTAAAACTTGCAAATTCAGTGAAGGGTGGAAAAAATTACCACGTCCAAAAATTGTTGGATGGGTGATAATGGTAATACATCCCATAAATAATTCATTATTAATCGAGTTAGTTAAATGTAGAGCAAGATTGGCCAAAATCACTAAATCTAACGCTGAATACGTTTAGCGTAGGTACACGTGATATAGATAAAATAGTTTGCAAAGTCTGCAATTTTCTTGAAAATAATATTATATTTTAAAAACGTATGTATAATTATGCATAAATCACATTGTAAAAACAAATAATTATTAAACATTCACATCAATCCATTACGTATAATATTAACCCTTAAATACATTTATAAGCTTTATAGGTACCTTCTACCTATACAATATGATATTGTATTAGTTTTTTTTTTTTATTATTAAAGATCTATTATAATAATATTATGTATTTCAAATCTGATTCAAAATCTAAAAACAATTGTATCTATATATATAATATAGATTTTAATTTAAAAAGAAAATATAACGAGTTGAACATCACTGTTGGTAATAAAAAAATATACCCACGTGTGTAAAAAAATATGTAGGTTAGTAAATACGAATTTTACATTAAAAACTGAGTGCGCAGAGTAAACATACGTCGCGTGTACAACACTTACTACAGCTTTTTCAAGAATTCCAGATGTTCGTTTGGTAGTACAAAAATAAATAAACAGAATGAATGCGCGAACTCGTTATTTTCGAGTGTATCGACGAACACATCGATAAAAAATAAAATATTTAGTGCATATTATGTACGTAAAAAATAACAAAAATATATAATACAAAATCGGAACAACGCATTGTACATAAATAAAATTGCCTATAATTAACAGGCGTTCTCCGATAGTCGCTGCAGTAACACCTATTAAAATTGTTAGTGTCAACCCAAAAATGAGTTGAAAAATAATAAGTATACTGATGAATTTAGAAAATTTAAATCAAAACATAGCGTAGGTACCTATACCTACTTATAAAAAATAAAAAAACGCAAACCAGATCATCCGAAAATAATAGAACAGCATCCACCTATCGTATAAACGTTTTTAAGGGATTCTAATTTCTAATATTATTACTGTAAAGTATAGTTTACTCAATCGCCGTCGCTGTCCTCACCATTTCACCACCGCGTGTGATTCGCAGGTGGTTCGACGGATTCTTTTATTCGATATCGAGCTTCCCTCTTCTTCTCCTATAGACTCCCCCAAAATAATCGTAAACAAACCCGTTCGCGACAAAAACAAATATGCAACACAAAACTACAACAAAGACGCACGGATTGGTTAGAGGGAGGGGGCGAAAAATATTGACGAAATAACCGGTCGAGAGTCGTTAAAATACAATAAAAATTCGTCATACAGATGAGGGTAGAGTTACTTGGTGATTTTTTTTTTTTTTGAAGCGAAAATAACATACAGGCCTTATAACGACGGGAGGAGGCATTGCATTCAATAGGTACTTCCTGGACCGCTAGCGCAAAAAAAAAAAATTGCATTCGCAATATTATAAACGTTATTCTACACCTATATAATAATATTATATTAAATGTACATCGGGTCAAAAAAATACAAAGGACGTCGAAAGGACGCCTCTGCCGGGTGTTCTTTTTTTTTTTTATTTATTATAATATTATATTTAAGTGGATTACATAATATATTATATTATATATATACGCGCGAACGTAGTGCCGGTTTCCGAGAGGACGCCGTTGCCTTCTCCGCTGAGCCGTTAGCGGCAACGCGTCGAGGTCGGTGAACCATCGGCGGTCACGCCGGTCCTTGCCAAATTATTACCGTATATACCGCGGTCGCTCGGGTTACCTTCTTGGTAAACGTGTTATAACTATTATTGTTCACGCCGATAGTAAATCGCATAATTAGGTAAGTACCTAATATTATAATATATAATTAACCCCTATAAGCATTCCGTTTCCGAATTTCAAACATAATTATAGATACCTATTATATAGGTCTTGACTTGACCATTATACTACAAGTATTTATTGAAAACGATTATAAAGGTTGATTTTACATAATATTGACGTAATAATCGTCTATCGCGTAATCGTAATCAATTCGCTTGTATTAATTTATTGCACTTTTTAAGGAGAGAATTCAACATTTCGTATACTGTACCGCAAATGTCATTTACCATCATGATTTTACTACTGTTCTATATCATATAATATGTAGTTACATGGACGGCTAAGAGTTTAAAAGTTGTACGGATCACTGCAAATTGCCAAATCATTTTATGAATTATATTTAATATAAAAACAACACATTTAGTCGATTTATAGTTAAAAAAAGTCAAAACTGTAGGAATTATATTCGATAAATTATGATTTTTTATTTTCTTTACTATAGGATAATTATTAAACATAAAAATTTAATTATTTACTGGAAATCGTAAAAAAAATTTATTGAATTTTTAGAAAATTTCAAAAATGTAATTTTAAAATATTTCGCCTTTTACTTAATGATAAAAATAATTAAAATGAATACCAACGTATTCTAGTAAATAACCTAATAACACGACGTCATCATAATAATGATCAATACGTTTCCAAAATTTAAATCCGTTAAACGCTATTCCTACAGTATTGTCGGGTTTTCGGTCATATTTCGGTCATAATGTCATATATTCGCCCGTAAAAACAGCCAGTAGTTTAAATAAGTACCTTCTTCTTAAATGAGTAAATGTATGTATTGTTATACTGGACACAACACAACTTGAACGTACATACATGTATCATGCATTTATATATTTTACAAGAAACGATTCTTCATCGATCAATACAACGTATTCACTTTTAACATCTAACACGAAAATATTATACAAATTACTGCACACAGATAAAGAAAGCACCAACCGATAATCATAGACTTCGGGACACTCTAAATTCATTATAAATATTACTATGGTTGCATTAGAAAATATTAAAACAAAATAGGTATACAACATAGTGCATAAAACAAAGATACTTATACATTTTATATTACATTTTTCGCAGTAGACAATATTATACTTTTACGTAAATAGGTGCTACGATCGAATTCGACATATTTTGTGTAACAAAATAATTACGCCCAAATAACGATATCATTAAAATCATTAGCTACTGTAGGTACTTGTTAAAACAGTGTGATGATGGGTTCATGACGTGCATATTGTACTGTATTTCATGTGATTTTACATTTTAAAATGTTAAAATACCTGCGATATAAATGTCGAATGGACGAGTTTAACAATACAAGTTTAAAACACATAAAATATTAATTTTACGAATATATTGAACTACACAATCGATATAAATATATAAATATAGCCAAATAGGTATAAGTTTATTTTCAAACGGTTGAATTATATACAACTATTATCTAATTGTATTTATTAAAAAAAAAAAAAAAAAATCCATACTCAAATGTAAAAATACAATATATATAATATAATATATGATCTAAGGTTAAAAAAAATCACGGTTAATAATAATTATCTATTTAACTGATTGTAATATTGTTATTTGTTTTTGATAATTATAAGATAAAAGTATATGCCTATTGAATCATTAGAAAACTCAGTTCGTGACATTTTGGCGACATTTGAACGACCCAACGTCCACTCGCGCTCCAGTGTCATCTAACCTCCTAATGCAGAGACAGAGCCTATAAATTTATTTATTTATTCATTTATAATATACACATATATATATATATATATAGGCTTGCACCTAACAATGGTATATCAGAACAATTTTGGATGAATAAAGTATGTTAGTAATATGTTAGTAAAATATATGTATGCATGAGTAAAATATGATAAAAAACGTAAGAAAAAATAAAAATATTAAAACAAATTAAATAGGCTATATACATAAAATCAAATCAATTCAATATTTAATATTATGATGGGGCTCAAGATCCCCCCTACTTCAAAGTTTATGAACTAATTGCGGCACATGCCCACGCCTCAAATTTTTGGCGGTTCAGTGAACCACCAAAACTATATTCAATCCGCCTCTGCATTTTGCTGTATAATACATATTATGGTGTATACACGGAATGACTTGCTGAGTTTTACAGTGACCCCTCAAACAAGCATATCGGATACAGAAGATATTAACAACGAAAATGTACACATAATATTGTTATACAGAGAGAGGCGTTGTGGCAATATTGTCGTTTGGGTTTCATCGAGTTTTTACTCCATCGATCGCGCATTTCAACAGGTTTCCCTTCACGGGTCGCGGAATCTATACCTAAGTAGATAATATAAAATATTATTATAAGCGTATTGGATTTGGCCACCATCGTCGTCGTCGGGGTCAACGCACACCGCGATCGGCCGTTAATCTTTTTAGGCACACCCATGTTAACGCCGAAAAAAAGCAAATAAAAAAAAAATCGGCAGTCCTAATATGCATTAAATGTGTCCGATAATTACAAACTAAACCGAGATTTTATGATCGAGGTCGCGCGGAATTGAGGAAAATCAACAACATATAGGTATATCTAATAATAATATACGCATGAATAGAGGGACGGTTTACAATTGCAATTATAATTGGTTAGGACATTCACCCACATGATTCTAAGCTTAATTAAATTGTAAAGTGATTACATTTTACCCCCTCCCCCCAAATATCATAACAGTGACAAAACGATAGCCAAGGTTAAACTACGTCAGAATAATTTTATATAGATTGCAATATGTTATTGTTTTTGTCGAATATGTGTAGCAAGAGCTAGATATTAGCTCGATTGATTTATATATATCTCGGTTTTTTATAAATTGACAAAATTATTTTTGTTCTTAACCAGTGAAAATGTTAAACATTTATTACATTCGGTTATTTTAAAAAATGTATTAAATTTCCTTATTTATGATGGGCATATGCAAGAAATTTTGTATTTTCCTATGTATATATTATCAAAACAAATAATGTAAGTAACATAGTTTAATAAATCATTCATTATTTGTTGCCCGAGAAATATTGAAATGTAAAGTATATATCTTTTAATTAAAGTTTGAATGTTTTTACCAGATTTAAAAATACAATTAATTTTACTAAAATTGTGTTTTTTGAATAATAAATAATTTATAATTATAAATTATTATTAATATTATTTACGTCAATACAATAATAATATAATGATTTATAGTAAATGGTATAAGGAGTAATAATTTTACGTACATATCATGTATTATTTATAAATTATAATATTATAACTTATTGAATATAAATAAAAATACTGTTTTTTAATTAGACGTACAGTAGTGGTTAATGAACTTTTTTCTAGGCGGGGCCTTGACATATTTTACAATACTATGTTTTATGTAATATAATACAATATTATCAACTTTCTCACGCTACCAATAATATTTTTAAATTTAAATGTACAAAATAAATCATCGCTACTACCGTACAAATATTTTGTAAAACACGTGTTATTTCTAGTATCTAATTAAATTTACGAGAATAATTTACGAGAAAAATAAAATTATGTTTTACAATATACTATTTTCATTTCCGATTGGGTGATATCTATAAATGTTTACACAAAGTTTCATTCGACTGTTATAACAGATATTAATACAAATCAAGCATATTATGTGAAAATCATTTTGCATGGATAAAATATAAATTAACATTGACGGTTAGGTTAGGTTATGACGTTTTTCGAAGCACACAATGGACGCGTCGGGACGCCAATAAAAATAATTAATACTTTCAAAGTTGAATGGAACAAAATAACAAATTATAATCTAAATATATAATAAACTTGAGTGAATACATATAGAACAGATAGACAACAATAGAAGTTCGTTAGTTTTGTCGTAGGTGTAACCTCCGCTGTTTTTCTATAGTTTTATAATAATAATTTATAATTTTTGGAACTCGAAATGAAAAATGTTCATTTTTTGTGGGTTTTGTGATTAATATCGATTCGAAACCACAGTTGCGATGTGTTACATATCAAAAAATAATAATGATATTGGAACTTAATTTCAAATTACCCCAACTCAATGTGTACATATAGGAAATGAGATGAAAGTTATACGGTTTATCTGTGCAAAATCGTAATTTTGTTTAGGAGTGGAGTACTGTGACCGACCACGCCAAGTACCCATACCGCGGGTCAATGATCTGCCTCTGTGTTCCGTTACTATAATATTATTATTGCCCTCATCGCGTCAATGGTCGCTTTGTTTTTTTTTATATATATATACGTTTAGTCAGAAGAGTGTTTTTTCATTCTTCATTTTTCTTTTTTCATGTACAAGTCAATAAAAATAAAAACCTAAAGAATTTATTAATAAAAACCATATCCGGGTTGACAACTTCTTGAGACATTGTCAGCAATGGGAAGAGTCAGGTAAAGAAATATCGTATATGAAAAAACTAAAAATACAGATAGTAGGTACTGTAATTCGCTAAAGGATCGTCATCGGTCTGTTTATGGGACTTGTACGTTTCCTTTTAAAATGTAGCGGTTGTCACAATACCACATGATAGATCAAAACTGAATTGAAAAATAAAACGTATCCCTTATTACTGCAGTATCTACCTACTCTCCTACTAGTTTAGTTTATGGTATATGTATATATATATAAAAATATTGTTAAGAAAAACGGACATACTTCGTACGTGGATGGGCCACTGATGTAGGCAAGAAGTTGGGAAGGTAATAGAGGGGAAATTTAATACACATCTGTATACGCAACAATTAACCATTGCGAATGAAAAAACGATTCTGAGCGGAATTCGGTGTTGCTTTGTCAACAATAAATATATCATATTATGGTAAAATAATTTAATATGCATTATAGACTTTTTTTAATAATATTTATAGTTAATAAATATATAAATAAAAAAAAATGTATATATAAAAATAAAACAAATAAATGAATCAATGCGTTGCCTGAAGTACTATGATAAGTGTATTATAGAATCGGTTTCGAATTAAAAATTCATCATCAGGTATATCACAGTCAAAATGTAAAACGCGACTGCTGGCTCCAGGCGACGTATTGCTTCATTTATTTGTTTTATTTTTATATATACATTAATTTATTATATTTATTTACTGTATTTATTCACGAGTATTAAACATTTTAATAATTTTGTTTTTACTGTATTATTTAATAATATTTGTTTAATATTGTACCTATTTACTCAGTTTTCCAACCTATTTTCCTGGTTTTTCCCATTTATTGGGAAAACTCTTGGGAAAATCAAAAAATTACCTTCCTAAAGTACCACCCCAGTGATATTTACTTTCAGAAAAAGTGCTATTATTGTAAATCCAAGCAAAATTGCTGATAAAAAGTTCTCCTCAGAAAAAAAATCCTAACATTTTACGAATAAATTTCGTATATTTTCTCTTTTTTTTCTCCGGTTTTTCCTATTTATATGAACATCATTGTAAAACCAATACATTCCTCGCTCTACTCAGAATCTAAAATGTAGTCAAATTTATGATGACTTTGATACCTACTTAGAAAAAAATAAAGTAAAAACGACAATAATATTATGAATTAACTAATAACTAATAACGAATCAACAGTGCCTGATTAAAATATTAGTTTTTTTTAAATTTCATATGACCATCGGCAATGGTAAACTTTTATTGAAATTAAAACTAAAACTTAATAACAAGTTATAAATAACTTATTCATATGGTATTAACATGCATTAACGAAAAATAATAACAATAATAATAATCTTAATACATAAATAATGATATAAAATAAATAAACATAATATTTTTAATTGAAAAAAATGACTTATAGTCTATTCAAGTATATATACTTTGAATGTTTTCTTCTGGTATTTGCACAGAAGTGTAAACGAATTTTTAATAAAATTATATAATTCCAGATTTAGAAAAGTATTTAAGAGTTAAAAAATTGTAGTAATAATTTTATAATTTTAGTACAAAGAATAAAAGTCTGGACATACTTCGAACAGTAGATAAAAAGCCACTATAGAAGTGGGAAGTTTGATATACATAGGGTTATTTTTTTTATCAAGAACCAGCAATTTTTTAAGAGGATTTTAAGTGAATTTGATTTCTGTTTTTTCTAATCATTATGAAGTCGTCTAATCTTTATTTTAAAACCATTTAGAATTGTTTTCCCTTACTCCATAAACTTCAAAAATAAGTACATACTTGATTTGAAGGTTGTATAAAAATTATCTAATTATTTAAGGCATATAGAGTAGGGGTAAAGATTTTTCGCTCCACTTAAATACTAACATTTAAAATAAATGAAACTTAGAAAAAAAAAACACTTGAATTTAAACCCGAATCAGCAAATACAAAAAAATAATATCTCTTAAAATATAATTAGACCTTATATCTTCGTACATACAGCGATGCTTTTCAATATGTTAGGTATATATGATTATAAATAATAATATACCAATAAAGCATATAATGAATTATATGAATTCCAACGAATAATATTGACGTAACGTAATAAATCAGGTACAATGTAGTTATATATATATATATATATAAAAAAAGGTAACATTATGAGGCTTTTGACCCTATCGTTAAACGGACCGCTTGCAATATGTATGTATCATTATAGTTAATGTGCAGGTAGTATCTAGCTATACATACCTGTATGAGCAGTACGTATCTATTATATGAGTAAAACGGACAAGAAAATATTTTATGTACAATAAAATACAAAATATTATTTTATCGGACAACTTGTTTAATAAAAACACCCCGTTGACATAAAAATAAAGACTGATACTGCTTATAGATGTGCCACTGTTTTAGGATAGAAGTTGGAAGGGAGGGATTTATATATATAATTAAAGAAAGTTCAATTCGTATCTGTACGCAAAATGCTACATGGAAATTCTTATAAAGATTTTGATTGGGTAAGGTTCCCGATAGAAAAGTTGTTTACAGAAACAAACAATTTAAAAAGAGACTCATCGTAGTAAAACCAATACATTCCTCGTTTTTTCAGAATCTAAAATTATATTTTTGTGGGTATAGGTACGTATATACTTTATTATATATATTTTTTTAATATCTGAAAATCGACGTTTTGCAATATTTAAAATATTTAAAATTTCCAGAAAATAATTCTTAATATATATATAGTAGGTAAATTAGGAATAATTATTATTTCTTTTCAATAACTAATATTTGATCGCATAACTCTGTAAATAAATGTAATCATATTTTTATTTTGTATAATGGATATAATGCTATAAAAAATAATACAAATCAATGAAATTCGGTTTTTTTTTATTATTATTACCGCAAATCAATATGGAAAATTTAATAAATTAAAAATTATATACTTATGAATTATATAACAGGAAACGATAGTAATAAATATTATTATATGATCCAAGTGTTGCGAATTCACTAAACATTTTAAACTGTACTGTTGTAGTACACCTGTACACAATAATAATATTAATATTATGATTTATCAAGTTTTTTTTAGCTAGTATATATATAAAATATTCTGACTCATGATGCCGATAAGATATTCTATAGGTTCCGAAGACCGGAAAAATCGCCAAATTCTCGGGAAACTGCAATGAATAATCTGTCCACTAAAATATTAAAAGCATATTATTACACATTCAATTAGTTATCTACGTTATCATATGATATTTCATGTATAATATAAGTGTATAGTTCGTATAATTGTAATACCTACTTTTAATACTTACATACCTATATCCTTGGTCCCAAGGAAGAAGAACAAAAGTAAATTTTTGAATTTTCTAAGTATCTTTTGTTTTAAATGGAATCAGTGAATTTATTATAAAAACTATTTCGTTTTTTTGTTTTTTATAACACAAATTATCCATAATCGATTTAAATCTTTCCCAAAAACCAAAGATATATTGATTATGTTATTTTTTACACATATGTTTAATATCATTGAAAAAAATTACACTAAGTAACCTATATACAACCTATAATATTATAGTTGCATAAGCCCAGTTACATATGCTAAAGGGTGCTGGAGTAGCAGCCACAAAATTTTAGGAGGGTGGTAGTTAGGTTAGGTTAGGTGTGATGGTTTACATTATACTCTTATACATAAAATTATGTTAGAAACCATGCAAATTGTATAAATTAATATTATTGATACCTGCTAAGCTAATGGTTATTCAGGGCCATTTGGTGGATGGTATATATTGATATAGGTAGTAGGTATCACTCTATTTTCTTCTCCAAATTAATTTTGAGTGTGAGCCATTTTCGATTTATTGAGAAATAAAATTTAAAATCGATAAGGACACATGAAACAAATATATATATAGTAGGTATGCAATATTATGTTATTAAGGAAAATGTAAAGTAAGTAATTGAATTATACTTAACTAATACTATATAAAAATGTATTATTTTTATTTAATAATATAATATATTTTATGTATAGTATTTTCAAGTAGGAAATTTTAGTCGGCGTGTATTTTTTGTTGTATTATTCTTCCGGATAATTAATGATTAATAATAAATTTTAACTTTGAAAAATACATAATATGCATTTATAACATAAGATATTTGTTGATAAATATTTTGTAAACAAAGACTGAAACTATTGACAAAAATAAAACATGGGTAGACTTTTTATTTTTTATCATTATACACTAAATATATCAGCTATTGTAAGTATAAATTATATATGTACTAAAATATGAATTCTGAAGAAGTATTCATTGTATAAATAAGGCTAGGCTCCAAAGAATGTGAAATCGCGTGGGATTGTTGACGACTGTAGCGTTGTTAAATAGATATACTCGTATATTAAAATAAATGAACCTAATATTATAGTTAGAGTTTAAAAGGAAAAAATATATTTGTATTTTGACGACCTACCTAAATATAATACCAATAATTCAAATATAATTTATTAAATATAATTTTATCATTTAATTAATTATAATATTAATTAAAAAATTAAACTCACGAATAAAGTTCGGAATTTGAATTTAATCCTAATCGAGGTATTGCTTTTGCTATAGTCGTATACTCACCATGATTACAATATTGTTTACAATTTGCAGGACATTGAACTAAAAAATGTTAAAAAAAATCTACCTATAATTTGTCTAAATTATCATCCATGTACAATGTACACTGTACAAAGCTAATGATATGTTGTCGTAACCAGACATTCAGTAAAAACTTATACATCTATCTATACGTAATATTTTTAATTTACAGCGTACGAAATGTGTGAACCGAATAAAGCAAAATCAAATCACTGTAAAATTAATTTTCACCCGGTCTACATGAATAATTTTTAAAAATTGGTACGCTGTTTAATATTTTATTTATATATTATAATTCGTACGTTTGCATAATTATATGAAATATCATTTATTTGAACTGTACCTATATATACTCGACATGTGATCAAATTATAATTTTTAATAAAATGTCTAAAAATATTATTTTTATATATTATACCTACCTATGCATAAATCATAAATCGAATTCAATTTTATTATTAGGTACCTATAGTTACGCATTTCTATTGTCTATATAAATATTAAAGATTCTGAATAGAGTTCGTTTTCTACTTGACATTACATTTTTATTTTATTATTTTTATAGTTATGTTATCAACTTTGAATGGGTGCGCATGTTAATGTTCATAATTATAGATTATTGGACACTTTTAAAAGAAAGTAAGCCTCAATATTCAAAAGAATCCTTAATAATGGATAATTCGTAAAATGTTGTCATCAAAGAAATTCAGTTAAATACGAGTCTAAATGATGACAAGCTATTCCCCTCTGTTTTTTTATTTCGCTATTTTTCCAGCTACCAAAAATGTTCAATACTTTGAGTATGTGCTCTTGTGGTTGGGTTCAAAAAATTAAATGTACAATTTACCAACCGTATAAATATATAATAATTTATAAGTATATTATCAAGTTATACGAGGGAGTCTTGGAAATATATCGGTAGTTTGAGATGATGCGAAAGTATCGATTGTACGATTGTCGATTTCACTTTACGCGAAAAAATAATTCTTTATCTACGTTTGCGGTTTAGAAGTAAAAAATAGTATATATTTAATGTGTTAAATTTCCTAAAAAAACCGTACACAATAGGCGAGTATACCTAACCAATGTGTTGTAGACAAATTGTGGAAAGAAAAACGTCAATAATATCGTTTGATGCGAAGTGTATGGCAAAAAAAAAAGATGAACGGTCGTCGGTCATATAGATTGATGAACCCGTGCCGCGGTGGACGAACGATGAATCTGTTTGCGATAACTGTACTCGAAGCGCGTTGGCCGATCCGTTATAATATTATACTCGAGCGAGCGAATGGCGCAAAACAACGAGAAAGAAACGAAGAGAAGTAGTAGTGGTAGTAATAGCAGTAATAGTAGTAGTGGTAGGGAGAAAGAGAGAGAGAGGGACAGAGCATAAAGAGTGCGATAGACCGGTAGAGCAGCGTCGAGCGGTGGCGGGAGCGGGCACGACGCGACACGGGGATACGATCAATGTCTCACAGACGCACCAGCACCAGTTTCTAGAACGGCGGCGGGGCGGTACGATCCGAGACTACAACATAGCGGCGTAGGGAAGGGGTGTGAGGGAGGATGGCTGCGTTATCGGAATTGAAGGCTTATGAGCAATTGTTGTACTATTATTATTATTACACGACGACGGTGCGATTAACCTGTTCCCGTACTACCTGTTCCGGTAACGGCGCTTTCCTCAGTGGTGACGTTTCCGCCACCGACAATGTCGTCGCCCCCTCGGTCGGCCGTTGCTTTCGGCGACAAAACGTATCTATTAAGCATATTATTCTTACACCAAGGTACGCGACGATCATTAAATACTATATTTTCTTGTACGACGGGTATATTTTACGCGATCTGGCGATCATTACGTGACATACTACTGTTACAGCAGCAGCTGCTGCTGTTCACCGGGCGGTGCTGTTACTACTCCCCTCCCCCCGCCCCGTATCGATATAATATACGTCGTACACGACTACAACTGCGCAGCTTCAAATTCGCAATGTATTTCGTGAAATTATTAAACAAAGTTACTCGCATAACGGTCGCGAAAATAACCCCTAGGGGAAAAAAAAAGCAACTACGAAAAACCACCCCGGAGAGATTTCCTTTTGTACCTACGCATCGATCGAGTGCGCAGCGGTACCTATAATAATGTTATTTTGTTTTATAAAATACAACGCGAGAAAGTTTACCCGCAGAAGCCAGCTGCAAGACAATAAATAATATTATTACAATACAATCAATATTATTATAACGAATAATATTATTCCACCTAGCTATAATACTACAACAACAATATATTCATACTACTAACCACTACTGCTATTATAGCTATTTTCCATTTCTCTATATTATAATATTGTTATTACAATAATAATAAACAAGTGGTGTTTAAGATATGTCGCATACGATTTCGCTAGTATAATATTATTATAATATTCTGTAAATACCAATACATTTAATATTATTACCGCCACCCTCCCCCCAGCTTTAAATAATATAATATTTAAGAAAACTATAAAATATTATATGTATTTTATTATAACTCACTCACCTAGTTATGTTTTCTGTAGTCGTGACTCTAAGTCCTTTGGTTCGATGTTCCTTCATAACTGTATAATGTATATATATAAAAAAAAACAAAAAACAAAAAACAAAAATAAAAAAAAAAATAAAAAAAAAAATATTGAAAGTTTTCGATTCGGTTCTGTGTACCTAGATATAATTCGCGAATTTTTATTTTACCGATTATAATATAGCGTGTATACTGTATATTATTACAGGTATCGATAATAATAGTACATATGCATATACTGTAGAATAAATTTCGCGTGTTATTGAAAATTGTGGGCAAAACTAATGTTTTTCTTTCTAGCAACTTTATAAAATATGTTCCCCGTTTATAACAGTATAATACCTATATAGTAAATAATAAGTATAAGTATAACTTCCGAATCTATGTATCTGTCTATTATCTGTACATAGTTAACACTATAGGTAGGTATATGCGCGTTTTATCTTTATGTATGATTAGGTAATAGAGTAATGACCGAAAAAATCGAGTTGAATGAACCTAAAATGAATATCGTAGCGGCTCTACGCACATTCGCCTATAGTTTTTCATCTATTAACGACTTAAAAGGCGTTTAACCTAAATTAACCTCGAAACAAAATATACTACTGAACAGCGATATAACAATGAGTATATATCTACAATATAATATATATTCCATATAATTTTTTTTAACATAAATTAAAACAGTCGCGATTAAAAACAAATAATAAACATTTTTCAAGACATATTTTCACTATTATTATTATTATTATTATCTATCGTTCAGTATACCATGTATAATATACCTACTTTTTCAGCGAATGATAATGTAATTATTGTATTTATTTATTTTTTTCAAAAAAGTAAATAAATAAAAACAGGTAGACATACCATGAAATAAACATGTACCCAACCACTTATATAGGTAATTAATAGCTAGGTAATATTTTTTTATAGATTAGATATATAAATAATTTACGCTACCTACAAAGCTAAAACCAATATTAACCACTAGATGTTGATAACATAAAATATTATACTATAAAAAAAAATCGAATTAAATACTATTTAAATGTATCTATTTTTTATGTATATGTTTAGGTATTATATAATAAAATATAATTTTGAAAATTAATTTATAATTCATAAAAAAAAAAACGTACTTACAAATTAAATTATAACAACGAGGAGGTATAGGTAGGTAGATAATTTTGTTTTCAAACAAATTATTAACGCCTATAACTAATATTAAACCCGAAAAGAAAACACAATAATATAATATTATTACAGACATTATATTCGTAGTTTCGCCGTAGATTAAAATCAAAAACCAATATGATTTTACTATGCACTTTAGTAATAAAACCTACTGACATTTTTTTTTTTTTTTTTTGTACGGAAATTAGTAATCTATATAAAATTCAAGTATATAATATAAATATTATAGCTATAGGTAGGTATACGTATGTATAGGCACTTACCGGATTAGCGACGTTAACATTTGCGAGCACTGAAGTACTTGAGTTAAATAAATTTCCCCGAAATAATCCAGAGAAAATTGGATAGAAATAAAACAACCAAACTCGAACAAAAAAGAACGCAACTCTAAACGAATATTTTCGCAAACGTAATATTATTGTTAGTATCGTCGTAATTATTGTTAATCAGGGTGTATACTGTGTGTATGTGTATCGACTAGATCCGGGACCGCGAAAAACGCCCGACGACTGGCTGCAAAATGCGCGACTGCGAACGGTTTAGTTAGCGCGCGCGGTCATCGGCTCGATTGGATTTCGCAGATTTGCCGGCGGCGCAAGTGCCGCGCGCTACAGCTACGCCGCAGCGGCCGCGGTGCGGCGGCAGACAGTATGACCACGTCAGGTGTGTACCGGGCGCGCGCGCGCTCACAGAGCAGGGGTCTCCAGGCCAACCTCCCGCGGGTCGACCGCTGCCACCGTTGCAATAATGTTGTGCGGTATCAGTTCATGAATATCAATATTGTTACATTATTATCATCGAAAATAAGTCTACGTCGGGTATCAATGCGTACTTGTGAATATTAACGGCATCGTTTGATGACAATCAGGCCGAACCCAAACCGTTTTAAGCCTAATATACTTATAACCTAGTTTAACATTATAATATTCATATTAGGCTTAAAGCGGTTTAGAGGAAAACCAAAAATTAATTCCAATTTATTTAACTAGGTACCTCTATATATATAATTGGATTTTTTTTATTTAGTTTCTAATAAATCGCGTCCGATAATTTTTTTTTAATATAATTTTATTTCTTCGCTATTATAACAGAACGGGAATAAAAATTTGATTGGTTTTTTTATTCTTCCTGAAGTCAAAATAATCGAAATACGACCTATTTCGTCAGGGCAGTCGAATATAATATGTACCCACCGTTTTCCGTAGTTGGTAGAAATGTTCGTTTTTATTTTACCATTTCGTTATCAAATATGTTCAACATAAACTGCACAACTGTTATGTTTCGGACGGTTTTAATCAAGAGCTGTATTGATTTTCGAGTACAGCGATGTGTTTCGTTTCAATAAAAAATCGAATAAAGAGAAAAACAAGCCGAAAACTGGGAAGAACATTAAAAAAAAAAAGTTTTTATTGAATTTTATTGCTATATACGTATAGGTACATTTAAACATTTACGCGTTTAAGCTTTGAATATTTTGAACTTTCAAATCAATAGTAAACGAACACTATATTTCGATGAAGGAGTTGACCTAAATTTGATTTTAAGTCAATTATATTAGTTAGACTCACTACAGATAGCAGTGACAGTAGACAGTTAGACTCACTACTATCCATAGCACGTAATTCAAATTTAACTCACCCTTCGGATTGGGTTTAAATCATAATTCTTAATAGCTTCGTCACTAGAAAAACCACTAAAAAATGACTAGCTCCAAAAAAACATTTTATTAAAAAACCTTACTAAATTACATAAACATTACATGTACCTATTACAAAAATAACGCATCCCCAAGTTGATCAAATCGGAAATTAATTAACTAAAATAAAACCTATGCACTGACATTGGTTTAAATTGTAGGAATCTATCCACATTTATTTCAAATACAGTACTATCTATATCAGGCGAAAAATCTGCATCTTTTTAAGGTACGATTCAAACATTTTGGAGCATTTGTAATAACCTTTTGGTTTTTTAGATTCGGAGCGTAGCCAGGAATGCATTGGTTTTTACTATTATGATATTTTTTTTTTTGTATTAATTATTTTTTCATCTAAAAAAATATTTCCTAACTAGAAATCTCTTTCTGATCATCAATTCAGAGAGGGCTCCAGTAAAAGTTGTCTAGCCAGTACACTGATCCTTATCAGTTCACAAGTCAAATTTTTCTTGTAGTTTTCTTAATAACTGCCACCCCTATTAATAAAATATCCCATATACTGTAATCATAATTATACCTATAATACTACTATATTCGGTTTTGCATGGTTTTAATATTTACTTCTAAACATTAATTGTACCAGTCTGAACTGACTGAAAACTGAATATATTGTATAAATATTAATTACTATAAATCGCATGGATATTCCGAAACGCTCTACAACTGTTACACGAATACTCATTATTTTTGCCGATGCTTAAAATATTTTCGGGTTAACACCGTAAAAACCAAATAAAATATATATTTTTGCATTGTTCTACTTTATACTCTATGAAAGTAACTATAATAATAAATCGTCAGTAAAGTTGAATAAGTTGAATATTTTATAAAGTAGATATAAAACCGCTACAACTGTCCCATAAAGTGGGATTTTCTATGAAAATAATAAATACTCGTAAATAAAAAAAAGTATTAATTAAAGTATTAAAGTATAATTCGTATTATTGCTCATAGGTAGGCCACTGTTGTAGACAGTAAATTAGAAAGGCGGGATATATATATATATATATATATGGGAAATTTTTTTTATACACTGTATTTTCAACGATAAATCTTTGCTAACAAAAAACTAATCTCAGAAGAGTACGGTTACAAAAATTAAATTTCAGTATATGTAATATTTAACCGATTTTGGGGAGAAAAATGAAAATAAAAAGGAACTTATATCATTCCACCGGTGCCAATAAGAAATCGAACAAAAGATGTTTTATCAAAATCATTTAATCAAATAGTTCTCGACATTTTAGCTGACATATAAATTAACGTTTCCTATTTAATGTTAAAAAATAACGATTCTAAGCAGATTATTAACAGTCGTAGTTTAGATTCTGAGTGGAGCGAGGAATGTATTGGTTATACAATGATGATTATTATTCTTTCCTGTGGACAACATTTCTACCAGCAATTTTGCTTAGATTTTTAAATAGTTTTTAAGCAATTTTTCTGAAAAGAAATCTGATGGTATTTTAAGGAGGTCATTTTTTTAATTTTCTAGATGTAGGTCCATCCATACAGATAGGTCTAGTGGTCCATCCATCGTGCGAAGTATGTCCGTCTTTTTTCTCTTGTTGCTTACCCAGAAATCAACTAAATTTATTAAAAAATTGCCAGTTTTCAATTTATTTAGAAAACTACGACGGAAATCAAAAAATGCACTAACTAGATCAAAACATTTCTATAAAATATTGAACTGGAGTAAGAGTTTTAGTAAAGAAGTTATTTCGTTTATATCTGTAAGCAACGATAAACCATTGAATGACGAAAGACGATTCCGAGCGCAGTTTGGTTACACATAATTTGAAGTGGCGTATTTTTTTTTGCGATTTTCGTTTAAATTTGGTTTCAAAACATTTATTAAAAAAAAAAAGTTCATCCGATGATGTTTGGAAATATCACTACGCCTAAGGAAGTCCAATATAAGTATTATTACTATGTTTCAAGCGTCTACGTGTATTTATAACCGAATTACAGCAAAAAAACTCCCAAAAATTAAAATTCCTTAAAACCTTAAAAGTAGCTCAACATTTTTTATTAATGATACCGTAAGAAAGTAAATCAAATAGGTAACAAAAAAAGGTGTCATGTGATTTTTCGATTAAATCATTTTTTCTGGTAGAAAACGTCGTCCGTATTTTTATGAAATAATGAAATCGTGAAATCGTACGTTTTCTTACGTTTTTTCCCACTTAAGTACTTTTATTTAAATTGTGTCGAAAATCGAAAAATAACTTGTTTAAATTACAAAATAGACATCTTTAGCTTTCAGAAAAAATGCTAAACCTATACATTGGAGTATGTTTATTAGAAAAAACGTGTCCACAGTATAGAATAAAAAAAAAAAGCATTGTAAAACCAATAGCTTCCTCGCTACACTTGGAATCTAAAATAGAAAATTTCCATAATTTCAGTTATTTTCCTATTAAAATACATACAAACAATAACATTTCTCTATAGGGTAAATAGCGAACCTAGTGACAATTTTGATTACAGTAATGTTTACAATCAATTGATAAGCTAAGTGTTTACACCTTATTAATCTACTTTGCTAGTACCTATTTATAATCAATGATGGTATTAACAATTGATGATTTTAACAGTTCGCGTATTCTATAAATTGGAAAAACTCAAAAAAATAAAAATATCTAAAAATTACCTAGATAAAAGTGAGATTATCTTCATATAATCTAGATAAATGTAAAATATTTAATTTTTATATGTATCTAGATAAATTCATAGAAAATTTTCTATATCTTATATTCTTAGCTAAATGAAATTTTCGTTATCTATTCTCAACACTGTACCTAATACCAATGAACCTATGTATTTTTTATTGCTTGAATTAATTTTTGATATAAAATAAATAATACTGATAATTCAGAGGGAAGTATGTGTATATAAGCTGTCCTACGAATATATACCCCTAGAATATCTCCAAACAGTGCCACAAGTAAATTTTTTTGGACATCAGGGCAGCAGAAGTTTTAATGCCCTAATTGTCCGTACATAATATACCCTCCCTTCAGTAATAAATCGCTTTCAACCTTACCACAAGTACTCAAAATATAACTGTGATGTTTCGTAGAATGATTTCTCAAATTAGTTTTCATTAGTGTTCAGTAAACAAAATAAAAAAACATAAAGATCACAAATTATATCATTAAAATTATATTTAAATTCCACTTACTCAGCTAGTTTGATAATAAAAACAAAATAAAGAAATGCAATATGTAGAATTGTAAAATAAATCGTAACTATTACCAGTATTATTTTAAATAATCAAAGTATTCATATTTATTTTAAAACTTCATCTTCCTTGTCTTTAAATTTGAAAATCTATTAAAATTGTATTTAAAAATAACTCTTTAGTACAATTTTGTTTAATGTTTATAACTGCAATGTATGATAATCGGTTCTGTCCTATTGAGTTCCTTAAATAATATTTAATTATTTTTAATTCAGAGTATGATCTTTCGGCAGTAGTCACTATGAAAGTCAAAGTCATAAAAATAATACAAGTTCCTAAAACCTCTAAATAACTACAGGACAAATCATTTTCCAAAATAATTATTGCTAAATCACGAATAGAACACAATTTTTTTATTTTTTATTATTTCTTTAAGAAACAGAATTTACAGACATGCTTACTCGGAACCAACATCCAACTTGTAATTTTGAACGAAATCGTAACTACTTCAGATTGTTTTAGCTTCTTCAGATTTAATAACTGATTCCGGCTTTAAAAATTCAAATGTGTCACAGACATCTCGAAAACTTTCAAAACTTGATTCAAGTTGCACCAATATAATATCAACAAGGCTCTTGTTACAAGGGGAAAAATATTTTTGTAAAACTACATATCGATTTTCAGTGAAAACAAAAATTGACTATAAAACTGAAAAAATATTAAAATAT